TCATCTGAAGAAACTAGTTCCAATACATACATCCCTCATACACCAGCCCTGAGCCATTCGCTCTTCAGTCTCTCGAACTATTCCCTTCTGAGCTCAATGTTTCCTTCCAGATATTTGGCAGCCCATCCTCTAGCATCTTCAGAAATTGGCGAGGCACGATAGACATGGGAGTGGGTATAGCAGTCATATTTACATTGTTGAGGACCGATGAAACCTTCTCCTAGTTGAAATGGTCACGAATCATCATCAGTTGCACATTCTCCCAGCTGGACTCCGACCTGGCATGCGAGTCTTAACTCGTTGCCCCATCATTACCGACATTAATCTCATTTTCTTTATCGCTTTAGACTTCCTTCAACGGTTCTTTTTCTTTGGCTTTGGTTTTGGCACCTGCTAGCATCTTCAACAAGATGGCTAGGATAGCTGCTGCATCTATCTCTACGGTCCCCTATATGTAATAAGCTCACGGACAAACTGGCCATCCTGCCCATGTCATTCGCTGGGTCATCATCATTCAAACTGTTTGTTTCTTTCGGAAGTCTACTCTCGACCACTTTCACCAAACTTTTTCATCTGCCTTCATGGAGTCTTGTAGCCACCACCCCATAGAAGCAACGGATAAACCTTTGTAAAGAAGTCGAACCCTTCATAGTTGTTTGCAAAACTCGTGTCTACACTCACTGCCATAGCCTCCAGCTTGTCCGCAAATACACAGGTTTGGGAGATACCTTTGATGGCGTTGATCGAGGAATCAGCGTTGTCAAAACAGAGCTACACCAGTTTGTGTCCGATCAATCGCTGATCACTAGCGTAGCTTACCTAGAAATTGGGCTGTCTATTGGTTGCATCGCCCTAAGAACATTTCAGAAAGCCGGATGAACGCTTCCTCGTAATCATCATACCACGCATATCTGAAGACCACTATCGTCAAGGGCAACCACGCTTTGATCCATAGCTGACTATCCTGAACCACATTGTTCAGCGCCTTATTCATATCGTGTTTAGAATCCACGATGATTGATCCAGCTCGTGACAGGCCTTTCCTGTCTCCCGAAAACATCATTACTCTACATGAAGAACCGGGCGAGCCCGCAATGATTTATGTCCTCTGAACCCAAATCTTCCAGCTGTTGAGTAGTACGCATGATGGTGCTGGAATCTTCTCGGGCGTGTAGATCTATGGATACTTCCGTTGCGCATCTAGACTCTACGATTCGACATTGAACCCCTCCCCAGCAGCCTCATATGCCTATTCTCCATTTTCTATCTCATGGGTCCAATGACTCCAATCCACTATTCGCAGCCATAAGTATCCAGTCACCGGTTTTATGCATGTTGGCACTGCTTTGATGGCCTTTTTCTGACATTCGATTCCCAACTGATGCTCATCTTGCTCAGCACAACTTTGGCAAGCCCTACTAAGGTACCCAGGTGTATATATGTTTGGCCATTGCCTTATTGAAGTAAGACAGCAAAAAGAAACTGTGGACATAACGGGAGAACTCGAACACTTGAACTTCTGTAGTCAAAAACTCGTTTTGCAACTTGAGCCTGTACACGATCAGCAAGCATAATCCTCACGGACATCACACCCTCATTCGCAACGGGTCAGTCGGGGCCGTTTGGGGGCCAAGTGCTGTGAAACACCACTTTTCCGGTGTGAATGGACGATACATTCCTGAGCATACACCACCACGATGTGTAGCTGAAAGCATCATCGATCCACTTTAGGAGCCGTTACGGCGTCTGCTTCCAGGTTAGTAAAAAAATCCTAAGCTGTGATACGGTCAGGCGACTCCCATTTAACTACTTGCCCAGAATGCCTGGGCTTCGTACCTGTTGCTGGCCTTCGGCGGTGTGGCAGAGTATCTCTGTTTAAAAATTAAGATCAATATTTATTGAAAACTTGGGGTATGGCATTGCTCTTCATATGATCTACAATGTTGGGGTATATTGAAGGTTAGGAAGGCGCTCTAGAAGCACAAATGCGTGCTTCCCGCCCTAATGCACTGTCTTAATCACCGAGAATTCTAAATCTTATGGCTTAGCTGTAAAATATAAGTCTGAACGAGAGAGCTACGTGTATAAGTAGGTAAGTCTTGTGGTGGTGGGCAGGTGCCAGGGAGACAATGTTGGGCAACCCAAACAATAGCCCTTAACTTCTGCCTCGGCAGCTCACTTCCTACATTCCGGCAATTGGTAGAACGATAGACAAGTAAGTTAATAATTGCGGGATCTTATCTCTGGTAACGTTCATGCAGGTTGTCTTGGCAGCTAGATGTGAGGTTGATAGGTAGATAAGGATTAAGTGCGAGAGCCGGGCAGAGTTAGCACCAGCATCATCACTTGTTACGGTTCCGAACCCCCTTGCACTGGTCTTGTAAAAGATTCGCAACCATGGCGTATCTTGGGAGTGAAAGAATCGGAACATGATCGGAAGTTACTCCAACCCCCATACTGTCGACTACCCCAAACGGGGAAGACCGAGAAATGCATGCCTGTGCTAATGTCAGGATATAAAACCATGAGACCCATCGGCCGCCCATTGCAAGCTCCTTTAACCGCAACTATGAAATCAAAAGTCCACCAAAAGCCCTCAATATGGCTACCGGAAACGGGATCCAGGTACTCAATGCCGGAGTAGGCTATGGTATCGTCGTGGGGATAGGCGCATTCTTCGCGTTGATGATGTAAGTCGTCGTCATGTTACACCTCCAGCGGCTGGCCAATCTGAAAGACTGACAATGTCAGGCTTGCCATCACCTGGCTTCAGAACAGATACACCAGCTACTCGACAAAGCAAGCCGAGGAATTCAACACGGCTTCGCGCTCCGTGAAGCCGGGGCTTATCGCAGCTGGTATCGTCAGTTCCTGGACATGGAGCGCGACTCTCCTGACTTCGAGTACCTTCGCGTACACATATGGGGTGAGTCCCCTGGATTACTCGTCTGAGTTTCCACGCATTCGGTGCTGACTCCCTCGCAAGATTTGCGGTCCAATGTGGTACGGCGCTATGGGAACTTCGCAGATCCTCCTGTTTAGTCTCATCGCCATTAAGATCAAGGCCAATGCACCTGGAGCTCACACATTCCCAGAGATAATTCTGGCTCGGCACGGTCGATTCGCACACTTGACTTATCTCTTCTTTGGGTTCGCCACAAATTTGCTGGTCGGAGCATGCCTGGTCCTTGGTGGAAGCCAAGTGGTAGCAGCGCTGTCCGGAGTCAACGTGTATGGCGCCATTTTCCTGATCCCGCTCGTGGTGGCAGCCTATGTTATCGCCGGAGGCCTGCGCAGCACTTTTATAGCGGACTACGCGCATACCGTGATCCTGTTCATTGCCATCTTCGTTTTCTGCTTCGAGATGTACGCGACAAACGCAACGGTCGGGAGCATCGACAGGTTTTATGACTTGCTGAAAGCGGCGGGAGAGACCAGGCCAGTCGACGGGAACCACAACGGCTCGTATCTGACCTTCAAGAGCAATGGAGGGCTCGTCTTCGCCATCGACTTGCTCGTTGCTGGTTTCTCGACCGTCTGGTTGGACCAGGCATACTGGCAACGAGCAATTGCTTCAAGGCCCGAGACGTCTGTCAAGGCTTACCTCTTCGGAGGTATCGCCTGGTACGGGATCCCCTTCTCGTTCGGCACCGCCATGGGTCTTGGATGTGTTGCCCTAACTGGAAACCTGGTGTTCCCGACGTACCCGAACCCATTATCAGCAGCACAGAATGGCGCTGGGTTGTCAGCTCCTGCGAGCGCCGTTGCCCTCCTTGGGATGGGTGGTGCTGGGCTCATGCTGCTTCTCCTTTTCATGGCAGTGACCTCATCAACAAGCGCTGAGCTCATCGCCGTGTCATCGCTCATCACGTTTGACGTATACAAAACGTACATCAAGCCAACCGCGACATCGACCGAGCTGGTGCGCATATCGCACTATGGGATCGTCCTGTTCGCCGTCGTCCTAGCAGCGTAAGTGCACTCTTTTCTCGGCATGTGACGTATGGTCGTCCTAATACTCGAACAGATTCTGCTGTATCCTCAACGCAGTCAGCGTCGACCTCACCTGGCTCCTCACCATTCTCGGTGTCATTGTAGGAGGCGCAGCCATCCCAGTTGGTCTGATTCTCCTCTGGGCTCCAATGTCCACAGTCGCAGCACTTGCCGCCCCTTGGGGCGGTCTTGCACTTGGCTTGATCGCCTGGCTCATCACAACCCGGTACCGAAGCGGCGCCGTCACGGTCGCGACCAGTGGGGATGTTCTTAACGCCGTGGCAGGGAATCTCGCCTCTTGCGGGTCAGGGACGATTCTGGCTTTTGTGTTTTCTCTGCTCTTCCCTGAGCAATGGGGAGCTGTCAACAACACTCCAGAAGCCCAAAAGCGCATTGACAAGATCAACGGCGTGCAGCCAGCAGCTGAAACGGGAATGGCAGATTCGGGTGTGCCTTTCCCTAAGAATGAAAAGATTGTTGACGGCCCAAATGAAGGCAGGCCGGCTTCTATGGGTGCTTCCAAAGAGCCCACCTCGGATCCCGTCCCAGATACAGTAGTCCCCACCGGCAATGCCATCGTGGACTTCCTCGAGGCGTCGCACATCGAGCCAATGTCTCCCGAAGAGGTCAAGAAAGCGACCAAGCTTGCCAACTGCTTCAACTTGGCATACTGGGTGATCGCCATCTTCGTTGTACCATTTACACTATTTGGTACGCAGTGGGAATTCACTCTAGCCGGGTTCCGTGGCTGGTGTGTAGTGAGCTTCATGTGGGTATGGTGCAGCTTTGTCATCTGTGTCATCTGGCCCTTGGTCGAGAGTCGGGGTACTATGTGGGCCATTCTCAAGGGACTCTCTAGGGACGCTAGGGGGGAGAAAACAGAGCGCACTTCTCAGATTTCTGTCTGAGATTTCGGTCGAACGTTGGTAGAGTGCAAAGCAATGGGTCGCACTTGCGATTTTCTGTACCTCGAAATGGTAGATGCTGGAACGCGAAGTCGTTCGCCATTACTTGGCTCAATAGGAATTAGAGTGGGATTTCGTGTCATCAACTCGACGTCTTCAAATGCGTCCACTTGTTTAATGATCAGTCAGCTCTAAACTGCTTGAAAGTGACTTCTTGTGCTTCCCGTCGATGAAGTAAGGATGGGGAAAGGAAGGCGGCGAGGGTCAGCCCCGAAGATGCCCGGGGCAGTCAAGGACTTCCCTAAACGATGGGTCAAGCAATCCTGTAACGTGCTTTGAGCTACCCATAAGCGATAAGTTGCCTACCTTTATAGATTATCCATAGGACGAATTGTTTGTCTCCTAGTTCACTGAAAGGAGTCTTCCCTCGCCCTCTCACGCATGATTCGGTGGATTAGCGAGTTCCTTGTAGTGAGCTGGTGATTTGTCAACCAAAGCTCTAGGATAAGCGCAGAGAGCAGAAATGCCGGGTTCTCTTGCTGCAAGGTTCTCTTCATGCCAAAACATTGGAAGTTGCTAGACCTTGATTGGATAACGGCGCTGGGGCCCGTTAAGTCGGCTTCACGATACCGAACTCGGTCTTGGATTCACTTATATCATTTTCTTTTCTTATTTTCTAATAATTACCGCAGCCACCAGACTTGGCAGTCAGGAATCAGCCAAGTTTCAAAATCTAGCTCTGCACTCGTTTTATCAATCGCAGGTAGTCTGCGGTGGTGTTCATGCTGGTTGGGGCTATTTCAGGTGGGGGGTTGGCGAAGAGCAATGTGGGTATGAGTGCTGTGCTTTGGATTACTGAAGCTGTGAAGTTCGTAATCGCGGTGGCGTGGATGCTTTGGAAGGTGAAGAAGGAGGAGGGGACTGGAAGTAGTCGTGGCTACCTGGCAAGAATAGCACGTATAGATGTAACCTCAGAACATAAATGCGGAGATACCCCAATATACATATATATGGGCAGCGGGAAAGTATATGGTCAATTCTCATAGATAGTGGTTAGATTAATTGCTTCATTTCAACTATATAGGTCTAGGTACCCCAGTATCCAGAGTATTTCCCGTTCCCATGTTTGCAAAACTCTACCGTGCTGCTTAGTACACGTAGCGGAAGTTGGGGTTCTCCCTATCCGTCAGATCCTCGAATGCATGCACCATATTCTCGTCGTGGGCCTCGGCAACACCAGCAGCGGCCAGCTGGTCGCGCTTCTTGTTCTGGCGGGTCAAGTACCACCTGAAGTACAAGATGATGATAACGAGCAGGGCGTAGCAGCCGATATGGGTGGCGAAGGCGATAAAGTACCTGGGTGCATCTGTTGCGAGGAAAACCTGAGGCCCAATGGCGTTGCCGGTGGACCAGAAGATGAAATTTATCGCAACCACGACGCTCTTCTTGGTCTGACCACCGACGTTGCGAGACATCATGGAAAGACCGAGTGTCTGAGCAGACCAGAAGGACAGAGTGATGTAGTAGGAGAGAAGCAGACCGACGTGCTGAGCCGTGGTCTCGTTGGGGATTGTCATCAAGAGGATGGTGCCGACGAAGGAGGGGATGACGAAGCCGAGCATGGTGAGGGTGTTCTGGTTCCACTTCTTCACTAGCCACACGGAGCTCAGAAGCACAATGATGATGTATGCACCCAGGACCATAGCTAACAGCTGGGTTTGCAGAACACTGAAGCCGAGGCTGCCGCTGATGATGATATTGGCGAAGGAGCCGAGACCGCTGGTCGGTAGGGTGGTGCACAACTGGATGCCCGCATAACACCAAGTCTGGGGATCAGTAAGAGCATCGTAAACCTGCTCCTTCTTAAAAGTCCGGTTCTGCATGCCCGTCTGGTTGTCACGAACACGCTCGACCATCAGGTGCTTGTCCTCTTCGGAGAAGCACTTGGCCCTCATAGGACTGTCGGGCATCCACCAGAGGACAAAGAGACCGAAAAAGATAGAAACAATGCCATAGGACATGAAGAGCCATTGCCACGACTTGAGCGGGCCGGTTTTGATGAGAGTGAAACAAAAGGCAAGCAGACCGCCGACAATCTGCTGTGCACCGTTCATCATGTACCAGTATGTCACCCGAGAGGCTTGCTCTTCACGACGGTACCACATGGATGACAGAACAACGAATGCGGGCTGACAGGTGGACTCGGCAATGCCGAGGAGGGTCCTCGCGACAACAAGGCCGGCAAAGTTCTTGCACGCAGCGTGGCAGGCCAGGATGGCGCCCCAGGCAATGATGGAGAACCCCAAATACTTGGCCACCGGCACGCGAGCAATGATGTAGTTCTATATGCAGTATCAGCAGAGCGACCAGAGCTCTATGGCGCGTTTGGACCTTACCTGAGGGTATTCAACAAATAGGATGGCAATGTAAATACACGTCGTCAACCACGGCCATTGGGGGCCAAGTTTGCTGGTCCCTGGGATCATCAAGCCGGTATCCTGGGGTAGCCCCATGATGGAGGAGAATGACATGGTGCCTTTATCAATGGCCTGGAGGAAGTAGGTGGTGATCATGACCACAAGCACACGTTTGTCGATCATCTTACGCAGCCTCGTACTCTCCTCAGTCGTGATGGCGATGCGGGCGCCCCCAGCATACTTGGCGACTTCGTGGTCGATCTTGTCATAGTGTGCACCGGATTTCTCGAGGCCATCGACGTGAGACTCCTTTCTGGAGATCTCGACGTCGTGGAAAGACCGCTTGCCCGCCGCATCGTCCTGGTGAGGGTGGAGGGGGTTGTTGATGTCGGGGTCTGCGACCTCGAGGTTCGACATCCTGGGCTCTTTGGACGTTGGCTGTCTGTGGACCCTTTCAACGGTTCTGGGGAGAGAAAACAACCTGCTGCCAAAAATGAAGACGAGCAGGATGGGTTGGGTCGAGGGAACGAGAGGGATAAGATAGGAAAACTTGGGCACTGGTTGGGATTGTCAGATTCTTATTCCCTATTATCTTCCCCAACACCACTCTGCTCCATTTCCCCATGGGTTACCAAGCCATTCTGCAGCTAAGGCATCCGCCCAACCGGTAAAGTGGCCCTTTTCCATTCATTATCAGAAACATCCTGGTATAATACGACCACGCCGGCCACACGGTGGCCGATTAAGCGACTTCATCCTGGCGTTGACACGATTCAATCAGGTTCAGTTCCCATACTTGGTTGCCTTCCACCGCCTGCTGCCGGGCTGCTTCCCCACCAACGCGGTCGAGTAATTTGAAATAAGGGTGTGAAGATGAATATCTGGGGTATCATTCGACCGAGAATCTGGGGTCTGGGGCAAGCGCCGTTGGTGCCGTGATCAAGCGCTAATTTGCGTCTACCCACCAGCCCCGACACACTTGCGGAAGTGCCTTCCCCAAAGGGCCTACCCCGCACTCCACGGCACACCAGGATTTTCGGTCCCCAATCTTCACGAAACCGGCTTGTTTGTTTCTCGTCCTTCGGGGTCCAAATAACTAATCCGTAACGATGGGGAATGACAGAGTGTTAAGTCTTAGTATATCGTCCTTCTCGGCACGGGGCCTTATGGACCTGATGAAACTGAGACTGGGCAGGTCCCAGCTTGCCAACAAACCGTCTTGACAGCTCTCTTCTCCATTGAATCTTGATACTACCTCGTCCATTAAATTATATCTTCGGTGCATTGTGGACCGAACCCCTGATCAATAAGCGGGTCGGGTGTTTTCCCACCAAGCGCGTTGCGAGAACACTGTCCTAGGATATAAGCTGAGCGGCTAGTAACTTTCCCCCGGGTGAATGAGCACATGGCTCGCGTTTGGTTGCCAATATTGTTTAATTGATTGATCTGGCTGGTCGAGCTTGACACCCTCAAGCTAACACCTTGACACGTGAATAGTTACCTTCCATTTTACCCTAGGCACTCGCAGCATCGCTTAGCTACCCTTGCTTTACCCCAACTTCCGGAGGCTGACTAGGCGTCAAATTTATCTATCACCACCTGACTTCGTATTTATATCATATAAGCCAATCTTCAAGATGCCTGCCGAAGTCCACGGCATCAAGTCCAGCGACATCCACGCCAAGATCCAGCTCCTGATCAATGGCCTCGTCAACATCAAAGACCAGACGGGCGAGTTCCTCATGACTCTGGAAGATGGCCGGGTCATCGATACCAAGGGCTGGAACGACTGGGAATGGACGCACGGCATCGGCCTCAACGGCATCTGGGCATACTACAGCCTAACAGGCGACGCAAAATACCTGCAAATCATCGAGGATTGGTTCGCAAACCGGTTCGCCGCGGGGGCACCACCAAAAACATCAACACCATGGCCGTGTTCCTGACGTTGGCTTACGTCTACGAGAAGACAGGCAACCAGACATACCTCCCCTGGCTCGACAGCTGGGCCGAGTGGGCCATGCACGACCTCGAGCGTACGAAGTATGGCGGCATGCAGCACATCACGTACCTCGAGGTCAATAACCAGCAGCTGTGGGACGACACCCTCATGATGACCGTCATGCCGCTCGCCAAGATCGGAAAACTGCTCAATCGCCCCCACTACGTCGAGGAGGCCAAGCGTCAGTTCCTGCTGCACATCAAGTATCTTTTCGACACTAAGTCCGGGTTGTTCTACCACGGCTGGACCTTCCACGAGGGCGGGCATAACTTCGCCGACGCGTTGTGGGCCAGGGGTAACTCGTGGCTTACGATTGTGATACCCGAGTTCCTCGAGTTGATTGACCTGCCCGCAAATGACTCTTTCCACATCCACCTCTTGGACACGCTGAATGCGCAGTGCGAGGCACTGGCTCCGTTGCAAATGGCGTCTGGTCTGTGGCGGACGCTGCTCAATGTCCCCGAGGAGGAAGGCTCATACGTGGAGGCGAGTGCGACGGCTGGGTTTGCCTTTGGTATTCTCAAGTCGCAGAGGAAGCGATACATTGGGAAGCAGTATCAGGATGTTGCTGTGAAGGCCGTGAAAGCTGTACTCAATAATATTGATGAGCGGGGAGAGTTGCTCAACACGAGTTTTGGCACGGGCATGGGTCATGATCTGCAGCATTATAAGAACATTCCCGTGACAAGCATGCCTTATGGACAGGCTATGGCTATGATGGCGTTAGTTGAGTTCTTGAGGGTGTTTATATAGAAATTTTGTGTATGCAATGCTATATGGCTCAATTGTTTCGGCAGATCACTTTACAAGTGCCACTGCCGTAATATTGTACCGAGGGCAGCCTTTGAAGACTCTTTAAAACTCTACTGGCCATTGAGTTATGAATACTTGGAATGTTTACGCAATTCTAATGTGTCTGAAATCCGCACTCTGAATGCTGTGAGATCTCGCGGAATGCTAACTTTGGAGTACTTCTAGCAATTTCATCCGCTTAGACTAAGTTGGTATTGAGGCAACGCTGTAAGCTGGCCCATACACGAAGTAGCTATAAGTCAAAGATATTGTTGGAGGCATCAGCTAAACCTCCTTTGAGCCAAGTCAAAATGGGACCCAGCGATTCCCCAAGGTGCGGCGTGCCGGCCCGTCACCCGCGAGCGGTCGGTTCCCAGGACGTCTTGGCGTATATGCTAGCTTCTACCCATCCTGCCGAATCTTCAAAATTGCGGAGTCTCAATCCTTCAAGGGGCCTTTTTATTTCTTTAACCTTGGAGAATGGGTTTGGCTACGTCATACCATCATTGGGGAAAATGCGGTGTCTCAGTCGCCCAACTCAGCTATTCCGGCTTCGGCTTAGTTTTCACATATGACTTTTTGTATTCATTGCCCGTTCTCTGTATGTGCCTCTGCGTACCTAGCCGTCCGCGGTGAAGCTGCAAGAGGGGTGATCTCCGCTTGAGATCGGTTTCGCATATGAGTTATTTTCGCTCGTAAGACTTGTGTTGGAGTCTGCGCATTATTCACTCTATCACAGCCAGACGACAGGATGACAATGCGGGCATGGCGTTAAATCGCCTTAATGCTCCTGTCATATGCAATTTGGTTGGGGCAATGCGCTGCTAAGATTGACGTAAGTCTGCATTCGAGCTAAGACGAGGACATTGAAGTGGATACATCAAATTGTGCGTATTCTCCGATATCGACAGTTTTCGCAGTCGGGCTTGAACCCGGGTGCACCCAGAAATCTGTTTGACGATATGCAGTTCCCTTTCCCACTCAGTATGGGACTGCCTCTGGCAGCTAGCCTTGTCAGCTTCGATGGGACGGGTCGGCCACCAACGCTGGGTAGAGCTCCTAGACGAGTACAAGTGTCTGATCAACGAGACGGTGTTCTTGACCAACCGTCGCCCAGCTCATGGCCGATCTGGGATTGAAGGATCTCGGGTACGAGTATGCGAATATTGGTGACAGGTGGAGCGACAAGGAGCTCTGGCGCGATAGTGAGACTAATAAGATTATTGTAGACACTGAGAAGTACCCCGATGGGTTGAAGCCTATCGTGGATTAAATTCATGACTTGGGTTTGAAGGTTGGGATTTACAGTGATGCTGGTAGGTGCTTGGCGATGACCACTAAGCCAATGCATCTGATTCTACTATGAAGCGGGAGCACTTACCTGTGGTGGATATGAGGGACCTTAGGGATGTGAAGAGATTCGACGCCGAGACTTTTGCGAAATGAGATATTGACTGTACGTACGATGCAACCAACAAACCAAATATCACAGAGACTAATGCCTTTATGCAGATCTCAAGTACGAGAAGTATAACGTCCGAAAGGAGTATTTCCACCCCTGGAAGTACGTGCCCGAAGTGCGGTTCAGTAAACACGAGAACGAAAGCAAGGGCAACCCCGATAAGTCAATAACGGGTAAGCCCGCCCCCGCCGACTACGACTGGGCCACGTCCAACACAGCTGAGCGCTCCTACACAATGCGTGACGTACTCCTCCATCGGGACCGCACGACAGAATACTCACTCAGCACCTGGGGCCAAGTCCACCTGGAGGAATGGAGCAATGCAACAGGACATAGCTGGCGCAAATGGGTGGACATCTACCCGCAGTGGACGGGGCAGTATGAGTGGTCATGGGGAGTGATGCCCATCCTCAACGACGCGTCCTGTTTCTGGGATTCAACCAACTTCTGGAGCCACAGAGACTGGGGCTTGCTCGAGATTAGCAACGGTGAGCCAATGCTCGAGGATAGTTATAGCCATTTGGCCTTTTGGGCCGCTATCAAGAGCCCTCTTGTCATTGGGACGAAGCTGGAAGGTATCAAGCGGGAGATCCTAGAGATCCTGATGAATCGCAAGTTGATCACTTTCAATTAGTACCCATCCACGGCGCATCGGCAGCGCCATACAGTAGCGTTAACCCGGATTCCATATTGAATCAGATACATCCGGCTGAGTTACGGTCCGAGAAGTCAGTCGCGGGGATGCATGTATTTGGCTTGAACACGCTGAACTAGACGATGACCAAGGAGATTGTGTTCTCCGTGATGCCAGAGCTAGAGACGAGCTAGAGACGAGCTAGAAGTATAAATTTCATGATAGGTGGACGGGAAGGTCTTGCAGTCCTTTGCGCATGCTGTGAATGTCAAGGTTCGGGGCTGAGGATTACACCCAAGATTCGTAAGTGGGGTTGGTGGATATTCTGATGAAAGGAGCAGTCTAGAAGAGAGCCGCTGACTGGTCCAAATCCAACACTGATGAAACCAGATTTACTCACAAAATGGAGTGTTTCTGAAATTTGATGCCAAGGCTGGTATGGTTGTTGTTGTCATTGCCATTGGCTATACTTCTAATCCAATGCGCAAGTCTGGTCGTGTTGAAATGCACTGCCCCTGGGCAGAAGAGATAGATGCTTTAGCGACATTTCCAGGGGTTTGATTGGCCATCATAATGGACCCCGCTGGTGTGCAACAGACAAGTCTCCGGACGTCTTGGTATATGATAGGAGAATCCGGCATATTGTTCAAGCAGGAGAGGCATCCTCATTGGTCGGATGGTGTAGTTGGTTATCACGTCAGTCTAACATCTCATATACGAGTGTACACTGAAGGTCGGGAGATCGAGCCTCCCTCTGATCATTTAGTTTTGTTTTTTTGAGCATGCGTATTTTTTCTGTTGACTGGCCATTGCGTCTGCCATTCCACCTGGCCTGATTGAGTGTCTACTACGCCTCTCTCTTTTCTTCAGCGTCTTATTAATTCGTGGCGGTTTCCTTTTTCTTGTCAAATTCCTTGTCCGTGTGGCTCATTCTTTCGATGTTATTGTTCAGATTGGTCAAAGCGTAGCAACGTCGAGTCAAGTCCCGAGGTACCTCACATTGAACCTCAAGCGTATTGGGTACAATGAAACATCGCCGAGTCTAATCGCACACTATTTACAATAAACTTGCGAGAGAATATTGACAGCCAACTGGATTGAGTCGACTCAAGCGCATTAGAGTTTTGGTTCCAGGCTCTCATGGTCTCATGAGGCCATGTGGACAAGTTCAGCTTGTCGTCCCCGTTGTCAAACCCAGCTGTGGAAATTTCTTGGCAGGGAGGTGCACGCGTTTGTGACACAACCGGGGCTACATGGTGGCTGAACTGGCATGCAGCAGCTCTAATGCGTGGTGCTGGGCATTTTTAGAAATCTGCCAGGCTGGAGTCACAAAATTCAAACCGAACTCAGCGACTTCTCGCCAGTCACCTAGCTTGTTCAGTTACAATCAAGTCGACGAAGGTGCACAAGAAGACGTTAGGAAACGACATAGAAGCCAAGTGGCAGAGACCGACCCGAGTCGTGCTGAGGGGTCAAGCTAACCAATGTAGGCTCAACATTCGTACAAGGTAGACGCCTAAGATTGCCATCCAATGAACCTTTCGTTGTCGAACTCTCGCGATCAATAAGATGATTTAATGGCTTCTCAGGACTCATCAACCTCGGCTTGCAGGACTCGCGAATTTATATATCGCGGATCGATGCGGTGTCGGCTGCCGGAGCCTTATCTTGCTTCCTTTAGGTCGAAATTGCTGTCAATCGGATCATGACAACCTCGCCAAGAAAACCAGGTACATGTATGGCTGCTTGGCTGTTTCCACAGGATCACGACTTGTCTACATTCCCCCAGGCGAAAGCTTGTTAGCGCCCCGTCAGGCATCGACTTTTTTTGGCAGTGGACTTTAAAGGAGCAAAGGCCAGAGACAGGAATTCACATGGTCGATAGACATGCTCCTACAGAACACTATGCACAGGATGCTGATTAACGTATTGTAATGCCTGGCGCCACGCTAACAACCGTCATCCTGGGGGTTGTATTGGATCAAGTCCACGCTGACGGCAGAACCCACCGAATATTGGGGGCAGCTTTGGCCGTGCAACGACCCCAACGACCCCAACGCCTCCGCATCCGAATGGCCCGCTAATTGAAGCTACAATAGTCACTTGGCAACAACAGGGTATGGAGCATAGTCCCACAGCCGCATGCTCCTTATCAACGACCACGGTGGTCGCAGGGTTGTCTGATTGGTCAATTCTTTCTGATATCTACAGTTGCGCTGACAGATTCATGGGGGTCACATCTACCGTTTCCAAGAAGCCTTTTCGTTACTAGTTTCGATGACGATGCAGTTCAAGGACATTAAACTCTACACCCGAACCGCGGCTGTCTATTGGCTCCTCCATTCAATCTTTATGCTTATCCAGACTCAATGACAACGGCAAACTTCGCGGAATGCCGTCTTACCGTTGCACCAGGTACACGCAAGCTAAGGCTGATTTGAGCATTCAAGTCGGTTAAGACGATATCTGCATTGGGATTCCCAAAGGCAGACGGTAGTTCTCTTATCAGTGCAACACGTCGTCGCGCCGGCAGTAGAGTTTCGCTCGCATGAACTGCAAACTGTCGACGGAACCAGACACATCTGCAGCTGAAGGGATGCTAGCCTAGCCAGTTAGGCCTTCTGAAAGCCTCTCGGAAGCTGTTTCATCAGTATGGGAACGCAAAAGTTCCCCAGGGACCCTGCAAGCTAAGCCTGGCCCCGTTATACAAGGCCACAAACCTGCAACCCTGGATACCGGGGTTAGAGGGGAGTATGGGATCTTCGTTCGAAATCGGAGCTCTGCAGCTTTGGGCCAATAGTTTACCGATTCTCTCGATACCACGCGCCAGGGTCCGGATGGCCATGCTCGATATATAATCTGGACTAATTCATCTGTGCGCAACTTCATCCCTTCAACCGTACCGGTCACAGACTACCCCGTCGATACTTTCCTACCTCTTCGCTGTCGAGCTGGGAGATAGAAATCATCACCATGACGACCACACCTTTGGATCAAGGTGTCGGCTACGGCATCGTCCTGGGCTTAGGCTTCGCCTTTGCCCTCGGAATGGTAAGTCGCGCGTCAGCTCAATTCCACGGTCGTCGTCGATCCCTCGTCCGGCAGCTGGACTCGCGATGGATAGCCATACACACGATTTACCGCGATGTGTCTGCGCTTGTTTTCAGCCGCCCAAGCTAACTTGGAGTCCATAGATCCTGACCACCTTTATCCTGCGAAGGTACAATTCAGAGCTCGTGACATCTGAAATGTTCAACACAGCCGGAAGAACAGTCAAGAGTGGTCTGGTTGGGTCCGCCGTCGTCTCATCCTGGACTTGGGCTGCGACCCTCCTGCAGTCCTCGGGTGTCTGCTACCGATACGGTGTCTCGGGCCCGTTCTGGTATGCGTCGGGTGCGACAGTGCAGATTCTCCTGTTCGCAACGCTGGCCATCGAATTGAAGAGACGTGCGCCGAACGCCCACACGTTCCTCGAGGTCATCAAGGCTCGATATGGGACAGTTGCACATGTGCGTGGCCGTCCAAGTCAAATTTTTTTTTTATTTCTTGGCGTACTTCATTACTGACGCCGACTCTTCGCGATAGATCGTCTTCATGGTTTTCGGCCTGGTCACCAACATTTTGGTCAGCTTAATGTTGATTGTCGGTGGTTCGGCCACAGTCAGTGCCTTGACTGGCATGAACACCGTCGCGGCCATTTACCTGCTTCCTGTGGGTGTAGTTGCGTACACGCTCGTTGGTGGCTTGAAGGCAACGATCTTGACCGACTGGTGAGCAACTTTAGAGTCCTTATACCCGTACTTGTCGTTTCCCCGGGGGGTAGATTATGTTACCCCCTTAGATATGACCTCGCTCTCATGAGCAAGGACAAGTAGCCGTTACTAATGCCGAGAGTTAATAGGATCCACACCTTTATCCTCCTGATCATCATTATTATCTTCTCTCTGACAGCCTACGCATCCTCTGAGATTCTGGGCTCTCCCTCGGCGGTTTACGACCGGCTCGTCCAAGCTGCTCTCGACCACCCGGTTGACGGAAATGCACATGGTTCGTACTTGACGATGCGTTCCAGTGAGGGTGCCATCTTCTTCGTCATCAACATTGTTGGTAACTTCGGCACTGTCTTCCTCGATAATGGTTACTACAACAAGGCCATTGCTGCGTCTCCAGTGCACGCCCTGCCAGGCTACATCATCGGTGGTCTGAGTTGGTTCGCCATCCCCTGGCTGACGGCCACAACCATGGGACTGTCTGCTCTTGCTTTGGAGAACACACCAGCTTTCCCGACCTATCCCGACCGCATGTCTGACGCCGACGTTTCAGCCGGCCTCGTGCTTCCCTACGCCGCCGTTGCGTTGCTCGGCCGCGGGGGCGCCATTGCCACTCTTCTGATTGTCTTCATGGCTGTGACATCTGCTACTTCCTCCGAGCTGATCGCCGTCTCGTCCATCTGCACTTACGACTTGTACCGCACCTACTTCAAGCCCGACGCCAGTGGAAAACGCCTAATTTACATGTCGCACGTCATTGTCTGTTGCTACGCTGTGTTCATCTCAAGCTTCTCGGTTGGTTTGTTCTACGCGGGCATTTCCATGGGCTATCTATACCTGATGATGGGCTGTATCATCTCGTCAGCGGTGATCCCAGCTACCTTAACCCTAGTCTGGAATGGCCAAAACAAATGGGCTGCGGCCATGTCGCCCATCTTGGGCCTGGCTTTCGCTCTCATCGCATGGCTTGTCACCGCCAAGAAGCAATGCGGCAACCTTGGTGTCGACTGCACGGGGAGCAACAACCCCATGCTGGCCGGGAACGTTGTCGCCCTCCTCTCGCCCCTGATTCTCATACCGATCTTCACTCTCATCTTCGGACTCGACCACTACGACTGGAAGTCCATGATGGCGATCCGCAAAGGCGACGACCACGACCTGGCCACGACAGCGGGTATGGACCTCGAGAACACGGTCGGCGGTCACGAAGAGACGGCCGCCGAGTTCGAAGCCGAGCAGAGCAAGTTGATGCGCGCTAGCAAGATCTCCAAGTGGACCACGCTCGTAATGACCATCTCGTTCCTGGTGCTGTGGCCGTTCCCTATGTACGGCAGCAGCTACGTGTTTTCGAAGCCGTTTTTCACCGGCTGGGTCACCGTGGGCATTATCTGGATATTCTGCTCGCTCGGAGCTGTGGGCATCTTCCCCGTCTTTGAAGGACGACAAACCCTCATTCGCACTAGCAAGGCCATCTTTAATGACGTCACGGGGAAGAAGCATCCCAAAATGATCCATGCCGAGAATGCGACCGCGATGGAAAACGAGAACGCTGCTAGTGGTACTGATACCCCTCCTAAGAAGGAGAACACTACGCAGTCTGTTCTAAAGGAGTAAACTGACCTAGGAGTCGAGGGATATGGTAAGAGACGGAGTGTGGTGGCTTTCATTGTCTTCCACAATACCCTCATTCATTAGTGCTGACGTGTGGTTTGGAAAAGATACCATTGATGAATTGCATGGGGGTTATGAGAAAAATAGGTTGAGTTAGGTAGAACTGTTACAAATGCAAGATAAAAAAGCCCAGTTGTCAGTTAAGCCATGCGCCGTCTCGGCCTTTCGTCCCAGTTGGGCAGGCAGCCCGTTCCCAATCATTTCCATTCGCAGTTCTTCCGGTGGGTTTATACGCCACTGTCCTCTAAAAAGGTTTGTGTAGAACCAAGCCGCAAACAGCATTCGATGTATACATCTCGCCCCACTCAGCTGTATGTTAGTACGTCGTCTATTCAAGTGGAATCTTGGGCGGCTCGTCGGTTGGTGGACGAGCTGGGGGCGGGGGATATGCACCTATCGGAGGAGCCCAGGAGCAACAAAAGGCCAGCCACCGGAGGGAATGTGGTGCATTGAATAGTAGTGATACCGGTAGATATTAGGACATATCAGCATCATAACATCAGCCTCCTTTCCATCTACGTATGGACGCATATTCACAAAATAAAAGACCACTGATACGGAATAACCTTCGGGTCCCAATTCCACTCCTGCGTCGTATTCGCCTCCCAGAAGAACTTCAAATACTGCGGAGACTCCTCCGGAATCCCACAAGTGGTCGTATAATCGGGCAGTTTCTCCTCCAAAAGCCTCGTGTAGTTAGCCAGCGAGCACGAGAACCCTGGACCCTCCTGACAGTCCGGAAACGGGACGACGGCCTCGTTGAGCACGAGCCGGACGTACGTGTCCTGCGGCGTGACGGCCGTGGAGTTGCAGGACAGACGCTCCATGACAAGGCGCCCGCCCATGGGCATGATGTCGCCGATTTCGTAGGGGTTGGGGAAGGGGATACGGTCCAGCGGGAGGTGGGAACTGGGGACGAAGAGGCCAAGGGCGGAGAGGATGGGGGTGATGTTCGTGTCGTGGGCACTGGAAGTGGTTAATGGAGTGCTACAAGACATACATGGAGAGGGGATTTGACGAGATTGGAGTAAGGGTTGGACGACTTACAAGTTCCAGAACATCTTTCCCGCCTTTTCCGGGCCCTGGTTCAGGAGGAGCAGGGTTGCGTTGGCGTACACTGCACCTACTGCTGCCATGTTCTTGTCGCCGGGTCTGATGCCCCAGTTAGCCATTGCTTTCAGAGGCATTCCCGAAGCTTCGAAAGGAATAAACGCACCCAGCGCAGTAGTAAAAGTCCAGGTTTTGCGTGTACCCGAACGCAGTCCACTCGTCCAGACTGAAGGCATCTATCCAATCCGAATGGCCGCGGACATTGAGCTCGTAGGCGACCATCTCTGAGGTCAATAGTCAGTTCCAGCATCTTGTAGTGAACGAGCCGCTTCGGTGTGGGAGGTCTTACTCATCAAATTGAACACATCCGTCGCGTTAATGTCAAGGCCCGGGTTCTGCGTCTTCAGTCGATCGACCGCCACGTCAAATTGCGGCATGTAACCCGGCAGGCTCTTGCACATCTCGTAGTCATCATCGTGAACGCAAGCCGGCGTCAGACTATTCGCCCCCATAGTTTCATCCTCGGAAAGCACATTCAAAGCCACCGAAGTGGTGTAATTCCAACCGAAGAAACCCTCTCCTTCAATCCCATATCAGCCCTCTTCACCATTCACCCAAACAAGTCTCGATCCCGAACGAGAATGAAAACTCACCAAACTTCCGCGCCGTCTGCACAATCCTCTCATAACTACTCGTAAACATCGGCACCATAACCCCGGGCTCCTGATCCCACAAATGACCATATCGGATTCGATACTCAACCCCATGCCCGTATGCTTCCAGTAGCCCCGCGTATGGCCCCGAGTACGACTCGAGCGCCCAGTAGCCTTCGTTGGGCATGAACGTCTCCCAGCGATTCAGGAACTCGAGGCTTCCTCCGAACGCACCTCCATTGGTCAGATTACTCGCGTAGACCTTCGCGAGCACGTCGTTGAAAACCGCGGCTACGGCAGGTTCCGGGTACCGCTCGCCGTGCCGCCGGAGCATGATAACCTGGTCAACGGCGCAGCCATCGGGGGGATCGCGGCCGATGCCATACGAGCGCCGATTGGAGTAAGGGCCTTGGCCACCTAGGTGCTTGAGGATGGAGTAGCCTTCGAGGAAGGACTGGTCAAAGGGTTTAGCGCCGGGATACCGGTCTATGTAGCTGGGTTTATTAGGGGTGAAGCCATCTGCTACTGTGGCGACAGCGGCGGCGATGGCCACGATGGAAGAGAGGGCCCTCATAGAACTGTGGAAACAGGCGGATTTACCAGTATCGTGCAAAGTATATTGTCGAAAGATAGACGTGGATCAGAAAGACATCTGATGGCCGTCTCTACGCTGGGCGTTCAGCTTTACTGTATTAAATAGCTCTGTATCATGCGGAACAGGCATCGACCAACGCTATTGCACATCTATCTATATCTTCTCACGACCATTGCCTGTTGCCGACAGGACTAATGCACCGAAAACAGGGATTGAAGCGGAGAAGAGTAAGTAAAATGCGACTTGACGGTGAACGTGAGGGGAATCGGTGACTGGATCGCGCGTGAAGCGGCGATTTTGAACTCTTGACATCTAGCATCTCCAACGGTCCCAAACCCAGAGGGATGGAGGACTGGAAAGTCTCCCTTCCATGGCAAGTCTCCCTTCCAGATACCAGGAACTCGGTGATAAGAGACAGCGTTGGACGAGGACATGAGCAGGAGCTCTTTGGCTGTGCCTTGTGCCTCAAATCACGGCCTCCAATTCGGGTACCTGACCACCGCAGATCTCCATGCTCCATTCTCCACAACACTACCCCGCACCATCTGCGAACTGCCTTCGGGTTAGAGCACAGAAAGGTCACGCGACAACTTTCCACTTACGGCGAAGGACATTTCAACCACTTCCTTGGGATTCCCTGGTCGATATAGCTCGTAGGCAGTTCATGCGTGCCCACAAGAAATGGGACAGAATGGAGTGATTCCTGCCGCTATTCCGGCTCAGTTCCTCCGACCGCCGTGTCAGTCATTCCGTCCAATTTGCTTCCTTCGCATCTGGTGGGGTGAAACCTGAACCAGGAAGGCTTGTTTCGCTGCTCTTCTTCGGACGGAAGAAGAGAGCCAGGATATCCTGTCGGCCAGAAGAAGGACCGTTCCCTAATTGGTCTCTCTGTCCAGCAAGGTTCTTTTGGGGTTCGCAGGTCTTCGCCTTTCATGCCAGCTAGTAGCTCAGATGGCCAGCCCTCTGCTTCATCTGCTACCAATCCTCCGAGAACTTGGTCCAATAATACAGCTCTTCCGGAGATACGTTCTTCCGCAGAGCCTTCATGATGGACTGTTCCATCATCGAACCCACGTGGGCTCTTTGGGCAGCGTCCTCCTCCCAGAGCCGGGCTATAATCTCGCGCTCCCGTCTGGCTAGTTCGTCGCGCTGTTGCTGAATCTCGTACAGCTGCGGTCCCACGGAGCTTTTGAGGGCCGTCTTGTTCATCGTCATGGTCTCGATACTCCAGTCTAGCAGCGCACGCAAATCCCCAAGCTGTGCCATGCGCTCCTTGTCCCCCAGCGTAATTGTCAGCATATGTGCTGCCGCAATGAGATCCACGACCTCTGGCGCCGGCGTCGGCACTCGGTGAACAGCAATGTTGCGTAAGAGGATAGTCTTGTTCAGGATGACGGGTAGCGGCAGTTCAGTGGGTTGAAATACTGCCCTGGGGACCTCTTCGGCATGGGCTATGAAGAAGTTGGCCCAGGCGTTCATTTCCCCTGCGCAAGCACAGTCCCAGCCATATTGTTGCAGAAAGGACGGCAGCCATGTCTGGGCAAAGTTGAAACAGCTTTCCTCCGCGATTCTCTGGGCCTCGGTGAGTACATAATGCTGAGCTTTGAAAGGCAGGTATGCGAATTGTAAACCGTGCAAGGAGGGATGCTCGAAAACAGGAGAGTCTGGGTTTCGAATCAACATGAACGCTCCGTGGAGAAGAGATCTGCAGACACTGACCAAGATCGGGCGATGATTCTTCACGGCGATCCGCCACTTCTTGACTGCTGCCTTCCGTGTCGTTGACTTCAGAGCCTTTGTTGGCCTCGATTTGAAGCAGCTGCTCACGTAACCAGCGCACTTCGTTGAGCAGCACCTCCTTTTTCGACACGAGCTTCTCCGTTGGTGTCCCCGAAGGTGCCTGCACTTCCGTAGATTGACCACTTTCGCCCTTGGTGTCGGATTGAGTATGATTCTCTGCTTGCTTGGCAACCAAACTATGGGTCTCACGATCCACAGCAGATTGAGACTGCTTTAGGCGCCACTCGGCACGCAGACGACGCAGCTCCTCCTTTAGCTCTCTCTTCTTCATCTTCATGGACACGTTAGGCCCGTGAGGGATCGGGAGATGCGTGGTGTGGGCGAGCTTGCGAATGCCCATGGGAGTCCACGTAGGTACCAAAGACTGGGTTATTGTGGTGTTGAGCATACCATTTGCGGCCTTGAAAATGGGACAGACGCCGTGGACGCGCTGTCTCGCCGGTTGCGAAGCCGTAAAAAGCGCAGGCCATCCTCTGTGGATGAAGCTGGACATTGGGCTCGCCCTCGCAGCAACAGGGTGTCGCCATATGGATGGCCTGCTCGTGTTCATGGACGAGACCACGTGGTGGAACATCACGTCAGTCCAATTGGCACGCTTGAGTCGAATGAGATGTGCAGCTATCTACTTCAAGGTTTCCGCTGTACAAGCGGCAGAACGAGTGCACGGGCGCTGGGGCATTTGCTTCAATTGGCTTGGCAGCGACCCTGTTCAGCAAACCTTAAAAAGTCAAGAGTTCCCGGCCGAGAATCCTTCAACCTGGTTGACGTTAGGCAGGTGTTCAACGTCAACTATTTCGTCCCTCCCGTCATACATGCCTATTTCAATCCAAGCTAGAGAGCGGGAAAAGTCAACGATCAACATCATGGCTTATCTACTTGACTCGTGCCAGTGCGACTGACAGATGTGGCCACGCGAGTCGAACGATTTTCTTGTAAAGACTCGTAGAGATCTACTGCAGCGGCGCCCTACGTACAGCAGACAAAGCAAATCCCGTCTACGATTTGACATCAAATACAAATCGGTCTCTATACTTGATTTGCTGAGTAACTTGTGCGTATTTGCCAAGACTACCTGAAGCCGGAAATCTCTCTCCAGGCCAATCAGTTGCAGCGCACCAGAATTGCTAACGCACTTCAAATCCATGAACACCTTCGAATCGCAACACATCCACCAACCATCCAGCTCTTGGATCGGGCGAAGCGCATCGGAGTTTGTAGGCCGTCTAGCTGTCGCTTCGTGTTAAATGCAATGAAAAAGGCATCATATCGTACCAGATCCATCGAGATCTCCACCCTTCAAGCCTGTAGCAGCCGAGGCAAAAAGTGCGCTTTGAAGCGAATCTGGCTGCATCCGAAAAGCCAAGGCACAAGTTATCGCGATGTAGCCTTGTTCTGAAGCATGTGTTATTGTGCGATTCAGCCGCTTTGAAGACCCCCCTGTGCGTTGGTGGTATTGATGTAACGCACCAGACCGGCCCCTTGGCAAAATGTGCGTTTTCAGCGATGCGGCCGCCTTGAAGGCCCATTCTGGAACTGCAGGCTAGCCGTGTTCGAAGAGTCAATGCGCAGTTGCGGTTGGGCAGCTGACCATCAGCGGGTATCAGTCGCCTTAACTTCGCATGCCGCAATGCCGTATGTGAAGCCATTTGCACTTCTATTGGTATTTTTGGAATTCTTGAATCGAGGGCTATCGAACGGTGCAGTCCTCTAAGCGGATCAAGTCTCCTACGTAGAATTATAGCAAGTTGAAGGCTACGTAGCCTTTGGTGTGCAGCTTCTCGACTGCGGTCGACGCCCCACTTGCAATTGTTTGATACCCTGGAATAATACTGATCAGGGACAGCCTCATCTTGTCCCCTTCCCCTACGACAGTTTGGCTACACTTAGCAGTACTCAATCCAGAAGGTTACGGTGATGCCGATAGACCTCTTGCCCGCTAGAACACCCCGTGTTTGACGGACTTTGGAATTCAACCAAATCAAACACCTCGGTCTATGCCATCTGTATTGGCGAATATATGTAGGAGAGGATGCATGTTTGTTTTGCTTCACGTCGGGCGCTGCTCTTCTAGCACTTCGTTCACTACTCTACCTTCGTTCACTACTCTACTATCTTCAAAGTCTACGGGACCCAATGACCTGGTTACTATTAAGAACAAGGCTACTCCCCCGACATCAAAGCGATGAGCATCCTAAACCTTGTTAACATTACCTTCCCGCTGAGATTCTAAATTTACACTGCTCGTTGGCACGCTCCACGGGTAGAAAGCACCTCCGACCTTGTAGGTATATGTGGTGATAGATAACAGGCAGGGATTGCAAAAAGCACTGGCTGTGGGAAATTCGGACAACACAGCTCTATTGGTGATGATGCTGATGATGGCACTAAATCCCAGCTACGGTAGGGCTATCTATGGGCAGTTGGCCCAAGTGCTGCACCCAGCACCCAGCCGGTGTGCCTGGGGCACGTAGCACTCACTAGCTTTTCAGGTGAACAGAACATAGTCAGATAGATTTCGTATCGTCCTTTATTAAACGACAATGCAGCTCTCCAAACAGATGAAGATCTAATAAACGAGATAAGGCGCCCAAACCGGTATGTACGCAAACGAGTAATATACACCTCATCGGTTGGCATGTCAATCTTAATCCATGGTCAAATCGATTCTGCTCATGCGGAGAATAGCTACGTTTTTGTGAGACTGGGCTGATAGATAGCAAATGCATTGTTGCCTGACTCATTTGGATCATCAGGTCATACTGAGAATTTCTTGAAGACCTGGACTCTTATTCTTACTAACCACCGTGGCGGATATTTGAGTAGAGCCGCAACAAGGTAGGTCCTAGGAATATTTCTAGAACACGATGCGATGATTTTCCCGCAGTCGTCTGAACTGAAGAAGTCAAGTCGGCGACTAGAGGCTTGGAGGAGAGACGTTGCAGTCGTCCAACCGTCTGATGTTCCCCACGACTATCCGAAGAAGCGGGAGCTTGCTGGATCAGGGCAAGGCATTCGGTTTAGCGAACAGCGTTCGGGTTAGTCTAAGGTTTTGCGATAGACTCCTTGCAGGGATAATGACTCGGGCTTCCTCCGAAATGGCCTTCTGGATTCAGGGTCTCACTATCGCACCGGCCGCCGTAAGGCTGCCGTGCCAGTAGCACACGCGTGTGTCTATTGGTCCGTTTGCTCGGTATCGTAACGAGTTGGCCAGTGTACCGCAGCTAGACTGGATAAAATGCTACCTCAATCAGCCCAAACTGCCAGCCATGTATCTTCTCGGCCGTGTCAGGACGGAACTGATACAGGCTAACAGAATGGTCACATAGGGTCGGAATAGCCTCAACCAGGTTAGAACAGCAGTGTAGGAGGTCGAGTGAGTAAGAAGATAAGTCGAGACGCAACTATGTGCGACTCATTGAATAATTCAAAAGGGGTCCATCGGAGATTGGCTCAGAGGCTGTGAAAAGCCAGACCCATACGCATATCATTATGCGCCATGGTTCTTCCATGCACAACTCGCAGAAACTTGTCTCTTCCCTATCTGATGAACTCGGGAGAGGAAAACAATTCCATAAATGTCCGCGAGTCAAGTCTAATTTTAGTACTGCATAGCCGTACACGAAGCCATGACGAACGGCCCAATCCACCACATGGGGCTCTAAACCCGTGAAACCTGGGGTTTGATTCAGGGGCCAAGGGGTCTCGTAGATGAGATAGACCGTTTGGAGGCATCTCCATTGACCCAGGAACGCAGTGTCCCACCGTGATCCAGGCCTATCGTGGATCACAGACATGCTCCACAAAATGTGTCGTCTTGCATGACAGGCCGTCTCAAACCAGCTAGCCTCGACGATCCACCGGGGACCCACCGTTACGGGAATCTGGAAACCCCCTGGTGAGTGTGAATCACTTGAGGCTGAGCGTCGAGGCATGGATGTTTGCCGCATGGTTATACCCACATGGACAGGTGAGGTTTGCCATTGTTATACATAAGAAACCGGGTTCGTCCCTACCCAGACACTATTCTTTCTCTATCACTCCAACGCTCACTCTGCTCGATTTCTTGTTGACACTCGCTATCCTTCAAGAAATCCAATAATCGCTATATACACTCACTCGTTCATCGTCGATTCACCGAGCGTATAATTATCTAATACCACTGTCCTCAACCACTGCCAACGAACTCAAAGCGAGTATTATCCATCACTCTCACTCTCAAACAACTCCCAAAATCTGTGGTCCTTCCAAATCTCAAAATGAAATACACCACATCCCCCACCACGGCTCTTATCGCCTACCTCACCCTCGCCCTCCACCTCCAAACCTCCACGGCCTTGCCCCTTGAGACCAACCAACGCTCTCCCATATGCGGCGCTGCCCCCACCGCACCAACAGGGACCCGCGTCCCGCTCACTACCCCGTCCGCGACTACCGCCGCCGACTGCTCAGACTTATGTCTCCTCAACCCCTCCTGCCGCAGCTTCGCCTTCGGCCTGCCCCCCGATGCCGCCAATCCCATTTGCGAACTCTACGGCGTCTTTGGTGCCGACGTCCCCTGGCAGGCGGCCAACTTGGTCGTGTATGATCGCGTTTGCGAGGAGATTCCGTCCACGGAGCCTACGCCGGCCAACCCGCATGGCCTGACGCTGTTCAGTGGAGACGAGCTGGATGGGTACCCTGGGCCGGAAGGGCAGGGTGATGACAGTGTAGCTAGTGAGCTGCGCAGACGGGAGCGTGGTGAGGCTAGTGAGACGGAGTATCCGAGGCAGTGAAGAGACTGATCGGGCACTCGTTTCGAGATTGGCATGAGGAGGAGACAAGATTTGTATTCCCATGAGATATTATCATGATTAATTTGCATGCATGAGCGGCACGGCGTTTTGTTTTGGGATATCCCGTGGTCAAAAGCATTAGGATCGGGGAGTTTGTGGATATGAGGGATGGACAATGCACAACGGAGGACTATACTACATTGCACTACCAACTATGTCAGTGATAGTATTATATACCCATAAATTCAAAAAGCAACATTGCTACTACAATCAACAGGACTAAGTCGTTCATGATCATAAGTGTACCCCGAGCAAAGGCCCCTAGACGGCTACTTCGTATCTCCAACAAACCCAAACCAGACGGAATTGCTGAATCGCCGGAATCCCACCCCTTGCCAAAACATCCTCGGCACGCTCGCTTGTTCTTGTAAATACCCCCCAATCTCCTCCTCCGACCTGCCTTTCGCTCTCATAACCTCGCAAGTTCGACCGCTCTTCACGATCACCTCCGGCCGCGCGAGCATGACAAACCCCTCCGGTGCGCATCTGCAACGAATCTGCTCCAGCAAAGTCTGCACAATAGCCCGGCCCACGCCCCTGCGTTGCACGGATTTGTCAATAGCGATCAGCTCCACCACAGCAATATCGGCGTCTTCCAGCTCATCCAGAGAAATAACTTCTTTTTTACTCTGCTGAAGGCCTTGTTCCAGCTTGAAATCTTTGCGCCGCTTACCCCGGTCATCAAGCAAGTCCTCCGCCATGAGGCTCAGCTCGGGGTATTTGTACCCTGACGAGTCAATGGATGCGAGGTGATCATCGAGAGATTTGGTGAAGAACTGCCGCCGGAGGAGGGTGCCGTGGCAATGGCCACAGAAGACGCTGTCGTTGGTGTAGATCTCGACTTGGACCGATTCTATCCAGTTATGTCCGGCGAAAGGATCGGCGTGGCATGGTTCTGTATAGGTGACGGTGGAGGCGTCCGAGCGGAGGTAGAAATGGATCTCGAAGTGGGTTCCGTCTTTACACGTGTAGGACACTACGGTTTTGCTTAGTAGGGTGGGGTGTGATTGGGCCATGATTCTAGATGTTGCTTGGCGTGATTAAAATATATCTGGTATTTCTTGTGGGTATCCGATGAGCATGCGGAGGTCATTGGGTCTTTATCATGATGCAATAAGTAGCTTTGCTGGCAAGATATGGCCCGGCAACATGTTTATAGGAATGCCAGGTCAACCACCCCTAGACTTTTGACCAAGTCGTTATATTTATACTCCAATTCACCTTTATTGCAGTCTTACAGTTGAACATATATTCTTTGAGTTTGATGTCATTCAGTTTCCCCTTTGGGCCTGTTTGCACGTAGTCATCTGTGACTGTATTCCCTGCACCCTACTTAGTGCAGCATCCGACTGCTAGTTCGGAATCTGATCTTTATGCTTTTCCATTTCACTGAAGTATATCAATGCTGCATTTTCAGTTGCTGTGTGGCCTATACTTGAAGTTTTGTTCTTGGAAGTTGAAACTAGTAGTCTGGAGATTGTAACAATATTTGTAGTTATCGCTAATAGAGCAAAGCACTGAATATATTAGCCCTCCCAGGCTTTTTACTTGACGAAAATTTCGTTAAAGTGAGATGGTTTTCAGGAATCTGCTAGAAAACCTGATATATTTCTTGCCAGGTCCCAAGACATATCTTCAGTGGCACAGCGCAATTACCTGTACTTCGCACCTCTGAAATGGGAACTGGTTTTGCGTCCCAAGACAAGTTATAAGGCTTACAAGCCGGATAGCTTTCTATAATCCACCACGCGGAGTTTCTGTCTGCAGATAGATACCACGCATTCTCGTCGTTTAAGTACCTTTTATGGTGGAATCTACATTTGCTTCCGGCTTGAGCCAGTAGCTCATTTGTACCATTATTCTCTTTGTACGCAATATATGTGCCACCACCAGAACCAAGACCGATTGAAAGCCGCTCATCTGGGAATCGGACCTGACTTACGAGGAAAGACGCGTTTGCAGCAACTACCGAATCATTATCCCATGACAAAGCAGGGGTGCCAACCGTCTGGATGTGATGATGTCCCTGATCTTGACGAGACTTTCGAATTGATCGATTGCATCCGCACCACATTCATGTTATCAACCAATCGAGTCCCTGCTGCAGCCGTCAAGCTTCAGCTGCGCTATACGTAGATCACATCTCACCCAAGCCTTGGCATATGCTTATTTACACAAACCAATACGGCAAAGGAATATGTGCATATCATCCCAGTGGATTATTTGGAACTTGACAGGGATACGCTGGAACATAGAAAAGTACTCACTATGAGTCATCATAAACCCACATAGCCGCTCCATTTATACGGAAAGGCTTCTTGGAGCGATAAAAGTAGTAATAAGATGGTATGATCTTATTTGATAGCTGGTGGTCCAGACCCAAGCAAACCAGCCCAACTGTCAATCTAGAGCCGCGCCTTCAATCTTCGAAGTGATGGTGGTTCAGCGGTACGATGGACGATGGTTGAAGCTACCAAGGCATGACAGATTGTCATATTTGATAAAGCCATGCCGGCGCGGTTCCCCACGTTGAGCTCTGCTCCCGCTTGTTTTCACCTATCAAGAGGCCTGCAGCCTAATCTTCGTTTCTTGACAAGAACCCGATGGATCTGTTCCAGTACAAATACCAAATATCTCTGCCGCAACACGGCAGGATACCAAACCCTCATGACCAATTTTGAGGATCTCATCAGTCAGCATCGTATAACTTGAACAACATCAAGTTCATATAATCATAAAACTTTGTGCAACATTGGCAAGGATACACGGGCAGTCTAAGCTCGCCTCCCAGGATATACCAACCGCAACCTTAGATGGCGCCCCCCATCACCGTAACAAGAGATGATGAAACCGCAACCGATCCATTCCGCCAGCCCACAACAACTATAGCCCGATCTGATATTATCCCCACCACCGTAGCAACAACAACCTAGACCGACTTATCCAACGACAACGGCGGCTCCAACACCGGTGTACACTCACCCCATGTCTTACGATGGACACGGCGCGCACCTGAGTCCGTGGTGCTCGCAGATTTTCGGCTGCTTCAACCCCGTCGAACAATGTGAAAGGTCTTTCTTATCGAAATAGTCACGGGCACTTCGGTTTCCTGATATGTAAAAACCATGCATTATAGGCTTCAAAGCTTGTTTCGGCCCCTGCATAGTCTTCGGCAAGACCCGCGCTCGCTTACGGGACCCGAGTCTCGCGACTTACAACGCTATCAAGTCTAATGTAAGCTCTGCTGTTCAACGTTCAACATTTCGACGCTTGACGCGCCAAACGTAGGCTAAGAAATATCGAAGAGTGCACTTTACGAACTATCGTAAGTCTCCGCGGCCTGAGCAGCACGTAAGCTCCCATACCTTCCACCATCCCTCCATTGAACCGTAACCTCCATGTTCTGACACCTCTAAGACCCCTGATATGCAAATGCTATGCCATGCATGCAACGCGAAAGCCTAAATGCTAATCCGCACCACCAGCTGCCAAAATGGATCGGCCCGAAGGATATCCGCACCGTTTACGTCCTCAAGGGTCACGGCGCCGAGGATGCCTTGTAGACAACTTGCTGCCCCAGTGTGTGTCCTCGTGAAGGAGAGAGGGAAGTGCCAAGACGAATGATTGGAGGCGGCCAACCGGCAGTGTAGCAATCAATATATCATGTGGTGATCATGGAAGGCGACCTGTGCATCTTTGGATATGATTTGGCCTCTCGTAGGTCGGCACGATATGACTAGGAGTAAGTATGGAGTTCCTTGGTTTTTTATCGGGGTTTCACATGTTTGTGTTATTGTTGTGATACCTTGAATAATGATGCTTGGATTTAATTCACACTTACTAGATCAGACGGTCCTAAGGGGCAGCACCCATGTGTAAATTAACCGTTGACCCCATCGTTGAATTATGTCAGCTCATGCACATTCCGTCGAAATGCCTGTGACATATTTTTGTGCCGGCAAAACTTGATATCCCTCCTCGTGTTTCTAGCATGTGTTCATACTTACATACATAAATCGCCATCGAGCTATCGTCGATCTGCTAACGTACCCCACGGTCCAATTGAACACTTCTTAAGACCTCGTACAATAAGATATAAGTTAATTCAACTATAACGTAAAAAAATAATTAAAACTACTCGGAATTATCTTCTTCGGATATCTCTTTACTATTCTGACAAGTACGCATATTATGACCGGGCTCTCCGCACGTCCTACAGCGTTGCTGAAGTATCTCTGGCCTCCTCGTACGACTACGACTCCAGCGCGATTTATTATCTAACTCTCCGTTAGCTAGCTTCTGAGACTGTAAATCTTCTCCAGCTTGTATAAGAAGTGATCCTCCATACTGTAAACGTTTTTTTCTCGTATAACGCCGCCGGCTAAGTGTCTCATTTGCCTTTCGAAGCGCGGCGTTCTCACCCTCTAAAAGAGCAAGCCGGTGCATAACCTGCGTCGTACCCTTCGCAAACTGGTCAAGTGTAGTAAGTGTAGCTGTCGGGGAGCTATTTTGATGTCGTATAACTCGGTTTTTCACGTATTCGGTCTGGGATTGTGCCTCAATTGGGTTATTTGGGGTCTTCGACTCCCAGATAATAGGAAGGCCAGACGAGGTACCCGGAGGTGTTGGAGTATGTAACTTCACATCTAACTGCGAAATCACATATTCCGGATCGTACGGTACGAGTCCTGCCCCTCGGAAACCTCCCTGGATATTTGATATCGTAAAAGTTGCCTGGAACGCTTTTAAGAACGCGGAGAGGAAGTCCTCCTTCGAGATATGGGTAATATGTGCCCGCATAAGATCCTCAATTTCTTTACCGTACGCTCTTTTCAGTGCACGAAAACAGCCGATATCGAGAGGTTGGAGCTTATGCGACGAATGAGCAGGCATACAGAGTGTGATAATAGAGTTCTCTTTACAGTAGAGCTCGAAAGCGGTCGAGTGGTGGCTCTCGTGGCCGTCGAGAATTAAGAGGCGATAAACACCTTTCGTACGAAGCTTTGTATGTTGATCGAAATGTCGAATCCAGTCCTCGCCTCTTTCATTTGTAGTCCAGCCATTTTTCGTAACTGCGATAACCCAATCCTTTGGTAGTAGGCTATTTTCGTACCACGAAGATAGGTGAGTTTTACCAGCAAAGATGATATACGGAGGGATAGTATAGCCGTCCGATCCGACGCCCTGGATAACTGTAACCCATTCCCTATTCCCTTGCTGTACTGCTCTAGGTCTTCCACGTCGATCAGAGGTCGTTACAACTATCTCGGATGAGATTTGACCCATAAGAAACCCAGTCTCGTCAAAATTATAGATATCCTCCTCTTGAATTCCATACTTATTAATTGTATTCCGTACAAGATAAAACCACGCGCGGTACGCATCGGGATCTTCGCAGAGGACTCTCTGGTAGTCGATTCTTCGATTAAAACGCGTCCGGAGGTCTGGTTGTCGTCGTACGAAGCTCGAAGCCCAGTTAATACCGACGCGTCCTGCGTCGCGTTGGTGGAGTAGTCGATTCGCCATATCTTCAACACCACTTATTCGAGGAGGAAATGATCGTGAATCTAGGTCGACTATGTAGCGTACGATCGCGTATTCTTCGGAATAGGTAAGCTTTTGCGTTGGTGATCGTATATCCTGTCGTGAAGTACCGCCGCGATATCGGTGACGTAAGGTTGTATGAGGGATATTATAGATCCGTGCTACGGATCGTACGCTTAGTTTGGGGTTATTTTGAAGCGCTTGAAGCGCTAATTGAATATCGCTTTCTTCCCAATTACGTGCCATTGTAGAAGGTGGAAAATAAGGGATAAAACCTAGGTTGTACGGAAATGCGCGAAAGTGTTCAATTGGACCGTGGGGTACGTTAAACGCCAGGATTGTAGACCTGCCCCCCTCATGACTAGAGCTTCATCTTCTGCAGCTCTTCGTGACGTCACCAACGTAGTCGCAAGACGTGACCCCCAAAGCCTCACTATTTCCCTCACGAAACCCGTGCAACATTTCCAGGTTTGATAGTAAAGCCGCCGTATTTCGTTCCCGCGACTGTCCCTTCTTCAAAGAGATAGTTCCGTCAATCAATCCCCCAAGATGCCGATCAAGTACGGCGACTCCACCATCCCGACCTGCTACGCCACCTGCAGCATCGGCTTCAAAGACTCGCACACCCTCCCCCTAAAACTCAAAGCCATCGCGGACGCCGGCTTCGACGCCATCGAGCTCTCCATGCCGGAAGTCCTCTCCTACGGTCAAATGCTGCACGGCGTCAAGCCCGACCCCGCAGACTACGACACCCTTGTCTCTATCGGGCGCGAAATCAAGAGCCTAACCGCGCAGCACAACCTGCAAATCCTTATGCTGCAGCCCTTTGCCAAATTCGAGGGCTGGCCCAAGGGCAGCAAGGAGCGCGAAGACGCCTTCGCCCGCGCGCGGGGCTGGATCCGCATCATGGAAGCCGTCGGCACCAACATGCTGCAAGTGGGGTCCTCGGACGCCGACGATATCTCGTCGTCCTTCGACGAGCTGGCCGCCGACCTGGCAGAGCTAGCGGACCTGTGCGCGGAGAAGGGATTCCTGATCGCGTACGAGAACTGGTGCTGGGCGACGCGCGCGCCGAGGTGGAAGGACGTGTGGCAAATCGTGCAGAAGGCGAACCGGCCGAACCTGGGCATGTGCTTGGATACCTTTCAGAGCGCGGGAGGGGAGTGGGGCGACCCGACCACGAAGTCGGGCGTTGTCGAGGGCATTTCGCGCGGGGAGCTGGAGAGCAGGTGGGGTGAGAGCTTGGCGGAGCTGTCGGTCACGGTGCCGGCGGACAGGATTTACTTGTTGCAGATCTCGGATGCGTACAAAATGGACACGCCGATAGAAGCCAAGACCAACGAGGATGGGTTGCGCCCGCGCGGGCAGTGGAGTCACCGTTATCGCCCCTTGCCGTACGATGGCGGGTATCTCCCGGTGAAGGAATTCCTCACAGCTGTGATGGACACTGGGTTTAATGGATGGTTTTCCGTAGAGGTGTTTGATCCAGGAGGACAGAAGAAGTCTGTCGACATGGGTGATTACAGTAAGAAAGCCATGGACTCGCTGGGGAAGCTGTTGCAGTCGTGATGGCATGTTGAAAAGTGGGGGTTTGGCAGGATTAAGCGAGCATAGCAATTCGGATGAGCTGCGTTACAAATTACCTTGTAGTGAATATTCATCAGACTGTTTGCAAGGAGATAATTGTTCTCACCGTACATGCCCGCGATAAGATCTAATGGCCTACTAGAGATGGAATCTGGTGGCAGGTGAATCCTAGCTGCCGGATATAACGTCATCCATTTGGAGAAACAACTCTAAGCCACGCGACGTCAACACATCCGACTTGGCAGGCAACTCTAAGACATGATAAACAAGGGAATCGCTTCTCACAAGTTTCTTAGGTCTTTGGAAGACAATAACTGCTTATAGTCAAACTGATCAACATAGGTCCAGACCGGCAGTTCAAACCAGCCCCTGTGAAGCTCTTCCAAACCCCAATACGTCATAGCTCAAGAGCTTAAAATATGAGGCAACAACAATCCAATGTCTCCCAGTTGAAAGACTTCTTGGGATACCTTGCGACAGTGAAAGACGATCTTTCAAATGTTGTATGTTGATATTCAAGCACCAGTTGACGCGTGGCGACTGATTTCATGACAGACGGCCCCACCGTTCGTACTGTCGCCCAAATCAGTCACTGTGAGCTGCCTCCATCTCCCATAACACACATCAACTTTTGGTGTTCTCCGAAAACCCGATGGCTCACGCATACTTACGTAGGAAATACCAGCTTCGTGGGCAGAAAGGCACAAACTCTTCCTACAGCCGTCTTGTGAGGAGGACCCGGCGCAGCGAGCCTTTCTGGTCCTGAAGAACTTCCTATGCAGCCTCAAGCGTCAAGTCTACCCAGAAGCCACCGCAGACTCCGACGGCGGCGCCAAGAAGCCTCTCAATGCCTTTCTGGGCGAATTGTTTCTCGGCACTTTCGAAGAACCCGAGACAGGCAGCAAGACGCAGCTGATCAGCGAGCAGGTCTCCCATCACCCTCCAGTAACCGCATGCGTCCTGTACAACAAGCAGCATCGCATGTCATCTTCGGGGTATGTGGCCCAGGAAACCACGTTCAGTCCTACCAGTGGCGTGACCATCAAACAGATTGGCCATGCGATCATACGCGATGGAGTGCACGGAGAAAGCCACCTGATGACGCTGCCGACCATGAGCATCAAGGGGTTGATAAAGGGCCAACCGTATCCTGAGTTGGAAGGGACGTGTTATATTTCGTCAAGTTCGGGCTTTCTTGCCACAATTGACTTTGAGTGCAAGCGAACCATGGGGTTTGGAAGTAAGAGGAATAGCGTGCGCGCTGAGTTAAGCAACTTAAGGGGAGACAAGGAGAAACTGTACAAGATCGATGGTCAGTGGAATGATAGCTTAAAAGTGGTGGATTGCGCGACGGGTCAAGTGGCCGAGGAGTTCCATGTGGATGGCATTCCACTGACCGAGCTTAGCATTAAGCCAGTAGAACAACAGGATACGTGGGAGTCCAGGAGGGCTTGGGGAAAGGTGGCCGACGCCATTCTTGCTAGCAATCTACAAAGGGTTAATGATGAAAAAAAAGTCATTGAAGAAGGCCAAAGGGCAATGAGAGAAGCTGAAGCCGAAGGTGGAATCGAGTGGCCGAGACTTTTCTTCAGGAACACGGATCGGGACCAAGAGTTTGAGGTTTTGTCGAGAGGTATTCCGGTGTCAGAGTCCCAATCTCTAGAACAAGACCGAACAGCGGGGGTGTGGAAGTTCATCGGCGTGTCTGAAGCGGAGGCTCTGCTAGAAGGCGGCATTTACCACAAGGAGCTAGAACCCACCGGGCAGGTTCCCGGGAAATAGGGAGTGTAAGATAGCAAATACTCACAGCACGGAAGTCGTGATCGTGTGAAATGGAACTTGGTCACTGTTCCCACATCCTGCAGTGAACCCGTTAAATGGAAGCTTGCGTTGCGACATGCTCTACTCGTCAGACCCTCTGGGCTCCTTGAGCAATGACGCTGGGCTTTAGATCGTCGAGCACGCAATTCCGTATTCATAAAACATGATACAAGTGTGTCGTGGCACCTGTTTACGGCACATTTAGAGAATGAAGTGTTCAACATTCTTCATCGATTCTCTCACGTCCACACGCTTCCCGGTCTGTGACTGGACAGCTAGCGTACCGACCAGGAACCTGTGCGCACGTTCAAAGTTCGCTCCATACTTGCCGATAGCCGCAAATCGATTGAGAATCCAATCACGATGCAGCAGGTCGTCTGTCTCAAGCGCTACAATAAACAGCGGCCAGGTGATCCTCGTCATGGCTTCTTCGCCGTCATGTTTGAACGACTGGAAAGCCAAGTTCATGACTTCGCGTAGGGCATGTCGCTGTCGGTTCCCAAGGGACTGGCCAAAGGCAGTTAGGCGAAAGAAGTCGAGAGTGATAGCATAGTACACAGGGACAATGTTTCGAATATTTGCAACAAGTCGATGGCTGTTATCGGTCCCGAGTGACAATTCACTGGCCACCTCCATCAGCTCGGTGAAGGTATCTCCGGTCTGCTGGATCGCACGGTCGACGCTGGGTACCCGCTGGGCTCCTGCTGCTGGGTCTTAATGATATAGCGTCGCGAGTTGGGCGATCATAAACTGCAGCTGGCCACACTGCCCAAGTAGTGCGAATACATTCCTGTTCTCGACATCGTCTAAGAGTTCCGACTGTGGGTAGCCATCACCCCACGAATACCGGTGCAATTTTGTGAACGCCTCAACTGGCGTCGACGAGGGGTAACCCTGATCCACCGCATTTTCGTTCAACACTTTGAAAAAGTTGGCGTTGAACTGGCCTCCCATCCCTGACGATGCAGCTGCGGCGTCTTGGAGTGAGATCCAGACTAAACATCCTAGCTGAGTACAGGGACAGCTTCCGACCTAGTGTAACCCCCGAACCCCCCTGGCATTGCTTCGCGAGAATGGATGTATTCCCAGAAGCTGGTCCTGGCGGTGGAAGCGGCAGGAGACTCCTACCTTGGTGCTGCAGTAGCAGAGCAGCGCCGGTGAGATGCTTTGAGGAGCCTTGGCCGCTCGCATCGCCGAACTGCTGTTCGTACAGCAGCATCAGCCAGAGGGCTGTGAAAATAGTGTCCAAGTCTTGTGACTGGTCGTCCTGAACAATGGCATCTGCCATCAGCCTCAGTGCCGATGAATAGTGCCGTAGAGGCGTTTGTCTGGATTTGCCGACTTGATTGGGGCGTCGAAGCTCCATTTCTCGATAGCCCAGGGATAGAACGAGGTGCATCACCATGGCATCCGCTTCTGCAATGCGGAACATGATGGAAATCAGCGAGTATTTGGGGTTCTTGGTGTGGTGAAACTTGGCGAAGGCCGTCCTGAAGAAACGTATTGCCTCATGGTCATGTTCGGTCAGTATCAAAGAACAGGCCCCTATTGCTGGTCCGGGAAGGCTCAAAGTGAAAACTGGGTTCTGGTGTCTCAAGATGAGTGACCCGATCGAATTGCCGCCGACAGAATGCGAGATATCTGACACCCGGGCTGCGTTCTCAGCAGCCCTCCGTCGCTCTTGTCGCCGCCTCTCGGAGAGCTTGGGACGAGGCGCGTAGTTGCAAGACAGCTTCATGCGCTCACATCTTCCGCCTTGTAAGAGATGAGTTTGTTATTCGACGCAGTGGGGCCTGTGCGAAAATGACACGTACATGTAGGCCGCTTCTCATCACATCTCTTCTTTGCCTTTCGGTCGCGACAGGTCCAGCAACCATCGCGCGACCTCGATGCACTTCGTCCCCGCTCATCGTGGGACACGCCCACCTCGTCAGAAAAACGCGACGATGGGGCATGGCTAGTCATTGCGAACGTGGATCCATTCTGTCATCTTCTGATTATGGTTGCCGTGGGGCCATCGGCTATATAAGATGTAATGCGTAACTGGGAGAGTTCAGCTTCTTTCAGCTCAGTTTAGCTCAGCTGTTGATAAAAGAGCCGACGGTCGGCAATTTTGAAAAGGCGCTGCGGGGCAACTCACGATGCTGGGGTTTCCCCAACTACCACACGCACGCACAGTTCCAAAACTCTCATGAAGCTGCATCTTAGACACACAGCTCCATTGGTGTGCTTCGTCAGTATGGAAAGAGAGGGGGGGAAATGCTGGACAGCGGGCTGGCCGTAACCCTCTTCCGCTTTCCAAATAGAGTGCAGGATGAAATGAGGACGACTGTAGCAAAACCCATTGGGTAACAAATCACTACGTAGCCAACCAAACATGGACCTCATCAATACGGTCGACCGTCTCATCGAGTCTAGTTTTTTTTTTTTGGAGAATATCAAAACAAGCATTTTGTATTTAAGGTACTCCAGCCCGCCCTCATTCCATAATGACGAACCCCCGGCGAACATGATTGAGCCGCGCGAACCCATCAACCCTACCACTGAATCACTGCGAAGATTCTGAAGAGAAACATTCACATGGGCACCCAGCACCGTGCTCCCACCAGCGAACCCCCATCCAACGCCAGCCCAGGCACCCAAGCAATGAGTGCGATGGCAGGACCGAGCAGTGCCTCCGTTCAAGAAGAGTCTGGGTCGTCGACAAGAACGTTCGACATCGATTTCGAGCAACTTCGCAAGGTGGTCATTTCGGAAATCGACAATGAGCGACCGAGGTTGAAATATATCAACGAAATGATCCATCAGCATCCCGAAACGGCCTACGATGAAGTCTTTGCTCACGATTTGATTACACGCGAAATGGAGCTGGTCGGATTCGCAGTGAAACAAAAGACTTACGATTTGAGGACCAGTTTCGAAGTCGAGTCTGGCACTAAGGGGAGACTCGTCATCTTCTGTGCCGAGTATGATGGTAAGTCGTGATGACGAGTTCAGGGTCTTCGTCCATGGTCACGTCTTTGTGCATCCGCAAGGAATTGAGCTCTATTTACGTTCCGCTGTTTGATCCCGTGTTGACATGAAGTGTCAGCTCTGCCCGAAATAGGACACGGCTGTGGACATAATCTTATTGCGACGGCCTCCATAGCGGCTTTCCTGGGCGCGGCCGGGGCTCTGGAACGGAGCGGTGCTGACGGACGCGTACGACTCCTGGGCACACCGGCCGAAGAGGGCGGAGGTGGCAAGGTCAAGTTGCTCGAAAAAGGAGCATTCGACGGAAAGGTCGCAGCAGCAATCATGGCTCATCCAATGGGAAAGAAACAAATGCTAGGACATGACAGCCACGTCCAGTCTGGGTTGGCCGCCTTAAAGCTGATTGCGAGTCACAAGTTCAAGACAGAGTTTCATGGCAAATCTGCCCATGCAGCCGGAGAGCCTTGGAACGGAACGAATGCCCTGGATGCTGCCGTTGCGGCATACAACAACGTTGCCCTGCTCCGCCAGCAGATCCAGCCAGACGAACGGGTGCACATGGTTTTCGAAGCTGGCGGAACGGTGCCAAACATCATTCCCAACTACACGCGCATGAACTGGAACGTCCGCAGCCCGACCGTGGGAAGGGCTGACAAGCTACTTGAACGTGTCAAGGCGTGCATCAGTGCTGGAGCTATGGCAGCCGGCTGTGAGGTTGGCTACATCCCGTAAGTGCCCTGAGACGTCCCCGCGCCCTCCTCTGCTCCTCTCTGACCCAAGCAGAGCACCGACGTACCAAAACCTGATTGCCAACGAGACTCTGTGCTCGACGTACAAACAGGAGATGGCCCTTCTCGGGGAAGACGTCGTTCTGCGCATCGAGGCGGCTTCTATGAACGCGTCGACGGATATGGGCAACGTGGCCCATGTCGTCCCCAGTTTCCACGGTGCGTTCGCCATTCCTACTGAGCCGGACGTTGCCATTCACAGTCCGCAGTTCGCTGAAGCCGCTGCCACGGACAGGGCGCATGAGGCGGCGATGACGTGTGCGCAGGGCATGGCGATGTTGGCGCTCCGGGTCCTTCTTGATGATGGGGTTGCTGATGCGACCAAGCAAGACTTCGAGAATAAGAAAGAATGGTGATTGAACGGTGTTAGCCAGGACCGGTAGTCTTGCTTGGGCATTCTACTTCGAGATGGAGTGGTCAGCTGATTGTCCCGACGGGAGTGGATTTGACAGGGCAGCATTGTGTAGCCTGAAAATGGCGACGGAACTTGATACTTGAAACTGCTAATTGACATTAGTCAAATGCTCATGTTCAATAACTGTCATGCCGTTTGCTGTCGTTAGAATTAGTGTTCACCGCTTCTTCGGCCCAGCAGATAGCTCCAGCTGCTAGAGCGACACTAGTCCGGCGTCGAAGGCTAGAAGCTACTGCGAGTGACGCAAGGCTTCGTCTACAACACACATGGTGGTGACATGAGATCTCAGGCTCATCACCTCTTCAGGAATTTCACTACATAGTAGAAGGTCTCTTTGGATTGGTCAATTGCAACGGTAGAATGCTTATGTAGCCCGCCGCTCAGAGGCGGAACATTGGACTAGATCCACTGCTGCCAGCCAATAACGACCCGGCCAGCTCAGACGCGTAGATCTCTAAAGTCAATCTATCTTGCTATTTATCGCATCATGAGCCGTCAAATACCTAGGAATTTCTATCACTTCAGCCCAGGTGCCCTTTTCATCAGCCGTCCTGGAGCTTGACATATACCCGCCCAGATCTAGGTACAACAGTGATGATCTCGATTATCCACAAGCAGCGTTCGGATCATACGATAGGTTGATTGATGTTCATTCGTCGGTGCAACCTGTGCATGACAAGTTTGGGGATGCGAATGTATACCATGTTAAGATAGATAGTAAAGTTTGGGCGATTAATATCCAGGGTCTCATCTGCTAGGGCCACCCTAGAAAGTTGCCAGGTTTAGGAGAACCACAACAACCGGCCAACAGTTGACGTCTTTTACCCCAATAACCATCTCTGGTGTCTCTCAGAGCCTCTCAATGACTCGAACCGATGCAGCAGTCCCGTGCCTTTAGCTCCTTTTACCGTTCCGCATACTGTTCCATATAGCGCCTTGAACTAGACGATGCGAACACGACTTGGCTCCGAATGGCCTCAAATGAGCCGGCCATGGACCTTCCTCTTCTAGAAGGTGAACCATGGATACACAAGCTGCCAAGATGGCGGGTCCGGTGGCGGGGTACAACACAGCAACCGGCCCAGGGGGTCCCGTGAAGGCGTTTGCCATGTATTCGGCCGTATTTCCAGGATGGTGTTATCACCCATGCTGATGACCCAACCGTGTCCATATGTTGCATTATATGCAATCACCCAGCGGTCCGTGTTAGCAATACGTGTTAGCGGCGACCTGCATGACCCCAGGGCTTGGCCTTCCTTTCGAATACGCAGCGCTCGACTTCCCGGCGCGCCTTGGTGGAACGCAAGGTCGTTGCACGCTACCTTATCGTGCATCGTGTGTTGGGATTCTTACTAGCCCATGCCGCGAACGAACGGAAGGGGGAGCTGGTAAGGTCTAGGAGTGAGAGATGAGCTCATAAGGCAGCCGAGCTTCGATATGACTATATAAAACCATGCATGTGCTCCGTCGTTGCGGAGCTGGACGAACCGAAGGACTAACTGACTGAGCCTCCCTGCGTTCCTGTCGTAGTCCTTCTATTTCTATCCCTGAGACGGTCCAGGTAGTGGTTCCCGTCCCGGCCCCATCGCGCGCATTTACCCTACCGAGTGCTGTCGAACCGCAGCCATGAAGACATCAGTCGCTGTCGGCACTTCGGTGCTGGCATTGCTAACTAACGCCGTCGTCGCCGCCGTCACGTCGAACAGCACCAGCACCAGCGCCACTGGAACGGCTACAGAAGCATGCGCGGTTGTCAGCGCATCGTGGGCAGCCCAGATCGCGGCAACGGCCACGCCTACGGTGTCGGCCTCGCTCGCTTACGACTGTCTGAACTCGGCGGCCATCAACAAGGAGGCTGCGCTCAAGTTTGTCAACGAGCTCGAGCCGTACCTCGAGTGGCAGTCTGACTCGGCCTGGAAGAAGAACCCGCCCGCTGATTACTTCTATCCCGCTTATGACGTATTCGCTGAGCTAGCGAAGATCAAGGCCGCCATCGAGGCTGACGAGTACCCCACCGAGTACGCGTGGCAGGCAGACCTGTACAAGAAGGTCTTCGGCCCCGGCCATGACGGCCATCTCGTTGTGTACCCGGATCTGCTCTCGCGTGCCATTGAATTCGGCAGACCTTTTGCCTTGGTCTCTATCAGTGAGGACGGTAGCTCCTTGCCTGTCATCAAGGTGTACGAGGATGTCATCTCGTCGCCGGACACGGCGTCGGTGGTGAAGCTGATCAATGGCATCGATGCCGCGACTTACGTCAGCGATTGGATCTTCCAGGTCTCTGGTAACCAGGACGCCGATGCTGCTTACAACTCTATGTTCTTCGAGAAGTCGTATGTAGCTGAGCTTGCCAGCTTTGGTTACTTCCAGTCGGGAGGTCGCGTCAGGTACGTCAAATCCTCCCCTTTCTGCGTTTGAAGACGACCGGCAAGACGCCTATGAGTGGTTGTCGGGTTGTTCAGTCTTCAAATCCATGACTGCTTAGCTGACATATTACAGATATGTATACCCTGGAGACACCACTTCATTCACATTCGAGAATGGCACATCTGTTGAACTCGACAACGTTGGCAGAATTAAGGGTAACTTCGCAGGCGTCACGGATGGTCCTTCGTTGTTTGCGAAATTCTGCCCTGCTGCTGTGCCTGCTGCTTCAACGACGGCCAGCGCAACAGCGACTCCTGCCCCTACAAGCTCGTCAGCAGCAGTACCCACTGCGGTCCCGGGCTACCCCGCCCCGGTTATCATTTCAAGTGATTCGGTCGTGTCGGGCTACTTCCTCAGCGAGGCCGGATTCGAAGATGTCGCCGTCTTGGTGATGCTTTCCTTCTCCCCCGACGACCCACCTGAGTTCCAGCAGGTGGTGCAAGACTTTTTCGCGGCATCGGTCAAGGCCGGGAAGACCAAGCTCGTTGTCGACGTTCAAGTCAACGGCGGTGGCTACATTTACCAAGGTTACGATACCTTCAGACAAATCTTCCCAGACATTGTGCAAGAGGGACTCGGATGCTGGAGGAATTCGGCAGGGTTCAAGGCCGTCTCCGAGGTGTTCTCCGCGCGCTGTGCCGATTACGACCCTCTCACGTCTTCCGAAGAACTCATCTACGAATGCAACAGCGTCTACAATTGGCGCTACGACCTCGACGAGTCGCTGCAGAACTTCACCTCCTTCGACGACAAGTTCGGCCCCGTTGAGCACAACGGCGACGAGTACACGGACGTAATGCAGTGGAACTTCGACAATGAAATCGACACTATCAACTCCACCTACGGCATCGGCTATGACGTGACCGGGTACGGCAGCCGCCGGAACTTCACCCGCCCCTTCGGTGGCCCGGAGAACGTCGTCGTCCTGTTGGACGGGTACTGTGCTTCGACTTGCACCCTCTTCTCCCAGTTCATGAAGTGGAACGCGGGCGTCAAGAGTATTGCGCTCGGCGGCCGCCCGAAGGAGGGACTCATCCAGGGCGTCGGTGGCGTCAAGGGCTCGCAGAGCTACGGCTTCGCCAACGTGTACAGTAATGTGCAGGCGGCTCTCAATGAGACCGAAGACGCCGACCTGATCGCCGAGTTCAGCCGATACACCACTTACGTCGTCGACCGTTCATCGGCTGCTAGTCTCAACGTCAAGGACGAGATTCTGCGCGATAACCTCGATGATGGCACGCCGGCTCAGTACGTTGCCGAGTACTCGGATTGTCGGTTGTACTGGACCGAGGACATGGTCAAGGATGTCAGTTCCGTCTGGAAGTCGGCTGCTAGCGCGGCGTTCAAGGGTGGTGCTTGTGCGGCGGGTAGCATTGAGTACCCCCAGACGTACGAGCGTCGCCGCTCGCGATTGCTGCCGCCCAGGTTCACAAGCCCGAAGCAGCACGTCCCCGTGGAGAAGACCGTTGATAAGAGGGAGATTGGCGAGACAAGGAATAAGTTCTTGGCCACGCAATTTATGAAGGTTGTGGATTAGGGGCTGTAATGTGATTAATGATCAGGTTGGATATCCACATACAGAATGTGGACTACACATACTTACTTCAATTAATGTTAGTTATCTACCGAGTTCCATTTCTAGTAGTGCAAGTGAGCGGCGTGGCCTTCTTTGGACCTACTACTCTGTGGAAGTCGCACTACTGTGGCGGGTAATGCTAAAGCGAACCTCACCATATGTACACAAATAATATAATCGTTTGCGCCCCGCTCGATATTTGGCATGTTTGTTAGATCGAGTACTTCGTTAATAAAAGATGAATGGCATTTGGCCTGGTAGGCACCCATAGCGCTTCATGCCATCCACGGATACCATGTCTAGCTACAACACAAGGTCTCTTGCATATGAACACATCTACCCGCGGCCATTGTAACACCATTCCATTAAACCTAGATGCCCAGATGTTTGCCCCGTATTGCTTATTGCAATGTCAGCAACTCCCTCTCCCGCTTCGTCATCTCCCCCTTCTCCCCCGCAATCCTCAGCACCGTCTCCCTCGCCAGCTCCTCCTTCCTCCCATGTCCAAACAACCTCCACTGCGCACTGCTCGTCAAACCAAAATATACTGCAGATAACGTGCTCAACGCCCTCAGCGGACTCCCACTACTAAACACCCGGCCTAATAAGCGCCCAAAGGTAGGTTTCGCCCCTAGTAGCTCCAGGAGACTATCGATGTACGGCACGTACGTCTCCGTAGCCACGTGCCGTTCCGACCGTATGAACTGCTTCGCGTGCAATTCCTGCCAGTTGCGGATCTCCCTCATTAGCGCCTCGCCCGCGGGTGGAGTTACCCGTCCTGTGATGATGCCGACGGCGAAGCGCGCCTGGGCCTCCATAGGGGGCAGCGCGGGGCCGGGGGCCTCGATCATGCCTACGAAGTAAATATTCTCGTATCGCGCGGGGACGATAAGCTTATAAACATAAATCCCGAAGTATGGCGTCTCAGCGTTGCGGAGCACGTCAGCGGGGAGATACGGGTGCGCATGCAGGTACCCGGTACACGCGATGACAACATCAGCATCTACTGCCGTCCCATCGCTGAGCTTAAGTCCGGTCTCAGTGAAACATGCTACCTCTGCACGATGGATTTTCAGAGCCCCTGTACGCACACGCTCCACGAACTCAGTCCGAATTGTCGGGTTTTGCTGCAGCAGCCGGTGGTCCGGCTGCAGTTCCTTGGGGTGCTTGCCCAGCACCAGGTCCAGGAGACAAGTCTGGATGTACTCGGCTGCTCTAGCAGGGACCCAGACTTGCGTTGCGCGGTTATCCCAGGCTTCAACGGGCTTTCCGAGAACATATCTTGGGAGAACCCAGCCGCCTCGCCGCGTGACGACGTGGATTTCTCGCGATGCGGCGGCGAGCTCACAGGCTAAGTCGACAGCCGCGCTGCCGATGCCGATGAGGACGACGCGTTTGCCTTCGAAGACGCCAGGGCGTCGGTAGAAGTGGCTATGGAGGAACTCGCCTTTGAAGCTCTCGCGGGACGTGAAGGCGGGCAGGTTGGGGATGGTGTTGACCCCCGTTGCTGCGATCAGGGCATCGTATGTGGCCTCCTCCCAGACGTCACAACTGTTGGTGCTCTCTGCATCCTGATACCTGACCGCCCACTTCCCGTTGTCAGCTTGTGTACAGCTGAGCACCCGGGTCCGCAGTTTGACGTGTTCCTTCAGGCCGAAGTGGTCCGCGTACGCCAGGATGTACTGGTGCATCTGCCGGTGGCCGAGGTAGTCGCCGTGCGTGGCAGGGTCGATGGGGAAGTCACTGAAGGCTGTTGTGTCCCGGCATGAGTTCATGACCACGCCGTCGTACATGGACGATTGCAGTTCGCCTTTTGCGTTTGGAGCTGCTTCGTATGCCCATTGCCCGCCAATTTCCGAGCGGGTCTCGAAGACGTCGGCTTTGCAACCCTCGGCGAGACATTCTTTCAATGATACCAGCCCCGAGATTCCTGAATAAAGGTTAGTATGTGGGTCTGTTTCGGTCTGAGCTGTTGCGCGTCGCCGCGTTCTAAGTAGGGGAAGGCGCAAGTGGAAGCGCAGGGCCAGCAATTAATTACCTGCACCGATAATTGCTACTCGCTTCGCGGGCTTCTGGGCATCCATTTCAAGTCCTCAACTTCGCACGCAGAGTCTATCCGAAGAGAATGACGAGAGAGATTCTGCATCGAAAGGAACTTTCACCTTTTCATGGCGATTTGAGAGCCCGTTGCTCGGTGTTGCCTGCTGCTGCTCCTGCTGTCCCCTACAGAAGGATTTGGTGAAATTTCGAGGTTCTCATGTCAGCCGTTAACCTCCCCCAACGCGATAGGTGGTCATTTCAACGTGAGGGTAACTTGTAGCGCTATGGCCTTCACCAAGACCGTCGGTGCTTTCCGACAATTCGCACGCACCTCACGCCATACACAAAAACGTACACAAAAACCTAGGTTGGATGGTGAAGTCGCCGCGCTCGAAGCTTTCCATCCTTATTCACACCCATCATACGGCTATCTTTCTTCAATCGTCATTGGGCCCTGCATCACATCCTGTCCCGCGGGAATATGACGAAGACTCTGACAATTCAATGGCCCTGCGTTACTCCTCGTCCAACTAGGACCTCCTAGAGCAGTTCCCAGCCCAACACGGTCGTGAACCTGGGACTTCGTCTTACATCCAACCGCCAACGGCGGATTATTTGCCACTTGTCTTCAGCCATCGTCGATGGCTGAAACCTTGATGCGGGCGACCCCGCAGTCGACGCTCAATGCTCGAGATGGGCGATCATGGTGGTGATGAGGAGTGGGGTTCACTGCGGAGGGGTAGTTGGCCTCGCGGCCCGTCGCCGTTGGAGAAACCGCTGTTGTTAGCGTGCTTGGAACGTTATGGCTTCAGGGGTGAGGGATGAGGATGCATGGCATTTTGGCTGACCGTTCATTCCCATTAGCGCCGCATGTAGTTAATCTGCACAGCTTCGCTCCGATCCGGCGTCTGTCAGGGTCAACAAAGTCTCATCAATGGCTTTAGGATACAGGCTACGGCAGACCAGTAGGATGCCGTCCGGCCGTGGAAATCCACCTGCTCCATCGGGACCTTCTGGAGTTGTAATTTTTCGCTGAGTCTTTTCCCCACACGACGGCAATTACGACGAATCCACCGAGGTATCTACGCGATGGTCCAGCACAGCACAGCGTGCGTTGGGATTCGCTCCACTATGCCTAACGCGGTCTGCATGGCATGGTAGCTTTGTCAGAATCTTGTCACCCACCATCACGGTCTCTCCAGCCAATCCGAGATCGTCTTCCTACTAAAAGAGAGCTGGACCGCCCGGTGACTACCAATAGCGACCTTGGCGTCATCTCCTACCCACTACGGCCGTGCTGCAGAAAATGCGACATTCGAACATTTTCTCCGTCCCTGCAGGCAAAACACCTGATTGACATGACACGTCGCACCCACCCGCCAACAGGAGAATACAAGTAAACTGAAGAACCTGCACATACGCAGTATCATCGGCAGGAGTGCACTCATCCCAGTCCGTTCACTGAGCCAGAGGTGCGCGATGAGGTGATCCAACCGATCTGACACCATCCGGAGCTACGCTACAAGCCACGCAAGCGCAGCGGACATAACTGCTGCAGACCTCCGTGACCGCACCCGACGGGCTCGGACATGGCCCGCCAGGAAGCCGATATACATTCGGAATCGGTACCGGCCCCGGGGGCTCCTGCAGCCAGCAATATGGTCGAACTAAATGGGCATCTTTATGACCCTTCAGGCAAAATTTTCGTGGCAAATGACGCGTCGGAGCATCATCGCTGTCGGCTTCAGCACCAGATACTCAAGGACTGCCTCAATGGGAATCTCATGGCCACGAAGCTTCCGCCCGACGTCGCGATGATTGTCGATGTTGGCACCGGAATTGGCCAGTGGGCCGCCGAGGTCGCTCAGCAGTATCCGAAAGCCCAGGTCATAGGCATGGATATATCCAAGGTCCAAGATACGCCAGTTCCGGATAACGTGTCGTTTGAGATCCACGACGTCGAAGATCCCTGGAACTGCGAGCCGAACTCGGTAGATTTCGTTCACATCCGGGACGTCACGGGCGGGATCCACGATTGGCTTGCGCTTGTGCGCCAGGCGTACAAGAGCCTCAAGCCGGGCGGCCAATTGGAAATGACCGAGACGCGGGCCAAGTTTTTCGACTTCGACGGTACTTTCGGCGAGACGGGGACCTTTTTCGTCGAATTCGAAAATATTTACTTGGAGCTGGCCTCAAAGACGGGTATGGACTGGGACCCGGTACCAAGCTCGCCGGACTGGCTGAACGAGGCCGGGTTTGAGAAGATTGTTCAGCGGAGCGAGATAATGCCCATCGGATCGTGGCCGAAGGATGCTAAGTTGAAGAAAAAGGCCATGGATTTCACAAACATGTGGAATGACGGTGGTAAGTTCCAAATTAGCATTACATGCACTCATCCGAGACATCACCTTTTTAGTCAGGCTTAGGTCAACAGATATCCCCTGCCGATTCCCCCGAACTAAATGGCTTACATCTGACTGTGACCACAGGCTGGGAAACCAAGACGGCGAGGCTATTTACGACTTGCGGGTGGGAGTTTTCGGATTTCAGATCCCTCCTCGACAGGGTTAAAAAAGAGACTGCCGATAGTGGCGTCAAGGCATATGCGACCGTGTAAGCACCATAGTTATTCTCCTTCCCAGTTCAATGACTAACTGGACGCCAGCGTATTTACCACGGCAAGGAAGCCGAAGAGATGAGAGACAGTTGATGAATACCTTCTTATCGCGCCATGATACCAAGCGGAAACCTCCCATCGCTTGAGGCATGGTGTCCTTCATGATAGAGCCCTTGTCCCATGGAATCGCAATCGGGCTCCCCATACTTTGCCTATCCACGCAGCCCCGTCATGTGGGTTTACTTAAGGGCATGACCGTTCCATACAAGAACACAGTTAAGGCTGTGTGGCCACGAGACCTACGAACGGCCGAGCTTCAGAAGTGGACCAGACTGCACCCGCGAGGTTGGAGAGTAACGGGAATGCAAGGGAGCCCAATTAATATTAGCTTTACCACTATTAGGTGGCACCTAATCTCCGCGTACCCCAGATGGCGGGAACGGAGCACATTCAAGGTTCATTGCTACCAATTGAAGAATGACTTGTCAACACAGTATGCGTACTATCGATATTTGTATATCGTGACCGACTAAGATGTTGGCCCTACCACTGCACATCTGGTATATGGTGACGAGCTCATAGACCTTTTAGCCAAGACTCCCAACAGCAAATACATGCTGGTGATCCCGCATTTGTTGTGCTGTTACGATTCCCGAGTACTGTTTCTTGTGCCTCGAAGCAAGGCACGGGCGATAGCGGAACGACGTGTTCACGCTGGTTTAGGAAATGCTTCAGATCATCGCCGTCAGGTCTAGCTTGCAGGCTTTTGTTACGGCCACGGGCGTTTTCATCTTTACATCCCAATGCAAGTCTTTATGGCTCGCGCCGATGTACCTGTGACTAATTGAGGAGCAACGTGCTTCCTACGTCAAGATGACGTTTCGTAAATTCCTGACAAGTTATTGACACTCATCAACATCGCCTGAGGCGGACACTTATCAAGGTTAGGAAAATAGATATTGGTCAATAGTTATTGGTGTATTCCGACTTTCCTGGACTGCTGGAGGTTCTATGCTCCAACTGTATACCTGAGTAACTAAAAATCAGGCATGTAGCCTGATCTTGGGCTCATCTAATTTGACGCAAGAAGAGTCCAAATCGATCGAGAGTGTGCATCTCATAATTTCTTCTGGTGTACACCAGACCTGTCACATAAACCGCTGAAAGGAAGATACAGCTTTCCCATTTGGTTCGCTGTATGCATATTTGCCAGGAAAAGCTTTGTCTGCATTGGTAGCTGTATAACTCTCGCGGGGAGCTAGCTACTACGAGGGTGCAATCCCAGAAACCTCCTGCATCAATCAAACTTAGAACATTGGAGTAGTGTACCCGAAGCTTTTGTTGCCGTCAGGAATGATTATATGCTTACGAGGCCCTCAAGAACGTTTCAAATGCTCCGGCACCAAGGCCGTACTATTCTCAGGCAAGTCGAATCCATCAATGCCCATTCCACCATCGTGGGTGAAATTGCCGACTAGCTCTGCCTTGTCATATCCGCACTGGATGCTGTGGTCGCACGGCTGGGGGCAGCCCTTGGAGCAGGCGGTGTCGTTTTCGCCAGGCGAAGGCTGCCAGTTGGCCCCTTTGCACGGGTACTTGCGCTTGTACTGGGTCTCGTAGGTGTTGAAGCATGAGAGGTAGCCGAACCAGTTGTACAGGAATCCCTGGTCTGGAGAAGAAATCCATCAGCTTGATATTTGCTTCGGCTCGTACAAACCTTTTACCGAATCGGAGTACGAGAATCCAGGATTGGGCGCGGAGTGGTAAAGTGCACGGTACCAAAGATGGATGATTGATTGAATCATTGACTTACTCAAGTCAATCTCACTATCGACCCATTCGCCCTTTTCGTTAGCACAGGCGCAGCGAAGGGCGTGGCCGTCTTTCTTAATGGAGCAGTAATTGCAGGACCGGCCGAATTTCCTACTATATATGTTAGCCTGTTACCCAGCCTCTAGAGTTCAAAGTGACACCTACTCCTTTTTGGGCTTCATGACGCCATTCTGATTAGTGATGCAGTGGTTGAGGTTCAGAGATGTCGCTGCGTTAACCTTGCAGACGTGGTCCTGGCACTAGGCAAGCACATGAGCCTTTTCGAGGGCCCAGTTCTTCTGGCATTGCTGATCGAGGAAGCCGAGGGCGTTGGCCAGGCTCAAAATGAGGATCAGAACGAGATATTCCATCGTGGCGGGTTTTCGGATGTCCCTGCTAGATTCTGGGGTCACACGTTACGTCTAAGGTTATCAAATATATCCAATGTATCTATAGGCATACTTGTAGCTGAGGTATGAAATGCTGCTTTGGTTTTGATGAACGACAAGGAGATCGGATTGCTCAGCAACTGGGAAGAGTCTTATAGTTTTCTGTCTTGGAAGTTACACCCAGTCACAATACACATTATAAAGATGAATGTATTGATGGTTGTATTAGACAAACTCACAGTGTAATAAACATGAGACCCAGGGCCAATGGTGGCAAACTCTATATAATGATTATATAGTTATACTAATGGGACGATCATGATCACCCCTACGAATGATTATGACTATGGCGGTGAATCATTTCCCAACAGCTGCGGATTCTTTCAATTTTGCTGAGGCTACCTACCCATGGTAGTCCTAAAGCTTGCCTAAATTCACCAAGATGCAGCATCCGCCTCGATTAGGTCCCTCCGAGTGAGGTCTGAAAAGCATGGACAAACCTGGATCCAAGCACTTTCTGCTTGGATCGCTAGCTCTTTTATTCTATGGAGGCCACTTAGTTATAGGCAGCTATTCCTTATACTTTATATTAACAAAAAAGAAAGAGTTGTGTAAAACGACGAGTAAGGTTTATAAAAGTATAGTAAGCAGAAGAGAGAAATAAATATTAGTTGATGTATCTAGAGAGAAGTATATGATTTAAGCATAGCTTAGTAAGTTAGTTACTCTAGTAATTTGTTTTTCCCTTCTATATTTCTTTTAGTACTCCCAATAAATAGCTATAACTGTGGGAAGTTGTGGCCTCAGGCGTGGAGGGGTACGAGTCAGGCACGCGTTGCAGTACTTAGGGATCCTTCGGGGCCAACTTGGGATTGGTCTCTCACGCACCTTCATAGTACCAATACAGCCCCTAGTACTTGGCTTCGACAATAATGCCCATAACCATACCGCTCACCGTGAAAACGAATAAAGAACAAGTTAGGATACACTCGCAATCCATACAACAGCTCGGGATTCTCATATTTCACAATTGTGATATCGACGCCGCACACACACCTTGAACAGTTGGATGGGAATCGAGTCCCGTAAGCCTGACGGGGATCAAGATCCCTTGCATGTCAGGGGCATGTGCGAAAACCATAGGCGAAGTCTTTCTCGACACCGAGGCGGTGAAAGTAGGTAGGAAGATACGTCGGAACATAGTGACTCTACCATATCTGAGTCCAAGAAAGCACAGGACGTACAAAACGCATGTCAGACACCAAGCATTCAGACATGACACTCTCGTGTCCTGTGTCTGGTGTATCTTGAACACTACATTTATACCTACACTACGAACCCAATATCCCACGAACAATACCCTTCAACCGTCAGTAACCCACAACCTACCAACCCCTTTACCACATAACCAACCTATCCAAATCCCTCGAACTCGTCCCGACCATAAACGCATACTGCCCCTCCGTAACCATCCTCCAATTCTGGCTCTCCACATCCCAGTAGCTCAAATCCCGTCTACTCAACTCAAACTCCACAATCTTTGTCTCATTCCTTTCCAAAAAGTCCTTCGAAAACCCGCGCAGCACCTTGACGGGGAAATCGACACTGCTCTCGTTACCCGTAATGTCTTTCGGGTACGCCATGTACAGCTGCGTGACGAGGTTGCCCGGTTTGGCGCCCGTGTTGGTCGCGTTCACGGACACGGTCACGTACGTTTCCCACAGATCGGGGTTCCCGCCCTCGTCGCCTCCGGCGCCGCTGAGGGGTTGCTGGTCGGTGTAGCCATCCGGATAGGGGTAGCCATCGGTGACGAGGTCGTCGATCGTGTCGAGGTAAGGGTAGACGTATTTGTCCAGCTTCCTGAAGCCGTCGGGAAACAGCGCCTCTTCCTCGTTGGGAATAGAATTGTCGTACTCAGGCGGCATGGCAAAGTCCTTCGGTCTAGCTGCCGGGTACGCGCTCTTTGGTTTGACCTCCGTGACTTCCGGGACGGAAAAGGCGAATGACGTGTACGATAGGCCGTATCCAAACTCAAAGCGCGGCACAATGTTGTATTTGTCGAAGTGTCGGTAGTCAATGTAAAGACCCTCTTTGAAGTCTTGTTGCGGCACCACGCCGTTAGGCAGATACATGATCTTGGCTCCTTCGCCGTAATCATCTAAGCTTTTGCCAATGGTCCAAGGCAGATGACCGCTTGGGTTGACATCTCCAAACATGACGTCTCCCAACGCATTTCCGCTTTCTTGGCCGGGTAGCATGGCGAGGAGCACTGCCTTCACCCCTGGCAAGTCGATCCAGCTTTCCATAATGACAGGGCCGACGGCATGGACGACAACAATCGTGTCACCCTTACCGCCACCACAACCTTTTGCAACTGCTACGATCAAGTCGTCGCCACCTTTCTGAAGAAGTAGATCAGGCCGGTCACCACCAACCGAGCCCCAAGACAGAAAACCCTCACCCGAGTCGGCGTTGGCGAAAACGATGCAGATATCTTGATTCTCGAGGATTTCGGGCTGCTTCTCGAACGGTGGAGAGTTGGTCAACCATGAGTTCAGTTCGACTTTTTCCTTGTCCCAGCCATCGTCGAGTACTTCGATAGGAGAGATCAAGTATGGGAACTCTGCGCAGGCAGTCAAGTCAGCAACTGGTCCAAAATAGACGGCTAATCCACGCAAGTGGCTCGTATAACGTTAGGATGGTTCAACTTACCAACAGCTCCGGAGCCCCAGCCAGAACCCAGCGTGCCCTGATTACATCCGCGGTCTTTGCAAGCGTTCGGACCTTGACCAGGTCCAGCATCTTCCCCAAAGATTCCGATCCGAACCTTGCCTTCGTGTTTCTTTCGCAGCTTCATGTCGGTATTTCCATGACGGTCGATCGGGAGAATACCCTCATTCTTGAGTAAGATTGTGCCCTCCGCAGCGATTTGACGCGCAAGAGCTGAGTGGTTGCCCATGACGTTGACGTACTCGTTCACGCGGACCTTCTCCTGTTCCGTAGAGCTGCCAGGCGATTCGACTCCGTATTCATCGTTGGTCCAAGAGGAGAAGTTAGGTCCATCGGGGTCGAATCTGCTCTTGTCGTCTTGGCCCATTTGGTACCACGCGGCGACGATGCGAGTAACCATGTCGTTCAATCTGTCCAGGGGTACTGAGCCATTGAGAATTGATTTGGTCAGCTCTGAGCCCCACAGAGACTTGCCGTCTTGCCAGAACAATCCGTCCCCTGGCATCGTCATATCCAAGCCAGCTAGCGCAGTTGCGACACCACTACGTTGTGCCAGCCAGTCACTCATGACGAAGCCCTGGAAACCCATCTCATCTTTGAGAATGCCGTTGAGGAGCTTGGAGTTGCCGCACGCATACGAGTTGTTGATCTGGTTGTAGCTGCACATGACGCTTGCTACGCCGGCTTTGACGGCATCACCGAACGGCCACATGTAGAGTTCGTGCAGAGTTCGATCGTCGATGTTGCTGCTTACGGCGTTGGGCAGACCCCACTCCCAGGGCTGTCGGAAATGCTCCTGCTCGTTAGCAACCAGGTGCTTGATGGTGGCCATGACACCCTCGTCCTGGATGCCTTTGATGGACTCGGCTCCGGCAATGCCCTGCAAGTACGGATCAGCGCCAAAGCCTTCCCAGTTCCTGCCTCCTGCGGGCATGCGCCCAAGGGGCCCGATGCAGGGCCCCAAAATTGCATTTATTCCCTTCTTCCGTGCCTCGATCGCATCTAGATTCAATTAGCCAATGTTGAAGTACACAAAAGAGAGAATAAGGCCCCCACATACGGGCATTGCCCCATTTGTACATCAAGTCCTTGCTCCATGTGGCGCCGACCGTGACTCCGGCCGGGAATGCCGTTGCATTGTCAGCAAAGCGAATCCCCAGCGGGCCTATGGATGATTTATCAGTATTGTCCCACTCGAGTTGGCACCAGCCGCAAAGCTCACCGTCCTGAAGGTACAAAGCCGGAAATCCAACATTGACGGCCGGGCCCGTATTCCCCACCGCAGGGCCCATCATCCACCCGGTCCCTGTCGTGACATTGACCTTCTCTGGAAGCGTCATCTTCGCTACCATCTCACTCGCTTTCCTATAACTGTGTGCCCATCCCCGCGCCGTGCCGCCCTTGGGCGTCGGGTACCACGGCGGGGACTGGCCATCGGGCGGAGACTGCTTGTATTTCTTGTAGGCGAAGAACCCGCCTGCTCCCAGGGCGATCCACACGAGCACGAGCACGGCCAGACACGAGTATATGCATTTCCGCGATCGGCCGACGCAGCACCCGCATGGCCGTTGCAACCACCGGCTACGCGGTTGGGATTGGAATGCGAGCGAGTTGGTGCCTTTTTCGGCGGTCAGAGGGTCGCTCTGGAGGAACTCGGTCGCGTCGATGTCGGATTCGAGGTCGGATGATTCGCGCGCTTCATAGGAGCGCCGGAAACGGTCTGGTTCGCGTTCTGGGTCGTTGGGGCTCAAGAGGCCCTCTTGGCTTTGATCCATCGTGGGATCCTTGAATGGGGTGTTACTGGCGAATTGGTGTTGGTCGATGGCTGACTTCGTAGTTCGAAACGTGTGTCTGAAGAAAAACAACCACCTTGTTTTACATGCAAATGATTCAGCTTGCCTTCTATTGCCGTGGGAGGATAATCGTCCAATTAGCTATCTTTGGGGCAATCATGATCTAGCTTGTGCCGTTTCGTAGTCTATATCAAACCGTAAGACATGGGACGAAGGACAGTGAATGCGACGCACCCAAACCGCCCGTACTGAGTCAAACGGGGCGGGAAACACTGGCCAGCAGATACGAATGGAACAGAGGAAGAAGATACGGAAGAAATGGAATTCGCCCCTGAAGCTGGAAGCTCAAAAAGAAAAAGTCCATGGACGTAGTAGAAACATAGTCAACGTCGCCTCCGACATTGGAGCTGTCTCTTGAAACCTGGAGATGGTCTTGGCGGTTGCATTGACCTCCATCGAAGCTTCACCAGCTCGATGTTTCGGTGTTTCTGCCGTCGCCACCGACATCTAGGCCACTGAAAAGGTCCGGGGTGGGAGTACCATTTAGCGTCATCCCGATTGGCTCCAACGGTGATGTATTCTTTGGCTCATCGGCTCCTGACCCCAAAGAGGCCAGACCGAGGTGAGAAGTCAAGTGCGTATGGTGGAACTAGTATTTCATAGTCCATCTATATGGAGTTAGCGATGAGTAGAATACGTAACTTGTGGTTTAGCTCACCTGAATATTGAGGCATGTCAGGTGGTCAGTGCTTCCCGGAGGACTTTGTGAAGTTTTCGTGATCAAAAGTTGTTGTACACAGCTGGTAGCTGTTATTGATTGAATTATATTATAGGCGAATGCGACTCTTGATCCTCATTACACGGGTATCTGACTAGTAAGGGTGAAGTGATCAATATCTGTATGATCCTTTTGTGACCTTGTGGCTTCGTCCCGTAGACGGATAGTTATTCATCCGATGTGGATGTGATCGTGCGGCTTGTAGAGTGGCTGCAATGGAAAAATTCTCACAAAATCGCGTTAGTACACCGACAGATGCTAAGGGCTAGCGGTGGGGGGGGGTCTCCAAGCAGTGCGTTTTATGAAGCAAGTACTGAAATACACGGTGACAAGGGCCCCTGTCATTGTACCCACCTTTAGCCGGATGCTTCTAAGCGATGTGAAGATCTTTTAATATGCGCGATAACAGTTCATCCAATCCGGATCGGACTTGAGGAATTAGTGGGTAACGGCAGTCGCGATTCAATATCACAACTGATAGTGCGTGCATTACGAAAAATTGATCATATGCGACGTATCACACAGTCCCAAAGGGACCGAAAGGGAAAATCCGTTCAGTTTTGCGCCGGCATCAAGAAAGGGGTCACACGGAGCATCAACTAACGTACAACCCCACCTTTCCGGCCACATATCGCAATCCAATTGAAGGTATTCGAAACAGTGTATTCAACGTACTATTATAGCTATTCAGGTACAACCAGCTCTAATAGAAAGCTGTGCTCTAGGGCTTCCTGAGGTATAGATCTGATAGATTCTGACGCCTTAGCTGGGTCCAGTATTACCTGATTCCGACGTTGTACCTGGTCTCGTTGCCGTTCTACTTCAAGGGCTCGATCCATCGCTTCCTTAATCTGTACAATGTTACCAAATCGTTCATTAGGCCCTAATCGTACCTTCTTACGTGGTTTTGGGCGTAACGAAGTTATAGGGTAGAGCGTGGAACGCCCCATCGGAGGGAAGCCTGGCGCTGGGATATCCCTTGATTGATATCGTTGAGAGCGCCTTGAATCGAATTTTCTGAATATCGAGGCATTGTATAATAATAGCCAATACCGACGATAATCTGTTGTGCCGAAGATTGTTGTAGTTGGCAGATTAGTTGGCAGATTAGGTGGCCAGAAAGGTGGGTAGCCAGAAAGGTGGGGTTGTACATTACAGTTTATCTACCAGCTCTGAACCGAAGGCTAAAAAGAAATGGCAGGCTCATCATGTTCCACCCGTTCTAAGTGTCTTGAAACCCAATGAAAAGTAGGAGGCGTTCTAACGTAGGAAACAGATACCTGGATATACTCTTACATCCGGCCGCTGTAACGTTCTTCTGTCTCCAGCAACCTTAGTTTGCCTTGTACAGATCTATAAGATTAGCATGCCCTATCTTGGACGACCACGAGCCGCCAGTTGGGGTATTAAGATGGGAGTTCTTAATAGCCCAGAAGATCACAATGTAACCCCAGTCGATATGATAAACACTAGCGTTGAACGTTTGGCAGGAGTCCATCGCGCCAGTTTCGCAATCCTGCGGGCTGAGATCTTTATGTTTGGGGGGTCATGTTGAAACGCCCATCTAGGCATAGTGCGGATTGTGTCGTATTCAGAATCCAAATGCGACTCTTACCCGACATCGATCGTAAGGAGTTATACCTCAGCCGTAATATAGTATACCCGGGTGTATGTTGTTTTCGTTATCACCATCCCGACTACCAAAGAATGAACCTGGGAAATCAGCTGAGGAATTAGAAAATATTGATTATTATTTGCGCATTATTATTTAAACCCTTTTTTCAACGCACGAACCCCGCAGGCCGATGCTCCGGCCCTTGCGACAACTCGACCTCGTACGTATAATCCATTCTAATCCCGCCCTGGGAGCTCTTACTCTCATCATACGACGAGGCCTCGTCCCGCAATCTTCTCCAATCCCCATCTCCGTGCGCGTGCACCGTGGCCACGCTAGTCCCCAGATCAGTCGGGTTCTTGAACGATCGGTTTCGGGATTTGCGGCCTCCGCTGGGTCCTCCGCTGGCAACGGGCGTGCTCCCGCCAAAGGTTACAAGGTCTAGGGGCGTGTCGTTGCTTTTATTGTTCTCGCTGTCGGTGCTGGGTTTCTTGACGGCGGTGAGGATGAAGCGACGCAGGGAGGGGAGAGAGCCGGCCACGAGGCCGATGGCCGTTTCGACGTTGGACCAGAGCGTAATATTGCCTACGTGGTCTGGGGTAGGGGCGGTTAGTTTTTTAGCCATTCGGGAGATTGGTCGAGGTTGGATGTAACTTACAAGCCAGGTTGTCGGCTGGGTTTAGGTAATAGGCGATAAAAGGGGTGCGAATGATGGTTGAGATGGACGCTCTGTTAATATGTGGTTAATACACTGTCCTGGTAGATGACGAAAACGAGCCGGGTACCACTTACAAAGAGCCGAAAGACAGCAGCACACTGACCCAGAGCTTCGTTCTCATCTTCATCTGTGTTCGCCACAATATGAAACCTGGCAGCACGGCACACGCCATATCCGTAGCAATGGATCCCGCCGTCGAGGCGTACGACAACCCAATCATGGCATCCATCGAGGCGCATGTAGCCTTGCCCTCAAGCACCAAAGAAGTATTCCAATTGGCCTCCACAGGCTGACAGAGCAGCAGCACCCCAATGAACGTCGTGAGAAACGTGCTGATGACGATTCCCAGTAGGATGAAGATGCAAATGCGGTAAACCTGGTTGGCGCTCGCGATGCGAAACATGGTCATGCAGATGGAGCTCTTGATGAGGACGAGAGAACAAATGTACAGCAGCATCCAGAGCATCAGGTACATCATCGAGTTGACCAGCTGCGTGGCATTTAGCTTTGCATTGAGTGTCCCGAGGCCGGATTTGGCGCCGAGGCAGGCGAGCACAATTTCGACGCAGTAAATGACCTGGCGTTTAGAATCAGCAAACTGCTCTGTCTACACAAGAACGTTTTACCTCTTCGAGGTATACACGAGGAGAAGTTTACCATTCCGCCCAACATCAAGCCATCGTCCAAGCCAAAGGCTTGCTCATGAAAACGCACATAAGTCCTGAGGCTGACAACAACGAAGGCGACGACGCCAGTAACGATAGAGACGACGTAGATGGCCAAAGCCGTCCCCTCGAGGTTGGGGAGGAACAGCGCATTGGGGTCGACTTCGCTCATGATAAATCGGGTGGGACCGTCTACGGGATGGCGATGCTGCTGCAGTGACCGAGGCGGCGGTGGGACGTGTCTTTAAGCGTAAACCAGGAGGAGAAAGGCAAGCGAACTCAGAGGGGCGAAGCGTAGATATCCGGGGGAACGGGCACCCTTTTGTGTGAACCGCGGCCGCGGGACGGGAAGTCCTAGCCTTTTTCGATCGACTAATCTACTGTATTAGACAGTGGACTAGGACATGTGCACTAAATGTCGGCGGCAGTCTGGAAGCTGATCATGGATATGAACAGGCCATAGGTCATGCCATTGGATGTAGGATTGCTGACCAGGTGGAGCGCACCGGCGGACATGAACCAACCTATGTTTACTCGGTCGAAATACTCTAACACGTCCGACTTCACTCGGATTCGCAACCATCACCGAATGGGCAATCCCTGAAGCCATTTTCTCTCCTGGGCTCCAGCTCCGGGGCCCCGAGGGTCTGGTCGGCTGGTCCTTGCAAATGCTCCCGGGTTACATAAAGTGCACTGCGGAGAGAACGCAGAGGAGACTCTACTTTGAAGCAGCCACTAGTGCATCACTTAGGTGGTGGATAGATCAAGTTATGCAAGGCGCAAGGCTCGATATTAAGCGATTGCCGATTGGCAGCACGTTGGTTCCACAACCTGCCTAGGTCATAAAACGCGGATGAAGTCCCGATTTCTCGGTGGATACGTTACAGTGTACTGTACTCGTGTTTTCCGATATCATAAGCACATAAGACATGCCAAGGCTGTTGAAAGGGGCGACATAGTGGGCCTGGAATATGCGGGAAATCCGCAAAACAAACGAGCCGCCGCGGCCGCGGTCGTTCCCGTTATTAGGGATGTGGATAGAACTGTAGACTATTTGCACACGCTAAAGAATTGGAAAAGGGGTGGGATGTAAGTTGGGGAGGAAGATGCAGATCTGGCAGATGATTTATTGCATGGCCAGTCCAACTTCACGCAGCCAACAAAATCACGACATCCACCCGAAAATTTCCCAAAACGGGTGGGGCTCCTATACCCCCGTCCCGAGCGCGTCGTTTAAACCCTTGTCTCTACATGATTCACTTATACAATCCCTAACGGCGGGTGGATGCCAACGTCGAAGCCAATAGAAGGCAACCTAGACCACAATTGCCGGGTGGGGGACACCCTTGAGTACACGCGGAAATGCTAGTGTTATGGAGTTATTGCCACCATCGTGATACTTTGGGTTTGCTGGGCTTAACGGGGCGGGTCGAAGAAGAACCACCTGAGCTGAGTCTCTGACGCTTCCGACATGTGGATTCATCTAGACCTTTTGTTACAGTTTTTGATTAATCAATTTCGACCCCTCCCGCATCCTCTTTTCATCATCCATGATCATCCCATCAACCCTTTCCGATCGATACCACCATACAATCCGACACCATGAGTTCCAACACGAATCCTTCCGCTCAACGTGTGCATAAGGGCAAGACGGCTCTAATCACCGGTTCCGCCAGAAGTACGGCATACGCATCCACAATCCCTATTTATGTCATGGACTGACTCGAAACCTAGGCATTGGTGCCGCCATCGCGCGGAACCTGGCGGCCAAGGGTGCCAACATCTGCATCATCTACTTGACAGAAGCGTCAGACAAGGCAGCCAAGGACCTAGCCGAGGAGCTCTCCGCCGCCCACGGCGTCAAAGCTGTCCCCTGCCGCGCCGATGTGACCACCAAAGAAGGCTGCGACCTCATCATTTCAACTAGCCAATCCTCCCTGCCTCCCAACCCCAAGACCGGCAAACTCCAGGTCGACATCCTCGTGCACAGTGCCGCCCTCTTCCACACCGCCCCGATCGAGGCCGTGACCCCAGAGGACTTCTACAAAGTCTACACGACCAATGTGCTGGGTCCCATCCTGCTAACCCAAGCCTGCAAGCCGTTCTTACCCACCGACCGCTCCGGTCGCATTGTAAACGTCAGCAGTGTGGGCAGCCAAGTCGGCCTGCAGTACCTGACGCTGTACGGGGGCACCAAGGGCGCCATTGAGGCCATGACGCGCACCTGGGCACGTGAGCTGGCCGAGAATTGTACTGTTAATAGCATCAATCCCGGGTCCACCATGACGGACATGCTTCAGCATGCTAGCGACGAGGTGAAGCAGGCTATTGCCCTGTTTTACCCGCTCACGCCGCTTTCGGGTGTGCGCGAGTGGGATTCGGATGAGATGAAGAAGTTCGGGGAGAAGTATGGTGGGAGGGTGGCGTACCCGGAGGAGATTGCTGGAATTGTGGGCATGATTTGCAGTCCTGAGTCGAGCTGGATGACAGGATCGTTGGTTAGTGCCAATGGCGGCCAGTGGATGAGTAGCTAGAAGGATGGATGAGTTTGAGATCGAATAGATGTAGGGGTACTGATCTGTGGAGCGTAATTGCCCCCTCAACCCTAATCCCCGACGTGAAGCGTCTATGGGACTCACCAAAAGATGAAGCATTCATACCGCGTTCGTATTTGATTCTCTGCCGTGGCATTGCGAGGTTTACGGCATATTGATCCGCCATGAGCGAATCACCAAACGTGTTATCCCCTCCGCAAACACTATTGGGTGTTTTGCAACAAGATAACTCGCCTGTGGTCAAAACATACAGCCAGAACACAAGCAACGCCAGCGAATTCAATGTATTGGCTTATTATGCAAACAACATGGGTAGCATTCGTACCGTTGGGGCTAGAAGACATAATGAAGTACCTAGATTAAAATGCCGCTGGACCCTTTAATTGGTCCCTATTCACCGACTTCCTCTTATTAGTACATTGACGGACACCGCAGCTTTTGCTGTATAGTACGCAAGATTGGAGAGGACTCATCCCCGAATCAGGTAGTCCAGCAATTTGACTAATCTGGCACCGTCCAATACAGTTGAACACGTGCTTGGCACAAAAGTGTCATCAGGAGAAAGCTGCCGCCCGGGCCACGACCGTCATATTCTGCATGATGCGCCGAGTTCATTACCCTACCTCGGAATCCAACCGGGTAACGTGTTTAGCAGTGTCTTGTAACATTTCACTCTTCCCGCTGAACCAAGCCATCAGATCTAGATCGATTCATGAGATGTGATTCATTAAATATTACACCTCAGCCGGTAACTTTGCTCTCAATCAACTGGAGTATCACGTAGAGTTAGCCACCGCGCCCACCGCCAACGAATCCAGTATTTACACTCTACATGGGTCGGTCTGACTCAACCGTCCGTTCGACATCCCCACTGTCAAACATGTAAATACATGCCCCTTCTCCACGCCTTCGGACTCCCAGAAAACAAATTCTTCAATTCTCTTCAAAAAAATTCTTGCCATAGCCACTTCTATCCTGCCATAGTTCCATTCTTCTCCGATCCCCGTCGCCATCTCTCTGTCGCAGTTGGTGTCCGAGTTGGGCATCTGTTTCTACTCTGCCTCTGCAAAGTCGCTGGCGATCTTTCTCGGCCTTGCAGTTTAAACTGGTCGTGGTCCTGGGGATGATGGGAAACCGCATGGCGTCCTATGAAGACGGTGAACTGTAACCGTTTTCTAGGCAAGATGTTATAACCAACCCGCCTTGGGCACCGACGTGGAAGGGCCCTGAACCGCCGATCTGGGAGCCATTTATTACCATATATCCGCCTATCGTTTATTTGTTTGCCATTTACAGCTATCTATCCACCACATGACTGACTTTTAACGGTGACGAAATTGGACTTTGCGCCCCCCGTGATGTCACCTGGACTCGCTAAGAGACTGACGCAGAGGCGTGTAGAACTTTAGAGCAAGCACTAGTTGCCCCTTGTGTATAAAGACCTGAGTGACTCAAGTAAGGTCGCGGGTTTACAAGGGCATTCTGTAGTGGGAAAGGAGACACTAATGCTATACAACTCAGGTTGGAATACTCGATACACTGGATATTGTGCTGTAGGTAGCTCAACCCAGTTGTCCAGTATGCAAGTTCCTCTATTACCGTAGTGTGGACAAGCTGACTTGACTACGCTGTACTCCCATGTTCCCTCACCATATCGTAGCGATTGAATGGACGAGTCGTGCTAGAAAGGCAGACACGCAAGTTCTCACGAGCGATGTCCCTCATCAGGATCGAGACGGGTGGGTACTCTCGTAATCATGCGCATACGTAATAAATTCGGATGCACAGATTGACGTGAATGGAGTGGACGCTCGATGCAGGGTTGCATATTCGCTGGGTTCAGTGTAGATTTATCGAGACGAGACTTGAGCGGTTCTGATCTGGGTTACGATCAATCATAGATGTCTCGTTGCTGTACTTCGACCAGTATCGTCATGATTCCTGAGACATCGGGGTCGCGGTTAGCTGTCACAATTGTCGGGAATATAGGGTTAGAGCGTTCTCAATGTTACCAGTCGAATATTGGAAATTAACAGAGACAATAACAAGCGAGGAAAGCACATGAATCAGGGTGGCAGCACTAGCTTTGCTGCATTCCACGAGGGCCGATTGTACCCCGTGCCTGTTGAAGGCGCGGCTTCGGTCAGGTCGTTAAGTACAGATGTTCCAGTGAATCCTCCACCGTGTCCTTTTTCTTGAAATAAGCAAACTGAACTAGGCTCTCTGATGTAGGAAAGGTGCCCATCGTCCCGTAGGGGGTATGGGTAAAAATGTAAAACTCTGTTGTGGCAGATCCATCAGCATCATCAGGACCTGAGACGCTACGCTCGCAACCCTTACTATGTCAAACTAGACTGCCTTCTTCAGCGACAGTTTGACATTATCCTATTTTCCCAAATGCATATGTCATCTTAATGGTCATCGCGACTCTCGACGAGCCCTCCAACTTATCCGGCATAAGCAGACACCAATTCGTACACCACGAACCCTGATGCAGTCGCGCTAGCGTCTCATCGCCCCTTGTCTGCCCACATCTCGCCTCACCACATCGACGAACCCGACCCATCCTCAATCGCCTCTAACCTCCTCCTCTCATCCTCCACCGCTTCGATCTCCAACTCCTCTACTATCTTCTCCTGCTTTAGCCTCTCCACCGCCATCTCCCTCAACTTAAACTTCTGGATCTTCCCACTAAGCGTCTTAGGGAATTCATCCACCTGCCAAACATACCTCGGGACCAGGTGTTTACTCAACCTATCCCTAACCCAGTCCCGAATGAATTTCCGGCTCAGGATATTTTTGTTGTTGTTGCTGTTGTCCCTGACTTTTCGCTTCCGCTTAAAAGTTGCATTGTCCTCCGGCTCACGAGCCGCCATGCTGGCCAGTTTCCATTGAGGCTCTAGGATGACGAAGGCGCTGACAACCTCGCCGTATGTCTCGTCCGGGACACCGACGACGCTGACCTCTTGGATGCCGGGGCACTGGAACAATATGTTTTCGATTTCGGCGGGGTGGATGTTCTCACCACCGCGGATGATGAGATCCTTGATGCGGCCCGTGATTGTGATATAACCTTCTGCGTCCATCCTAGCTTCGTCGCCTGAGTACATCCATACATGGCCTTCTGCGTCCACTACCCGGTCATCGGATGTGCGAGCTTCGTCATTGTAATAACCCTTCATGACCAGATACCCGCTCGCTGCTAGTTCGCCCCTTTCTCCAATGGGTACGATGCGGTTGCGGTCATACGGGTCTACGATCTTAATGGCCGTGTGCGGCATGGCTTTTCCCACGCAGACCGTACGTTTCTTGAAGGGATCTTGGGGGCTGGTCATGACGCTCACAGGGCTCGTTTCCGTCATGCCGTAGCAAATGACCAGATCCTGCAACCCTAGCTTATCGTAAATCCGAAGCATGAGATTCTCAGGTACCGAACTACCCGCAGCAATGCCTTTGCGTAGCTGGCTGAATGCGTCTTTCGGAAGTTTGTTGGTAAGCGCCGGTTTTTGTAACAGTTCCAGCTCGGCGATGAACATCGTAGGTACACCGTAGAGCCCTGTGGCGTTCTGCTCGGCAGCCATGCGTAGACTCGCTGCTGGATGGAATGCTGGCGATGGAAAGAGAATGGCGGCACCCGTGGTGGCGGTTGCCATGGAGCCGAGCACGCTGCCGAAGCAGTGGAACAGTGGCGGTGGGACAACTATACGGTCATCAGGTGTGAGGCCCATACGGCTGGCGATCAGAGCACCGTTATTGAGTATCGACGTGTGTGAGAGCATCGCCGCTTTTGGGACTGATGTGGTGCCCGAGGTGAACTGTATATTGATCGTCTCATCTGGGTTCAGAGAGGAGTCAGGGGTGACGTTGCTGGCTGGGCCAGAAAGAAGCTCTGTAAAGGGCGTCAGAGCCCGGAAGTCGCCGACTGGGAACTCAGCTTTTGGATGCGAGGGCGTGTTGTCCAGGATAACTACCTTTTTCAACGACGGCACGTCGGGTGATTCTATTTTGCGAGTCATGTTTGGGAGAATACCCTGCAGCAGCGACAGGTTACTGCGGCCTTCACAGGGCTTGTACGGCAAATCCGTTACAGCGCCGATGATCAGCACCTCAACGCCTAAGTGAGAAAGGGCGGCGCCTATCTGGGTTGAAGTGAAGCCTGGGTTGAGAGGCACCAAGATGGCGCCGAGCTTGAACATGGCATATGCCAGGGCCATATTTTCCGTGATATTACCTAAACTAACGGCCACTCTGTCCCCTTTCTTGACTCCGAGAGATCGCAGCGAGTGAGCTAATGTGTTCGATAGAGAGTCCAAGTCGTAGTACGTCAATGTTGTAGTTTCTGGGATAGCAAACTTCTTTGCCTTGGTCGGCGAGAGCAGATCGGCATCTGTTGGCGAGCGTGCCATAACTGCTAGCTTGTCGCCATACCGCGAGACAATGGAAGCGAAATGTTCCGGCACAGTTTGCTGTAAAAGTGGTGGCTAAGAATAGTGAGTATCTCGATCTCTCCGGCAATGTCCTCGGAACGCGGGTAGCCGGAGTGATCTCTCGAGGCAACCTTTCACGACATCATGATCAGACTTGAATGAGCAACCTGATCCCCATATCGCAGAAAGTCCACTCAGCGACAGGACCGTCTGTAAACAAGGAGAGGTCCAAACTCACCTCAGTCGGCCCGTCTACATAGCTTAAGTTGGATGTTGCAGCCCCTCTCGTCTGTAGACTACTGCCCTGGGTTGCCAACTTGCGTGCCTCCAAGCGTGATTGAAAGCATCGTGCCACGCCCGAAACACGGCGCCCGCCACAATTACTGCGTACCATTTGTAGCGAAGCCATCTTGGCTACGATCATTGCCTCAACATCCAAGACTGCCCATGGGGGAAAGTAGCCCGCTAACCAATCTGAGGGTAGATCCACCACGCTCAGTGTAGTTGACAGGAGGCTAGATACACGTCAGTAAAGCTTCCTTCTCCATTCGATGTGGAGCACTCACCAATATCAGCCCCAAGTAGAGGCTATACGACAACTTCAGCACTTAGGTATTCAACGCAACTGATTTGAAGATGGAAGTCTACGCGTCGTACTTATGGTCAGCCGCTAATCCACTTTTAGGTATTATGCGGGGTAGCGCGCTGAAAGGCCGAGTCGCATTTGGGGTCAACTTTGAGGCCTACTTAACGCAGGCCTGTGCAACATATTGTTTTGCTGACATCCAACTGGCCGCGGTTCTAGGTGTACTTCCACTTGAATTGAAAAAGCCAGGGAACAAATGTGACAGCACGCAAGCGTTCCGCAGGACGAGCTTGTGTGTAAACCCATTATTAATTGATTCCTAATGGCTAACCGCCTTTGGCAGTGGAAGTGACATTGTCTCTAGTAATTAATGCCATTTTTGGGGTGCGAGCGCGTCATTATGTGCGCACATGTGCAAATGTGACAGCCATCCTGCTATATGTGCAAAAGATCCTCGTGATCATCCATCCTGAGTTCTAGCGTGCGTGTCAGAGAGACGCATCGGCGAGAATTTTGGGTCATCCTGAGCCAAAGCATTCCGTCCTTATCGGTGAAACCTCACGTCCATCTTATCCTCATGCGGAGGCACAAGCATCCGTGTCATAAAGAAACGGCAAATATACATTTAGCTGTAACTGCCGTGGTATCATCTGGACCGTTCTTCCAATCTATAAAGGAGCCATACCCAGGAACGCCATTCCTCTTTTAATGGAATGTCGAAAGCCCGAGGCAAAAACTCTCTTCTTGTAGGTTATCTGTGCGCGCTGACGCCATGTCTCTTTATAGAGACCTCCTCCGGGGATGTTCGGTCGACGGGGTTGGTAATTGTTGCACATAAGCGTCTCGATGGGATCTACAATGGGCGGAACCGTCTCTTTGCCTCCATAAGTCGTGTAAGCCAACTTCATGGGGTACTCCCACTTGATGCGCAGACCGGGGGTGCGGACCCAGGGAATCGAAAAGACGCTGTTAGGGTATCGGATGGCAACCCAGGGCGTGACAAACTCTTCACGGGCGGAGTAGTGGTCGTTGGCATCGAGATCGTCAACAGTCTGCATATAGCGGACGCTGTAGTTTAGCATTCCGAGCGAGTTGCCGACATGACAATGGCCAATGAAATGGTGACACATCCAGGCTTTCTTCGGATCCTTCCAGCACGCATGGTTAATGTCCTTGATTCCTCCATGCTCGAGGCTCTGCATGTATTCTCCCATGACAATACCAGTGTCACGGGACATGCTTATAGAGCGATCGAACTTGTCATCGTCGAGAGTCTCTTTTATCACGTCGCCCCAGACGATGCCTTGAGCATCAACAGGACCACCCTCATCCCAATAGCCGGCATCGACGTACATCCATCGGTCTGTGCCAAAGGGGTTTCTCATGACCGCGTCGTAGGAGATAAAGGTCTTTGCATTGAAAGCAGCGGACAGGTGAGCCCGATTGTACTGCGGGTTGGGTTTCCACTGATTCTCTTTCCCCGTATTCACGTCATAGCCATCAAACTGGGCGAAGATCTGACGTTGCTTGTGATTGAAGTTGTCAAGCTGATAGGCATTGTTTGGGAAATCCCAAACTGTCTTGTACTCGTCAATGACGACCCAATGCTTGTCCGATCGCATCTCCTTGACGGTCTGGGAGAGCTCAGGAGGAACATAGATCATGGTTTGTTCGCCCATCTTGGCGAGGTTCTTGATTCGGCCGAGGTAGACTTGCACGGGTCTTCTCGTCTCTTTGGCTGGGTAGAAAAGAGCAACCAGGACTGGCGCTCCAGGCCGGACTGGTTCGATCTCTGGCTTGGTTCCATCGGGCGAAGCTTCGAACTTGGCCTCAGTGAGACCGAAGAATTCTTTCTGCCAGTCGGCAACCTTCTTGCTCAATGGTCGCTCAGTGGGCTTTAAGTACTGCTTTGGGCTTCTCTGAGCCTTGCGCTCAAAGGCAAACAAGGGCTCGTCAATGGGTGTTAGGTCACGGAGGTTCTCGATGAAGACCAGCTCACGCGACTGCTGGCCTTGGCCCTGATTCTTACTGTGAGACGCGTTATTGCCAAAATCGGCAAGAGGATCTGAGGATAAGGTCAATTTTGAAGTCATGGCCGCGTTGATCCTTGCCAATGTTGGGAACTGTGCTAAACTTGCCAAACGGCAACAAGGGAGGAGGTGATGGAATCTGCAAATCGTTGTCGAAGATGATGACGGTATAGTATATAACGGATGACCAAGAAAAAAGAGAGTCGCGTCGGTTCCCGATGGTTGATGGAGAAGTTGAAGGGGATCTTTTAGTTTATGAATTAGCGATAGGAAAGGTAACGAAAGTGTAGTATGCAACCATGTATCTCGTGCCTGCCGTCGTCAATGGAACAAAGCTTTTTTCAGTGAAGAAAGCACCGCATTTTCCACCTCTGACGCGTGAGCCGAATTTGACAAAGGAAATGCCATGACGCGTCTGCCTTGTTCTGAAAGTACGACAATAAACTCACTCTGAATACCTCCACACGGCCCAGAATAGAAAGAACGGAACAATGAAAAGACCGAGAAATATATATATATCCAGACTGGACAAACCAAGAGTAATGGTAGAGAGCCTAGACTCATATACTGGACGCCATACCTTTGGTACGGCCGTTCACCTCGAACAACAGCAGACGGCTCCAAGTGCAAATAACCATATCTAAATCGAGACCGGGAAAGCCAAGCACAGGGAGCCTGTATTCGTTTATGTAAGACCATGCCTTTTGAACAATAACTTTCATTGCACAACATCGGCCGGGCCTAGCAGACCAAGCCCACAGGCATTTTAACCATGAATGTAACCAACATCATGACCTTTCGAATGATGAGTATTGGAAAGAACGACAAGTCGAAACTGAGCAAGCTAGCAACCAAAGAGATCTGTATTCATATACACAATATCTTGCCTTTTGAATGATACTATATGGGGAGAATGACAATATGACCTTACAGTACTTTCCCCTTGGACATACACATTTGCGGATTGGGCCAGTTGGACGTCAGGAGTACCAAGCGGTTAAGAGCCAAGGCAAAGCGGGAATTACCGGAGAAGTATCACCGAGACACTATTAACTTGTTCTTGTATGTTACAGCACGGTTACGTTACACGAGGAAACCAGTATCTTAGAGCTATGTTGAAGCTTTAAGATAGCTGCATCATATTAGTGCTCTTACGGAAAACACATCTACGTTAATAGTAGGTTAGCGGGAAGCCCTCTATTTATGGCCCTAAGTAGAGCGAAGTTTCTCTATTCGGTTCACCGAAAATTGTATTTATACTATTAGCTGTATAATTCTTACCTGGTGTGGGCAATAGAGAATGTATTGGTAGTGGTGATGATAATGATGATAATACTAAGTCCTAGGAATCTGTAGCTACGGCAGGGCTATCTATAGCCAGTTAGTCCCAGCGCTACACCCAGCTGATGCGAGTGCATATGGGGCGTGAATTGTTCTATTGGGAAAGGATGGCCAGGTCATCTATTCTGGCCCGCAGAGCTCGTTTATAGCTCTTATCTTACCTATATTATCTATAGCACAGGATAACCCCCATGGGGTCACGTATCACCAGCACACAGGCAGCGTGCCTGGGCCAACGCAACACGGTATATCTAGCCAATACGAGAGTACAGTCCCTATTAAGGCGGTATAGAAAGTCTCAAAATATCTACTTACTAATAGCTCTAATTTAAACTATGACTTTCGTTACAGCTAGAAATGAACATCTGCTTGTAACCTGAACAAAGCATCACGTTATATACACGGAGATAGAACCCCCATGCTTAGGCTATCTAGTCTAGGTTATAAGAGCAAACCATTTGTACGTGTAATAGTTGCATACAGTAAAAGCATACAACAGGTCGTCTATCGTCACTCAGTGAGGGAATTCTAGAACATGCTCCTCTCAATGAGACTATCGAGGCATGCGTGTATAGCAACTATTCAAGACCCCCTGTGCCATGCAAATTTGACTGTTATCAAGCGGCGCAGCCTCATACCTATAAATAGCGCAACAATCGCAGAGGCACAGTACTGCCCAGTAAAGCGGAGAAACTAAAAATGCGAGCAATGGACCGCAAAAGAAGATCAACGAAAAGCACTTTAGTAGCAAGAGTTCATCTGTCAGGAACTCAAGGCTCCAGGCCTCGTATCTTGGAAAGTAAGACCTGTGCATAGACAGGAATAATAGAGCGCACCAGCACAATGTGATAATGCGTGGCCAGGAGTTCGACCATACATGCATACATGGCACGCATTTGCACAGTTGGTGAGGTAGATTAGATTCTCGTTGAAATCCGAAGGAGCGCATTCAACACATGTTGCTGAATGTTGCCACTATTGCGACCCCTCCTCTCTCTCTCTCTCTCTCTCTCGCACCGGCATCGTACGTGCTGGCGCCGCGCCCACTGACGGGCTAGAAAAGAGTCATCTTGGACACATTATGGCACTCTGCCCCCCTCCGGTGCCAACGCCATACTCTATGCATTTTGGGTATATACAGCTCATGCGTTTCATCGTGTATTTTGGAACTCAATGCATGCAAGCTGCGCCTGGCGCCTTGTCTAGACCGAACAGAAAAGGGAAATAAAAATGCAAGAAGGTCAATGAGATGGGCTGGAGGTGTGCCCCTTTTTCCAATGCTCATATGGTGCAATAACAAACCGCTAATTCGTCTCCCCAATGTGCCGTTCTGATTCCGGCTTCCATGTGCCTGGGAGATGTTGGTTAGTCATCATGAAGCAGAATGAGAGCGTAATTAGTCACGTACCTTCGAAATCATGCTTGACGAAAGCCATTGGATCGTCAACGGTCTTTGCGCCCATCTGCCCAACACCCGGAGAGAAGCTCGTGATGGGTAAGACAACCACATCCCCCACCTTCTTCGGACTTTCAATCCCCGTAAAGTTCAGATATGAGATATTGCCCTTACTATGGCTCATATCGAAATAGCGGTTGTCGTTGAAGTAATCGAAAATGACGTCGGTCCAAATGGCCGGGCCGGTGAACTCCACTACGCTCTTTTCTTTGGACACGAACAGACCTTCGCGCTTCCTTTTCAGGGTCTCGTGGGTGATGCGTGACACGATATCGCGGAGTACAGGATGGCCAGGCTTCGATTGAATGGTCCACTGGCAGAATTGAATGCGACGGCTGTACCATTCCATCCAGTCAGGACGATCGGGATCAGCCTCAATTCCGATCACCAGACCTAGGCTCTCCTTGGGCACTTTGTCTGGGATCCACTCTGATGCGCTTTTGATGGCGAATGTGTCAATGTCCGAGTAGATTCCGCCTCGTGCCAACAGGATTAGATAGCGGAAGTAGTCAGCCTTGAGAACTGGTTCCGGGAGGGCGTCGTAGGCCTCCAGCACCTCGGGGACGGCAGCGTAGAGAAGTCGTATCAAGTGGATAGCGACCTGATCGGTGATGACTTCGTGAATGAAACCGGGGTGTTGTTCGGTCCAGCTTGCTTCTTGCTCCCGGAAATCAAATTCCTTGTTCGCAGGCGTCCACTTCCACGTCTGCCAGATGTAGGCGGGAAACTTCGTTTCGACGTCATAGGGGTATTGGTATGCTAGCTTGTCGTACAGTGACATCTTGTGCATGTCCTGCAGGTTCTCGCGGGCCGGAACACGGTTTTGTCGCAGTAACGAGGACTCGTCAGAAGTATAAGATGCAAGGTTCTTGCCAGACTTGTCGTCGTCTGCAGGTTTCTTGGGGATTGGCGGCCCCAAGGATTCGTCTGCGGAGGTGGTGCCATGGGACTGCCGCAGAAGAAGGAAGACAGTCAGGAAGAAGGCGGCAAAAACGAGAGCCCGTTTGAAGGACAACATCTTGGCGATGTTGCCTCCCTGGCTGTGAGTCACGCAATCGGCGTCGTGTATTCGACGACGGGAACGTGCTTCGATCGGACACTCAGGGTCGAGATGGGGGAGTTACGGTCGGTGTAGCATCGAGCAGGTTGTGGACGTAGACGTTGACGCAGGGGGATCGGAGGTGGAGAGCGGGAGGTGCAGAAACTTAAACGACAATAGGACGGCAGCACTGCAAGGAGGGAAAAGAAGGAAATGCGTGTCGGTTACCACAATGACGGGAGCTTGATCTCTGCTGGCTGACTCTGCCGAATCTAGATGCACACCACACGTCCCAAGGTTCGGCGAGCGGTTTGCCGCAAGAGCTTGCAGGAAAATCTCCAATGATTGATGGCAACCGCTGTCTGTGCTGGTCCCCTGGACTCCAGGCTTGGCGCGATTTTATACTTCCGGGCACAGTCCAGGTACGCACCTGCCAATCCACGAACACCCCAGCAAGCGCATATGTGGGAACCCTACATGTGGTCTATTCGCATCGCCCCGCCGACTCGCCGAGGATTCCACGGCTTCTTTTCGACTTGAATTGGAGTGAGAGGGTGGGACTGATGTGGGAGGCGCAATAATCTTGCGACTTGTGATCGGTTCCGCAGAGATGGTCAGGACAATTAGCCGACGCTACGGGGCGTTTTGAAGAGCCTAGCGAGTCAGAAAATCAATTCCTTTCGCCGCAGCGTGATCCACCATCCTTGGATGCCACGCAAACTCGGCCAGTAACCAGCGAGTCTACTTATAGAGAACACGCGTCGGATTACTCACCTCGCAGCCACCTTCACGAGATGTCGAGACGTATTCTGATAGCAGCAATTCGGTATCAAGGCTAAATTACCCAGGTGCCACTACAGAGTGAGTTTCTGATACAATGATACTGACCCACAGGATTGCTGCCAAAGGTTGGACAGTTATTTTGTCTGATATTGCGTGCTAGGTTCATAGCCAGCTTAACCTCGCAGGAAGATGCTGGCTAGAGGGAATTTCCATTTTTGAAAGTCAGAAACCCGCCCCAAGGACTGCCAATTATCTATCCAGGGCTGCTCGGATGAGCGCAAATTCAGATGGCTACGAGTTGATGACTGCAGATGACTGTAGTTTGAAATTGCTGACTTGTTCCCTTGGATGACAGCATTTCCTATCAGAGCCGACCCGCAATGCCAGGGTACCCTTTCGAGAACCCCGAGGAAGATCGGTGCCAAGCTTTGATGCCATTGGTATGCATTTGTTGAAACGAATGCTACCCACCCATCTGTACGGAGTAAGCGAGTTCTTCGAGGCGAGGTTCGCAAGTCGATATTCAAAATGGCATCTCGCAAGATGTGCTCATTTCTATCCGGGCACTACTACGGTATCAGGCCAAAGTTTTCACCCCCCTGACAAGTACCAGTGGACCACTGCCAAGGCAACACTATACTAATTCTGGCCTAGCCTACTCATGCCAACGAAAAGGTACTTCCACCTCTGATTCCAACTTGCCGTCAATAACGCGTCCTCATTATCGCGTTTCAGTAACCACAATGGGGGACTAAACACCTTACGGAAGCCGATCGCCAACGAATTCGAATCCTCTATTTCGACGGTGGTAAATCGAAAGCCGGAATTCATACTATTACAACATTTTCTATTAATCAGATCAAGACAGCTATTAAGGCCTCTTCAAGCCAGGTAGCTAAGAGATCTGGTAGACCCCGGACTTTATCTCGTGAGCAAGAAGAAGAGCTCGTTACATATGTAACTAGTTCTAAGCAAGGCCGTAGAGCCTCATTCCTCCAGTTGTCAATCATCCTTTTCCAGTCCCTCTTCGGAGTTTACGTTATACGAACTACCCTCCGCCGGCTCGGATTCAAGAGACATACTGCGCGCCGAAAGCCTCCTATCTCAGAAGTTAACCGACAAAAACGCTTCGCCTGGGCCCTCGAACATGTCAGCTGGACACCAGAGCAATGGGCTCAGGTACTTTGGACCGACGAGACATGGATTACAGGAGGACACCATCGAAAACAGTACGTTACACGACGACCAGGAGAGGAATGGGACCCGACCTGTATTATCGAACGACACCAACATAAACAAGGCTGGATATTCTGGGGCTGTTTCTCAGGCCTTGGAAAAGGACCGGGAATCTTCTGGGAAAAGGATTGGGGTTCTATTACTGCCGAGACATATCGATCCCACACAATTCCTATTATCGATGGCTGGATACAACCCTGTCAACGAGACCTCGGTACACACCTTACATTAATGCAGGACGGCGCTCCCGCTCACTCGGCAATTGATACAGTCACAGATCTTACGGATAGGGGCATTAATATAGTCCAGTGGCCACCTTATTCCCCTGATCTAAACCCGATAAAGATGTGCTGGAACTGGATGAAGGACTACATTGAAGATAAATACGGTATTACTGAAAAGCCTAGCTATGATCGTCTTCGGATATGGGTAAAGGAGGCTTGGGATGAATTACCTGAGAGCTACTTACAGGAGCTTTTGAAATCAATGCCAGAGAGGTGCGAAGCGGTGATCGCGGCCAACGGAATGCATACAAAGTACTAGTAAAATGTATTGGATGCATATGCCAAGAGTTAGCGCGTGCCAAGGTGGGGCACGGTACAAACACACAATTGAAAACTTACCCATAACACCATAGTACTCACTCTACCCAAGGCTGTTCGAGTATTTCTACGATAGGGCTAGAGATTAAGTCTCGCCGTTATTGAGTTCTATAATGATGATGACGACGGACCACTCGCAATTCGAAAGCTAAACCGACAGTGTACCCGCTCTCCCCACTAAGAAATCTGAGACAAATGAGGAGCATCACGACGAGTTGCGCGCCGTCTAATGAAGTACCTGCCACAACATCACAGACTCCCAATCCGCGCTGGATGTGATCTACGTAGATCAATCGTAGCACTGGCATTCTGTTGCCTGAAGATCACGATCCCAGATTCCCAGCACGCTGGCATGGACAACTCCAGCTCCAGTAAACTCTGTCCACAAGGCGGCAATGCGCGGAGCTTCGTTTCAGCCTGTCCCAAGGAGCTCAGTTGCCAAGCTTTGGCACCCAAGTCGCATGCCAAATTTATCTTTGATCCCGTCTTCCGTCTCAAGTCTCAAAATGCGACGAGATATTAGATTGGCTAGACATGCGATCAATTCCAAAAAAAATTTGTCAAACGACTCAGCCACTGCTTTGACAATGTTCACTTGCATTGTAACGGCGGAACAACACATAAACCCGAATAATCTGTGAACTGAGGAATTCAATCCTCTATTGATGACTCTGCGTAGATCCTCTGTTGATTGATCTATCTATCTGCTCTGTTGTGTCTTCTGTGTAGCTATTTTATCTATGAGGAAGGGTTTTGACCCCACTAGTGCAATTGCCGCTACACCGCCTTCGGCCTAGGGCATAACCGTGGCGCTCAATCCCACATGAACGACGTCCTAAATCTTTTTTATCGTCCGCGGCTTCATGCTTACATGTGTGTACTGACATTATGAGTGAATTCGAAGCGCAATGCTGTCACAACCCAACTCGAATCAATGTCTCGACACGACAGCAATCAATTTCAAAGGGGTTTGTGTGCAGCAAATTCAAAAAAGCGGTTCCCTTCCGTACCATGAAACCTTTCTATATCCAGCTCATAGAAAAGAGGGTAATTCACTGAGACCATTTTCCGATTATGCTCATCGACTACACTTCGGTACCACGTATGGTTGGCTTGCGTGTGGGCCGATTGGTGATGGGAACCGGTGGTACCCCCAGACTTTTGCTTCGTTAATTTTCTTCCCGGTCTCTCTGGTTGCTCATTTCTTGATGGCTGATCTAGAGAGCTCTGCACTGGAAAGCAGACAACAGAGTGCTCTACAAACTGCTTGCACCATCGGTTTGCCCAGCAGCTTAAGTACTACATCGACTTTTCTCCGCAACCCCTCCATTTTGCTACATTTTGCTACGTCTTTGCCACTCTCTGCCATCATCTGAGTTTCGCCGAATTGCCATCGGAACCGAAATCTGACATTCAGTTGCCTCGTTGTGCTGTCAAATAGCTTCGTAGAGCCTACAACTGCGCAAAATGGCATTAGTCAAGAGCGATACCGAGATGCATCCCCTGCGGCCACTTTCGGAAGATGAATTTCTCAAGGCGAAGGACATTCTTATCAAGTCATATCATGTAGACAGCAACCTACTCTTCCGGTCCATCTATATTGAGGAGCCCCCAAAAGCGGACTTGATCAAGTTCCTAGCTGCTGAACATGGGGAAGCAGGCCGAAATGAGTCGGTACCCAGCCTGCCACGACTGGTCAAGTTCGTCTACGATGTGATCAAGGGGCCAGGAGAGCATCAGCTCACTGAAAAGATCATCGATATCAACTCGGAAGAGGTTGTGCACCATCAGTCGTACCCAGCGTGGTGTCAAAGCAGTTATACCATGTATGTCGTGCACTTCATTCTCCAACCAATCGCCAACTTATCTATCCGTCAGGCCAGAATTTGCGGCCTTTCAAGATGCCTGTGTCTCCTCTGACCTGTTTAAGGAAGCTCTGAAGGAATTTGAGCTGTCCTCGAACTTCGCTATCACCATTGACCCCTGGCCATACGGTGGCCTCGAGGCTGGCGAGAAGATGCCTCGCTACATGCAAGGTCTTGTGTACGCCCGCGATGCATCCAAAGACAACTTGGACTCAAATCATTACTCATATCCCCTTCCCATCATCCCAGTCATGGACGTAGTCCACAAGAAACTTGTCCGGATCGACCGCCTCGCAACCGGCGGCCGGGACGACCCTCTCGAGCCAACCCCGCCAAGCGGGACCCCCAAGAAGCTCTTCACGGCCAACAAACCCGCTGAATACGTGCCCGAGCTGCTTGACCGTCCCCTACGCACCGACTTCAAGCCCATTGATGTAACCCAACCCGAGGGCGCCTCGTTCACGGTGCAAGACTCGTCCCTCGTGACCTGGCAGAACTGGCGCTTCCGCATCGGCTTCACCCCGCGCGAAGGCGCGGTCCTGCACGACATCTGCTACGCCGGCCGACCGATCATCTTCCGGCTCTCCTTCTCAGAGATGACGGTTCCCTACGGCGATCCGCGGCCGCCGTACCATCGCAAGCAGGCATTTGATTTCGGCGACGGTGGGTGTGGCCGCGCGGCCAACAACCTGCAGCTCGGGTGTGATTGTCTCGGCGCAGTGCACTACCTGGATGCTTGGCTCACCAATACGGAGGGTAAGCCGACGCTAGCTAAGAACGTGGTATGTCTGCATGAGCAGGACAACGGCATTGGGTGGAAACACACCAACTATCGGACAGAGCGCGCCGTGGTGACGCGGCTGCGTGAGTTGGTCGTGCAGTTCGTCGTTACGCTCGCCAATTACGAGTACATTTTTGCGTACAAGCTCGACACGGCGGGCGGGATAACGATCGAGACGAGAGCCACCGGAATCGTGAGCGTGGTTCCCATCGACGAGGGCAAGACAAGTAGATACGGCAATGTGGTCTCCCCCGGCGTCCTGGCGCAAAACCACCAGCACATCTTCGCAGTGCGGATCGACCCGGCTATCGATAGTTACGATGCGGGAAGCACGCACGTAGTGCTGGAAGAGAGCCATCCCGTACCCATGAACCCCGAGACGAACCCTTATGGGAACGGGTACAAGATTCGGCGCACGCCCGTCACGAGGCCTATGTTTGCCGATGCGGAGCCAAAGCTCAACCGCACGGTGAAGCTGGAGAACGCGAACAAGAAGAATGAGACCAGTGGCAACAATGTGGGGTACAAGTTCATCCCCAATGCGACGCAGTTGATGCTCGCGGACCCGGAGAGCACGATGGCTAAAAGGGCGCCGTTTGCGAGACATCATCTTTGGGTTACGGGGTATCGGGATGGGGAGCTGTGGGCTGCGGGCGATTTTACGAATCAGAGCCAGATGGAAGTTGGCGGGGTAAAAGCTATGGTGGAGCGGGGAGATTGGTTTGGTGGTGCTGAGAGGACCGCAAATGACCGTAAAGGGGCTGATGGGGAGGCCAATGGCAACGGTAGTGGCAATGGGAGCGGAAATAGCCAGGGCAAGCTGAGTATTCCGGTTGTGTGGAATGTCTTTGGATTGACGCATAACCCGAGGACCGAGGACTGGCCAGTGATGTGCGTTAAACCTACTCTTCCCTCATCCAGTATTTGTATACTAACACTACATCAGGCCCGTCGAGATCCACCAATTACATATCCGGCCAGCGGACTTCTTCACGACTAACCCTGCCCTCGACGTCCCGGGCACCAAGAATGACACTAGCGTCTTAGTGTCCTGCTGTGGTAAAGAGAAGACCACTGCTGAGAATGGAGGCAAGGCTAGTGGTGAGGTTCAGCGGGACCCCGTCGTGCATTTGCAAGGTACGGGGTCGGATATTGACCCCAAGAACATTGGGGGCTAATTGCAGCGACAATTGGGGTGGCATGAGGATGAAAAAGGGTGACGGCGACTGTCGACAACGCTGACGACCCTGAGTGGTAAGGAGTAAGGGGCAACTGAATATTTTCTAGACTTGCTACAAAGACGTAGAGAATATACCATCTTTTTCATGTCTCTCATATCACGGTTCGTAGCCCATCGCGCAAGCACTTTTCTATGCTGGATATATTGTTCGCCGAGGTACAGACTATTGACAGCGCCAGTGTGCCTTCACTGCAATCGTAGACCTCATAAATGGGCTGCCACGGTAAAACTAGGCAATCTTAGATGGTGCCGGTGACATGTCAGCCTTATTAACAGCTTTAACTGCAATCTGAGCCCCATGAAAGGGCTCCTATGGGAAAATCAGGCACTCTGAGGAACGAATTATGCGAAGATAGCTATCACCGCAATTTACAAGCCAAGGCGTGGTGTGGGAAGATTGAGAAACTTGAGGTTGGCTGGTAGACAGCCAACGGATGTGTTCTTGACTGCAAGTTTAGGCCTCATGAAAGAGGCAGACATTGCGAAGTGACCATTCGAGCGCTATCAAATATGATTGGTTTGGTCGATGTCATTGTGTTTTTAGCTTGCCATGAACCTGACGGAGGCTGTGGTTTGGAGAGGCCATATGGTCACAAAGAAGGCAGAGTGCGAATGAATTCCTATTTATTACAGTGACAAGTCTCGTACAGTGGGGGCATAATTGAATAAACCCCAGGTTGGTAGTGGTATTAATTGGTAAAATTGGGGAGGGGATAGTCGAATCTACAATCCGAAGAGTGAGTGATTCGTGTTCCTTGTTGGGGATGCTGCCTTGAAAGTGCTTTCAATCTCCTGCTGTGGAGGGAAGCCTGGTTACTCCGCGAAGATTCCTGAACATCGGCAGGTATCCTAACTGGTATGCTGATACCGATGCTTATGTGCTGTTTTAATTTGCTAGTCGTTCCCTGGCCTTTCAACAAGAGACTAACTGGCTGCAGATGGAAGAGCCTTGCCCAATCTCTGTCATGTTTGGTGAAATTTGATGACTAGAGTGTACACTGAGTATGAATCGGCCAAGAACTGGGAGCGTATGAGGTTGGGCCATCCTAAGCTTCCTTTCCTTGGCCTTGTTCCTTCTTTTCTTGACTTTGTTCGATCTTCAGTGAAAAGTCCACGTGCGGTGTGCCCTGGTGGATTGAGCTGGTTGAGATAATATCGATGTCTGATGACCGTTAGCATTCATGTTGCCTAATTTTATGGCGAACCGACTTACCATTGCACACATAAGCAGCAATATTATCCTCTCGTAAGCCTCCACTAACTTCAATCAAGAAATCCTTTTTGCCCTGCCACTTCTGTCGCAAGCTCTGCGCAGCAATTTTGACTCCGTCTCCTGTGAAGTTATCCAGCATGACCACATCTGCCCCAGCCTCGATGGCCTCGTCCGCTTCCTCCTCACTCTGAACCTCAACCTCAACCTTGAGAGCAAACCCACCCACCCCCTTCGCAGCCTTGACGGCATCTGCGATGCTTCCGCGACTCCACACATGGTTATCCTTGAGCATGATCATCGAGCTCAAGTCCATCCGATGCTGATCCGCACCCCCCACCAACATGCCATATTTCTCCACCAGCCGAAACCCCGGCGTCGTCTTCCTTGTCCCAGCCAATATGCCCGTATACCCTTCCTTCCTTAACCCAGTAACCATCTTCCGACTCACAGTCGCAATGCCCGAACACCTTGCCAGAAGATTCAACCCCACTCTTTCGCCGAGCAGCAAGCCCCTCGCGGGCCCCGTCACGGTAGCGACTTTTGTTTTCCCCGCGCCTCCGTCCTGCTGCATCACCTCACTGCCCTCTGGGGCGTGCCACTCGACGGCGCAGTTGCATTGTTGGAAGATCTCGGTGAAGAAGGGAACACCGGCCAGGACGCCGGGGCTCTTGCCCCAGAGGGTGGCCGTGCTCGGGGTGTCGCCGACGACGAAGCCAGCGTAGTCAAAAGACGGGGTGTCTTCGGCGAGCCAGGACGTGATGGTGGCTTTCCAGCTGGGTGGGAGGAGGTGCTCCGGTGAGCCGAGATCTAGGGGGGTTTGGATGGTAGTCATTGGGGCTTGGCTCAGTGGTTTGGCTCGGTAGGAATGAGGGAGTTGGAACAACAGGACTTGATCCAATGCATCACGATACTAGTTAAAGATAAAAATAATATAGGATGTGTCTATCGTAGCAACACCTTATATAAAGTTGTCCTGATGATATAACGTCTTTGTTTGAGCCGAGACAACCCGCACTTGCCAATTGCGGGGGTTTGATAAGATAAAGCGGTGTTCATAGGTTATGCTTAGTACTTTAGTACCTCAACCCTAACTCTATTCTGAACCCTAACTCCGGTGTTCCACCCTAGGGATAAATAAGGGTATCGAAGTCAATTCAAGCAATTACTGATAATAATACGTCTGAAAGTCCAAGGCCTATTCCCTCATCATTCTATCACTGCTCGGGCGACAATAGGCTCTTGGATGTTCTCTGGATCCAACACAAACAAAAACAACACCTCAATCCTTCCGATCCCCGATGACCTCTACTACAAAACAGTGTGATATGTCTGGGGAAACCCCAATGTTTGCCGGACAATGTTTATCGGTGGACAAACTACAAAATTCACCCAAAACCTAGTGGCTGCTCTCAGATAACTTCACTATCGCTTCCATGAACGGCAACTTTGGGTGGACGCTTTTTGCATCAACCAAGCCGACGATGGAGAGAAATCGCACCAGGTCAATCCAATGAAAGAGAACTACTCTGAAACTTCGATGGCCCTCTGAAGGAATCAGGGCACGCGTTGACCAGTCCGACGACTCTCCCATGGTAGAAACGAATCTGGACAGTTCAGGAAGCTGTCTTACCGAAAAGGGGCACTTTCATAAACAGGCACTGTGCAACTTCCATAATCCAAGGTCCTTTCGGCATTCAGGTACTCCTTGAATCATTACGGTCGAGTTTGCTGCACAGTGACGTTGAGTCTACTCCCATTCTGAGACGCGACTCAAGCCATCGAGTCGGTCAGAAATCTACTCGGGATGCATACTATTGGGTATGTGCTTTCAAACCTTGTTCGAGGCCGCCAGATATCCGATCCAAGAGATAAAGTATTTGATATGCTGGGACTGGCCAGAAAGATGTCTGCTGCCTACTCTCTTTCGCGGTCGCAAGTTTACGAACGTCCCATTCGTAGGCTGATTGCTGAGTTGAACAACCTCAATCCTCTGTTGAGAACTGAGGCATGCAAAATCTCGAGATTTGCCGACATGGGTTCCTGACTGGTGTGCGAAGTCCTTTGAAGATAATGCAAACGCGGAGATTTATTGGATTAACAAGTACCAGTTCTGTGATGCAGCTGGCGGAGCACTTGCGACGATGAAGGACTCGTCTTCGTTAGGCTACAGAGTCTTTGTCAGACCAAGACTTCAGTTTCTTCATGCACAGGCATCTGTTTATCATTCGTAAGGGTATGATTGGCGTTGGGTTTCGGGAAGTTAATGCCAGGGACGAAGTCTATGTCCTCTTGGGGGAGAAAATGGCTTTCATATTGAGACGGACTGAGGAAATCAAAGATGATCGCTATAGGCACGAATATGCCGGACACGCATTTGTTGATGGTATCATGGATGGAGAGGTGGTGAGTCAGTAATTAGTATCTGGATATGGTTTAATGTAGTATTGTCACTAATAAGGCAGTCTACAAAGGCAAGTGATGCAATGGGACGTATCAGACTTGCACACGGCGCCTTGCTTGAGGATGCTCACAGGATAATGATGTCCAGTGGTGATGCGCCGAGTATATCTGAAGTATACAACTATGGTTTTGCCCAATTGCTAGGGCGACCATCATGGCGGTACTCTGTATCGATGATGAGCCCCGGATACTTTGTAGCGGTGACTAAGCCCAAGGAAATATAAGCAAGAAGATGCTGGACTCCCAACAACCAGGTATCTCTGGAAATACCTAGTAGAGTGGTCCAAAGGTCACACAGAAGGAACAAAAGCCAAGACTCTAGTACTGAAATATTAAAATAAGGAAGCAGTCAAGGAGGGTCGCCGCAGTGTCGAAGGGTGGAACTGGGCGATGGCGGATAAGTGGCTCATCGTAGCCGAATCAAGCCAGAGATTTATGAATTATTTGCCGGTTGAGACGATAACGGAGTTGGACCAGGCTGTTGACTGGGTTATCCAGAACCTCCAAGAGATCGCCGACGTGGCGGTCCCGAGACGCACCGTTGGCCGAGGCGCTGGGGTCCCGTGGTGGTGCCCGCAGGTTAGCAAGGCTTGTGCTGAGACGAAGAGACGACGGCGGGACTACCTCCAGGCAAGGTCGCAGACCAACTGGGACAAATATACAAGAGCCGGCCAAAAACAACGGCTCGAAATCAGCGAAGCGCAGACGCGTAGCTGGCACGAGAAGCTCGAGGGGACGGCGAAGGATCACAAAAGCCTGTGGGCACTGCAGAGGTGGGCTAGGCTACGGATCTGGGCCCCCCCTGAGGCCCACGGGTTGCCAGATCTCCGGAGGGACACCGGCGACACGCTTACGGCACGTACACATGATGAGAAGGCAAAATTACTAGCTGAGAGGTTCTTCCCAGACCCGTGTATAGATCTATCGGACCTCGATCGCGGCCTATTACAGACGAGACCAGAGCTGAATGTCCCTAGGGAGGTGACCACAATGGATATCGAGTCTATCATCAAAGGAACGGCTGCTTGGAAGGCTCCCGGCGACGACCTGATCCCCACTGGCCTGCTAAAGGCCTGCGGTGAACCCCTATGGGAGATCCTAGTGGATCTGGCAACAGCTAGTTTTAGGCTGGGGTACTACCCGGAGCGCTTCCGCTCAGCGAGGGTGGTTGTTATCCCTAAGCCTAATAAAACGACAGCTCAGAAGCAGACCCCTGGCGGCTGGCGCCCCATTGCCCTGCTTAGCACGGTAGGGAAGGTAATAGAGACGGCGATGAGCCAGCGTATCACCAAAGTAGCTGAGACGGCCGGCCTACTACCAAACGGCCAAATGGGTAACCGCGCTGGGAGGTCCACCGAACTGGCTATACGTATAGTTGAGGACGTGGTCTATACGGCGTGGAGACGCGGGGGCATCACGTCGCTGCTACAGCTAGACATCAAGGGGGCATTCGATACGGTCAATTACAGACGGCTGATTTCCATATTAGCCCGGAAAGGCTACCCGGAGTGGGTTCAGGAGTGGGTACGCAGCTTCGTGGAGGATAGGACGGTACGCCTCCGGTTCGATGGCAAGGAGTCAGAGCCAATCCCCCTACGAGCTGGCGTCCCCCAGGGGTCACCGCTATCCCCGATACTGTTTATATTATACATTTCAACGCTGTACGAGGAGCTAGCGGAGCAGCACCCACTACTTTTAGTAGTCGGGTTCGCGGACGACACGAACCTGCTAAGCGTCGGCACCGATCCATACACGACCTGCCGCCGGTTGGAGGGCGCATGGGCTACGTGTTAGCGGTGGGCAGTGAGGCACGGGATGGAGTTCGCCCCTGACAAGAGTGAGCTAATGCACTTTACTAGGGCCCGAGAGCCCTTGCCGCAAAGTATTCGCCTTGGGGACGCCACAGTGTCGCCGGTAGTCTCAGCGAGGTTCCTAGGAGTCTGGTTCGACCGCAAACTGACGTGGCACGCCCATGTTGAGCGTGTTAAAACAAAAATGGCAACTCAAAAGCTAGCCCTGACAAAGCTAGTCAATATGTCGTGGGGCTGCGATCTTATACGGGCGAGGCTGTTATATACGGTGGTTATCCGTAGCGCGATCGCCTTCGGGGCGACTGCGTGGCATACTATAAGTGAGGAACCGGCAGGGCCAGCTAAGAGCCTGATGGGGATACAGAACGAGTGCCTCCGGGTAGTCTGTGGCGCCCACAAAGCGACGCCGGTTCGCCACCTGGAAGCAGAAGCAGCAATCCCGCCACTAGACCTCTATCTTAGTGCCCGGGCTGCTAAGTTTGAAGAACGGCTACGGCTTAGCGGGAAGAGAAATCTGCTTCGCAGCGCGAGCGCTAAAGCGTCACATATACTCCGTCAGGATAGGCCGGCGAAGAGGAAGCAGGCGTCGCAGCTACTCCGACCGGCAGGGTACACTATGGAGAAGGAGGCCCGGGGCTCCGAGTGGATGAGTGAGGAAAAGGAGGTCCCGGCTGCCCTCCTCGGCCACTGGAGGAAGAGATGGCTCACCGGAGCAGAGCATCACGATCGCCAGCGACGCGCTATCCCTGAGGAACTGGAGGGCCCTTCGATGCAGATACCGAAAGGGGGCAAGTATTTCGGCCTGAACCGACTGGAGGCGTCTACGCTGTGCCAGATCCGGGCGGAAAAAATAGGACTAGCAGCCTTCTTATTCAAGACAGGGGCTTTTGGCGTGTACTCGACGCTATGCCGCTGTGGCGACGCCCCTGAGACGGCAGAGCACGTAATTCTCTTTTGCGGGCTGTTGGAAGGACCGAGGGAACGATTACGGGCCGCTATCGCACCACGGCCACTATACTCTCGCAGAGACCTCGCAACGGCAACAGGAGAACCAGTAGTTAGTGGGACTATTGTAAGGTGGCTGCTAGGGACGGGTCGGACAGCTTCAAGGCCCAGATAGCATCGGTCTTCTCAGGGGGGACTTTGTTGGTAGGTTGAGAACCAACGTAGTATGGTAGTGAACGCAACGCAGTCGCCAATAGGGCGAACCGACGACGCAGCGTATGTATTTGGTCCAGCCATTAAGGCACGGTTTGACATACGGGAGTACTGGTAGAGGTACCGGGGGCTTCGAGCCTACGGCGTATTTAATAATAATAATATTAAAATATGCAAAATATGTTTAAATTATCCCTTCGTGGAGATAGAAGGCTCTAGACTTCGTCCTAGCGGTAGCGGATACAGGTATCCTGAAGTAAAAATATTCAGCACCCGTGTGGCTACCCGTGTGGCTACCCGTGTGGTTGCCCGTGATCACCCCTTTCCTTTAGTGCCTAATAGTATCAATGGCCCTTCTCAGACACCTCTTCGGTAGGTGTATAGAATTGTGCTTATTTCCCTTATATCCAACTAGCCTGGCTCTTTCCATTCACAATTCCAGCCAATCCTGAAGTAAGCTATAAATAAGAGTTAGTTCCAGATCATGATGAACAACTTGCAAAACTCGGGCGCACCTACTCATTCTTCTTATGCGCTCGCAACGAACCCAGGCAGTAACGCGAGAAGCCTGACGATGTTACATCCATCCCAAATTCTTCTTAATGTATTCCAAGAAGCTCCTCAACTCAACACAAATACGTTCTATTATGGTACTATATCTGGTTCGTTTCCGTCCCGAGTCATCATTCATGCTTCTCTTGACGCCATATCCAGATATGAACGGTCACAGAGCTGTACTGTTAGTCCTTGCCGCCTGCCCTGTTTGCGGAGAAATTCTGCATCTGCACTACGCAAGATTTTGCCGTTTTTGTCCCAATTCCGAGATCGCTGGCCTTTGAAACATGAATTCGTCCTTATTTCTTGCCTTGCGACGCTTGTCTCATATATCCATGTTTGCCGTCTAGTCATGTCACTGGTCCCACCACTTAGCAACCAAGCTGCCCAGGGCTGGCCTTGTGCGCCACCTCGGACCGAAAATAATCAACCCGGTTCTGAATCTTGATGTATATTAGTCTCTTTTTATAAAGACATCTAGAATGATAGCGTAGTGGCTAGAGTTGCAACCCCTAACGCAGCGTAGCAGACGTTGATAAACCGGAATTCAAGTACAAAACTATCACAGAAATATAGATAATAAGGCATTCTAACGAAATTTAGACCGGGTTAGACCTTGGTAAGTAGACCTCTGGGGTCGGCCGCGTTTCGGGTCTAAACCTAACAGAGCCTATAAAAGACCCTGTAAGACTTCTGAATAGAATGGACAGCTAAGATATCTTTCCTCTTTTCCTTTTTCAAAAAATCGGTTCATATAGCGGTAATCACGGTAAGTCAAGCGGATTAACTAGCCGAGGCGAGTACGTCAAGTAAATAACTATGTTCATTGAAGTGCTTTATTGTTACAAACCATTGGTTTAGGACAAACTAACCGGCCGTAAGCTCGACCCGAATGCCCACCACGGGACCGGAACTCTGATGCGGCGATCCGATTACGATGGTACAAAAAAATCACACTCATTCCCGAGACTATCGAAACAAAACCCACCACGGAGTAGGAACACAAAACTACCAAACAAATCAGAAAGTCTTGAAGGAACGAGTACAGCCATTCCAAGGTGAAATCACGTGATGGATCACCAGAGGAATGTTGTCAGAGAACTGAATGCTACAGGCACCGGTGTATGGACATGCGAGTCATGACCTAATATGGAAGTCTTGGTATACGGAACAATCGGACGAACTAGTGCTCTACGGCTCCAATATACGGGATCTACAGCTCCGACTCCGGGCTCTAGCTATCTATGTAAGGGTCAGGTGTCCGGGAAGAAGATAGAGAGGGCAGAGATCAATGAACAATTGTGGGCATCCCTACCTGAGACTACCCGTGATCGCCAGTGACCACCCGGTGCTACGCAGTAGGGACGCCCATTGCTCTCCATCACTCCATACTATCGCCTTCGGCCTAGCCGTACCCTGACAAACGTGATCCACGATCCAAGATCACTGAGGAATAGTGATCCAAAGGGGCCAGTGAAGCTGAGACTGGATATATAAGGACCGAAGTTCCCACCATTCTCATAGATAAACACTTTCAACTTCAGTGATCGATCTAAGCATTCATCCAACCCATGGGTGAGGCCTATCAAGCCTTGACAACTCAACACATCGTTTACTGAATCCCATACACACAATAGTATTGATCAAGTCTCCGTAGCAGGATTTACCTTGCTCGTACAAAGACTCAAAGCAAATCTCTCTCCTAGTAAGTAGAGGTTATTCCCATTTATAACGCTTCTAGTACTTAGGCTGGATCTACGCTACGCATATATCACCGTGCGCGCTTTGAAAGAGTATTCCTAGTATCCACGGTAATTTGCCAGTAAAACCCGCTTAAGAGCTTTCTTCGGCGTACCGTCCATAGTTAGTAGTAGCCCAGTGAAAAATAGGTGTATTTGATTAAGTTTTCAAGTCTGACGCAAGGGCGTAGCGAAATGGTGGGGTAGGGACCAGACTTTTTGTTAACTCAGAACTAACACATTCATAGGAACTCAATCTCGGCATTTCTAACTACATTATGGTCTACTTCATGGTGTTCTACGTTGATGGCGGCTGTCTTCGAAATGGTTACGACGACGCTATCGGCGCGGCTTCAGCTGTCTTGATGACCAGAGGCAACACCTACTACTATAAGACGCGTCACCTGGACAACTGGGACTACACGCCCACCAACCAACGAGCTGAGATGACAGCCATCATCATGGCTCTGGAGTGGGCACTGCAAAAGTACGAGGGGCTCAACGGCTATCCCCGCTTGGCAGTGAAAATCCATTCCGATTCGAGATGGGCTATCGGCTGCATGACGGAATGGATTTACAGATGGTCACAGAACGGGTGGCAGAATGCACGCGGAAATTATGTTGCCAACCGCGATCTCATTGAGGAGGCTTCTGGTCTTGATGATAGAGTCAGGGGACTGGGCACGGTAGAGTACATCTGGGTACCACGAGAGCGAAACAAGAATGCGGATCAACACTGCAGAGAGGCGCTGGATAAGCAGTTATGGGATGGCAAATAAGGGAATTTGGCAACCATTTGAGGCACGTGGGGAACGGCATGAGGAGCGTCTGGTCTTGATTATAAACCTGTGGAGTAGGACAAGTTGTGCGGAAATGTAGCTTGCAAACACCTATATTGGTATGGTGACGACCGCAGGTAGCACCGCAGGTTGATATCTGCTTCTGGGCATTTGGGAGATCGGTTGAAGCAATCACAAACACATGGAACACTTCCGGAAAGGACAATAATGAAATTCCAAATGTGGGTTTTACCAAGGCAGCTTCTGGTGATATAATCTTCACAGAAATTTACCGTCTAAACAGCTTGTTGGACTATATCTGCAAATATCGCCCTCAAATTCCACCCTGCTGAGAAACGTGTGGGACTATCACCACATCAAAAACGAGAACAACCAAAATGACTTTTCGATAGAGGGTGATACGATCAAGCGCAATTACCATACGTCCAGAGGTAAACCTGAAACAGAAATTGGTAAGAAGGCCCGAGAACCGAGCTCAGATGTGGCAAGAGATGCGTTGCATTAGTGACCGAAGGTGTACGCCAGGATATGTCAAGATTATGATTATTGGGCCAAACCTTCGCAATGGGCCTGAGAGTGTCAACAGTTATTAGGGTTTGTTGAAGTGACATGCTGAAGGGTCTGTGTGATCACGCCAAATTAATTTGGCTCCGAAGGGCATATTTAGAGTGTATTTGACCATAAGCCATCCCCAACTAGCACTATACGACGTTTGGCACCACCGCGATCCAATAATGCTGCAAATGCATGGACTGATACTAAACTGATCCAGAAGGCCCAAGGGAGGAGCCTATTATTTGGTGGATAAAAAATGAGAATTCTGTATCTGTTCACGTAGAACAGTCGATTGACCGGCCATACGCTACTGTGGGTTAGAGAGTTCTGCTGGAGAGGAGAGGGGTGGTTGGTGGATGGGGCAATCTTGCCTGAACTTGCTGCGTTAAGCTCTTTGGTCAGAGCAGCGGCAGTCAGGTACGCATGAGCACTCTCGGATGTGAATAGTGTACCTGCACCCAATCCGCTCGTGATAGCAAGCACTACTGGACCACGATACCAATGTCCCTTTTCATTTCAACGCGAATGAGACAAGAAAAAGAAAAAGAGCACGGGAACAGAAGACAGGAGAAGGACGAAGGGGCGGGCTGCAGTGGGGTTAAGGTCGTGGACATGATCCTGCATCACGTCGAACATGTAAATCAAATGAGCAATACTCTAGTAGCAAGCTCCATCGCATCCCATGCGAGAGAGTAAAGTAGCCACGATCAACATCGGTAATAGCATTCTGTTTATTCATGATAACGTACCCCACAAGCAAGTTGGCCACTTTTTCTTGGCACCGTATGAATAACTTCAATAACTTAACTAAACTAAAAAATAATAATTCAAACTAATCTAAATCCTCTTCCTCGTACGTATCTTTATCATTCTCACAAGTACGAGCATTATGTCCGGGCTCTCCGCAGATCCTACAGCGCCGTCGGCGTGGTTCGGCCAGTCTCGTACGACGACGACTTACACGTATATCATCCTCCTTCGAGATATGGGTTATATGCGCCCGTATTAGGTCTTCAATTTCTTGACTAGATTGTCGAGTATCGCGTCGAGATAGTAGTCCGCGTTTTCGGTTAGCTAGAGTTGTACGAGGGACATTGTAGAGTTGGGCAGCGCGTCGGATGCTTAATTCAGGTTTCGATTGAAGCGCCTGACACGCTAGAATCATGTCGCTTTCTTTCCAATTCGATCCCATCTTGGTATGTGTAAAGATGTTAATTAAAAGGTTGTTCGTACGGTGCCAAGAAAAAGTGGTCAACTTGCTTGTGTGGCCAACTTGCTTGTGGGGTACGTTACCCATATTTCACTCACGAACTACTTGACTTGCCGCATGTGAATACTCGCCCACACAGTACTTCCGTCTAAATTAACTTAATACTTAAGAAGGCATTCGCACTAGCTACGAGGTCGAACACCAGCCCGAGTATAGCCCGAGTACCAACTCGATGGCAACAGCATCAAGAAATGGGACCACAATTATGCAAACTGTAGAAGGCCACAAGCACAACAAGGAGGAATAGTTTAAGGCAAACATGCGCGAAATCGCAGCTTGTGCGTGTAATGTGCCAAGAAAACACCACCATCGCAGATATTGGATGAAGAATTGAAAAAGCGAATAAATATAAATCAAATTAGTATTGTCTACAAGTAAACACCAAGTCATATCGCGCCTCGCTACCCTAAGTGGAAAGATACATGCCAAATGTGTCTGCAATGTCGCTGTACAAATGAAAATCAAATCGTCCAATCCACGTATGGAGGTGGAACGCAAGACATCAAACCATGAGAAGGAATTTACACATCGTGACCTGTAACATGTTAGTATCTATTAATCGTATCGTAGCATCGATCCAACTTACGGCCAAGTTGCTTTCCCCTCTTCGACACCTCCCGAGCATGGTACTGCTTAATTTTTGCCCGTCTCGCCTCCTCCTTAGCCTCCAACTCCAACCTCTTCACCTCCTCTCTTGCCTCCTGGACACGAATCCGCGCCGCCTCAAGCGCACGATCGGCCTCTTGCTCGGCGTTCTCGGCGCTCATAACGCGCTCACGGGCCTGGACGATGGATGGGTCCATTTCGACACCGTTGCCGTTTCCAAAGGTGCGCTGGAGCAGCGACTTGCGGCCTGATGATGCGCTGGCGTCAGTGGATCTGCGGAACACGCCGCCACCGCCGTGGCTGTGAGTGGGCGAGGTGTGGTAGGATGTACCCGTCATGCTTGAGTGGTTCGTGGTGCTAGTGCGGACGGTGGAGGAAGGCGAGAGAGAGCGCTCCCGTCGGCTGCCGAAGAGGCCGTGGCGCTTGGGAGGCTCCTCGTGCACGATGGGCTCCTCGACCACTTCGTCTTCTTTTCGGCTTCCGAAGAATGGCATCTTGGAGGGTTCTAGGTTGTCCCAGATGGAGTTATGGTCGTCGAAATAGGGTTGGGATTGGTAATAGTGCCTCAAGGGTTGTCCTCGCTCACAATTCAGCCAGTATGAGCAGATATGGTAAGAAAGTGTGTGCGCCGAAAGCCCGGCTTGTCAAGTGCGGAGGGATACCGGCATCTTTATCCGTGAGAACCTCTGCACCTTTCACCTCTTTCCAATCCAACATCTCCCCCTCGCTTCGATGTGTTCTGATGTTGGTCCATGACATAAACCGGTTTCTGGCCTCGTGTTTGCCAGTTTGGTGAGGCTGGATAGCCGATCGTCAGAAATGACGTAGCACTTGCCCAAACGGGGGGTCGAGCGAATCACCGTTGCCGCAATGACGAAAGTGCATCGGCACGGGATCCCTAGATTGACGCTGGGATATGCAGGGTCTTGACATCGCAAAATGCCATCATCGCAGCTTTGGTTGAAACCTAGGGGCTGGCCTAGGCAGAATCCTGGGGTTGATTGTGCCATGGTGCAGCCTCCAAATTGCTTGCCAGCTTAGAGATGCAGGAGGAAATGCGGTCTGACAACCACGTATCTTTGTTGCATCTTCGGTCCTGCTGCAGTCCCAAACTATGTTGGTAAACCTGTTCTTCGCTGCTTCTATCGTAGGAGTGTGCAGGCAGGATTGTACCAGCCGCCAAGCCACACGACACCTATTCTTGCTTGGACAAGCTGAAGTTTCACAATTTTCTTTCTGGTCGCCGACGTGACACCTGAATTTGTGTAACAGACCTGAGCTGTGAATATGTTCAAGTGCGACTTCGGGAGCGTCATGCGCAATCTATCCGGATCTGATGTTGCCCTGTTTGCCAAAAGCCGAAATTGCAACCAATAGCTCGACCAAGGAGAAGAGGCACGCAAGCCTGCGGATAAAGTTAGTTCGACACTTGCGCGTCATACTGCATCCAGTCCAAAGGTGCCTTCCTCATGGCTCTCGTTGTTCAATATCAATAGATGACGATGTTACATAGAAGCATGCTGCCACTATCATGCCTTCGCCAGAATTGCGCAGAACCGTCGCAGTTTTCTCGAGCCTTTAACGAAGTATCATATGAAAATACAAAAGCCCCACAACATCTTCAACGATGCAAATGATCAGCTCGACACGTTCAGTAGGCTAATCAGCTCGACACGTTCAGTAGGCTAATCAGCCGCACATAAGGTACTGGTCGCCTTGGAAGATACTTTGAACACTTCTCAGCGCTTGGGGGACTACTGCATCTTTCGGTTTACCCGGGCTGGCCTGCTTAGCTATCGGGCTTTAAAATGATCCTCGCCGCTCCAGAGCCATGTCTTCAAGGTCTAGTCTCATTTTCCTGCTTCCTGTTACGTGACTGCGACAGCCCATAATACAGCATCGTGATACACTTCCATTCCAAGATACAGCTGCGCCGCCTTGTGCTCGAAAAGAGAGAAAAGAAGCCTGAAAACTCAGCAGCCTGACATCACATGTCACGGGTGCGGTCCTGCCGAGTGATCACTGTTGATCCTGCTGTAATTCCCATAGAGTCGGGGTTGGGGGATGGTACTTGTCCAGGATATGTATACATGATGCGTGTCTCCTGCTACCGCTAAACCTGGTGCCCCTCCACATCAAGGACCTCAAGATGCGATTATATGATATAATTCGCCATATAGAATATAATCCTGGTTTTATTTCCTCCTTTATGCACTAACTTCTGACCGTGTTTTCATGAAGGGGTCAACCTGATCGTACATTAGGCGGTTCGTTGGACCTGCTGATGACCGTCAGGGGAGATCAAGAAAATCTTTCTGGGCACCCATTGTGCATCGGTTGTGTCCTCATTTCCAAATTTTTATTTTTTGAGGATAAGAGAGAACGCGGAGCTGGTGAGGAATATGTTGGCTTTCGTACTCCAGGTTAGAGATGCGGTGTTGGGGCGAGAATTTCTCTGCAAGAACTCTCACAGATGAAGTCATTGGCAGAACCTTTGTATAGAGAAAGATTTCCTGAACACTGAGATTTGGGGTTTGAGATGATCAGCTCGGCCGTTCATGAACTATGGCCTCCGTGTATTTCACTTTGCCGGGCAAAGCTATAGAGAATCGCAGCAAGCTCAAATATAGCCAGTGTAGAATCTTTCTTGGAGTCTGGCTACGGTGTGATTTAGGGCACGGGCTCGCAAACTCCAACAGGGCATTATAAAATGATCCAAAAGCGATGATGCCGTATTACGGTATTAGTCTGCCATGGTTTGCCACTAGATTCTTTGGGTAGGTATACGCTTTGTGGAAAATTACAATTTTCATAAGAACCTTGAAATCCCTGTCTCAAGTACAAGTTGCTTTACACTACCTGCAATATCAACAATTCGTGGTAGATTGCTTCCAATTCGCTAGGTAGCCGTATATGTAGGCACCGCCCTACGTACAAGGAATCTTACAGGGGCCAAGTATTCTCACAAATGATATATCAGACGCCTCAACTTCTAATCTCGGATATGGGTCCAAAGTGGGTTTCGCATAAAGCTTTTACATGCGCCAATCATTTGGAATCGGATGCGTATATCTCACGGCTGCCGAGCAGGTTGAGGATCAGATTATTATTCTCGTTTACGATCTTTGCAGGAGCTGCAGATGCAAGGGAACCTGTGTTGTTACACCGTGTGGAGTCTGTCAACGTGTAATGCTATTACAAGAACTGAGGAGCTTTTGACTGGAATATTACATTGAGTTTAACTAGTATGGCCGTTGCGGTTCGCATCGTTGCGGGGTTCATGTATGAAATATTACTATGTTGATGACATGATAATACCTCGGCTCTCACGATCCCTTTCCACATGGTTTTATCATTAACCCATTCAGTTAGACTACTCCAAAAGTACTCGATATACGGTATATATTTCTGGCACACGTATACTGAAAAGGCGGCGGTTCTCTACTTGAGATGTTGGATAGATGATTGCACCATCCCAAGAAACTTGAGTTTCACTTGCTCTGACGGTGCAAGAACCATGGAAGCCCTCGGGTTCAACTACAATGCGCATATTGGGGAATTTTTCAGTATCATTGTGTCACACATGATTGGTCTACCTTCTGTGGTTCCATCCCTTGTTGAATTTCCCCGGTCTACGACTTGCCGCATTGACGAAATGGTACGAACTCTATCACGACATCCTTCGTAGGGGACAATTCATTTGGCATATACAAAAATTCCACAACGAGTATGGTGAGCATAGGCTGCAAACGCAGACGCATATAAATTTGCTAGTAACCCCAATAGGTCCTATGGTTCGCATCACACCAGACGCACTCCACGTTCGTAACTCTGATTACTTCAAAGAGATCTATTCCGGCGCCTCAAAACAGAAGGATAGATATACGGTCAACGTAACTAGGACACACAGCGCTTTCATTTTTGCCAGCGCATCTGTCGGCCTACATCGCCTCCGCCGCTCCGCAATCGATCCCTTTCTCTGCAAATAGTGTAACAGGGTAAGGCCGGACACGGGGAAAATAGGTTGCGGAGCGGGAAGAAAGTTTATTTTCTCTTTAAGAAGCACAGAGACGGAGCAGGACACGAATCATCCTCTTAACTTTCTTCATCTTTTTTTATTATCTTCTTCACCGTCTTTAATTATCTTCATCTTCGTTTTCAGTTAGTTAGTTAGTTTATCTTTACGTTCGAGATTCTATTATTCTACTTTTATCTTATCCTTGACGACGACAGAGGCCTATGTCTTGTCCTGATCAGAGAAATCTAGTACTAGTAGTAGCTTCGATTCGACTCTCAGAGCCAGACGTCGCTGTTCTGAGAATTATCTAGTCTCAGAGACACATCCGACTAACTTACGCACAAGACTTACAAGAGCTTCGCTCTTGTAGCCAGTATTACGATCTTCGTCTAATCAGACCAACAGATCAGATCTAGTAGTACTGGAGCCGTCTGTCCAGTGTGTTAGGTGGTAGGTATATCCTACCGACCGCCTGACCCCGTTTCAATAGTCTATCGCAGACAAAGGGCCTATGACTAAAGATGCAATCGAGTACCTGAGTTGCTGACTGGCGAAGTTCAAGAACACTAGGAAAGCTATCCGTATCGATGCTTCATACGGGACGATAACGCTGGAAATGATATGGCACTTCTGCTTCGACTATTCCTACAATGCTCTAGACGTGCCTAATTTCAGGATCGATGTGCGGAATTCCATCATAAGCGGTGCCATATCGGGGAAGCTGATAAGACAGTTTCGCTTGGTTACTGCCAGTCATGGCGATGCAGGCCATACCACTGCCAGTACTCTGTATCGTGAACCCGGCGGTGGAGATTATGCTGGAACGGCGAAGTTTACTTCAGACGCATAGCAGTGAGCTGGTAGACAAATACGCTGTAGCACCAAAGTGCGAGTCTATAATTTTCTCTATGATCTTCGATAGCTCGCATCCCCGGCAGAGAACTTGGTTCGTTTGGTTACCGAGGGGACGCCGTGGTTACGAAGACGACGGCTAAGAATTTGGCTATAGTCGCTCGCTATCTGTTTTCCGACCACACCAAACTCTGGGGGGATTCAAAACCCGCGCTCGAAGAACGAGCTGAGCTGACCAAGAACCTCAGTACTTATAGGATAATAAAGGATTTCTTCTAAAATTAGAAGAAAGCACTTTACTACAGATAAAGAGATAAAATAATTTATTTGTTCTGTCAAATACAGTACTGTTGACAGCGCCGTTCGTTTCATGCCGTCACGGATCTGCAAAGCGTTTGCTATCAAATGATGATGGTTTGATAGTCGAGATGAAACTGCGCAGATGTAGCAGTTGCACATGCCCAGGTTCTCGTGAGACTCTGGTAGAGTCAAGACTGGGGTCTCCAAGGTGATGATGTTTGAGAATGATTTGGCTATTTCGCTCCATGGCACTTGGAGGCATCAGTCGCAAATATACCCATTTAGGTCGCCAAGCCCATCCATTACACCGTCGATTCTCTTTCGTTGCCTTGTCTTTGGCTGGATTCCCCCAAGCCCTGAGCTTCGTCGTCAAGTGGTGGTCGGGTAGGCGCTCCGTCATGCATTCGAGCTCATGTACGCAATGATTGAACCATTTAGTCACTTCCAGAATCTCAATCTCAGTTCGCAATGATGATATTATGCGTAAGAGGCAGCTGATGATTTTGCAGTAACTGAGGAAGTGGAAGTGGAAGATGGATAGAACTTTGGGAAATAATATTAGGCTGAGTGGTGCGCGTTAGAGTTAGGAGGTGGGGCACGTAGAAAAGAGTTCTTAGTTCAAAGGCAGAGGAGGCCCCGAAAACTAATTATAGAGCTGAGGCTCGGAGCTGAAACGTTTCTTCCAGGGATGTTGCAGGTGTGACTGGTGGAGAACATAGACTAATTGCTTACAGACTGCCTGTGGCTATGTTCAATAATCACCAACAAATAACATCGTGGGGTATTGATGAAACTGCCCCGTGCTGCTATTAAAGCAGTGTCTGCCTTCCTCCGGTCGTCGTGAGGCCTTCAACTGTGGTATGTCAAAAGTAACTGCATAATCATCATCGTATATCAGACTCTACGCGTCCTGATTTGGTGAAGTTCATCAGGTGTTAACAATTACCCTACCTACCCCCCACAGCCAGTTCCCCACATTATAGGCTGGCTAGAGAGGATTAATATATAGAAGACTACTAGTTAATAGCCTATATCACGCCGCAAAACCGTACCCTGCCCAGAAATCCAGCTAAATATGGAGAGAAGAGATGCAGTACTAACTCAGAGCTAATCTGAGCTAGAAACGCTTAATAAGCTACGCTAAGTATGAAATATAGGTAACGGCATGTCATGAAAATACAGGCAAGGCATTCTGGGGGGTTTTGGGCAAAGTCGGACCTCGGCAATCGGACCTCTGTAGGTCGGCCACGTATCGGGTCCAAACCTTGTGCGGCTCTCGAAAGGACCCCATGAGACTCCCGAATGGAAGAGAGTGGGCTAAGTTTTACACGAAAGCTACTGTAGGGAATAGATGATTGTGCCTAACTATGTTCTTGTATCGTATTCTTCTTAACTAGGTGATACGTGACCCCATAGGGGGTTACCCTGTAGCTATAGATAAGATAGATAAGAGCTATAAAAGAGCTCTGCCAGGCCAGAATAGCTGACCTGGCCATCCTTTCCCAATACAACAATTCACACCCCATATGCACTCGCATCACTAGGCAACTCGCCACGGAATAGAAGGCAGTTTACACTCGCTGAAAAAGTTATGGAAAACCTTGGGTTTAAGCTAGTAGCTCTCCAGGTTCAGAATACTGCTCTATAAGAGGAGAACGACCGCCTTGAAAGGTGTCGAAACGTAAGGCTCGACCAAGTCCTAATCGTCGATTTACAAATATTATAAAAGTTGAGTCCTCTATTAGATCAACACCGCCTAGCATCCGTTAGCCTAGAAGCGCTGGTGTTACTAAGGTTAAGACATAAAGATGAAGTATAAAAACCTTTTCCAAAATATTATTATTATTACTATTAAATACGCCGTAGGCTCAAAGCCCCCAGTACCTCTACTAGTACTCCCAAATTTCAAACTACCCTAATGACTGGACTAAATACATACGCTACTTAGTCGGTTCGCCCTATTAATAACGTTTTGGCAATGTGAGCACCTAAAGGTGGACTACCTTACGTTTTCTGATATACTGCATTGGTTCTTAGCCTACCAACAAAGCCTCCCTGAGAAGATCGATGCTATCTGGGCCCTGAAGCTGTCCGCCCCGTTCCCAGCAGCTACCTTACAGTAGTCCCACTAACTACTGGTTCTTCTGTCGCCGTTGCGAGGGCTCTGCGAGAGTATAGCGGCCGCGGTGCGATAGCGGCCCGTAGCCGTTCCCTCAGTCCTTCCAACAGTCCGCAAAACAGGATAACGTGCTCTGCCGCCTCAGGGGCGTCACCACAGCGGCATAGCGGCGAGTACACGCCAAAGCCCCAATCTTGAATAATAAGTCTGCTAGTCCTATTTTGCTGGTCCTGATCTGGCACAGTTCTGTAAAGATAGGTGCGGTTGGGTGCTAGGGAAGGTGACTACGGTTGGGCTGACACGGAAGTCAATTCCAAGAAGTGAGGTGTTTTGTTGACTTCTATCTGCCGAGCTAAGTGCTGTGCGTTTGGCCCCTTTTGAGGAGCTCAATCTCCGACAATTATCCGATCGCTCGGCGATTTCAGCCACACAGCCACACTGTCCTTGACCTCACAAGTTCTCCAGAATAATACATAGCAGTCTTATACGATTTTTATCAATCATTTAAGTTGTGTGTAGCTCTCTAATTTGTGAGTCCGAATGGTGTGGCCCATGGTACGGAGCACTATGTGCGGAGACCACACTAGCGGAGCGATTATAGCCTTGGCACACTCATTCTTGGGTAATTATCATTTGAAACATGACCCATTACCAGCTCAAGTACAAATAGTAAAATACTTGTCCTACATTGCAAGTTTCTTTAAGGAATGTAATATCGTTGAAATGTACGTAGATGATGCAGGCCTTTCCATGCAAACATAATAAGAAACTACAGCGTCGCGTAATAGAAAAGGCACAACTTCAGCTTTCAAGTAATAGCATAATCACGTCCCAGATTGCCAATCTACCCATGGTTGCATGGTTCATTCTCGCACAAGCTTATGTATATGCCCCTTATAGTAACGCCACAGCATTCACGTCGCATTCATTGAAGAGATGCGCTAATACCTTGTGGAAAGAAGTAAGTCCGAAAATAAACGGTGACGCGAAGAAATAGCGAAGGATCGCCCATACGCCCAGTCAGTCTGACCGGCTTGGGTGGTCTCGCCTTACGCTTCACCATAGCTCCGATCACCTTAACAACGCCGAAATAACCGCAGCCCCCTCACACGCGACAAAGGCTTCCAGATTGAACAAAATGGGGTGCAGAAGTCACGCCATCTACCGTAGGTGGGAAGGTACGGCCAAGTACTGTCAGATAGGGCACCTGGTTCCTAGGTTCAGAAATAATATGGCACTAGAGAAGACTATTGTCACTTAAAGTTCAGAAGGCGAAAGGAACCCCTCTTCTCAAAAGTAACACCAAAGTTACCGACATGTTCTAAAGCATCTATAAAAGGCAGAGCAACGGGAGTTCGCGAGAACAGAAGTGTCAGAGCCACAAGTGTCATCCGAGGCGGGCCGGCTTCCACCAGGAAGGAAGTCGTTTGTGGCGGCTAGAGAGCCGCTTGTGGCGAATGAGAGCTGTTGAAGCCGTTTGCAGCGGATAGGGAATCGCTTGGTTGCAGATAAAGAGCCGCTATCCAAGATGTTGGCCGAAGTCGGAGGAACACAGACATGCGGAAGCAAACATCCAGAATCCAACAGAGAACCTCGGCTGGCTATAAGTAAGGAGTCGAGACGGAGGAAGATAGAGAGGGGAGAGATCAAAAAAACTACTGTGGACACCCCTACCTGCCATCACCAAGTGACCACCAGTGAACACCAGGTGACCACCAGGGGGACACGCCTATTTCTCCCCTTCACTCTGTACTATCGCCTTCGGTCCAGGCCGTACCCTGACAAGAAGACAGACAGACAAGAACACACCTCATTTATATACAATCTTACGCACTGCTGACTACTCGATTGGACACACGTGATATTCGACAAGTACAGGGCTATAAAACCCCGCCTTAAACCAGAAGTAACCATTATAGAAGAAGAAAAAAATATCCTTTTTGGCCTTCGTATAAAAATCTACCGTTTTAGTTTGGTCTAAGCCATACGTAGCTCGTCCCTTAATCTGACACAAGACATATTTCCAGGTCTGAAAACCCTTCAGCCACCAAGTCCAAGCTAAAAGAATTCGTTGGAACCCTTTCAAGTAAGCAACAGGGCTTATTTTCCGGAGGGGAGTATGATTTGAGGTGCTTACTTGATCCTCGTTCGGTTGGCGAATGGGAAAACAGGGCAGCGAATTGTCAGGGATAACATGGCGTCATCAAACGGGGCTTTTAATTCTTTTATCCAAGCAGCCACACCTTAACTGCTCTGCTATACCGGATGCGCTCCATTATATACTGACGAGAAAATAGTCCGATAGGCGATTCGTGCAAGTGATGGAGTGAAATAGGCTACTATGTTAGAATGCTGCGTCAGCAACTAATGAGAATTCCACAATGCAACATAGATCAAACCACGGATTGAGCTCCTATAAACTGACATTATTGAGAACTGTTCAGGTGGAATGAAATAATATGAGAACTGAGGAAGAAACAAAAAAAAGCTTGTATGTAGAACGATGCTAAGATGTGGAGGTAATCTGTAATGCTGCAAATGCGTCTATAACGAAAGTGGTATATTCCTCGGATATCATGTAATGCCAGATAACAAAATCCGAAGTGAGAGGAGAAATCTATGATATCTAAACGTAACGCCAATCTTGTCAGCCCCAAGCGCTTGCCGTGGTATACGAGCCAGTTCCTGCAGGCCCACTCCTGGATATGTCCACATTGCCAATGCCGCATACTCAAAGCCCCTTCAGCCAGGGTCCCAAGCCCTCGCATCCAGAGATCTCCGTAAATGAAGCCATCACTCAGTACCAAGTCGGTGCCACGGACCAATGTCTAAGCATGTTGGCAACCGCCTGGGCCCACTCGTACTCAAAACACTGCGCAAGCTGGTCTGCTTCTTCCTGGGAGGGATCGCGACCACCCCACATCTCCTTTCTCCAGGATTCGGACGTGGCGTAGACGGAAATGAGACCACTGCAAGACACCAGTCAGTACCAGAAAATTTAAGGAGGAAACTATCATGACCCCGAAGTAGAAATTTTGCGGCTTACTTATCCTGTATCTTAGTTAAACACAACCACGCCAAATTCCAGCTCCGGTTCGACTCCGGGTCATTCCGCACCAGGCGATGGGCTTCGTTGACGAGTTCGCTGACGATGGGGTAGTTTGGCGTCAGCCCGCGGAGTTCGGTCAGCAACTGGTTGCTGTTGACGTAGTAGTCCCATGCCGATGTCATGGGGCCCTGGAATGCGCGGGAGTTCTCTTCGTTGTCGCAGCTTGCTGCCACTCTTTCGATGCGGCATAATTCGGTCAGGACGTTGACTCGATGGGTTTGCAATGATTCTATGAGTTGTTGGGTTGAAGACTACGGGTAGAGTTTGTTATGATACGTTATTGGCAATATGTCAGGACCTAGAAAGAGGTGGGATGTTGTGGGAATGTTCGCGAGAAACAGGGGAGGGAATAAGTACGAAGATGAATCCGTTACGCACTTGGCTTGATCTGCCCTTCTTGCCCCCCCTAGACCCATGATGGCCCGATCCTCCAGAGCGACCTGATCGAGATGACGACATGGCGAGCTTGACGGTCTGTCTGATGCAAAAAGCGCGTGTGTGTAGGATTAGACAAGTGAGTTGCTTAGACCTGCCGAGGCACTCTTTTCCGGTGGGTTTCGAGAGTGTCGACAGATGTTTCCTTATATGCTTATATCCTTGCACGCATACGCGACCCGACTGGTGAACAGGCTCCCCAATGCCGTTGACGCCTGCAATTAACCCTAAGAGTACACCCGTCGGACCCCCAACGGAGCAAAACTGACTGGGGGTCGCCACACCAGATTAAATCCAAAAGTTGTTGAAATCGATGCCGAGAGTAGATTCCAGATGACTTATTTTAGTCCAAGCCCCCACGGAAGGCTTTATGTCGGTAGTAATGTTGAGGCTGCTGATATCTTGCGGCCAAAGCTATATACATTGATGACAATGATGACGACAATCCCAGCCAGCGGAGCCACATATCTGTAATCGAATATTCTTTTGCAATGTTGACATGCTGACGGGTGAGTAGTTAAATAAGGTATTCCTGAGGCACGTGGTCTCTCCAGCCCACTTGTCGAGTAAATCTGCCAGAAGTAAGGACGTTAAAATCCGACTTTGAACTCAAACGCTTGTCATTATCTGTCCCTCTGGCATGTCCTCGTGGCTGAGGCTGATATTCTTGAATACTTAGTGCTAGTAGCCTGGCGAGGCTCAGGTGTGAGACATAGCCAAGCCCAGCTCGTGACAACCCTACAGCACCATGCATGGATTGGCCCATGGTGTAGGAGTCATAAGTCGATCTGAAGGGCTGTTGTATCACGTTTTGATTGGTTAGTAAAGGAGATGCATTTTGCTGATCTAAGCATATTTTTGGTTGACAAGCGTTTAATCTATAGAATCGACTATCACGCCAGGCCTGCTGCAAAAAAGATGATGTGCCACGGGAAAAATTATGGGCAGACACCATAATGGTGGATCAGTAACGGCGTGGTCGAGTAGAAAACCAAGTCGGGCAGGCCGCTGGAGTCTGCTGCACATGGTCAGATTTTAGCCCCGTAAGGCGGTGATGGCAATGGCGCACTATAGCGTGACTGTAGCGGTGATTGACCAATCACGGCCCTGTAAGCGAAAATGGTTGCATGGCTTTCGAGGTCATGGTGCCCATGTCCCTCCTGGAATCCTATCCCGTAAATCTGGGACTGGATAAATGTCTATGCATGTCTCATAGACTTTTGGTGTGTTCACCATTTTGTTAGGCCAGGGTAGGTAGGCTTTCAGGCCTAGGGCTCGCGTAGTCACTACCCCTGACGATGAAATGCAGGAACCAAAAAGTATCGAAACAAACATTGGTTGATGGACTCTGACTCCATTGGGCTCGTGTTTTCCTGGAGGGAGACACGGTTGAACCTAGCGCCACTACTAGGCATCTCTGATGTTGTCAAACTAAGCCTGCGGGTCAATCGGGTTTGGATTGAGTGTGTCGCTGACAACACACAACAGCCGGGGTTCCTGGTTCCCACGCTTTGTAATCCTTCGATGATTCAGTGAAGCTCTATAGATGAGAAGTTAGTCAGGTGTATCTAGCAGCTTCGTCCGGATCCAGGGCAATAAATTTGGCCAGTTAATAATCCGGTTCGGTAAGTCCGCGCTGAGGGGAAAGAATGATTACGCGAGATACGCCGTAGTGCGTACCTGGGAAGTCTGAGAACGACCATGATGGTTCCAACCGTCAGGGTGGCGGACGAAAGCTTTGGAAACTTGGAAACAGTTGCTCAGCCCCCCTCATCAGCGTCCTGGAACCTCGTTTTTCTGCTTCCAGCACGCCAAGCCTGTGGCTAGTGACCCGGAACTTGACAGATCCGCTTACTATAGTACTCCGCACTCGTAGGTGGACTGCCGCGCTCGAGCAAACCATTTAGCTTCATTTCCACATCTCCATTGTGGGGGTCCGCGCGCTACACGCTCGTTGCTTGCTGTCTAGCGCCGTTGCCTGACCGGTAGCTCGTTAAACGATCCAATCCTTCCCTTGCACTCAACAAGCTTCCTTCGCAATCTCTCCAGCTGTACGCCAGCGCGCTTCGACTTTCATTGTTATGATGTCCATCATGACCGCATCGGCATCGTGCAGACCCCGGGCCTCAGCTCTCAGCTCCTCGGCGGCGTTGAGGGTTGATCCACCGCCTTTGCCCGGCGCGGAGGAAGAATAAAGCTTTTTCAGATAGCGCGTGGCTGTATGTGATTTGATCTAGAAGCGGACCGACTTTGGGAAGCAGTACACTGATGATGACAACCACATCATCGCGACTGTAGCTCTGTGCCCCACATTCCGAGATTTCCTATAGTCACACGTCTTGATCGAGGCAGAGGCTGATCCTCCATCGATCTCGGCCACAGAGATATGGAATTCAATAGGACTTTCCCCTGCACTTCAGCTCCTTTGTGAAGCCCATTCTTCAGCTCATGCTCTCCAGTACGCTTGCTATAATTTCTCATATCATAAACGTCGTCTATTTCTTCTTTCTAAATTCGGAGCATCGTCGCCTGCGGTCTACAGTAAAGCAAGCCAGTACAGGCACATGGACGTCCTCAAGCCATGAATGTGCAACCCGGATCTAGCTACAGGAAGTCCCAACCCGAAGCCGTTCTCGACTGTATGCATCAAGCGGATCTGATCCTACAACTGCACAGTCCATTAAGAGCGGCGGATTGGTTCGTCTAGAGCAGTCGCTAGCCCCAAGGACCAGCCCCCACGTGCCTTTCTATACCACAAGGGCCTGTCTATTTCGGAAAATTCGGAAGATGGTTCTTAACATCATGACTTCGTGATTAATCATGCGTCTTCTGTATCGGGGTGCGATTCTGCTTCCTCAAACCCGTCATCAATGCTTTCTAGACCTTCTCCGCGGATGGCCCAGGTTCCTAGCCAGCCCGCAAGGGCGATTCCGCCGAAAAGGCCCCAGGCAAGCGCTTCGCCTTTGGGCTCGACCCCTATCGAGATACTGAAGAGGCTTCCGGCAATGAGCGGGCCGAAACTCCGGCCTAATGCCGACAGTGTCTGCGCGATTCCATTCAATGTGCCCAAGACCGCATGGGTGGGGGCCGAGTTGGTGATCTACGATAATTAATGTGATTTCATGGCAAAAGCCAGTTCAGGGGAAAAGAGCACTTACCAATAACATCACGCTCGACAGGCCGCCAACCGCACATATGTTCCGGATGACCAGCACGGCCCCCATCTCAACGTAGAGCCAGCTCTTGCTGCTGCCGAGTCCCCATGGCGGATTGGAATCTGCATATCCAACCCATGGCATCAAGGCCATAGCCACTGCGAAACCTAGCAGCGATCCGCGGTACGAGCCCAGGTTACCCAATTTTGCTTTCAGAGACCTGAAGATGAATAGCTGGAACAAGACGGTGAGAATTCCTGCCACGGAAAGAGAGATCCCAATGACATCAGGATGTAGTCCTCGCCCAGTGGGTGGATCTTCTGAAGCAAAAAGCGGATACAAGCTGCCAAACGAGATGTTTGACAGTTGGAAAAACAGGTAGGTGATGAGGAGCGTGATAGTCGTTCGATTGAAGACACAATGCCATACCGCCACGTCAGACGGGCTTTTGGGGTCGTCTTCGCCTTCAGCAGAAGCCGGGCCCAACAATCGACGTTCTTCACTTGTTTCGTTGTCTGGGGCTTCCTCGGCTGCGCGATCCCGTTGTCTGCGCAACCATGTCGAGCTCAGGGAACGCCGCAAATTCTTCTTGGTCCGCTTCACGCAGCAAAATAGCCAGCCGAGCTTCTCCGACCATTGAAAACCATCACCTTGTTCTTCTAACGTCTCGTCGAACCAGAGAGCCAAAACAACAACGCTGACGGCAAGAAGGGAAGCGCCAAGGATATTGGGAGCCAAGTAGGGGTATTTGTCCGCAGCCACTGTACCGACCAACAGACCACCGAGCGCGGGGCCAGTGATGCTTCCTAAGCTGTACACCACCGGCAACCATGTAAATGCCTTGCTTTGATTGCTTCGGTCCGTGAGCTCGCCCAGGCAGGTGGGAACAACTGCCGCATTTCCGTTCAACAGCCCCATCGCGACATGAACCGTCACGATATGCGCGTACCTGGTGCAAAAACCAAACAGGACAAAGCATAGGCAGAGCAGCGATGTACCCAGCAACATCACGGGCTTGCGTCCGATGACATCAGACAGACAGCCCCAGGCCAAATTCGTCGTGAGTTGCGCAAGGGCGAATGCAGAGGCAAGGGTGCCAACGTACACCCCGACTTTGCCCTCGTCAACGCCTGGAAATGATTTTACCATCTCGGGCAAGTAAGGCGATATCGAGTTTAGAGCTGTTTGTTCAGCTAACGATAGAACGGCCAGAAGAGCCAGCTGCTTCACGGGTAACGGCGTGGAGCGGTGTTTGTCAGCCCCGGCGTCGGACATGGACGAACTGGAGCCATGGCGTTGCAGGCCCGGTGTTTTCGGCGGTGGTGTCGGGAAAGTTTGGTAATGATAATGTGTTGACATGCGGCGGAGAAGGCTTCTGCCAGTGGACTGCAGAGTCGGTAACGGCGAGCCTGCGCGGAAGGAACCTATTGAGGTCGACCGCAACGATGGGCGTCCTGGACGAGGTCGGGAGTCAGCCGGGTCGTTCTCGGAGTCTAGATGCAGCCCACCTGCCGCAGCAGCAATCTGGCCGGTGTGCACCATCTTTTGTGACAACTGGGAGACCCAGATCAAGGACAAGGGCACTCAGTATGCGTATGGAGGAATATCACGACCTCGAGAGCAAGAAGGCGGGGGGGGGGGGGTGGGGGGGAATAGTCGGGTTTCCTCGACTGGAGATCGTGGTATCGGTGATGAAATGGGGAGAGCTGGGACGGCGAGTGGCCCCGTGCCTTTCAGTTCGGCACTAACGAGGTGTTTTGGTCGACAGAAGCCTCATGACTTGCTAATCAGATCTATCCGTGCTCTCAGTGGTTGAAGTAATCAATCTCAAGGCAAACGCGGCTGGACTCAGGAATTGAGCGCCCTCGTTGCTCTTGTATCGTTCGACAAAAGAAGTGGAGCTTTCGCCCAGTTGCCTGTAGCCGAGAGCTTTCATCACTGCTTTGAGCTGAATGCAGCGGAGAACCCTTGGAACCGCATGGGTCCACATGGACTTGCTGCATCGAATTCTCAAAGTCGCTGGCAAGCTGACAAGTCCCGCTGTGGGGAATCAACCTAATGCCAGGGTCTCAAGGACTGTTGCTGTTGCCTGCCGCCGGAAACTGTGGTGGGCTTATCGCCGATATCCCGAACCCCGCCACGATTGGACAACTTGCACGTCAGTGTCTCCATTCTGAGGTCAAGACATGGCATGGGTGAATATTTAAATGTCATCGCTGTGGTTTTACTGGACCATGGAAGGCAGTTCTCATCACGGTGCTCGGCTCCGGCTTGGCTTCACGGTGGAGTGGATGCAAGGATAGAACACGTTCATTTCCCACCATTCAACAGCGTTCGCTACCATAACGCTCAAGTTCCCAGTCCTCAACGCCAATGCTTGTCACCAATGCTTTCCCACCAGCTCCAGAGTACCAATCCAAACACACGTCATGACCGGCCCATTCATTATTCGTTACTCGTTCCCGCGCTGACTCGTTGCTTCCGCGTGTCGTCAGAAGTTGACAGTCTTGGAGCGCTCTAATGGCTTCCGTCTGAACTCCCTCGGCCAGCGTCGTTCCAACATCCACACACCTAGATTCGCAATTTGATCCGCAACTTCAAGCCCTTGTCGCGGCAGTTTCATGAAGGTTCTTCTCGGGTCAGCATATGTCAACACATCAAAGTATGTGGTTACGGTGATCACTTACGTTTCATCGCTAATGATTTCCAGTGTCTTCAATGCCACAGCGGCGATTCCGTTCATCCGGGTATGCATCCGCAAGATGTTCTCGAAGAACTCGAAACATTTCTCATCGTCGCGTGGGACTCGCGCATGCTCGAGCTCATCCATCATCTTGGTGAACCGGGTCGCGAGGGGCGTGTTGATGGGGTCGCTGATGGGGACCAATTTCTTCCTTAACCGCCTGTTCTGTTCTTGCATGTCGTTCAACTGGTTTCGAACATGCATCGACTCGGCAACCTGCTCTTGCAGACGTTCGTTTCGACTCCTCAAGTCTTCAATGGTGGATTGGGCCGCGTTGAGCTTCGACTTCAGCTCTCCGGGTAGCGTGTCCGCCATCTCCTTTTGCAGACGAATGTTCCTCTCTCTGAGTTCCTCTGCGGCAGCTTGAGCCGCAGCCAGCCGTGAATCAGTCTCGAATGTCATCGACTGCTTCCGGATCCGCATGGGGATCATCGATTGTCGCTGTAGGCGCTCGTTCTCGTCTTTCATTTCGTCAAGGGTGGCCTGTGTAGCTGCCAGCGTGGTCTCCATCGCCTCTGCCCTCTCGAGTTGAGTAGTGAGTCGCTCCTTCATACTGCACAATTCATCAAGCAGCAACAAGTTGGTATCTATTTGTTCGTGGAGCGATTTACTCGTCTCGCTGTGGGCAGCCTGGAGAATTCTGATTTCATCACGAGCATCAGGCAGCTGCGTCGTGAGCGTATCCGAATTGATAGCGGTCTCATCGGCAGCACTTTCCAGGTATTCCTCCTCAGCCTGTGCTCGGTCAGGAGTTTTTGGGGGCGTCGGCAGAGGCTTATTGTATCGAGGTTCATTGTGTGGAGGATGCACGGTTTCCAACTGGACCTTGAGGGACTCAATCTCCGCAGCTTGGGCGCATATATGTACCTTGGCGGATTGTAGTTCCTCTTCCAGCTGCTGGTTTCGGGTCACGTATTTCTCTAATTTGCGGTTCATGAGATTGCGGTCGTACATGACAATTCTCATATGCTCGTGGTCGCGCTCGCAAACGGATTCTCGACTGAACGAAGTCACCGACGGTGTCATAGAGTAATGGCCTGAGTCAACTGATGGAGCGACCGAAGTACCGCTGCTCTGAGATGTCATGGTGTCGACTGAACCATGCCTCTTCCTCCTAGTGTCGCCGAACGCGAATGGTATCCGGCGCGATAGGCTCGTCATCCGGTACGAGGGATCCTCTGGGGTGTCCATTCTGTCGGGAGACGCACGGCTCAAGTGCGATTGGCACATAGAGCCCTGTCTTTTGGTTCGGTTCTGACACGCATCAGCATCTTCGATACTACGATACGGAGAGGCAGAACTACCATGACTTGGATGTTCTAGGCCAGACCCTTGGATAGAAGTTCCGTTCAAGGGCAGGTCGGCAAAGACAACGGGAGTCTCCGATCGTGAGCTAACGTCTAATTGATGTGTGCTGGTCGGTAAAGACTGGTGTGAGATATCACAAAAGTTCATCAATTAAGTGAACACTTAATTTCGACGCCCACAGGCCAGTTTTAATTCAATTGTATTGACAAGACACATGGAGCTAGCAGACCATTGGCCGTCCCAGCGGATATATACTCTCGATCGCCAAGAAGCTTCAGTCGATATCATGCCCGATGTCAAGCAACGCAGGCACACCTCAAGTTTCGAGCATGCCAAGATATGCCCATCTCGGGGTGGTCTCGAGTATCTGAAGGCAAACCTTCCACTTGACTTCGACCCTGCATAAGCATCATACACGTCACTTTTCGCAAATCAGCATAAGGCGCACGAAGTTGGGCTCAATCGTTCATTTAAAGTTTAAGTTCATTTCGAAACCATTGCGGGTGGCTTGACGAATCGGCAGTTCACCAACCCCTGCGACCAGCCGGTTGCCGCTGACTAACCTGCACAGGGCTGGGTTGTGCATTAGTCAAATCCTTGATTCAACTCTATCGATCTGCGATGCACTGGGGAAAGCGTGTATGAATCATCCTCCCAGACTCTCTTCAACACAAGTTTCGTAAGCCGAGATAGCAAAAGTGATCGGGCATCTGTGTGTGTGCAGCGATGGCATTGTGAGGTGGAGGGCATGATGCGGACCCCGAACTCTCGTTGCCATGATCTGGTATACTGAGAACGTCTGACACCGGCAGTCACAGTGGGAGCTAAAGTGGTGACCAGATATCTGGATGTCTGACCGATCAAGTAGGCCTTATGCCAGAGCGGCTAGAACGGTCGACTGTTTCTCGCAATTCTGCACCTCGAAAGGCGGGGGCTCTTCTTCATTCGGTTCAAGTGATAATTCGCTGGCAGGTGCGGCAACGGCCGCTTGCCAGGAACCTTTGGCCAATCTCGAAGCACACGTCACTTTGCCAGGCCACGGGCGGTCATTGCCATTGGTACCGTACTGCAAGGGGGGGTTGTCTGTCACACTCTTGCAGTGTTTCCGCTTCTCGTAAGCACGCCCATCTTATAAAACCTTATAAGCACTACGAAGCGAGGTCAACAAAATTCCAAACACGTAACGGGAAATCAACCCATCTTACTTACTCAGAGACGACCTCGTATCCTAATGCGGCACATGTTCCAGTCCGCATGTGGACATTTACTTTTTCGGCGTAGCGCGCGTCGGATATCTTCATTGAAATAAAGACGACGTATCTGTAATGCCTTGGGTTGATCGTTTGAACTTTCCCCGGATCTTCGAGCGCCTCTACAAAGGCTGTGGATCCGGCTTGTAACCCGCGCTTTCTACATTCCATGCTAGGGAGGGCTGTCAGGCCTGAAATGATCACTACGCCCTGTTTTCTTGGGAAGCATACGCACAAGGCCGGTGGCTCAACAGTCGTTTTCAGGTGGTGATCAGGCTCAAACTTGGCTGCTAACGTCTAGCCTATCGCAACATCTGTAGAATCTTGCCCGCCGCCCTGGAGCATCTGATGTAAGCAACAACTGGGAGGGACTGGGGAAGCCTTGGTGAACATGTGACGACCGATCCACTACCTAGAACCCCGGACCAAGCGCCCTCGGTAAAAGTAGTCCATTTCTTGAAGCCAGGGCCGATTGCCACAGTAGCAACATTTGGGTTTGATGTGACGGCCATCCGAAAATCTAGGTCCAGAATTGGGAGCGGGAGAGACCATGCTAGGTGCAGTTTGGTCAGAGCCTCCTTGCTCACGAAGCTTTTCCTGAACACATCTCTGTCATTGCGAGTGTCAGATGGGGTGCCATTCAAAGTCACCTAGTCTGGACTTCGGGTTGAAGTGTGAGTGAGTGGGTTGGTTTACCCTCTCTGGGGTATCTGGGTTTACCGGCGCAGTGGCTTTTATCCATCCCTTTCTGATCGACGCCTACCCGCTGTTTAGCCTCTTCGTCTCTACCGTCTTCCATACTTCGTTGTGCATGATGACCTTGGTGTCCCAGTCAGAGTCAGTCGTCGGGGCCATGGGCGGCAGTAACGGTGACAGGAAGCCCATTACCGCTTGCTTCGGCCATAAGTTGCCTGGGTATAAACTTTATTCGAAACCCATGGTGGAGTTTTGTGATCAGTTCTGGTGAGTCTGGAGCGCGAGGTGAGTATAGATCAATAGTGAAAATGACCTATTATGAACTAGACGCTCGCTTTCGAACTCGATGATAGAACACCGGCAGACAGGCCCATACGGCTTATACGTCAAGCCGGCTGCCGGCGGCGGTGGGATTAATTAGGCCATTCGGTCGACTGTTGGCGTGTTACTCGGGATGTGATCAGTTCATATCCAGCGATTACGACAAGCGTTATCTAGATGCCGCACTGCGAGCAGTATAATTGTTCTCATTCCGCAGTCACTCAAGTGATAGCCTGCAATTTTTCACGCCAAAGAGCCTTGAGTGGGCAGGTATCTCCGAATTATCTGGAGCTCTGTACCCGACTCCGTAACATCGGCCGATAAACCCCACTCTTGGGTATGTTGCGTGCCAGAGCGGGATAGCATCACCAGACCGGAGGATAAGACTGACCTTAGTCACCGTGGCTGGCCTCGCAGTCAGATCTTTTATTTTTCGCAAAAAGGTGTATCTTCATTGGCGGGCCGGAGGTTTCATCTGAAAGGACCACCGAAGATCACCGAGGATGACCGAGGATGCGAACGCTAGTGCGATCGAGGAGGGATACGAGTAGAATCAATATCACAAAGTCTAGCCGTTGTCTCCAACTCTACACCCAAACACCTACTTCTCTAAATTCAATATCAAATTCAAATAAAACGATATACGCCTAAAATAAATACGACTATTAAGATATATGTAAATTCATGAACTCATGACTTATATTTAATATATTTCACGGTAGTAAAAGCCTATGGAGTTAACCAGTTTGAAGTCAAATACCGTACCTTTGGTCTAATTTCAGCTAATTCTTGTATAAAATCGAAGAATTATAAGTTCTTCTCTATTGAAGGCTAAGTAGCTTGCCAAACTCAATATGTTAGTTAATATCTCTTTATTAAAAGAAATAACGTAGTCCACAAGCGAACGGGTCACCCAACCGAACGGGTCACGCCCATAGCAAAAAATAGAACTAAACTTCCTAACTTTACCACGCAACTAATTCTCGATGGGTTCTACTCAAGAAGAATCTCAATTACTCCTTGCAACTCAGGCTATCAGAAATGACTTAACACTTAGTATCTAACGTGCTGCAACAATCTACAAAGTCTCGAATACTACTCTCCAGGCGCGTCTTCAAAAACGTCAATCACGTCGCAATATCGAAGCTAACGGTCGGAATTTAACAAAACTAGAAGAAAATACGATTATTCAAAGGATAATTGAGCTAGATTCGCAAGCATTTCCTCCCCGGCTAAGTGCTGTTGAAGATATGGCAAACCGACTGCTACGCGACCGCGACGCGTTACGCGTCGGCAAGAACTGGGCCTCCAACTTCGTTAAGCGACAACCACAGCTCAAGACGGTATTCAGCCGTAAATACAACTATTCTCGGGCCTTATGCGAAGATCCAGAGCTTATTCAAGGCTGTTTTGACCTCGTGCGCAATACAATTGCGAAATATGGGATCGCCGATGCCGACATCTACAATTTCGACGAGACCGGCTTTATGATAGGTCAGATTACGGCATCGATGGTTGTTACGAGCTCTGAAAGGAAAGGTAAGCCTAAGCTAGCCCAGCCGAGCAATCAGGAATAGGCTACGGTGATCCAGGGCGTCAATTCCCAAGGCTGGACGGTCCCGCCATACATCATTGTCAAGGGCCAATACCACCTCTCTTCCTGATACGAAAACGACGCGTTGCCGAAGGACTGGAGGATCGCCGTGAGCCCAAATGGTTGGACTACAAACTAATTGACCGCAGATTGGCTAAAACACTTTGACAAATACACCAAAGGCTGGAAATCGGGTGTATATCGCCTTCTTATCCTGGACGGCCACGAAAGCCACCATTCCGACGCCTCTGAGCAATATTGCAAAGAGAACAAGATTATTACACTTTGTATGCCTGCCCACTCTTCTCATATCCTCCAGCCACTAGATGTGGCATGTTTTGCGCCGTTAAAAAAGGCCTACGGCTCGCAAATTGAGAAGCTCGTCCGAGCCCGGATTTCGCATATCACAAAGGAGGACTTTCTTCCGGCATTTTGCGACGCGTTCAAGAAGAGCCTGACCGAAAGCAATATTAGTGCAGGCTTTCAAGGGGCTGGGCTTGTGCCTTTAGGCCCAGATATTGTTATTGAGAAGCTGGATGTGAAATTACAGACTCCAACGTCCTCCCGGCCCCCTACGCGGGAAACCCTTCCTTGGGCTTCTCGGACGCCAAACAACCCAACCGAGGCTACGTCGCAATCCGAATTTATTAAATCTGGAATTGCTAGGCATCAAAATAGCTCCCCGACGTCAATTTACGATGCTATTGATCAGTTTTCGAAAGGAGCGCGGAGTATTATGCATAAGATGGTTTTACTCCAAGCTGAGGTCGCCGAACTTCGAGAGGCAAATGCTCTAATTAGCAAGCGGCGCAGGGCCAAAAAAACACGAGTACAGCTTGGAGGATCACTTAATTCACAAGACGTACGAGATCTTCAAGATCAAAAGGACGTTGCGCAGCAAGTACAGCAGGAAATGCGTGGAAATAGCGCTGGATCAAATCGTGGCCAGCCACGGCAACGGCGCTGTGGCGTATGCGGGAAGACCGGGCATAATGCGCGAACCTGTCAGGTAGAGATAGAATCATCTGGGCAAGAGTATATTTACGGCGTTGTGGTTGCGAAATCGTGTTGAATTCCATGTTTTGCTAGTTGGCGTGACCCGTTCGGTTGGGTGACCCGTTCGCTTGTGGACTACGTTATCACGGATTGACAGAGGTATGTTTTAATGTGATAGTAGGGATTGGAGCTAGACCTGTTGAAGGCGACTTTTAATACGTGTTAATCAGCGCGACGACTCACGTAACCAAGCACGTTTGAGCACCGCGGGATGCGATGTCATCTCGCTGCTTCGCTTTCCAGCCTCTGCTTATTTGTCATGTATCCCGTAAAGGGGAATACACGCGAAAAATTCTGCTTACGCATAGCCGGCAGGCTCTGTAGGCATCATTAAATTTACTCACATCATCCCCATCTCAGTGGCACCATTCCCCCTTTTCTGGAAATTGCCGCCCCCGGGACGGCCATCTTCAGCAACTGATCAAATAGCGGCGTCCCCATTCCCGTCGCCGGATCCCAGCCAGCAGTCGCATTCCAACCCGCCCCAGCCACGAACGGCGTAGTCAGGTTAGTGAAAACGTCCCTTCCCGTACACCCCGTCGTCCTCCCAGCTACGATATCCGTCATCCCTCCTCCCGCAGCCGCGGTGCTATACAGCCACGGATTCAGAAACCCCATGGGTGGCATGCCGCTCTTAATCCGCGCCGTGCTCAACAGATGCACCATTCCCGCGAACGTGGGCGTCGCCGCCGAGGTCCCGCTGACCGATAAGATATTCTCGTGGCTCACTACTAAATAATTGCTCGCTTGCGCAGCGACATCGGGGATCCCCCGCCCCAGGCGGTTGTACAAACCGGTGAAGGTGTTTCCAATGCCATCTAGGTAGGCACTCACGGCGACATCTTGGTACGCGGGCCGAGGGAAGACCTCACTGAAGCCGCCGCCGGAGAAGGCGGTCGCTGATTCGGGCTGGACGCCTACGGTGCCGCCTACGGTGGTGACGAAGGGACAGGTGGCGGGGAAGAGAGGCGTGAAGCGGGTCGCGTTAGTGCCGTCATTAATTTGACATGGGCTTCCGGGGCCTTCGCTGGATACGTTTCAGCGGTATTGTTCAAGGTGGATTATTTAGTTTATGGTGGTAGTTTTTGGACGGCGGTCGGATTACCTACTCTCCCGAACTCGCGATGACGGATACGCCGCGGGCACCGAGCATACCAAACATGTTACACACTTTCTGTGCATAGGCCCGGGGGAGACTTTGTTCGTTGTCGCCATAGGATATACTGAGTGTACGGGGTAGTTCTGGGTCAGGCAGCGCGAGGAGGTACGTGGCTAATTCTAGGTAGGGCTCATTGGATATCTGATGTCAAGTGATCAGCCTTAGACTATTAGGAGGGCCAACTGGTATTTGAGTCCATACCTCGTTTGGATCGGGTTGACTATACTCAGGTCAACATTTGTTCGACGTATAGTTTGGTGTGTCCTTACCTAAGGTCAGGCACGAGCGGACCGAGACCCCCAACTGAATAGTACCGGATACTTGTGTTAAATCCCATGGATGCACCGTATTGCATGTCCAGATTTGCCTCAATATCAGTCTCAACATCCGTCTGATTGTCTCGACCACCGTTCACAAGAACGGTGGTAAAGTCCTGTGCTGCGGCATACGGGGCAAATTTGGCGTTGAATTGAATGAGAGCATCGTGCTTAGCAAATCCCTTATCTCATCAGCGGTTTCCAGTAGTTGGTTGGTGTGCACTTACGTCTAGAAAGCCACTAATCCCGAGAATGGCTGGGACCGTTGGGTCGGCGATCCGGTCTTGAACATTGTAAAGCGAGCGCAGACATGCAGGGGTAATAGTGGTGTTGCAGAGTGTCACATTAAGCGTACCGTTCGGAACGGTCGCAGCTACTGGTAATTTCTGCTTGAATTCTTCCCAATCGAGAATTCGTCCGTGTTGAATTTGAGGTTTGATGCGGCCGAAAAGTGTCGTGGGCTGTATCATGGTAACATGATGTTTCAAGGCCTCTGGAACCGAGTATCTGATGCTTTTGAGCATTCAAACTGCTAAGGTAAAAGGATATTTGCAAGATAACCTACCGTAAAGTCCGAACCCTTTCGACATCAGTGCTCACGTGGCTGTATATACTGAATTGAGCATCCAGAAGCTTGGTGGCTGTCTCTATGTTCGTTCGAAAAGCAACCCAGTCATCTGTCTGCTTCATTACTGAGACACCGGATGAGGAAAGCCAGTCGACGACAGTGGCCACAGATTCTTGACGCGGCTTCATTAAATCACTGACTTGCTCTCGGGAGAGATGTCGGCCATAGAGAGCGTGTTGTGGATCGGAGACATCGTAAAGAGTCTGATGAAAGCGGGCGACACTTTCTGTCAACTGTTCAAAGTGTACTCGGAGAGTAACGACCTGCCGAGGATCCGCGTCCCTCAGTTTTATCCAGCCGTCGGGAGTCCTCGGTAAGGATTCAATGATTAAATTCTTTGCTTCCGCGCAGAGCAGTAGCAACAGGATTGCACCTGTGAATAAAGTAAAAGTCGTCGTACGTCGCATTCTCTGAGTTCACGCCGCATGACGATTTTAACGAACGGCATGCGTGATGATATAAATGTAACCATGTGGTAGAGGAAGCTCATTTTTATTCAAGCGAGCCCTTCATCCAATGGTCGTACCTTCAACATTAGGCCGGAACTCCTGATCCTAAGAAAAACTACTTGAAAACGAATCGAGAATAATCTAGACATATTATGAACATTAGAAACCCAAGTAACCGGTATATGATAACATAATACGGAATAAGCTTCACGTGTTGCATCAAGTCATCCGAGTGACGTTCTAGACTCAAGCTGAGATATCCAACTGACCTAACATAGTACCGCTCGAAATGGGGTGCAGGTCACGAATCCTAACGTTGGCAATCGAACCTTGCCATCGTGGATGTCCTTGTTCTTAGGTCTCAGCGTCTCAATGTATCCACATGAGTGTTAAAACCACAGGTTTGGGAATCGATCGGATGAGTATATGGCGGTGTGGAAGCTCCATTTCGCTTTTGGGTCGGATTGGCTGGATTGAAGGTGTGGGCGAAGCTGAAACTAAAGATGTTAAGTAAGTAATTACCTTTGCATCCAAACAAGAGATGAAACGAACACGCAGCTTGGAACAATGGAAAGCCCCGCAGGAGCTTGCTTCGAAGTGGTTCCGATGCTTGTATAGAAGAGTTCCAAGGATGTCCACATAATGCAGAGAAGGGTGGGTGCGTCGTCGGTATTATTTTGAGCTACGTTGGCAAATGATAGCGCCCCCGTGTGAAAATTTGTCATATGCTCTCGTCCGAATCATCCTCGAATATGGAGCACACACCTCACGACAAGACTATGCCATGCCAATATTCTCGTTCTAGTTTCTTCGGCTGCATTATGCAGACGGATGGCCTAATGCACAGCGTAGTTTATGAACACTACTTGAGAGAAGTCGGGGCAGTGGAGGCTACTAATACCTCTTAACCAGTCAAGAAATAAAACATAATCTCATAATTCTATACTCCGAATTTACGTCCATATCGAACACAACTGCATCGTTTGAAGTGACCTGCCCGACCCCAAAGAAAGGCAATTCCAATACGCTCCTGAGTCTTATTATTATAGAGTTGACAATGGTAGCTATTACTTTCTGTAGGTGGCTATGCTGAGGGAAAGGATAGTTTGGGGCTATGTGGCCAGAAGCCACAATAAAACAAATACACTACGAATTGACATGCACTATGCTCTTTTATTTGTGCTGTTAGACCTGGCATGGCTGCTTTTGACTTTGAGATACTCAACCTCATTGAAATATATTTGGGAACAATCGTGAACATATCTAGGCATGGGCCAAGCTACACGAGGCTACGTGCTGATTGAGATGAAAGACTTCCTTCACCATGGTTGTACATTGTACTCTTTATTGATTTCAGGTCTTCCACTCGCTTCTAAGTTGGAAAAACCTGAGCACTAGAGACTAACGCACAGCTGTTTTGCGGGAAAACATCGACCAGCGAGCAATTGCGTATCCCGGTGACATATACTGACTCTATATTCGACAGGGCGTGGCATGTTGTTCTAGTCCACTGATCTGACAATCTCACATATGGGGGCTCGTATGATGGATTCTGATGATAACTTCCTGGAAGGCCCGGAAGGTCCATGACAGCGGTGCAGGAAAGCCTGATCCTGCGATGATGGTTTCCTATAATAGTCCCTTTCAGGATGAGATACCAAGCCACCAGGGATTAACAGTGACGTTCGAACCCTGTTCTGCCCTTTTGTCGAGTTACATCATGCGGCAGGCGTGAGCCGCCAGACTGGGTACACTACCTTATTTATTGGAATTTCAAAGGTTGTTTGGGTAAATTATACGGAGAAATTACATGCGAGAAAGGTGGCTTGCCGACCTGTTGTAAGGTGATCGACAGTAAGCGAGGAGGGGGTCTGGGGAAACATTCGGGGTGAGTTACCCCGGACTACCCGGACTCGCTGTGACCAATATGGGCTTGGCGGCGACGACAACTGGTAGAAAGAGGTGTGTTAGCACATATATTGAGTGCTATCTGTGGGCCTTCATGCAGCTTTTGATTTCAGGCCCAACCTTTGATAGTGGCTGAATTCATGATGACTATCAAGATACTTATTTGGGTATTCCTATTGTTGATGTCTGCCTCGGGACATATTGACAGGCAACGTATAGTCTCCAAATACAACGTGATTCGTACGACTCTCATCCACAATGAAACTACGCCTCTACAAGTGGGGAATGGGAACTTTGCCTTCAATGTCGACAATACAGGCATGCAGGTGAAACGAAGTGTTACCCATAATCCCACGAAGCGAAATAATAATAAACATCCAGACCTTCCTCCCATTCAACACATTATCGAGCTGGGCCTGGCATAATGACTCTTTACCAACCAACGGGTGCGTAATTCTATCATCTCTTGCTGTTTACATAACTTCGCTAAAAGCCGAACAGAGAAGCAGTCAGCGATTACACCGGGGTGCCCACGTTGACGCATGGTAGAAACGTGTCGTACGATTTGCCTGATCCTGACCTTCCCGAAGTCTCGCAATGGCTCATTGGCAACCCCAACCGGGTCAACTTGGGTCGCATTGGCCTCTCGTACAAAGGCGTTACTCTGGTCGCAACACAAATCACAGAACCGAGACAAGAGCTCGATCTTTGGAACGGTTTCATCACTTCGGCTTTCAAAGTAGACGGCGAGGAAGTTAAGGTCGTGACCCAGGCTGACTTCGAATCGGATGCAGTAGCTTTTGAGATCAACTCCAATCTCATTTCCTCTGGTGATCTGAAAGTCGAGCTTGATTTCCCCTATCCACCCATGCACAGCACGAAATACAAGTACGAGGTCTTCGCTGGGGTGTACGACTTCCCTCTGAACCATACCACAAGAGTTGTGGACAGCAGCGAGCAAGATGGGCTAACACACATCTACCACGAAATGCAAGAGACGAGATACTTCGCCAACCTGCGCTGGCCCTCGAAGTCACCACTCCTGCTAACAAGGAATGAACCGCAAAACTCCTCCGCCATCACAGCCCACCGCTATACCCTCGCCTCGGCGTCCTCGTCCCGCCCCAAGCCCTCCTACGTATTATTCACGGCCCACTTCTCGCCAGACAAGCGTAAGCCCGACTTACCATCCACCATCAAAGACCGCAACTCAAGAGATTGGAACGGGTATTGGAGCGAAGGCGGATTCGTCGATCTAACTTCATCATCTAACCCCAATGCCACCGAGCTCCAGCGCCGTATCGTCTTGTCGCAGTACCACGTGCGCGTCAACAGCGCAGCAAAGGGCCAGTCACCGCAGGAGAGCGGTCTCATGAATAACGGATGGTATGGCAAGTTTCACATGGAGATGGTGGTGTGGCATAATGCGCATTGGTCGACTTGGGGGCATCAGGAGATATTTGATGATGTCTTTCCGGCAGTTTATGAGGCGCTTTTGCCTACTTCACTAGCCAGGGCTAAGAGTATGGGCTGGGAGGGAGCCAGGTGAGTAGTGGTTCTTTAGGCCTTTGATGGTAAAGTAAGAGTCGAGACTGACATTGATTTGTATCCAGGTGGCCGAAGATGACGGAGACCATCACGGGTCGGAGCTCTCCAGGTGGTGTCAATGGTTTGCTCATATGGCAGCAGGTAAGCTCCCTATCACCGGGCCCTATTTGATTATTGGCGTGACCAATTTATCACCAGCCCCATCCGATGTATCTGGCCATGCTGGCCTATCAGGCCTCGCCGACACAGAAAACACTGGAACGTTGGGAAACCGTTCTCACAGAAAGCGCCAATTACATGGCCTCTTACGCCTGGTATAATGCGTCATCGGGATATTATGATCTCGGGCCACCGTAAGTATTCCGCCCCATTTATCCGTTTCTCCTGCGGCGACTCACAAATTGCCATAGAGCATACGGCGTGACGGAAAACACACCTCCAGCTGAAACGCTCAACTTAGCCTATGAGGTGAGGGAGTCAAACCCCCAAAACAGATGACTGTGCAGCAGCCTAACATCCAATCCAGATCGCCTACTGGCGCTACGGCCTCGACGTCGCCCGCTTATGGCTCCAAAAGCTCGACCGTCCCGTCCCTTCAAAATGGACAACCGTCTCCGAGCTCCTGTCCCCTCCCCCGCAAATCGACGGTCTGTACACTGTCTACGAAGGCCTCAACGCCTCGTGGTGGAACGACACGGCGCTCAACAGCGACCCGCGCAGTTTGATCATGCTGCAGGGGATGCTGCCCGACACGCCTGCCGTTGACCCCGAAATTGAGTTGAGGACAGCGGATCAGGTATGGGAGGCTTGGAGAGATGAGGATATAAGGGGGTGGGGACGACCGGTGCTCGCGATTAATGCGGCGAGGGTTGGGAGGCCGGAGAGAGCGATTTATCATTTGACGGCGTATGATTATTGGATTTTTGATGATGCTGGTAAGTTGCTTGTACGTTAGGGGGTGACGAGGGAGGGATCTGTAACAAGTTGCTGATGGAGATTGTAATAGGTTTTGCTATTCGCGGAGGGGATGGGGGGACTCCGCCTCCTTTTATGCCCGGCAATGCTGGGTTTCTCTACGCAGGTGAGTATTCTGTGTTGGCCGTAGGGCTATGTTGTTGTGTGTCTCTAACGTGAGCCCTGGTAGTCGCCTATATGGCTGCCGGATGGAAAGGTTCTTATGGCGACGCACCAGGGTTCCCGAAAGATGGGGGATGGGTTGTTAAGCACGAAGGATTGCTCAAGGCGTTGTAATTGTTAATACTTACCCGGGTTTGCAACGTACGTATCGATTTATTAGATTCCAACGCAACCACTTTTTCTTCGGGGCACTGTATTAGCCTTGAGGGAAGGGGTTTCTCTCCATTGTGAGGCACTACGCAGTGAAATGTGTATGATAATTTACCGTTGCAAGACTTCAGTAAGCATGAAACAGACCGCAATTGCTGGATTTCCTGTACTAAGGGAGTGGCAATGCTCGCAGTGAGTTTCTAGCATCTAAATCGGATCACTACGTAAACTTCAGCCACCAACCCCACATATATTTCCGAAGGCTCTCTACTATTATTGAAGCACTCACCCGATTGTCGCTATCGGAATGTGTGCAAAAGTACTAGTTATATCGGGTAACTTGTTGGACCAAATTGACCGTCAAAAGACGAGGGACCCACTCGCTGTAGAATGAGGTATTTTTGGTAGTTATAAGGTCTGACATAACTTTCGTTAGTATTTTGTTCGTATGCAAATCCAATTATGTCTAGCAACCAGTATACGATTCTGAACTAGAATCAAACTCGTTTGACTCCTCGAAAATCCTACGGTGTCTCCGGTGAAGGCTATGCATCCTTTGTCTCCCTTCGCATAGGCAAAGCCACGAATGAGCTGCGAGCGGACGAAAGAGAGATTACCCAATTTGGGCAATGCGATTTCCTGACCCACTTGTCGGCGGTCGCGACCCGCATACTCGGCACCGGGTATATCGCGTCAACCCGCGTGACGAGATGATTTTTCGGCACGATCGGGACCAGACAAAATGGCAAATTTCGACATGACCAAGAGAAAATTGCCTAGCGCTAGTAATATAGACGATGGCGACACTGTGCGCATTCGCGAGGCCCGCGAGGGATAAGAGTTGCTTTACTCTACTACTTGTCATGGTCTATGACCGGTACATTACCCTTGACCCTTACACTACTAAGACCGTCAGCACATTTGAGTTTGCCAAGTAATAAGATCTAAGGGAAGATAGAGGGTAGATAAACGATAATATCTACTTGATTCAGTGGCGGCTCTGCAAATTGAAGACTGAGTCGTTGCTTGTGATTCGGTCTTCTTACACATCTTCAGGGGAACAACTAGAAGTGGACGAGATGGCGGAACAAGACCGCTCGACTGATCTCTCCGATGCACTGGTTTATGCAAGCCATCTATTTTTGCATCTGGCCATTAGTAGAAATCGGTACAAGGTCGCCAATCTTCGCTAAAAATGTAATCAAGTCGGTTGGGATGCGTGTACCTTTCAAGGTGGCCTGGTATTACCAACCTGGGAGTCAACGAGGTTCGCGTGTACTTGGGTGTAATGGCAACTGAAACGGAGTCAGTGTTTTGGAGCTGGTCAGTAACGAAGCTACGTCGCGACAGGTGGCATATAAACTGTCAACGGAAGAAAACAAGAATATTGTGGTGCAGACGGTTGAGTCATCAGGGACACACTTAAATCCAATCTCGACAGCCAGCGCAAGACATCCCAAAGAGCCATAGGACACATTTCGATACGAGAGTAACTCAGTCCTCATAAGCATAAACATGCCGAAGATGCCAAGTAGTTCCTCAAGAAGTAGGAGCTCTCTATTCCAGACAGCATTCATGTGACAAACGCGATATGGCCTGATGGCAATAAGACCTTGGCTGCCCCAGCAACTGAGCATCTTTAGTACGAGCATCCGGATTGTGTTGCGACACTTCACGGCGTTCGGCATCATCGAGATTTGGCAAATACGAAGTGTTGCTTTCCTAACGGTCGGCACTTGATAGCAGCCGGGGATTTCGAACACGCCATGAGCCAGTTGAGAAAAAATACAGGTTCAAATGGCATTTGGTCCTTAGCCTTTATTACCTCAGCTGGCACAACGTGAGCTTGAATTCCACGCTAGGATGAAAAATGAGATGGGAGTAGGGGTCACACGGAATAATGTAACAAAATTACGCGATTTAGAGTCCTGGAGCTGTTGCGATCAAGTTCGAGCTAAGATGGAGATATGTCGTCTAGATTGCGTCGCTTCTGCAGCCCAGCTAGCACAGACCACGTGCTCGCACACTTCCCGTCATCACGTGATCTTGAGGAATTGACCAATCAGCTCTAACCTAGACTCAGCAAAGCTTCGGCCAAGGAGCCGAGCATCATACGACGAATCTTGAATCCATTTTCAGCCGAACCGACCTTCAACGCCGAGACGACCATCCACCCCACGACAACATCCACAACAGAAAACGCGCCCCCCATGGCTTCCTTCATCGCACGCCGCGCTCTCCAGACCCGGGCTTTCTCGACGACCGGCCGCCGATTCGCCCAGGCTGACGCTGCGCTCAAGGAGGAGACAAAGCGCAACCCCGAGCTTATGGTGCGTCATATCCCGTTACCGAGCTTCTGTCTCTGATTTCAATATACTGGGATCGTGAGTGGCAAAACGAAAGAGCAGACGGAGGGGCAGGAGCAGCAGGAGCAATAACCTGATCAATGTGCGGCAATGCTGACCACTTGACCAACAGATCCTCGGAGGCGTCATGGCTCTTACCTTTGCCGGGGCTGGTCTCTACTTCGGTATGCTTCCCCCTTGACTCCAGAACTAAGCGAGAAAAGAACCATCGCTTACACGTTATTCCCCGACTGCAGGCCGCACGCCCACCAAGTCCACATCCGAGCAGGAGGTTGGCATGGCCAGCCAGGGCATGCCCTGGGAGACCGGTTCCGCCGAGGGCAAGTACCGATACCACCCGGGCGGCGACACCTCTCAGGCCCCCAAGGACGCCCCCAGCGCCGTGAACGTCGTTGTCATTCCCGACGTCAACCTGCCCAAGGTATGTGCTACTACTTGGGGATTACCGAGAGACCAATCGCCGCTTCCGAGGAGCTGGCAGTGTCGTTGAAGTTTGGCTTTTGAGGACGAAGATGATGCTGACCTAGATTCATAGCACCTGCACGACAAGTATAACAAATGGGGTAAGGATGGCTACTAGACGTTGGCTACTTGGAGTGGAGGCATGGATATGAATAGAAACGGCGAGGAAGTGTAGTGGAATTCCAGGCGATTAGAGCATCCAGAATATCACCAGTCCCCGCCCCTTTGTACATAATCCGAAATCAGAAATGAGCATTACATCCATCGCCCCATATAAATTAACGATTATGAAGAGGAGCACTCGACGTCCAAGCCGCTCAAACAGCGCACCTGTGTATCCGGATTATCCCACTCCATGTCGTCCCAGTGTGCATTAACGTGAATGTACACCGAGCTGGCCATGACACCGAGCTGGCTACCCTTACATAACCTCGCATAGAAATTTTACGATAGTAAAACCACAACGCCGTAAATCAATTGAAAATACTCTGAATCTTCCTCTCCAGAAGATGGCAATGCGATCTTACAAGTTCGCGCGTTATGTCCAGTCCCGTTGCAAATACCACAGCGCCTCGGGCGCGTTTCAACACGCTTTGCGCGACCACCATTTCGGCGCTCTTCTTGCTGTATCTGCGTTGCCAACTCCCTAGAGTCCCGTAGGTCCTGTCCTTCTTGGAAAATAAGTGATTCTCCTTCCCGTAATTGCATTTTTTTTAGTCCTCCGGCGCCGGCTTAGCATCTTATTTGCCTCTCGAAGCTCAGCGCACTCGGCCCGTACGAGGGCGAGCCGCCGTTTTTACGCGTTTGGAGGGTGCTTCGGGGGACTTGGTACGTTTTTGCCGCTTGTCGGAGACTAAGTTTTTGGTCATTTTTGAGAGCTTGAAGGGCTAGCATTAAGTCTGCTTCGTTGTATGACTTTGCCATAATTGGTTGTTGAGAAAATCAAACATTAAGTTGGCCGGTCGCGTTGGCGCATGAAAGTGGCCAGCTCGGTGTCATGGCCAGCTCGGTGTACATTCACGTTATCCGGCAAGGAATCTTTATAAACATATACCGATGGGCAAGGTCGTCACATCAGGGACGGAGCCAGCCACTTTCGCGGGGACATGCAACAGCCAGAGCAGCATAACTACCAGGGCTGCTGAGTGGTCCTTTCTTTCTTTGCTTCAAAGAAGTCCCGCCCGAGCCGTGTGGACAGAAGCAAAGTCAGTCCCTTGAGATCATGTAGTTTACACCTATCTGGTACAGGCCCCTCGGATTCAAGCCCCGCGATCGCATTTCATTATTTCATTTGTCTCCTTCACCACGTCTAGACCCGTCTAGTGGGAATCTACTTATGTACCACTGCCCATTAGGCTCACAATCCACACCCCGTAGTCCAAAGGACCGGGGGACTATATACTCCGGACCTACCCGACTGATCTCTGCACATGCATGCATCTGCGTAAACCTACCTACCAACCAACCAACGAACCAACCAACCACACACGAGATAGGCCAAGGACAGCCACAGCTCACGAAGTGAGCATCTCCACTTCCTCGCTCGTAAACCCGAACAAGTACATCAAATCGTCCAATGACTCGCCATTCAACCTCGTGTTAGCCTCCATCTGGACCCTCGGCTTCGCGTTCCACGCGACGCCCAACCCAGCCGTGGCCAGCATCAACAGATCATTCGCGCCATCGCCCACAGCCACGACCTGTTCGAGCGCAATGCCCTCCTTCTTTGCGATCTCGAGCACAAGTTCCCGCTTGCGATTCTTGCCCACAATGACGCCCTTGACCTCTCCCGTCAGCCTGCCCGCTTCGTCAACCTCGACCTCGTTCGCGTACGCGTGGTCAATGCCCAGCTCGCTGGCCAGCCACGAAGTCAGGGGCAGAAATCCGCCCGACAGAACAGCCGTCTTGACGCCGAGGCGCTTCAGAGCCTTGATGAGTCGGGGCACGCCCTGCGTGATGTCGAGCACGGGGCGGAGTTGCTCGAAGATACTAGCAGGCAGACCCTTGAGCAAGGCGACGCGCTCGCGAAAAGCGGCATCGAATTCCAGCTCACCCAGCATGGCGCGGTGCGTAATGGTAGCGATGTTGTGGGCGAGATCGGCCGGCTCCGTCATGGTGGCAGCCATGAGATCAATGACCTCCTGCGTGATGAGAGTGCTGTCCATGTCGAAGACGACGAGGCGCGGGTATCGTCGCCAGGGCGTGTCGGGCTGCAGGGCCACGTCGATGTTCCACTCCCGCTCGAAGCGGTAGATGAGCTCGTGCTTGCGCAGGTCGGCTAGGGGCAGGTAGTCGGCGGCGGGAGCGGGAGAGAGCGACAGTTCCACCACGCGCGGGTGGTCAGGGTTGTCGAGGCAGCGGTGCGACGACGTCATTTCCGTTTCGCCGCGGGGCAGGGGGAAATTGGACATGAGGTGCAGGAACGACGTGATGCATAGCGGCGAGATGTAGGACCCGTACAGGTGGTCGAGCGGCTCGGGCTCGCCGGCGGGCGGTTCAAGGGGAAAGTTGTTGATGTCGGTCGTGGGGGCGAGGTTGGCGGGGATGTCGGATTCCGAGGCCGTCAACTGCGGCGACGGGATGGTGTTGGACGCCCGCGCCCGGGGCTTGTATATCAAAGTCGCGATCAAGCGGTTGGTTTTCTCGCCCTTTCGCGGTGCGCAGTTGGGGTGGGTGAAATCGTAGCTACCGCCCTCGACGATGCGGGGTGGGTTGTCCTTAGAGGGGACGCCATTGAAGGGGCCGAAGGACTTGGGTGGCGACACACGTGCGCCTTGCAAATCCTCCACGATGGTGTCTATACCCAGATGCCCATCGGGGATGTGAGGCGCGCGATACTGCTGGTGCTCCTGGAGATAGGAGGAACTTCGCCTCACAGCGCCCAACAACTGCGGACGGCCTGGCGCAGCAGGGTTAGATTCTGACATGGCTGCTGCGGGTTTTCTTAGTTGGGCGGCGACCGTTCTTCAAAAGCGGAGGACTTTTAGAGTCGTATACTAGTAGGAAGCTCTGCCGTAGCTTGACTCAAGTCGGCAAGTTTGGGGCGACTACGGTTGATGAGCTAGGCTGTCGAGTTTAGGCGTTCTAGGAGGGGCGAAAGAAGGTCTTGAGAATCAATAATGCGGTTGACGTCAGAAATCCACCCAACCGACAACAACAACAAAACTTCTGCTTGCACGATCATATGAGGCTGACGACAGCGGGTTACGGCCCATACGGCCCCGCCAATTTTGGCGGATCTTTTGCACCGGGTTCGAGATCATCAGGTGGCTGGCTGTTTTGAGATTAGCGCCCAACACCCAGCATCTCAGGGAAATAACCTTAACCCAACCGTCGCTCGTTGTGTTGCGGCTCCACCTGCCAGATTCGGTTCAGAATAACGAACTGCGGACAACTTCGACGGTCAAAACACAGCTTGACACATTACATGTCAAGCTGGAAGTACCAAACGGCTTTTACGGGAGTCATAAACGGATGGAATCGCATCATACAGTCAAAATCGATGGTGTGAGTCGCTTGCGCGCGAGCAAAATGTGAAAATCAGGCCGTTGAAGGCAGTCGCTCTTGACCTTAACGCATTGCGGAGAATGCTTGGGAATAGCATCAAGCAATAAACGACAAATAAACAGCGCCAAGAACCCACCAACATCTTCTGATCTTCTGCCCGCCATTTGCAACACACGTGTTGTGTCAGCATCGCATCAGTCAGCAGTCTACTCGCATGAGCCATGCGTGGCAAACGTGCTTAGTTATTCGGCAGCCGGCTGGGGGAGGTGGATGTCGGCAGCGGCTGAAGTGGATATCGGCCAGCCGCCCCAGACGGCAAAGCCTGGCTCTCGGCCGCGGCAACACCAGGAAACTTCTGACGGCTTCGATAAAATCACGACATCGCAACGCAAAAAAATTAATTGATTTTCAAGCAAGGCCTAGTTGATCACGCCATCGCCCATGGCAAATATGTGATGCAAGTACCGCCTTCGACCAGTCCGAGCAGAGATGCTATTTGGTAGCTCTGACGCATGAAGCTTCTGCGTTGCGGCGGTCTGGACTTTACGGCTCCCGACATCACCATGACTTTGGGCTTGATATTGACACGGCATGTTTGTACGTGAGGCTATTGACTCTCGGTTTCTGTACTATAGGAGTAGAGTATAGCACATGAGTAGAGCTGGATTCAATCCCACCAAGCGCCTTCGTCGGTGCGGCTCGAATATCAAGTCAAGTCTCGCTTTAACACCCAACCCAACTTGATGCATCCGGAGTTTCCAACAACAGAAGGAAGCTAGAGCACGCAAGCCCCCATGTCTACTACAAGTCAACACACAGGTCCCATACCCATAGCACCTGTGGGTTGTTGGCCCCAGAGACATCGGGGAACGTCTCGACATCCAACATCGAGTCAAGCTGCCATATGTTTAACGTAGTTGCGCGTTGCCCTCATCCGTTCTCATCATTCAAAATCCTGCTGTAAAACTTCCGAAGTTGCAACGTCGAGTGATAGATTGCTCCAAATCGCCATAGTGGATCGCCATGAGGCAAAAACGCCGTGACGTCCCCCCAAGGCGCGATGGCTCTGGTACAGAGCTGAGTACCCATTCCGTCCATTAAGGTGCGGACGGGCGGACTTTGACAGCTATCGAAGGGGCGAGTACCGGTACCTGCCCCGCAAGCGGATCTGCGCCCGTGCTGTCACTGACACAAAGTTGCGGTACCTTGCGGGAACCTTCGATACTCAAGGCAGCCCCCGACCATTGTCCAATCAAGTGGTCCCGCCTAGCCCCTTACGAATGATTTAGCGCGGATGTCGTGATCGCTCGCCCAATTTCAAAGAATGTGTTCTTCAGGCATCTGAGCGAATCGCACAATTCGCCCGAGCCCGCCCTGCTGCTGCAATGTTGTTAGCAGGGCCATGGACGGAGAGGGGATCCTGTCCGAAAGGGAACGGTCCAAGCCCAAGTACATATAGAAAATCCTGCCTGCCGTCTTGCGTGATTCCAAACCCGAAAGACGACCATAGCACGCAATTACTAATTCACCCATACGTAAAGTCCACTTACATAGACGCAGCACCATCATTCCCGCCCTGTCACCTCACAGCCGCCGAGCCGGACCCTCTTAGAAACGCTGCCGTCCTCTTAAAACAGAACGTCTCCCTCTCGTCTCACAACTCCTTCCCCAGACTATACTTCTTCCTTATTCAACCTTCCCTCCACGCCAGACTGTCGTCATCTTAGCTCATACAATCACATCGTGCCTGCCATAAACGGAACCTACCTCGCAGCCCTGTCCAGCCTCTGCTGGCAAACCCCCCCCCACTCACATACACACCTGCCTCTTTCAACATGGAGCCTCAATCACAGAGTTCTTCCTACCCGTCCTCGCCTCTCGCGCGAGTTCGGCCAGTCGTTGATTCCAAAGTACCCCGTGACGTCGAGTTGGAATCGGGATATGGATCGGCAACATCGTCGGCGTCGAGCTCGACCAGCGGCCTACCCTTAGTCAGCTTGACCCCAGCACATATCAGACACCTCAACCAGCAGTTAGAAAGACTACCGGCAGTCGAGAGACTCCGATTCGTCAAGCTGCTCTTCCCCAACCTGTACCAGTCGACCGCCTTTGGGCTCACAGGCCTGGTGACCATCGACATGTTGTCCAAGATCAAGCAGGAAGACCCCGCGTCTGCCGATATCGACCTCATCTTCTTGGACACCTTGTACCACTTCAAAGAGACATATGACCTGGTCACCAAGGTCAAGGCCAAATACCCCAACATCCGGGTCCACACGTACCGCCCAGACGGCGCCAACACAGCAGCCGAATTTGAGGAGCGATACGGCGAGAAGCTGTACGACACGGCATCCGAGCTCTACGACTGGATCGCCAAAGTTGAGCCCCAACAACGGTCGTACAACGACCTCAACGTCGCAGCCGTCCTAACGGGCCGCCGCTGGTCCCAAGGCGGACAGCGCGACAAGATCGGCGTCATCGAGGTGGACGACGAAACGGGGATCGTCAAGATCAACCCGCTGGTGGACTGGACCTTCGGCCAAGTCAAGCGGTACATCACCGAACACGACGTGCCGTACAATGTGCTGCTGGACCGGGGATACAAATCCGTCGGCGACTGGCACTCGACGAGCCCGGTAGCCGAGGGCGAAGACGAGCGCGCGGGCCGGTGGAAGGGTCAGGAGAAGACGGAGTGCGGTATCCACAACAAGAAGTCGCGGTACGCTCAATACCTCGAGGACATGGCGCGCAAGGAGGCCGAGGAGAAGGCGGTGCAGGAAAAGCAGCTGCAGTTATGTGATGCCTTGAACAAGGTCGAGCAGGCGCAGGTTAATGCGGCGGCGGTGCCGGTGGAGACTGCATAGACCGTGGTTTCTCTCGAATCGGCTGGAGGACCTTTTTATTGTTACGAAGCGCATGCACGAGAACGCGGGGGGTTGATGCATTTGCAAGGTTGACGCTGTCTCCAGGCTTGGGACGCGTGTAGAGCGGATTTGGTTATTTGTTTTTTTAATGAGGTGGCGGAGCTAGGCGTTGGAGGTGATTCCCAACAGCCCAGACGGGCTTTATTTTGCGATGACGAGCATCAACACCAACAAGAAGGTGTCTTTACATAGAATTTAGTCGCAATACCACAATACCCGATCTATGAGAAAACATACCACACATGAAGTACCATGGCCTCTACACGATGTAACACAGTCGGACCGCAACGAGACACCAGGATCGCCGAGATATCTGACTAGCATCGGCGAAACAATGCGCTTCGTACGGGTCAGACATTCGGGTTTGCTGAAGGCTTTAGAAGGCATGGTCTCGACGACGTCGTCGAAATGACGCTTGGGGAGGGGAGAGGCTGGAGAGCCGCAAAAATTGGATGCAGCCCCAACGACGAGGGGAAGATGGGGAATCACGACACACATACATCAATCTCTTATTTTGATTGGCGGTTTTCCTTAAACGTGGGGCTAGAGATTGACCAACTACATAACAGTCCACAACATACACATTAGCATTTCTGGCTTCGGCTGCTGAATCCAATTCCGCTGCCCATTGGAGTCGTCGTTTTCCAATGAGGCAACCTGGCCAAAGACCATGTGTGCGCAAAGAACGGCGTTCCTCAGTTCAGGCTTTCGAACATAGCGTCGCTTTACGTGCTCTCCATGGCGTCAAGATGCACTCGCAACGACCAGGTTGGATGAGAAACATCGTAAATACCCGTTGCATTTGGGAGGTGTCCACGTTTGGTATTAGGGAAAGATGACACAATTCCTACTTGAGCATCCAATGTATGGATGGCACAGACTACGACTTGTCCCGGCTGTCTTTCCGTGCCCATCTCCGCCGCCTATTTAGGCTACACGTTTGCTTCCTCAACGGGTTCTCCAGGCCAAGCGTTAGCAGTGCCACCGAGCAATGCTAGTCTTCGTACCATCCCAGGTTGCAGCAGAAACCGATCGCACGGAGTCAGACATGTAAGAGGATATCGGGAAGGTTTGAGTCCGCAGTTCCGCGGCGACGTCGTCCGATGTTACGATAGGTTTCTTCGCTCAAACACGTGCTTCCTGTTGCCCTTTCTTCAGTGGTTGGCACCAAGAGAGACAATACCCTTCATCTCGTTACCCCTGTCTCTCAACCATCTTCCCAGGGGATGCCCTGCTCCAATCATGTCTTTCGTTTTGCGATTGGCTCCAGGAATCCAGAGGACAAAGGCCAAGCGACTGAAGCTGAAAACCCTGTGGCTCCTACCAAAGCTCCCTCGGGCCCATTCTGCCGAGTTGGATACGGCGAGCATAGACAACCAATTTTGTTTGTTTCTCCATTCTTGTCGGGACGCTGATACCCGCATACAGGTCCATCTTGGCGATCTTATAGGACTAGTCATGAGCCGGCCAACACACTTATTGTCTCTTGTTACATGAGGCTCCATCGTGCCGCCTCACCAAACCCCATGACTTACAGAAAACTCTTCGATCAAGATGCATTTCTCGAGCCTGTTCCCGTTCCTGGCGGCCACGACGGCCGCCCAGTCACTGACGTCCATCCTGACTAGCAACCAGGCGACCTTGGGCACGCTGAACAGTGTGTTTCTTCCCTTTTCTTATTCTCTCTTAGTATTCCGTAGCTGACAAGACAAATAGCACTCCTGAGCACCGTTCCCCAACTAACCAAAACCCTTGTCCAGGCTTCAAATATCACCATCCTCGCGCCCAGCAACGATGCCTTCACCAGGATGATGCAAACCATGCCCGGCGCAGCCCAGGTGTCCCAGAACGCCACAGCCCTGACTGCGCTTTTGCAATACCACGTGGTGAACGGGTATGCAAACTCCCCGTAACAACCTCGGAACATCCAACTACTAAACAACTCCCATATAGCATGTTCCAATCCAGCACTTTCTTAACCACCCCCCTCGTCGCCTCTACCCTCCTCACTGCCACTCCAAACAACCCAAACACCAGCGGCACTGCCCAAACTCTCCAACTCACCAAATCCCTCGTGCTCTCAGGCTTCAAACAACCCAGCACCCTAACCCAACTCGACATCCCCTTCACGGGCGGCATAATGCACATCCTCAATACGGTGCTCACCCCTCCCGCCCCACCCTCCATCACCGCCCTGGACACGGGGCTCACCTCGCTAGCGGGCGCTCTCGTCCAGACCAACATGGCCGGCGGTGTCGACGCGCTGCCTGCGGGGGTAACTATTTTCGCGCCGTCCAACGGCGCCTTCGAGGCCGTGGGCGCGGTGGTGCAGGGCGCGAGTAGGGAGCTTTTGGGCAATGTTTTGGAGTACCATGTGCTTTCTTCTTCTGTTACAAATGGTGGGGCGTTATTCAGCAAAGATCTGAAGGATATGGCGGAGCGGAATGGGGGATCGGTGAGCTTGCGGACATTACAGGGTGGGACGGTGACGGTTAGGTCCGAGGAGGGGAAGTTGTTTGTGAATAGCGCCCGGGTGACGAATGGAGATATCATTACCAGCAATGGGGTTATTCACGTCATCGACAAGTAAGTTACCCCCTGCCCCCCGGCTCTTTCCCTCTGCTGGCGTCATATTCAAACAAACATGGAGAAAGCTGTTTGGCAAGAACAAAACAAAGGACAAAGATCCAGTGACGAACTGGCTAATCTCTCAACACAGTGTCATGAACCCTCTCGCGACAACCGCCAAACCCGTAGCCGCCCAAGCGACGCAATCCCCCGTATTCGCCGGCGCCAGCTCCCAGAATCAAGCACCCTTTACGTCGGGCCTCACGCCCACCACAACGCTAGTCCCGGCCACCCTGGACGTCGGAGGAGGAGGTTACGCGGCGTTGCCAACGGCGGCGTTGATGGGCGTTGCTGGTGCAGCGGCTGTGATTGCGAATCTGTAGACAGGCTGAACGAAGTCTGCACGAGTTCGTTGTGAGCAGGAGATAGAAAATGGTTCAATGAGATATGTTCAATTAATGGAACCCTAGCCGACCACTTGTGGGAAGCATTCAGGGGACGCACATAGATACAAGACACAAAAGATAATACATGGTAATGATAAAAATGTGAGAAAGGGTGACGACGTAGTGGTAATTCCAGATATAATACTCCTGAAGCCCAGTAATAGACCATGCTATCATCTTGTCATCCTCGAACGTTCCCTCCTGTCTGTATACAGCGTCTCAGCGCCGTCCGTGGTGTAGTCGCAAAGCCTCGGGAATACCACACTTTGTTTCTAATTAGCGTATGTATGCAAGATACACTGCTCGGTCTTCTCTTGATGCCCTTCGGATTTGGCCCTCTTCCTCTTGCATCTTAAGGTACTAATATGGTTGCCAGACGCCTCGCTAAATGTCCGCTTTCTCGCTGGTAAGCTCATAGTATCAGGAGCCTATTCCTGTCGAGCATCTGCCTCCTCCCATCCTTCGACCTTGTCTTCAATAACCTTGGCTTCCTGCTGGCCAGCGTCGGCTGAGACACTAGCTTCTGTCGCAGGAGCAGAAGTAGGAGCAGAATCAGGAGCAAGAGCAGGAGCGGGATTAATTATTGGTTCCAGTGTAGGGATGTCGTTGACAGGAGGAGCTCCGGGGGAGCCATTGCCGTTAGACAAGTCGTTTGGCTCGCTGTGCTGATCCAACGCCGCCTCCAATCCACCTAACAAGTCGGGGCTTTCGGGTTCATTCTCATCCACGGTGGGGGTTGCTGGAGCCTCCGCTTCGTTGATCTTTAGAGGGTGCAATGCAGGTAGAACGGCTGGTTCTTCTGTAACCACGGGCTCCTCAGGAACAACTGCCTGGGTCAACTCTGTGGCCTGTGTCTCGACCATTGGGGTTTCTGCTTCAGGTGCTGACGCGAATGATAGTTCCGTGGCGGATTGATCAGGGTTGGTCGATTCATCCGCGACTGGCAAAGACTCTTCTGCTTTGTTCGCAGTTGGCGGCGACTCAGGGATATCTGTAACCTCTTCGACAGGAGCCGGAGGGTCAACAGGCGGCTGTTGATCGTTTAATGGCACTGTGGTGGTTTCCACAACTTCTTCAACTATGACAGCCGTTGGCTCGGCGTCTGAAGTCAACACAACTTCCGCCTGCATTATCGTGTCCGTTTGCATGGAGATCGAGTTCGTCATTTCAACATCCGCAGGCTGTGTCTCCTGGATGGCATTTTCTTGGGTCATGGTTTCCAAGACTGAGGGTTGTGCTCCCACCAACAGTTCAGCAGGCTCTGGGAGCGACTCAAGTGCCAACGCTGGGGTATCCTCAGTCATCGCCGAGGTCGTTGTGGGGAAAGAAGTCGGAATAGGGGACATATTTGGCGTCGACGGATCAGTCGGGGATGGTATGACGACATTTTTCAGCGGGCTCCCTTCATAGCGTGGCGAAGTCAAATGCGCTGGAGGCTGTATCGGGAAGGGGACAGAGAGAGATGCGCTGCTTGGCTGTGGCGATGGGCTTCTCGCGCGTGACGATGGCTCTTTGGCTATTGCATCTCCAGCAGGAGCCACAGGCGGCACAGAAGTCTCAGGTGTCTCGACGAATGGCGAACCTTTCATCTCCTGGTCGACGCTGTCCTCTTTCACACTGCCCGCGGCTGTGCCAGTCTCATTATCGGGACCATCGCCTTCTTCATCATCATCGCTGCCGTCTTCTCCATCCTCACCCTCGTCATCGTCGCCCTCGTCGTTATCATCACCATCGGCCATCTCAGTATCCTGGTTTTTGTTATCTCCGTTGTCCCCATCCTGTTTGATACCCTGTATTGTGTTAGGAAACTGTAATAATGGCGGGTGCTTTAAGTTGCTCACATCAACGTTGGTACTCTCTGGTTTCACGAGACTTAAGGATACCCTAACACCAGAGGCCGATGGTTCGGGGTGCGTGGCGTTCTCGGGCAGCGGCAACTTCTTCTTGCGCCCTCTACCAGGCCCCTTAGGTTTCCTCTTAGGTGGTGGCGGCCGCCTTTTCACGGGAGTCGCACTAGAACTCCCATCTCCATGACCGGCCGCGTTTGGTGCCGGCACGATGGTGGTCGAGATGATCTCCCCATCCACAGGTTGACCCTCGGTGAGCGTGACTTCTTGCGTGTAAGGATTTCCGGCCGCATCGACGCGGCGCACGGTAGCCTTGGTCACTGTCGGTCCGGACGTCTGACCAGCTGGAAGATCAGACGACAAGGTCACTGTAGTCTTTCTCCTCTTTGCCAGATGTGAAATGGTTGGCCCCTCAGCATTACGTGGGATCTGCTTCCACACTTTCACCATGAAGCCTTTGGTAGCGGGATCCTCCTCCTTCTTCTCTGGTTTCTCGGGGGCGGCATCTGCTTCCGCCTCCTCTTCCTCCACAGGCGCCGGTCGCTTGTATAGTCTGCCCGAACGTGCTGCCCTGAGAAGTTCCTGGGTGTGCGTCGGCAACAGTTGTGAATCCTTGGGCATGCCGTGCGGTAGCTCGATGGCCCATACATCGTTCTTCTGGGTCGTATCAGGTGGTGGAGGCGGTACCACGCTCACCCACTCCTGCCGCCATTGTCGAACTGGCAGACCTGGAAGGAATGGTTAGCTAGGCTTGGTCAGCAGGAAATGGCTTGATGGCATGCCTTCAAAGTCGTCATGTTCCACGTATGCGCCTCGAGCGCCTCGCCGAGTCTGCGTGTTTGGGCGGATCTGAAACAAACACAAGGTCAGATAGGACTATAGCAACACGATTGCGATGCATCCCTACATATGGCGCCATTGGGCAGTCTGTGCTGTTAGATGAGATTCAAGGCACCAGTTTGCGCGTCGTAGTCGAGACTACGACTAAGCCAACGAAGCTGAGTCTCTCGCACGCAAGGCTAGGTATTTTCCAGATAAATAGCAAATGAGAATGTGTAAGCCAGAGAATACCTATGTCATCAAAGCCTCAGGTGAAATGGTCGAGGGTGCTGATGGCAACAATTGATCTTGACTTTGTTGTCTCATGTAAGCTTTCGCAAGGTCGTCAGTCTATCCCAGCCAGGTTCGCGACTCGTGCTGCATGAACAAAGTCGCGACCGATCTAAGTCGCAGCCCCGCAGCCGAGGTTCAGCCGACACTTCTCACGTGATGCCCCAAAGCCAAACAAGCCGAGAAAGCCAGCTTCAAAATTCATGTACTAGTTGAGCAGGTACTTAAATGCATGCATTTAGACGTTGAAAATTGACTGAGTATCTCTAAATATGGCGCCTTTTGGTTGGTTTCTTCTTGTTCTCTCATGCGGCTCCCAAAGAAACTTCTAGAGATCCAAGTAACCAACTCTATGTCCGGCATGGTCCATCTGATTTTGTCTTCTGATGAACTCCAATACGACACTTGGGAACAAAGCAGAGTGCAATTAGAAGTTCAGCCAACAGAAACCTGGATATACTCGAGGTACTGAGACAAAACCAGCATGGCCTACTGGCTCTTTTGTTGCAGAATCCGAGTAGTCACATGCAGCGAAATTGGCCTAGATGGACTCGGAACCCCGAGTGATGAAGTTCAGGGGCATGATATCCCAGGTCGGAATCCACAATCTTCGATGTCTAATGATGTCTAACATAAGCATCAACTCATCAAGAAGTTGACACAGACAATAAAATACTTGGAGAATTTGACACCTTGTAGTATCGAGTATATATGCCAACGCCGAGCTTCAAAGCCATTTTGGGGAGATGTTCTCTAGTAGGATATCATGTTCCCTTGGTTCCCTTGCGAGGAACTTGCAACTCCGTATGTAATTACCAGCGTACTTGTACAGTTGTCAAAAGATATGATACACGCATATGTAATGCCCCGCCGCCAGGACTCCTGAACACCATCAAATAGCTATCGGTGGGTATCAGTCCCATCTAGAGCCTGCCTGTTAGTCCAACTGCATCTACTCAGGCGACAGCGACAATAAGAGCAAACTCACCCTGTGTCCTTTTGCCGCGAAACCTCTCCCGACTTCCCTGTTTCCTTGCCCTATGTCCATATTAGCACACCCATGATTTCCAAAAGCTCTGTTCCAGCGGGTCGTAAACACATACCGCCATGCCCCCTTCGACTACTAATCGATCAATCTGGTAGAACTGACTGACGACCGTTTGGCGCTGCAAAAACTGAGTCAGCCTGTTTCTATCTCCCCAACTCCTTATCTTATGCTGTCCGTCCCTTGCAAGCTCGAATCGCAAACCAGCTTTGCGCTCGGTAGCGAACCTACCTTCATCATCTGCAGCTCCTTGAGCCCCTTTTGTATCAAATCCTGCACCTGCCTGGGGTCCTGCACCTCCCTGTGTTCGCGGAACGCATCCCTCGTCCTTCGCCTCGCATACTCGCGGAAATTGTATGCGTTGAACTGCGTGCCTTGGCGTAATAATTGGCGGTACTGTATCACGCAAAAGGATTCGTTAGCCAAAGCGGTTCTTTGAATTGCGTGCAAGACCCAATGCATGTGCCGCCTGCTCCTGATCTTCCGTTCCCTGTTGTTGAGTTGGCGAATACCAGGCATCTATTATCGCGCTGGCAATCACTGTATCGCCATGGAAAATACAGGAGTCGTGGGGCAGTCGGGGAGGAATAGGAAGAGGACGTAAGAGGACGTACCAGCGACCGAGACTGCTGTGGCAAGTCGCCCTTAAGGGCCGAGACAATCGACATTGTGAGGCAAGCGTCAGTATCTGGGCGAAGATGCTTCGGTCTTTGCGAAAGGTACTCTGAGTTGGAAGGGGAAGCTGGGGGCGGAAGTCTGGAGAGTTATGATGCAACCAATGGCAAATGCCGCGCGAACGCCCGCCCGTGATGATTCAGACCAAAAAAAAAATTATCGGTCAAACAAGAGTGCCGTCGGAGCTTGGGCCCCGGGAATAAAGGATCTCGACCGATGACCGAGAGCAGAGTTGTTATAAAGACGGAGATACGTAAAACGGGGATTTCCATGACATGATCAACATACTAACTACCCAAGTAGTTTTATGTTGAGCTGTTGTCAAAGTGCGACAATTCCGAGGAAGGCGGCACATCAGTAAAACGACGCAAGCAGCTCTTTCCATTTTGCTATACCTTTAAACAGCCTGACTGAAATCAATAATGACTTCAGCTATACAATGGGGCAAGGAGACTGCGGTTATTGGTTTTAGTGACAGGCCATAGCTTACATGTCAGTTATTCCAGCCCGTGTTGCTGATTGCGACTCCTACCCTTTACTCATACATTGAAAGCACCCGTCTTCTGCTCCCACTCTCTCGTCGCATCACTCAAGCTCACACACCCGAACTGCCCAATCTCATTATCATCAAGTTCCTTGTGTATCCTATCGCAATGCATATCAAAGTTTGCATCGAAACATTGAGCAGAGCAGAAAAGCGACGGAAGCTTCAAAACATCGACACATTCCTGGCAGAACACGGGGTCGATACTACTCCCGTCGTCCATCATGACGTCCTCATCTTGAAGCCTCCGACATTCTTGGTCAGATGAACAATGATGTGTCTTGCAATGCGATTCCTATAGCATGTTAGCAAGCGTGTTTTGAAACCCAGGGGTTTTCATATGCCATACATAGGCTTCCATATGAGGCCCATCGTCTGAGCAGAAGACTATCGGCTCATCCTGCAGCCGGTAATGCTCGGAGAGCACTAGACAGATGTAACACGGCACAAATCCCGCGGTATTGACTGCTTTCGAGCAAAACGCACACGGCGGAAGAGGGAAATCAGGCTCTGATGCAGCAGCGGCTGCATCTGCCTTCTCCTGCCGAATCTTCGCCTTCTTTGCTTTATCCGCCTCGTGGGCCGCTTTAGCTCTGCGCAACTCCTCCAGCTTCTTCTCCAGAGCCTGCCTCTGGTCCTGATTACCCTTAGACGTTTGCCGGTCCCGAAGCATGGCACTGATGACATCAGCCACTGGTGTGCCGTTGTGTACCATGTCAATGTATTTCTGCGCCTTTGCCGCACCGTCGGGGTCGTGTGTGGGCTGGAAGAAGATGTCTACGCAAGCCTCGTTCCTCTCCTGGGGCGTTTTGGTGTTGCTCAACCGGTCCAGAAACTCGTTGGATGCTTTCTCGTTGTTGACGAGTCCGTCGCGAAAGGCCCCGCGCAAATTTGATGAAAGCTGTTCGACAGGTATGCCTTTGTCATTGAGCAGTTGCTGCAATTCCCGGGTTTCGGACGGTGTCTTAGTCGCCGCCTGGAGACCCATGTTTTTGACCTTTTCTCGAAACCATTCCTGCTTTTGTTCGAAAATGCGTTCGTCTATCGCCTTGAGGTCGATTTTGTGCTCATGGGCTTGCGCAAACAAGGTGTCGAGTTCTTGTAGAAATAAGCGCCTGCCAGAAAACCATTCCTGGGTGGCTGAGTTGAGATATCGATCTCGCATCCGGTTGACCAGCCGGCTCCAACATTCTGAACATTCTGAGACGTGTCTCTTTCCATGCTCTTTGGCGCATGTTGTCTTGATCGTCTCTACGTCGTCTGCACATGATTGGCTTTCCTTCTCCCGGATGAGAACCTCATCCCAGGGCTCCAACATTTCGTGTCCACAGGCAATATAAATACCCTTCTGAAAGGGTCAAGAATTCGCAAAATAGCTGAACAGTAAGTATGAATGAGGCTCAGACGTTGGATCTCTGAGTTGTTGACCAAACTGGTGTCTGTTCGGCGGAGAATCGTTGTAGGCCGGGGACTTGAAGGTTCAAAGTGGTAGGTACTGCAGGCCAGACTCGATACAGACTTTGTTTGTCCGGTTTGTATTTTATATCGGGTTCAAGTTCATAAGTTAAGTCATTTTTGTGCGAAGTTGATTTTCAATAGCATATAATTGCATCTTCATATAAGTTGTAAGGTTCATCGGTCCAAGATTCAATTGTTCAATGTTGACATTGCTGGAAGCTGAACGTGCGCCACGCCGATTTCCCAGCCACATTTGCGATCTGCGCTGCAGGAAGGACTGGGTACGCCGGAGAAGTCACTTGCAACCTTTACAACCTTCAACAGCTTCAACTCGATCAATAGCAATTAGGAGTACGTGGTCCTTCGTAAAGAAAAAGCCAACACACCTTCACCTCAACATACCAAACAACCTCAGCATCCTCATTTCCCCTCCGTCAAAATGGTCAGTCCCCTCCGCCGTCCATATTATCCCATCCATCCATTCGCTCTCAAACCCAACTAACCAACTCTGCCCTCTAGGCCGACAAACTCCGCACACAACAAGAACTCGAGCGCCTACAAGCCAAATACATCGGCACGGGACACCCCGACACGACCTCATGGGAATGGCGAACCAACATCGCACGCGACACCTTCTCGTCCATTGTGGGCCACCCGCCGCAGCTGGCATACCAGTCTCTCGCCCTCAACGAGCCCGCCGCCAAGCTGCGCGCCGAGCTCATCCGCAAGATGATCCAGCCGTGCGGGCCGCCGCCGCCGAGAGAGGGCGAGGAGCATCTAGTGGCTTCTTCGAGAGATGGGCAGCAGGAGCAGGGTGGTAGGACGTGAGGAACGGGGAGGAATAGGGGAAACGGCATAATTTTGTCAAACACCGGGCGCATAAGTGGCCGTACGTCACCCTGCTGGACTTGGAGGATACGATTCGATATGAGGGAAATGCGCTTGACTCTCAGCCGGTGACCGTTGGACAGCACAGGAAGCAGTCCCGGCAGTATTCCTATGTCTCGGCGCATATCGAAATAGAGAGGCGCACCGGCTATCCTGACTACGGTTAATCGCGCGAACGAAACGGCCGACGATCATCAAGCAAGATCATCCTAAGGCAGGCAGATTGAAAGACGGCCATGGATTGTTGGCTCATCAAGGCCTGAAGTGCCGATCGTCGTGGTCATAAAGATTCATGTCGAGAGAGGGTTGCCCCCTTGTTCTAAGATGCGAGCCAAGCCAAGTCATCGCATCCGTCAACACCATACCAGTCTAGTCCAAGCCAAAACGCCAGTGCTCCCCTTCGAGCTCATGGTGCGGGTATTGCCCCTAATCAACGACATCAGTCAGTCCTCTGCCGCGCCATCTTCAGCCTGCGCCTGTGACTCCTGCAACCCAAGACTTTTATAGAGCCTCTTCTGGAAATCCTCATCCACCTGCTCGCCAAACACCTCTTGAGCAAAGCCTGCTATGCTCTGCGGTGGCACTTCCACCCTACCTCGCGATCCAACGCACCAAGAGACGGTAGGTTCCTCGCCAGCATCGTTCTTCTCCACCACCTTGTCCACGTACGCCTGCTTGACCATCCTCGTCAGTATATCGTCCGTCTTACCAAACGGTAGGTTGTCTTTGGCATTCATCCGAGTCAGGTGCCGCCTCAGCTTGACGTCACTCAGCTCGCCACCGCTGAGCGCAATGATGGAAATGACAAAAGTGTAGAACCCAACATAGCCCGCCTCTTCGCTCGCGCTGGGTGTCCGGGAAGGGGCGATGATGGAATTTGTTTTGTACGCGGACGGTAGGATCGAAGTCAGGATGTACTGCCGCGATGAAGTCGCGCCTTGGGACTTGGCCTTCCTAGCGGTCGCCTCTGGACAGATATGTTAGTCTTAAATTAAAACCGCAGCCCAGCAGCGCCAGAGAACCAGTTGCATACGTTGCTTCTCCTTGAGTGTGCGCTTCTCCTTGACAGGCAACTCGACCATCTCCATGCCGAAGACGTCCTGTAGCTGCTTCTGGGCTCCGTCGAACACACGCTTAAAGGATCGAGCGTTATTGCCTAAGACCTTGTCTCGTATGCCATCTCTTTTGATGGACGTTCGGGAGTATTCGCAGGCGAGTGCGTACCGGACGAGCTTCTTCACCAGTTGGGCCTCTTCATTTGCGGCGCCCCCGTTCATGTTCACGTCGCCATCTTCATCTTGTTCTGAGTCTTCGGAATCTTCTGAGTCTGCATCCCGTCTTGATTGTCGGCGGCGCGGCGAATCCTCGTCATCGTGATCATGAGCGCCGTTTGTGCGGCGTCTTCGCTGCGTTTGCGGGGGCATGGTGGGGGGATGCGCCGGAGTCAACTGGATTGAACTGGGTAAAGTTTGGCGGATGATGCAAAAGGCGTGTATATATGTTAAGTGGCACTGGAATTAAGAAAGGCGCAAGTGTTTCGTTGAAGATCAATCTTCCTTGGTCATTGAGGAAGCTGTATTTCCAGTCTCCGAAGTGCGTCGCTGCCGTGTAAGACGCGTTTTGGAGTAGACGTATCGTGTATCATTGCAGCAGACCCGTATTGAAGTAGGCAGAGTCCGTGCACGCCAGGGCTGTCCCCGATTTTGCCTAATATGGAAGACAAAAAAGTTGCAAGTACACTTGTACTGAAGTAAGAAGTGCTTTCTTTCAACTTGACCCATGTCTACGACAGTCTCCTGTCTCCAACCTCTGTCTTCATGTTAGCCAGAAGGGTCTCTGGCGGCGCAATCTGTCTAGGATGCCGGCTGCGACTTTTTGGCCAAGCTTCACGGCCGAATTGCCAGCTGTCTGCAACCCGAATATTAATCGCAACCACCCGCACGAGGAGCAAGACAAGCACACGATGCTATGCGAGCGAGCCGGCTACTCGTTCCAGCGAGCCTGTTATCCCCGAAGACAGCGAATCATTCTGGGCCATCGATGACCCCCCACCATCCAAGAGAATTAGAAGCCGGGGCAACCACCATGATCACCGGAAACAGGAAGAAGTTGCTGTCGGTAACACCGCTTATGACGAGAAGAGCCGACAGGCCAAGAAGGGGTCCAAGTTCCGCTCAAAGCATGTTCCTCTTCAGAAGCAGCACTTTGATCGGAACCGAGTTTTAACTGAAGGCTCCGCGAGTCTGGGATCTGATATGCTGGGCAAACCCGCCTACGCCATCCTCATGAAGGAACGAGGGAAGATAAAGGACACTCCGCCGCCCGTCTCGGACGATCTCGATCATGCGCTTCCCACTCCTGAGCCGGTCGATATCCAAGCTCTGCTTAATAGTCAGAGCGGGCCTGTAACCGATTCCGAGGTTCGTGCCAACATTGACGAGCTCCGGCCCGAAGAAACCGTCCTGTCCGCCAAAGAATTTCGTCGCATACAGAAGGAGCTGGAGAGCTGCTTTTTGAACATGCAATTGCAAAACTACATCGAGGCCTTCCAGGCGCAGAACGAGTCCGCGGCCGAGGAAGACTCGGAGAAAACAGAGTCCCAGTCAAACGTCGGATTTACATGGGTGAAGGACATCACAACATGGGTGCCACTGGCTACCGATAGCACCGGACATGCCCGAGGACCTGCCCAGCCGCTCTATGGCTATCTCACAGCCAGCTCTAGTGCCAAGCGTCGGCTTGCCCTCCGCATCATGCGAGAGTGTTGGGATCTGCACTCAGAGAAGCGGGTAGACGACTTAGGTGAGGTCCTGGTAAAGATGCGCAACTCCGAGTTTATACTGCTATTGCGCGGCACCCGCCGATTCCTTCAGTCCCTGAATTATCTGCACCTCGAACCAGGCGAAACCATCGAGGCGTTTCGGTCCCAAATGACGCTGCGGATCGTCACGAAGCGGGCCAAGGTCCCGACCATCCTTAGCGAACTGAATAAAACCCTCTTATGCATTAAGACGGAAACGTTCCCGCTCAGGTTCCTCCAGAACAGAGACCAGATCAATGATGCACTTCTGGAAGAGGTTGGGCGTATCACAAATACCTTCGTTCGGCTTAGCCACAATAAAGAGCGGGTGGGCACTCTTGCACCTCCAACTTGATTTCGCATTATGCTGACTGACCTGTCTCCACAGCTCCATGTCACATGGGTTGACATCCCAAGCTACAAAGTCCAACAGTTACAGGTTGAAAACCTGATGGCAGTGGTACAACGTTTCCTTTTCACAGCCCTGAACCCCGACCGAGCCAGGAGAAGGTTGTACGCACCTGAACCGAAAAGGGGAGGACGGTACATGGTTGACACACATAACAAGGAGAAATGGGGTTGGAAAGACAAACTTGGGTGCTGGGCACGCTATGTTGTCCCTCTCCAACCTAAAACGGACATTGAAGATACAATACCGGCGTCCACGACCAGTGAGAAGATGGAGAAGACACATCCGGATGCTACAGGTGGTTCTGTAGCGTCCTTGAGAGCCATATACGGGCCTTTTCAAGAGCTCGCTATGCCCGTCGAGCGTCCAATACGCCGTGGCCCAGAACATGGCAACATCGCCAGAGATGAACTTCCTATCGTAGCACCAGCCGAATCACTGGACAAAATGATGATCCAAACCCCCACGTCCAAATTCCCCTATCACCCTGTCCGCTGGTCGCCGGAACTCACAACCTCAACCACGGCTGTCTTTGGCCACATCCTCCACTCATATAACGCCGAAAAAGATGACTTGGCCCCACCGCTACCATCAGCAATACTCGACCATATCAATCGCCCGCATATTTTCTCTCCAACCGTTCCACATCCAATGCAGCTTGCGCGTCTCGCATCTTCCCCCGACTCCACCACACTCTACCCCATAGTTTCCATGATCCTCATCAAACTCGCCCCTTCTCCCGGCTCGACTCCCAATGCGCCAGACCTTGAGCTGCGCCTCTCCCTTTCCCTCGACGATCCACCGGCCGTCTCAGGGATACACTCTCTCCGCGCGGTGACCCGCAAGCACATACACGACGTGCTACAACCCTCCTCGCCCGTCGACATCCGCTTCACCCAATCGCGTTACTCAGTCTTACAAGGCATGTCCTTGCACATGGAGAGCTGGCAGCCCATAGCCGACTTCATGTCCAAAGCGCAACTCGACCTCGACGCCGGCAAGCTCGACATGCCCCCACAGCAGCGCTTCCCCATCCCGCGCCGCCTCTTCTGCGCCAATATGGACTCCGACGCCGCGCCTCTATCCAAGTCATCGTCTCTTGATGAAGTCAGCATGAACTACAGCTTCACCGGCCTCGAGCTGCACCGCTCTGTCAGCGTCCCTTACGACGGCCAGACCCTAACCTACACCTCCATCGAAGCGGGCGCCAGCGGCGGCCGGCGCGCTGAGGTCAGTCTATCGCCACCGCAGTACGAGGCGACGTCGTCGTCCAAGGAGAAGGACGTGGAACTCGACGGCACCATCGACGATCCCTGGGCGCTTCACGACAGCTACATGCGCGCCTGCTACCGGTTCGCCCGGGCGCCTGGCCTCTGGGCTGGCTACCTGGGTGCGAGCGATGAGGGGATTGGCCGGGCTTTACACCATGCGGACGGAGCCACTACGTCAAGGACAAGGCATTGTAAATAGATGAACCCTGTATGATTTAGCCCGAGATGCGCTGTATGTGTATGCAAGTATGTATAAATGTACATTAGATATGTGGACTATTAGAAAAGTGTAATGAGTACTTAGGGTGGATAGAATGCTGCACTTCACAAGAGCAGTAGTCTCGGAGCTTGTGTCGAAGTAGCAGTGCCTTGGTAGGTTAGAGAAGACAGCATCGTCGAGAGAAGGATCACCCAGGATACCCTCGCGCTACCAATCAGAAACACTTCCAATCCACCATGACATAATATGACGATGCGGCGTGACAAACGGTGCAACAAGCATCTTAGAAATTCGTCAAATCGGGACATGTACGTCAGGAGTTTGTAAGATCGCATTCACGCAAGTACACGTCCGTGATGACACAACATACTAGAAGAAACGAGATCATATAATGGGCCTAGTGCATGATCTCGCCGATGTGGCGGGTGATATCGAAGCAATAGTACAGGAACATTTTAAATCACAATGAGAAGAAATGGCACATGTAGAAACAATCCGAGGTCAGGAAGATCACTTGTCTATTATGACTCTATTTTCAGACTACAAGCACAGTATGAGAAAGTTTTGTCGCAGAAGCCCATAACCATTCCTCTCATAATGTGCCCAAGTCAGATATCCGAGCGGTTAAGGCAAGAGGAGGGGGATTCGTGTCATGTCTGGTCGTCAGGTGAATACAAGGTCGTAGCCGAGCCAAGAAGGTGGCGTTGCTCATCAAGCATAAGAGGTGTCCCAGGCATAAAAGAGCTTATTTCTTGGTGGCCTTGGCAGCGGACTTAGTGACCTTGCCAGCAGTAGCAGCAGCCTTGTCAACGGACTTGATGACACCGACAGCGACGGTTTGACGCATATCACGGACGGCGAAACGGCCCAGAGGAGGGTAGTCAGTGAAGGCCTCAACGCACATAGGCTTGGAGGGAACCATCTTAACGATGGCAGCATCACCAGACTTGACGAATTTGGGGCTGGCCTCAACAACCTTGCCGGAACGTCGGTCAATCTTCTCCAGAAGCTCAGAGAACTTGCAGGCGATGTGAGCAGTGTGGCAGTCAAGAACCGGGGCGTATCCAGCACCGATCTGGCCAGGGTGGTTCAGGACGATGACCTGGGCGTTGAAAGAGGCAGCTCCCAACGGGGGGTCGTTCTTGGAATCACCGCAGACGTTGCCACGGCGAATTTCCTTGACGGACACGTTCTTCACGTTGAAACCAACGTTGTCACCGGGCTTGCCACCCTCAGTGAGAAGGGTGTGGTGCATCTCAACGGACTTGACTTCAGTGGTGACGTTGGCGGGGGCGAAGGTGACGATCATGCCGGCCTTGATGACACCAGTCTCAACACGACCGACGGGCACCGTGCCAATACCACCAATCTTGTAAACATCCTGGAGGGGAAGACGGAGAGCCTTGTCGGTGGGACGGGTAGGGGGCTCAAGCTTGTCAATGCACTCGAGCAGAGTCATACCGGTGATGGGCTTGCCATCGGAACCGAGGTAACTCCATCCCTTGTACCAGGGGGCGTTGGTAGTGGGCTTCATCATGTTGTCACCCTCGTACCCAGAGATAGGGACGAAGGGAACGTTCTTGGGGTTGTAGCCAACCTTCTTGATGAAGCTGGACGTCTCCTTGATGATCTCCTTGTATCGGGCCTCGGACCACTTGGCAAGATCCATCTTGTTGATGGCGACGATGAGCTTCTTGACACCAAGGGTGAAAGCAAGCAGAGCGTGCTCACGGGTCTGGCCATCCTTGGAGATACCAGCCTCGAACTCACCAGTACCGGCGGCAATGATGAGAATGGCGCAGTCAGCCTGCGAGGTACCAGTGATCATGTTCTTGATGAAATCACGATGACCAGGAGCGTCTGTTGGGTGCAAGATTAGCCAGGGTGCCAATGAGCAGGAGTGCAACGGCGCAACATACCAATGACGGTGACCTGGTAGTTCTCGGTCATGAACTTCCACAGGGCAATATCGATGGTGATACCACGCTCACGCTCGGCCTTCAGCTTGTCAAGAACCCACGCGTACTTGAAGGAACCCTTGCCCATTTCGGCGGCTTCCTGTTCAAGCCGTTAGTCATGATGCCCAATTCATCTCAATGTTCATGGGCCGGTGGTCTTCTGGTTGCTTGGCGTTGAGGCTATTTTTAGTGGGGAATTTTTTTCCAGACGCGTTTTTGTGCCCCTCCCCTTATCTCACACCCACCCCACCAAAGGAGGGGTCACGAAGATAAAATTCGTAGCGTCAAGGCAGAAATAAAGATTCCTGATGAAGACCAAACTTGGGAGCGTCGAGTGTGAAGATGGCAGCAGCGAGACAAATGAAAACCTGGACTGACCTTCTGGAACTTCTCCATGGTTCGCTTGTCGATACCGCCGCACTCGTAAATCAAGTGACCAGTGGTGGTCGACTGTTCCGCGAATGTCAGCGTCAAGTCTGAATCAACAGAATCCATGATGAACTTGCCTTGCCGGAGTCGACGTGTCCAATGACGACGACATTGATGTGACCGACTTCCTTACTGTGGTTCATGTTAGTGTTGCTGTTTGCGACCGTGCTCTCAAAGTATCAGACGTACCCCATTTTGGCGGTTGGGGAGGTGCGCTCTTGGTGTGGTGTTGAGGTAGTTCGGGGAGACGAGATGAGCTGGAAGAAATACAGTCAGTAATGAAAATCGTAACCGATTTCCGGGTGATGGAAGGGATCTCACATTGACAGGTTGCGATGCAAAATGATACGCAGGTGTGTCGACGTCAAAAAGAAAGTAGAAGTAACGGAGACGGAGGATGGGTCGAGAGTATTTATCGGGCCAGAGAGTAAGGGCTTTTCGAGACCGTGTCAGATCCACCTTTGGGAAAATTTCTTAACCCCGCTCCAAGGAAGGTACGCACGGACCAGATTGATCCCGGACACCTTGCCCCTCCACATTCTTGCTTGAGAGACTGCAGAAAAAATACTGCCTGAGAATCTCCCATCCAATACATTTTCTGCTTCTGAAACTAGTTATTATTAGGTGTGCACTTGATTGATCTCTTTCGGCCTGACTCGATGTGCTGCTTAGTACTTCTTTGCACTTGCTGCCCGAAGACTCATCCATGGTCTGTCAAGTAAAACGCCCCTCGTGCCCCTCGATGGCTCCACCCGACGTCACAGAGCCTTGCGGGGCATTCTGGGCGGCTACAGAGGCAAGCGCATGCCGAAGTTGTAGATCTTCAAATCATCTAGATGCCAGACATGATGAACACCGTGTCCTACGCCTAGATCAGATGGAACAACTAGGTTATGCCTGGTCTAGTACACAGGAATATCGAGCTATCCCACACTAATCTACTCTGTTGCGCCGTTTATTTGTCACCTACTTACATACGGAGTGATGATGATTTTATCTGCAGTGCTTTGATATTTGAACTCCTCGTGGATCATTAAAGGTATTCAAGAGTCAGTCATGGATAGGGGGAAAAGATGAAACCAATCAAGATATATAAGGAAATCTGACAATACGGGAATAACGAGATTTGTCCAACAAAACAGAAATATAGTCCGTGTATAAAATGATGCCTGTAATGGAATGGCAGGACACTTCACTCCTCAAGTGTTTCTGTAATTGAGAATGATGTCCTCACAATGCAGGCAGTTCAGATATAGTGGTGGCGAAGTCGGTGAGCACATGAGATGCCTACGAGTAACGTCCTCCGCTGGAGATGGTGGGCCGGAGCTGGACAAAGATCACAACTGCAGTTTCAGGACATGAACGGAACTCGCAGGGCTTTGAAACCAACACAAATAATACCATGCCATTGATTCGTCAAAGACTTGGAAATACTGACCCACAAAATCTCTCCTTCGCTTTTGCTGCACAATCCCAACGAATGGACTTCTGACTGGCCACTGGGGGCCGTGCAGGAGTTCCAACGCAAATCTCAACGAAGTCCATTGTGACAAACCATGCTGAAATACCCAGAAATCAAGAGAACGAGGCCACGAGGCTCTCCTTTTCCTGACGCCTTTCTTCAAGGCATGGGCGACGCCGTATTCTTCTTCTTCAAAGTAAACCCTAAAAAGGCAAACTTGCCATCCGCACCGCCGATTTCATCCATCTTGACGTCCCACGTGACACCTATGCATCCTAACAAGGCTTTGATAAAATGAGATCGATGATAAGTCACGTAAAGGAAAATCCCGTCAGGCTCAAAGACATGAAAGACCTGTTCAAAAGGATCTAAGCCCAGTCCAGAACCGGAAAACACAGAATGCAACTGCTATATGCTTGCTTCTTGAAGATACTGACGAATAATATTTAAAACTTCATCTGGAGGACTCCATGGATTGCCATGGTTCATTGCATCGAGGGAGTCCTTGTCTAGGGCGACGTCGATTGTTCCAAAAAAGAATCTGTTCCATGTGGCAACGTCCATCAACTTCCATTCGATGCCCTCGACGTCAGCATGCCTCTGTGACATGTGCTCTACGACGTCGGAACGACGTAGAGTCGGGTTTTTGTCCCTTTTTACTAAATTACTTTGGTGGTGTCTATTGCAGAGTTAGCCTTCATCCTCGGCATCGAGAAGTGCATTGGTGATGGATGCTTACGCTATTCCCTGATCCAGGGTGAAATCTCCTTGGCGCTTTTTCTGGACCGAAAACTTGATAGAGACTCAGGTCTGACAATGGCTCAAGCTGGCTAAAAGATCGGAACAACTCGAGGAACTGCCTATCTTTGGCTTCGACCTCGGCGTAACGTTCGTCTCAGTACTCACACTCATGACAGGCCAGGCGCTCGTTCTCCTCATCAGCCATGGCCTTTGATACCTGCGAACGGAAATAAGTCGTCCAATGATAAACCTCAACACGATTAAACCAATAACAATACGAATGCAGATAGTTTGAATACAGTGCATGTACTTCATAGCGGGTTGAATCCGTTGGTCTTATGGAAGGGATATTTGCCAAGACTTGGTGGGTGCTTCCACCTGCGTCTCTAGAAAGCGAATTCAATAGAGAAATCACGGTACAGCTCTTGCAGTTTCTTGCTTAAAATTGCCTGGACGACAACTGCTGAGGGCCTGCCGAGATATATGTCAATGGAGCATCACCTCCATCATCTCGGGTTGGTCCGACACATTTTGATGCTTCTACTTCCGAATACCCCGTGCCAATAGACACAAAATGTGCAGTCACGACAGTGGCCAGGTATGGCTTTCATATCCATATGTATAGTCTTCCCTGAGGATACAGTCAAGTGCTTTGCGTAGTTCCCATTAATTAGTATATTTGATCGTTGCTTCCACTTGTGTCCGTCGTTTTTGCAGGAGTGGCCAACTAACGCCCCATTCTCGTCCTGTGAATAGGAGGGAGAATCGTCATAGCACGTCCGAAATTGGCTCAATGGGAGAGACCCATGCTATCTAGTGTCTAATTTCCACACGTGGTTTCTGCATAGATGTTTGCAGCACCGTGTATGATTGGCTAACGGGGGCAAGCTGGATTGGCACGTGGCGATCAAGCCAGACAGATAAAACCCGAGTTGTTTCCACGAAATTGGGTATATATTTTAATGAGTCTTCTTCAAAATACCCTAACTACTTAGTACTCGAGTCGTTATTCTCTGCCTCGGAACAGACAGTTATGGGCAGCAAGGACTGCACGCAATGCAGCGGTCAATCACTTACCGGATCGGACGGGAAACCGGTGCGCCGTGCTAGTTGTGGAGAATGATTGGATACAGGAAAGCAATACCTCCTGGGTGGAAGTTGTGAGTATGAATGATAGTTCTATCAGGAATAATATGGAGCTCGCAGTTGAGGGTTAATGGGTTCAACCGTGATGCTTTCAATCTTGCTTTCCTCCAGAAATCACCGGGATTGAAAATATACTTTCATGAGGTAGTACATGTCGGAGAAATTGGTTGGTCAGTTTTTTGCATGGGATTTTTCGGAATTGTGCTTTCCGTTGTACTATGCATACTGAGGATACATGACAATATTCTCGATATTTCTTGATCTAATACACACAAGCACAGCCGTTTGGACGGTTCCGTAACTCCAAAGTTTTCACCAGTCTGATTGGTCCCACGAGGTTCCGAAGCTATTATCAATTATATTTAGCCGTACAAATATAGAAGCACTGGACCTCTTCGGGCCTTTGAAATGTTCGCGAAATATTTATTAGCACGCTTGGCCCAAATAAGTACGTGCAAAAAAGTCGTATTATACTGTTTTACACAAAAGGGCCAGTGGAGGCGTATATAACGGCCCAGAAGCCACGTATGATATATCAACAAACTACATATTATAAGCCTGTGTTATCGCGTAGGGGTCCTACTGTCAAAAACTAAACAAAATTGTGCTGGCCAGGTGTGTTATTTTACTGAACTACTGTTCGATAGGTGGAACGAGAAAATAATCATTAATTGGCCAAGGAAAGATCACGAAACATTGCTAAAGCAAGACCGTACAATATATAAGTTTAGGAAAGCGACAAGAGGTACCAGCAGTGCAAGTATAGAAGAAAAAAAATCATAATCTAGGCTTAGCGCAATAGTGCCACATGCTATCCTACACATACACGTAAAGGAGAATATGAATTTAGGATTACTGTTCAGAACCTTTTTTAAACAAACGAGCTTTCGCCCTTAGTTATTTCATCTAACGTATAGTATGTTTAGTAACCAGGCCGGTAGGTGCCAAAGCAGCTGTATATGGTTATATAACCCACTCATGCCTTTCAGGTCGGCCATCGCATGACTGATCTAACTTTGTCACATATGCTTCAACTCTGTTCATGATCCAGCCAGATCGGACCTGACTCTCTCCATGTGGGTTTCCGTCGCCTTCGCTTTTTGCGGTTTCGTATTTGATGCACTTTCCAGCCGCGTTTGAATACTCGAGGCATTGCAATTCTGCTGCGCGTCCCAGACGCAGCTCGTTAGAAATGGAACACTTGCCCTGCACGTAAGAAAATTGAATACATTTTTGTTTCATCCCGCACACGGCTTGGCACTTCTCAAAGGAGGACTGAGCCTCTTGTTCTGCTGGAGAAAGGGCCTTTCTGTCTTCTTCCGAGAGCTGTGCCAGAGCCTCATCGCTGTAAACTGATCCTGTTGATATGTTGTCCCAATCGCTGCGCTCAGCTCGGAGCCATGGGAGAACCAAGCTTTTGAAAATATCTCGAAAACAAGGAGGGCTCGCTCCAGGTTGCTTCCGACGAAGCCAGTTTTGTTCAAACTCCCATACCATGCTGAACTCGGGCGTGATCATGTGGTGGAATGTTGTTGGTGCATAGCACCAGGGTTCCCTATCGATTTTCGTAATGTTCCAGTCGATGGTGGTGAGGCTGTCTCCCTGGAAATTCGGAAACGACCAGAAAAGGTCAACGCCCACATCCTCAAGCACCTTTCCCAAGATCATGTCACCGGCCCATTCCTCCAGCGTGTACTGCTCATACTCGTCCTGGTGTTCTTTCCAATGTTTCGAGACCTTGTCAGCAGCCGCATAAGACAGGACGAACCCAGACCCTCCATGGGCGAAAAGAACGCTTCCGATGTACATATGCTTGCCAATGTAGTAAGGCTGGCTTGCATCGAACTTGTCCAGGTACTCGAGCATGTTCTGCCACACCATATACGTGTCTAGCTCGATGAAGACGAACCACTTTGCGTCAGGACTGTGCTGCAGCGCCCGCTCGACCATAGGCAGGAATTTCCACTTGTCGAGCTTCCAACCTGGGTTGTCCATAGCTCCTGATGGTCCACTTCCAAACGTGGTCTCGTAATCCAACCCTTGCCTGCCTCCGGAGCGAAGCTTTTCATAGAGCTCAAATTCTGGCGCGCACTTTTTCACATCGTCGTTCACTTGGTCGAGAACGTCGTATATATGGTGACCCTGTAGATCTTCTTCCATATCCGAGTAGATGACATAGTTGGGTATGCATCTGAGTATGGTCTTGGAATATATGGGCAACTTCTCCGTCACCTCGGTCGCACCCGTTCGAATGACTACGAGGACATGGTCGAGCAGGGACGACTTCGGGCAGACAGGCATTGAGGATTGGCTGGTAGGAATGCCGTCAGTGGGGAACGACGCTAACACCTGGGGACGACGGTAAAGATATAGCAGCAGTAATGAAGCAACGGCAGTCGAGATTATAAGAAAACGAAATCTCCTGTGCAGCCACATGGTCGTGCGGCACTCTGGTACTCAGAGTATGCGAAAGGTCTCGATCATGAATTCCCTACTCGTACATATTCGGCGTGCGCAAATGGGGCTGTAAAGGGGAGAAGAGACTTGGATGGAAACAGTCACGATAACATGATTTGGAATGTGGAACAAACAAAGAAACGTGGTGTGGGTTTCCATAGCGGTCTGTGATTGCGGGCCCTAGACTCGATGCAACTCGTCCCCTGCAAAAAATTGACGACTAACAACACGCCAGAAAATGAATGTATAACAGGGGACCAGAGGGTGATTCTCCCGGATTGATGGTAGTCACAAATCTTCCCTGCGGAGTTTATAGGGGTTCACTGACCAGACGTGGAATACACATGTGTGCAATCTCATTCTAGACTCATTTAACTCTTATTGTTGCGCCTTTATGCTTTGTGCGAGAGGAATGTGGATTCCTTTTTGAAGCTCAAGCTCCCGGCTTGAGAGCAGAAACGACGGAAGATATACACGACCCCCAAAGATTCTGATAATGGGTCCTTGATTTACCCGGAGGAATACCTTCTGAATTTCTGGGAGAAGTCCACAGTCAACATCTCACGGGCGACGATTTAGGAGACCATCGGGATTCGTGGAAGAAGCAAAGATGAAATGGCCCAGCGGGGTTTCGTCTGACTGCCGGACAAGCGCACACCTTCGAAACGCTGGATCAGCAGCCGCCTTTTGGAAAACGGTGTTTCCCTTCGCTGTCTGGGTGGTTGAGGGCGGCGGCCTCGCCGACCCACTGGTGCTCATTGGGACCGGAGCAGGGAGGGTGTCGCGGAGGAGGAGTTCGCGCTTCAGGGCGGGGTTAGCGACGGCTGTGTCGAGTAGTCGTTGCATGATGGGAATGCAACCGAAACCAGCGGCAATGCAGAGGAGCTCGTTGTCCCATTGTTCCTGGACCAACGCACCGGAGATGTCGTTGATGAGGTCAAACACCTTGGGCCAACCCTCAACCGCCATCCGGTGCGGATGAGACCAGTAAACTATGAGCCGAAAGATGGCCAAGTTCGGAAGGAATGGCCCTGACTGAGTGTCGCGAAAGAGTATATATAATCTTGAGAACTCCCAACGCGACATAATCACTCAGCGGCCCTGAAGCCCGACTCGCGCAGGAATGCCATACTGCCTGTATCGTGGTCCTGCAGCAGCTTGCGCATGGCATCTTGCGTCCCGAAAATGAAGAAGACGGCGAGTGGATCGTACCGCCAGTCGCTATAGTCCGTCTTGGGTGTGACGATGCAGTCCGGACGGTCATACTGTTCTTTCCAAATATGCAGCCTCATCGACCCAGCGCTGCATAGCTTGACAATGTCCGGCACGTCGGGGACAGATGCTGTCGCAGCTTAATTGAAATGATCCAGCCAAAAGCAAGATGCATAGCCGAAGAATTCGCCAAAGCCGTGGTATGAAGAGTCGAGTAAGAGCGCCTGCTGCTGGCTATCCCCTGAGACTAAGTTCTCTGCGACGGCATATGCTGGCTGGTCAGCGTCGTTGTTGCTGTCGCGGCACGCTTCGGATCCAGGCAACTCGCCCCAAACTTCCACGGTTTGCGTGTCGGTCATGAAAAGCTCCTTACCATCGATTTCTTTGAGGACGATGTATCTGACGCAGAGGCGAAGGAGTGTTGCTTCCATTTCAGACACCCGCTGTCGGCATAGTACCTTCTCCTCTGACAGTTTGGCAATGCGTCGTGACTGCGTCTAACGGGAGAGGGATCCCGCAGGATCAGGGTTTCAGGTGACTGATGGACGAATATCACTTGGTGTGTTTTGCGGCTGCACGAATCGATCAGGGAGACCAACGGTGTAGCAATGTGATGACTCGGGCCTCGTCGAAATAGCTGTCTCGGAGCGTCGGGTAATGTCTCGACGATACTGCCTCGGCATCCTCGGAGAGGAACGCTTTCAGTTGCGTTGTCTTAGTCGAGAGGCTTCTCAGCAGCTCGACAAGCTGCGCTCAGGATTCGCGATCACGCTCTTCTACCTGATGAAAAGAAATCACCCAGCTGCCGGGAAGATTGGTTAGGAACCACTCGTTGAAACTTGGACGTGGCATCGAAGCATTTGTGAAAGTCCGCCTTCGAGCCTTGTTGTTCAACCAACTGTTAGGAATGAATGGTCACCCCGCTTAATCAAACTGTGAATAACGTAGGCTGTGGTCCATGTCTTTCCGCTACTCATGTCGCGAAAGAGCATTAGGAGCCTATATGCAGAGTCTTGATACAACTCGAAATAGGTGCGACCTGCGAGTATCCAGCTGCATGCCGCATCGACCCTGCCTTCTTTTGGTAACGCAGTGTAATGTGCACTGTTACTCGTCGTTGTCGGCGCCCAGAAGTCTGTAGAATGGGTGGCGGTTTGGTTGCTAGACTGGCTTGAAGTGGTCTAATGCATGGGGTTCGATGCTTTTGTCGTCCTGGAGCCGTTGGTTTTGTCTGTGACGAGCTCCAGTGTTGCGTTGCCGCTCCAGTCCCTCGACAATTTGGTGTGATCAACAAAGCGAGTCATGCTGGAGGGCAGGAGTTGCCTGAACTTCTCAAGGCCAAGTTGAAGCACAAATGCATTGTTGTTGAGGATGTATTGTGCAGCAATGTAGAAATGTAGAATGCAGCAGATCCTTGTAAACAGTGACGAGGGTCTATGTCAATCAACACGCGGAACCAATCAAGGACTCGGCGTAGTAAAACTAACCTGATAAACATCAACGGTGCCTTTTGATGAGATTGTATCAAGTTGTGCAACCATCACAAAGAATAAGTAGTAGTAAAGAGAGCAGCAAACTCCTCATCACTGATCGTCTTGCAGTCGCTAGGACTACCGGGGATATCTTGGTATTCGGCATCATCGGCGACTCCATTGGCAAACATAGATGGTATCTCTGCAAAGCTGATCTCATTATTCAGCTTGCCGGTACGGTTGCCGGAGGCAACAGGAGTGCTAAAAGATGAGAACGTGGCGGCAGAAGAACCTGAGATGACGTTATTGTCGTTTACGTTAACATTTTCATTTTCTTCATCCATAGTACCGGGACCAGGGCCGAAGAGCTCCTCTAAGAGCTCATCTGGAAGTTCCTCACCGGTGGAATCGGCATCGGTCTCAAATTGTGGGATGCCCGGGAGACTATCGTAATCACCATTCCATTTACGAAGCTGCTTTGGATTCTTGGCCTCAACGGAGGCCTTGCCTTTTGCCGCTTGTGGAGCGAGCCGAATGGGCAGGTTGTAACGAAGGCCCGCAGCCTGGGAAGGCTGTAGGTTCGCACTGATATCTGAAGCTGGCTGAAATTGGACCGCCGGGCAAGATAGGCCGCCGACCATCACCTTAGTGTACTGATCCTCCTGCGGAGGCTGGGAAGATCCAGCAATCACAGAAGGGCTGTATACGTTAGGAAGTGCCAGCTGCTGGACAATTCTTGTAACATTCTTTGGCGGAGGGGGTAGTGCTCTCAGAGTGGCAGCTTGAGCTCTGGACTTGGGATTCGACTTGGGCTTGCCATGAGAAGGACTATACTTGTAGCCGGGATGTGCAATTGCGTGTAATATCTTAAACATGTCTGCCTTGGCCTTCCAGTACTCCTTTTCTCGGTTGGAAAGCATCGCCCACTTGTTTCCAACGATCTTGGCTGTCAATAGAGTTAGACTTGGTCAACTTATTTCAGGTGGCAGAAAGAAAATGAAAATTACAGATTTGGCTTCTTGTAAGCTTCTCATACCGCTCCCTGAGGAACTTCGATAGCGCCACTCTGAAAAGAATAAACATGTTGGCTGGACGAGGGGTTCTCGATTCCTTGCTGTCCTGGACATTATTGCCATTCTTCTTGTTGGGGTCCTTGTCAGAGCCGGGTATCTAGCCCTGCACTTCTGACGTATCGATGATGGTAACCCCAATCGAGCCAGCTTGATTGTTGAGAGATTCATTCTCAGCCTGCGTGGCCCCTCGCTTCTTGGTTATAGCACTCCTGACACCAACTCTGCGCACTGCAGGTGTAGGCGTCACCTTGCCCAGGGATGACACAGGCGGGCCTTGTAAGGAGCTTCCTTGAGACTGCTTCACGGTAGAAACAAGCCGGGAATTTCTACACGAGACCTTGCTGACTTGGACCAGGCAAGGGAGAGGCTTATCAGGCATGTAGGTGATAGCGGTCCCGGCAGTGAGCAGATCGGACGTTCTCCCAGCAAAAATTCTGCCCCCAGCCGTCATGCCCATCTGATCTTGGACAAAGCAGGCCATTTCATTGGTCGTTTGCCTGTACTTAAATTAATCCAATATCCAAGCTGGATCACCGTGAAACAAGCGTCAAAGTGGGGTTGTAGTCAAATATCGTGTCAACCCGGACCCAAGTAAGTTTATCCTCAGTAAACGAGGGAAACAACTTACATCTTGCTAATGACGAACTCCTTTGTATACTCACTCCATTGTTGAAACTCGGCAGTGGGAATGGTAAGAACACGGCTGAAGGGGTTGTTAGCCTGAAACTTGAGCTTGTCCCAAACAGCCTCAGTATCCCGCAACTGCTGGTGGGCTTGCTGATAAGCCATGGTGCCGTGCTTCTGCTGGGGGAAAGAAGAGCCTTTCTGCGACTCTTAGCTCAGTGTTAATTCGCAAACAGACATTTTTGGCAGGCGCCAGTAATAAGCTTCGGGTGGCCATCAGTGCTCGTGATAGTGATCTTTAGTGGTGGCGACTTGGTGGCCACTGACGCGCTTTCACTGACGCACTTGACGGGGACTACTTACTTCGAGCTCGTTTTCAGCAATTTAGATATTCAGAGAGCAGTTCCTACAGTGTCGAGTCAATTGCGAAAGTGAAATGGTTGTCAATTAGCCTTGCGGAGGGCAGGTGGTGGACATGGTGCAGCAACGGAAGATCAAGTGTGATGGTGATCAACTGACAGTCAATGGTAGGAATTTGTTGATGTCGATAAAGTTGGGTGCTGGTCACAAAAGTATGGTTTTAATAGGTTGGGGAAGAGAGATCTACCTTCGGCCGAAGCCAAGGGTATTTATGATCAAGAATCGAGGGGGACGGTAGTGAATAGTGAACCGACGACAACATCCCAGTGAATTGTGCGTCTACACAGTGAATCTCTGCAAATCTAAATTTAGATCCTTTTCGCCGAAGTTGTGATGTTGACAGTCGAAATTCAAGGGACAACCAAGGTGAATACAGGACCGATGATAGTATCTGATGCACTATGCTAATAATAAGGAATTTTTGTAAACATTACGAGTCAAGGGCCTTTCGGAGGAATTTCGTTGAATGGCCTGTTGGGCTCATGATCAAGCCATAGTAATTTGGCCCTCAAGATCATATTGTGCAGTCTATCTAAGCATAGGTAGCCCCAGTCGTAGAACGAAGCAACCAAGAAGTCATTCATTCCTTCATTTCAAACACATATGTGGCCAAGACGCAAACGGTTGTGACGAGGGTTAGGGAAGCGACGAAAGCTTTGTAATGACCTGTATACACGCGTGATGAATAATAGCCAGTAGAAATTGCTCAAAGTGGATTTCAAGCAGAGGCACGCATCAAGAAGTGCTTCAAACGAGTTTAAAGCGGAAAGTTGTCGTTGGCTTGCCAGTGTTAGAGCTGTTGACAAGTTGATCGAAAATGAGAGGCTATCCATAGAAGACGAAGCAAATAAACTGTTTATGTTCTTAAAAATTAACGGGGCCATATCCATCACCTTGGCCAAACCAACTTCCGTCTTCTGAAATTGAGGGGGTGACTATTTGGTAACCCATATCGTCCTTCGTGGCCTGCTCTTTGCTTGACAGCCCAACAGTCTATGCGACTGCCTGGGCCACGTCCAATTAGCCCAAACTTTGCAATGCTCAAATTCTGGAGAAATATCGTAGAAGTCGCCAGCCATACCGTGGAAAACGGGACGAACTATCACGTTGGCTCTGTTCAAATGAATGATTGAAACACCTGAGAAGTTGCTAGCCAGATTCTACCAAGCAAAGATACAAATTGATTTGACGCTCGAGAGATTAGCTAGTGCTTGAAAACAGAGAAGCCACTGACCAAGCCCTGGGAAGGGGCGGATCGATGGGGTTCTACGGTGATGTTCGAATGCTGGAGCTAGAGACGTTGCTGACCAATCCCTGCGAACGGAATAAATTGACCCAATACTGGATTACCGTTACACCTTCAAATGTTTAGAAATACCAGAGATTTTTCTTGAAGGACACATTGGTCCAATAGTCGATATATCATCAATTGCTTGAAAATAGCAGATATGCTAGTGGCAACCTGCAGGCTGGGGAAAGGGGCAAATCAGCCTTGTGGGCAAAAACGGACCGCGTTACTGTTCTTGATTAGGAAGCTATCGTATGTTGTCTATCAAATCAACTTGTCTAGGTAGTCTCGCTACTTTTTACTTGCATGGGCCGAATACTGTGCCATTTCTGCCCACAAGTCTGGTGCTTGACTTGTCCTCGTATAGTTGAAATGACAGAGAAGCTAATTACCATGACCTGAAAGAGGAACGCACTTATCCAATGCTTGATGTATCTTCATGCTTCAAACTAAAAGAGAGGCTACTAGCCGAGCCGTGGGAAAGTGAAGCCGTAAATTGATCCCACACACTTTTGATCCCCAAATACTTGAAAATATCAGACGATTTGCAGGTCACGCCCCGGAAAGTGGCAAAATAAGTGGATAATTTGCTGTAGTTGAAAAAATCAGGGCTGTTACCAGCTAAACCTTGTCAAAGGAGCACCTGAAGTCAGATTGACATATGTTCGGCCATGCTGTAGTTTGGCCATCCGACAGCCAATCATTATTTCAGTAAAAAGACATACTGGGCATAATTCCAGTCATTCTGCCGAAAGATGAGCGGTTGAAAATACTGGGGGAATGACCAATCGGCTATGTATTAGGGGTGAATCAACTTGAAGATATGATCCGATGTGAATGTACAAGAGTACGGTATAATGTGACTAACGATCCGGTGGGGATAAGCGATCTGATGCGAATATACAAACTGATATAGATGAATTTTCTGACATGGATGGGCGATCTCATGTGATTGTTGCCGGATCCCGAGCATTAGTACTATGAAGGTGCGTGGGGACGATTCCAAATTGGCCCCGGGGGGCCCTAAATACTAAAATCCATGCCTGCACGTTTTGTACCCCTCCATAACTGAGGCCACACTTCCCTACAGTTATGTGATATGAGACCTGAACGAGAAACACCCCTGTAAAACTAAGAAGACCATATCCCCCCTGGCTAAACTCAATCACCTTCAGGTTGTCCCTTATGTTCATATAATCTCTAATATACAGTTTAATATCAATATGTGGGAAATAAAGGCAAGAGAGCTATATTGATGGTGATAATGATGGGACTAACTCCCAGGAGTCTGCAGCTATACCAAGTACACAGGCAGTTTGCCTGGTTCACGAAACATAATACTTTAGCGATATTTAAATTCTCGAGAATATGGTAAGTAACTAGTTGGGTCAGGAAAAGGGGCCATATCAACCCAGTATTTCATTGATCCTTTAATACTTCACAACATTATTAAAGTTGCTACTCATGCCTTGAGAAAGGGGCAGGCTGATTAAGCGAACTACCCAATAACTATCAAAATTTTGAGGACAAGAGAGAAGTGACTGTCCGATGTGCTATATCTCAAAGCATCCTTGCTGTAAATAATATTTCATTAATCTTCTGGAGCTTGGTAAACGGCGGTGAACATATGTGAGGCAGTGCTTACATAACAGAGTGAAGTGGAAAGAAGGATATAGTGAAAAGTAGTTATTGACTTCAGACCATATTCCCATTCGAAAGAGCAAGATGGCCTTACTTACAGCCAGAGGGTCTCAGATGACTGAGACGGCAACAGCATGTAATAATACCAAGGCTACTTTGAAATAAAAATGTAGCTTGGTAAGCATCTCTGAATCCAGCTCATCGTAATATGCCACAATTCCCCGGGTTCAAGTGTCTTTAGATGGTCATCAACCAACACGCGCTCAGTTCTAAGGCTCGCCACACAATCTCAAGATAGTGCCTACCAAAGTGCGTCTCCAAACAACCGTCCCTTTCAGAAGTACTTGAGTCCAAGATGTACCTGACTGTCTCATAGAACCATCTGCCAAAGTTTTATCAACTGCCAATTGTTCTGCTGGTCCTGGCAGTCTTCTGTAAGTGGCCAATAAAGTGCTGGCCTTGATAAGTTTTGCATTAATGACGGTCAGAGTGCTCTGGCACACACTGCCACCGAATAACACTGGCCCGACAGTCTTTAGAGATGGCCAGATAGTCCTCATAAAAGTGCATATGCCAAAGTACCCCCGCCCAATCTGCTGCTGCCAAATACTCCTGGCCTGAAATCCTTATGCAATTGTAGATTGTAGTCAATAGTGTTCCCACCATAAATGCAGAGTGCTCCCGCCCAAAGTGCCACCACAAACTACTGCTGATCCTTTCAATCTTCACGATATTGCGTGTGCAAAGTATTCCCACCGGAAGTGCAGAGCATGCCCACCCAAGCTGCTGCCACAACCTGCTCCTAGTTCTGACCGGCTTATGGAATTGCGTGTTTAGAGTGTTCCTTCCCCGGTGTTGCGGCCAAACACTGTGCTGGTTCTGACAGTCTTTTCTAAATTGCGGATGAAAGAGCCCCCAGCCGCCAATTAATGTGCTGAATATTTCAATGAATAAGACAATAATAGGGGCTTGGTACACTCATTACACCTTGCTATTACCATCTCTTGCGGCCTTTCAACACACTGAGCAAGCTTGGACCGCGTCAACCCCGTCCATCCCTTGTCCACTTTGATGAAGCTTGATTCTGCCGGGCCTGTTTTCATCACATTTCTTCTCGACAACAAGCAAGCTGTGGGAAGCTCCCATCCATCCAATCTTTGGTCGACATAAATCTAGCCTGTCCTTCAACCTCTTGTTCACAGTGAGTAAGTTTGACCGGGCCCCTTCCGCCCTATCTTTGTTGATGCCGAGCAAGGCATCATCAGCCTTTTGTCCCAACCTGCGTTCACAGAGAGCCAGCTTCTCTGCACTCCCAACTCATCTCTCGACCACGTCAAACAGCTTGACTGCGTCATCCCAGACCAAATTCTCGTCCACTTCTGACGATAAACTGCATCGAGTAAGTCTGAAAGACATCACCATCTTCCCCCAAACCCACTAAGCAAGCTTGAAACACATCGTTGTGTCTCTGTTCCCCATCCTCCATCCCCAAGCACTGTAGAAGACATCGCCGGATCCCACCCCGCCTGCCAACACTGAACAAACCAACGACCAAGCCTGACCAGACAACCGCATATCTCACCTGCACTTCATCAACCCCAACTGGACAAGCTTGAACGACATCACTGTGCCATCATCCATCCTCCACGGGCAAAATATAACAGCACCATTGCTTCTTGCAGCACCTTCATCTACCTTCCGACAGGCAATCTTCAACGGCATCAGTACTTCCCATGCCGCACTCCATCAACCCCACGAGTTAACTTCAACAGCTTCAGATACAGCATCTTGCCCTGCCTTCCAATAGTCTCCTTCTCCATGAGCAAGCCTGGAAGGCATCACCGCATCCTGCACTGCTTGCCAACACGTCACCGAGCAACGTGAAAGACATTGCCATATCCTGCCCCGCCTGACGTCGCCGTTCAAGCTCAAAAGGCTTCATTCACAACAGGTAGCCCCCGCCTGCCACAAATTGTCCAACGGGAAAGCTTGGAAACTGCGCATCCTGTCCCGCCTGCCAACACCGCAAGCTTGAAAGACATCTCACCAATCTCTGACACGCTTCAACATCAATCTCTGACGCGGTCCAACACCAGACTCTCACTTGCACCAACACCAACCCCAATTTCTGACGCGCTCCAGCACCCACCACCGAGAAACTCTGAAAGGTATTGTTGCTAACACGGGTAAAGTCATACAACAAACCATCCAGAATGGCTCCTACCAAGCCCGACGGTCTGTCCCACATTCTGCAGAAGGCAGCCTCAGAGCTGGGAACCAAGTACGGCCTGGACGTGACCGACATTCTCAGTATTGCGAACGACTTCGACAATGCAGGAATCCAAGGTAAACACCCCTTTGAACTCCCGAAGAATTGCAAGAACTAATCGAGTAGTCGTACCCAACAAGGAATTGGACGCTAAGTACGGGTTCGGTGGGGTTGACATCCCTTACCCTGCTGACATTCAAGGTAAATACCCCTTTCAAATCCCACGAAGGACCTCAAGAACTAATCAAGTAGTCGTACCCTACGAGGAGTTGGTTGCCAAGTATGGCATCGGTGGTGTTGGTATCCCTGACTTTGCGAAGGAGAAGAAGCATGCCGCTGTGGGCATCCAAGGTAAATATCCCTTTTGAAACTCCAAACCGGACTCCAGGAACTAAGTGGATAGTCATACCCTTCTCCGACCTCGTCAAACTCCTGGCCAACCTTGACAAGGCGGTCCCTGAGTGGTTGACAAGTTCTGAAGCTCATCTCCGGAACTACCAGGAAAAGGAAACACAATACATCCTCGTGCTGCTTGAGACCCGTCACTGGTTCGCCGCCCTGAACCGCAACCTCGAGGCATTCTCACCCTGGAAAGCTGTGTTTGATACCCGTTTTCCTCGACACACCCATCGCGGTTTGCTGAAGGATGAAGATCTGCAGGGTCGGTACGTCTTCAAAGGCTGCAGCTTCTCCGAGCACGTTGAAGGCTTGGAGCGCGTGGTTCTGAACAACGACAAGCAGACAGAGGACTACAACACCTTGAAGAAGACTTACTTCCCCAACGGTATTGATGATGCAATTTCGGCCTTCGTCAAACATTGCGCCTCGCTCCAGCATCAGCGTGGCAAGCTCGACCGTCGCTGCCGTTTCTTGGAGAAGAAGAATGTTGCTGTTCGGAGCAGCCTCATTATCCGATCGAACGTGCTTATCAGAAGCTGTGACAATCGGCTGCGGTTTATGCTGGCTTCAGCCCTCAACTGGAATCTGCGTGGCAAGGAGTTTCGGCAGCGCGCACAGCTGCCTGGCAACCCGCACGGCCTGAAATACGGAGACAACGTACGCGTCAGATACGAGACGAACACAATGGAGATTCGTTACAGTCCCGACGATGTGATGGTCCATGCATGGGGCGTCGGCTGGGTACCGCGTGGTGGACAGGATAACAATCCGATCCGCTGGCTTCCTGGCAGTCCTTGGATCGACTGGTTAAGGAACCACAATCAGGAACGATATGGCGTCGCTCGCTACCTTGAAGCCATCGATCAAGGCAAGGCCCCGCCTTCTCAGTCTCCCGGCCCGCTGAAGCTGAAGCTGCCGCAATCTCTGATATCCTTGTACACACACTTTGGCCGGTTGTACCTTGATGCTTCGGAGAAGCTCAACGAGGTGAGGAAACGCGCGTACTTCCCCGGTAGACTTTCATCTGACAGCATAATAGGTCGCAGGAATTCCTGGCCCCCAGAAGACGAAGACCGAGTTGAATGTAAGTTTCGCAGCAAATACTCATGAGGCATCGCTAATCGTTTTTAGGAGCAAGCCGCGATGCTCTCTTCTGCGACTGGCGAGCCCTACTGGCGAGTGCGTGAGTTTCAGGTTTGTCCACCCACGCAACATCATACAATAGTGCCGGATACTGACATCACCCAGACTGATGATACACATGCGGATTTGATTCCCCCCATCCTGCCGGTGAGTGATATCAAGCAACGTGAATTTGGACGGACTATTGACACTGTTCCAGACCTTCGAGCGCCTTATGATGGACGGTATGCTGAATATCCGTTTCGACCGCCTCTCAGCGATTCTGATGGAGCTCCGCAAGGGACAGGATACCCCCTTCAGAGGCGTCGTCCCGTACATCGAGCTGGACGCGACCGTTCCCGGTGTCAACGTCGTCCAGCCAGGCATTCCTCCCAATGCTGAGGACGATGGGTTCGAGGACGCAGTCTTCACCAACCCGGAATCTGATGACGCTGGATTCTTGGCCGCAACATTCGCCGGTTCGGAAGATGACGACTAGGTGCATGATTGAAATCATGGAGTGTGGTACGATAGCACTGGAATCGCGCATGGTCAAGCCGATAAAATGATGATTTTTCCTAGGCCAATAGATAGCACTAGGGGACTAATAGAATATCGTCTTCGTGTCTATGATGATCCGTGACTCCATCGTAGGTAGAAGAGATTGAACGCTGCTTTTCTTAGCGTCCGATCAGGACCGCGAGGTATTGATCAGCAGAATCAGGATACAATATCAGACTTGAAATGGCTAGTGCGAGGCAGATGGCTACGCGGTGATGCCACAGTAGCCAGGCGAAGCAACCTCCAAACGGCTGGCAATCCACGGTCGTATTTGCAGAGGAGGGCTTGAGCTAAGGCTTTGCAGATGTCTATATAACGACTGCGGGGTGTGCTCGGCCATGATTTGAGTAGGACAAGAAGGGGAACAGGAAACAGAAGCGCAAGTGGCAAATGGGAAGTTGATTTCTTGCAGAGCAGGTTGATCAGTTAGCATCAATTGTTCACCACAGGTAGGTACATGCCATGTTCTACAGGGTCCGTGTGCTAGCAAGACTGGTTTAATGGATATAGCCCCGATTGTTACATAGAAGCTCGGTTAACTATCTGGAGATTATCCAGTTAAGTATTAGTTGATTTTTACAGGTAGTATAACTAGATGTCTTTGGGTTCTTGCGCTGGCAGCATTGATTTAATAATATAGACCTAGGCTGTTTGTAACGGCTTGGTTAGCCGGCTAGAAGCAATCAGTGGGGGGCAACTCGGTTAGTAATATGATAATGATTGAGAACGAATGCAGCCTTGGGTTCTTCACGGCGACCCAAATGCCCAACCCTCCATTCACTCTTCAATGCATGTTAAGCTTTTGCCAATACCGTGGAGGCAAGCCCCCAGTAAACAAGAAGGTACGGTACTTGCAGGGACCCCCAGCACTAGGGACAACAGCAACTTGTCAGTACAGTGGCCTGCCATATTGCTTACATGTAACTTGTTCACAGCAACTCAGATCCATGGATAGTTATATGTGAATAATCGAGAGTCAATATACTTAGCCTTGGACTTTTACAGCAACTCAGATAGTCATGTGAGCAGTTGCAAGTGCAGGAATACAGCCTTGGATTATTTACAGTAACTCGGACATTTGTATGTCAGCAATTTAGACCAAGTCTCAGCTAATTATCGGTAAGATCGAATTAGGAAACCCAAAAAATACCTACACCGAGACATTCTAGTGGTACTGTCTCTCAGCATCTGTAAGACAGATTTAATACATATCTCCAGGGTGCTGCTCACAGGGATTTGCCTGGTAGACTCTACACAATCAAGTAATAATGCTCCAGTGGTAGCATGCCTTTATTATACGTGAGTATAATTCCCTTCACCCATGCAGCCTTTGCATTGTATGCAGTGCCATTCGCCAGCTGGGTAGGTGGATCTACGGTGTTGATATTCAAGTGAGATACTTCCCAAAGCACAGCTTTGACAAGAACGATTTGATGAATATGGCGACTCGCTAACATTGAATACTTAAGCGGTTTCAAGTGTCTGGCAAGCCCAATTGGAGGAATTTTGTGATGACAGTCACTTCACGCAGTCAGATAAATTTGGAAATGGAATGCTCCAAATTCGGTAGGCTTTCACTTTCAGGTTCCAATGAATCTATTCCAAGGGTTTCCAGTAGCATTGCCGAGAGCCGATAACTTGCCAAGCACGAAGGACGCAATTGGGAACTCGTTAAGCACAGCCCGAGTTTACCACAACTCTTTTAAGGTGATACAAGGCTAGTGGGTGTGGCGCATCAACAAACTCAAGTGAACAATCTGCAGCAAAACCCCAAGTTTGCATCTGCTACTACTTTAATCTACAGCCGACAGTTTGAGGCTACCAATCTTCAGTCGGAAGTTGTGCCTCTAGAATGGATGGTTCTGAATGACCTTCCTAGTGGGCCAATAGGTGCAGGACTCGGAGCTGCCCTCTTCAACCGTCGTGGCCCAAGGAGCTGGTCGTGAGCCTCTTCTTGAACATTCCAACCTTGCCGACGACCAACACACTCTGCAGGAGCAGAAATGCGGGTCTACAAGGCTTCATTACATTCATTGAGCTCTTCGAGATAAGGTGACAGCTTCGCAGAACCAGCGCACCAGAATGTCTCGTTTCCTTACACCAGCCAAGATTGGCCTCCTTGCTCTCATTGAGCTCTATGCAAACAAAGCAGTCCCAACCTCATCCATAGTGGATGTCCTTTCTTTCATCACGTTTCATCTGATTGATGGCGACAGCGGGAGCCTGTCGGCCGATGCCGATGGCCGCTGGAAGAAGGCCGAAAGCACCGTCAGCCTCGTCATCTCCATCGCTGATTTTGAGAAGGCGCTTAGCCCCCATACCGCCGCTTCGGGTATGCCAGGACGCAGCCTCTGGTACGTGTTCGTGGACAAGCTTTGGAAAATCAACTCGCTGGACGCACTGCACGAGTTTTTCGAGCGACGGTCCCATTTGTTGGCCAAGTCCAAGGAGGAGCTGCGCCGGGATGCCGAGACGGGCCTCGCGCCTCCAGCACCGGACGCCGTCCTGCTCTCGCGAAACTCACCTTTTGGTGCATTCATTCGGCGAACGCTGCTGGAGTTTACGAGATTACCGTTCCATACCACGTTCGAGCTGTGGAAGGATTTCGTCAAGTACCGCCAGACAACAGCGGCTTATTTCCGGAAGAAGACGCCATCCTTTCAACGATTGAGCTTTGACAACGTCCTGTTGGAAGGGGAACATGCATCTTGGGGCGACGGCGTGGAGGTTGTTGCCTCGGTGGCATATGGGGATATGCTCAGAGATGACCCCAGCTCGACCTTGCCTGTCAGCACGGATGATATCGAAAAGCTTCTGGAGTTTCAGATCGAGCAGATGCAAAGTGAGTCCGTTTAGCACTCTTGTATTGACAACCTGCTAACCGCGTGAGGGTATGGCAATCGAATACCGCTGGAAATCCGCCATCAGTTCCAGGACCTGTTAAACGACAGCTTCATGGTTCCTAGCTTGTCACACTATCTCAGGTACGCGGCCCGGGGGCCGAGTCTCTATTCATATGCTGACCTATTCCAGTTACCTCGATGCGTGGCGGGCGGGAGACTACTCGACGTCCTTCGATTATTTGCACAGATATTTCGACTACACGATGCAAAACAGAGACCGACTGTTCTATCAGTATGCACTCATGAACCTAGCCGTCCTGCAAGCAGACTTTGGGTGCTACAAAGAGGCCGTGGCTGCGATGCTGGAGACGGTGTCGACAGCCCGCGAGAATCGAGACATGACCTGTTTGAACTTCGCGCTGAATTGGCTCTTCCACTTTGGCAGAGCGCATCCCGAGATTACTCGCGAACTCGAGTCGAACAGCATGCTTGGTACTGGCAAAGAGTCTCTAGCATTCCTCCGGAGCAAAGCCAAGGAAACGGGCATGTGGACACTTTGGAGTTCAGCCCTCGTCAGCGAGGCGAAGATGGCATTATCCAATGGCGAGAGCATCGCCACTGCTCTTGAACACATGGTCCGCAGCTCGCAGATCCTGGTCGAGAGGAACATGAAGAGCATGATGGGCACACAAATGTCACTCAACATCGCATTGTGGGACCGCCTGGGCATTGCCTATCTCTCGTCGACCGTGTGCGATGTATTCCTGCGCTGCCATGCGCGCAATTCTATCTTTGACGACGAATTGAAGGTCACAAGCCGGCAAGTGTCCATGTTGGCGCTGAAGGGGAAATACGACGAGGCGCTGGGGAAACTAGAAGGCATGGATCCCAACTCTCTGCGCACATGGAAACCCAGCCAGTATTGGCACAAATTTCGGGGCATTGTCAAACTTCGTCGCGACCTGCACCACAACCACCTCGATGGAGCGGAGCATCTACTCTCACAACTACTGCAGTCGAAGACGGAGGATCTCGAGCCCGACCTCGCCTTCGTCATCGACAGCTTGCACATCGAGTGCCTCGTCCGGCGGGGAAACCTCCAACAAGCCTTCGCCGAGGTCGAGAACCTAGTCTCCGAGCTCGGTGATGACAACAGGGACATTGCGCTCCGGGTGCGTCTGCTGCTTATCAAAGCCGAGCTGCTGGATGTCTGTGGCCGGCCGCAAAAGGGCTTCACCATTGCCGTGCGAGCAGCCAACGTCGCCCTGCGCGCGCGCCTCATCCCGTATCTCTGGCCGGCCATCGGTGCCGTTGCCAACATTCTAGTCTCGCTCGGCGACTTCGAACCCGCCATCCAGCTTCTGCTCGCCATCTTGCCTCGTAGCCTCGAGTGCGAGAACTCGGCGATGACCGCGAAGCTGTACTCGATTCTGGGAGATGCGAACATGGGTTTAGCGGGCAAGATGCCGCCCCAGTCCAAGGAGAGACGGCAATACATGACGAAGGCGCTCGAGGGTATTGAGAAGGCCTTCAATCATTACTCGGACATGGAGGACATCAAGAAGCAGTGCGAAATGATGGCCAAGAAGGCGACCATCATGAAGGTCGCAGGTGACCACGTGTTGGCGAATGATTACGCGGCCGCGTACTTGGCGCTGAGGAGAGATGCCGAGCAAACCAAAACGTGACGGAAGATGTAGCAAGCAAGATCTTCGGAAAGATGACGTTGAACATTGATATTTGTTCAAGTACTACCTAGATCAGGGTGTATTTTATCCTTTCCTGGGCTATGGCTGCTTAAGTAGACAAGCGACATGTTATGGGAGACATGCCATGTGCTCCTTCAAGGCTGTCATGTTGACCCTCGTATGATATCACATAAGATGCCCGACCTATACAATGAAAAACTCATTCCTTGGGCGCTTCTGATCCGAATGGCTATATATAATATACTGGCCTGGCTCGGTCAACTTTCACTCCACTTGATTTGCTTTCCTTCTTTATTCCTCAATTGACCTTGCTGCACCGGCTCAACCTCACTCGGAGGACTATCTGCCTCATTCAAATTATTGGTTGCCCATATCCTCTCAATGAACAATTCGAAGGGGCCAGGCACGCGATCCGTCAAACCCACACCAACGCTTTTCACCTTCTGCCTCAGCATCTCGGTCTGAGGCTCAATGACGAAGCCGTGGTTGGTCCGCACGAAATCGTTCCACTTGATGAGCACCGTCTCCCACTCGCCCGGACGCTTCGCAAATAAGCGGTGCTGGTGCAGGTCCGTAGGCACCACACTCTCCGTCTGCACGTTGACGAAGTAGCTCCGCCCGTCTGACTTGACCCGCAGCGCCAGGTACGTATACATGTCAATGTCCCACAGCGTACGGCCAAAGATGGTGGGTGCCTTGTCGAGGGTGCGCCAGGCGGCGAAGCCGGACCGCTGGATCTCGGGCCTATGAGGTGGCAGGGCCGTCGAGATAGTACCGTGGAAGTGGGCGTGCGCAGGGAGGTGGACGCGATTGGTCTTATCCTCGGGTACCCAGTCGAGAGATGCTTTGGAGTAGCCGCCCATGTCGACGTCGCACATGAGCTTGCAGTCGCGGATCGAGTCGGGGCTGTGGAAGTCGTGCAGGGGTTTCGGGCCTTGGGGGCCTTTGATGCCTTCTAGTTTTAATGCTGTGGTCAATTATGATTAGCATCAGAAACGAAAGGTGAGACCGAGACCTGACAAGATCTGGGGTGAAGTACCAATGTTGGAGAGACGCTTGAACTCGTCGATGCTGCGGCCCCAGAAGCCCTTCGCCAGACATCTCGTCGTAGCGCGCATCTTGAGCGCAGGTAGATTGCGATTATGTTATGTGGAGTGTAGTATCATCAGGAGCCAAAAGGCCCTGTCTCAAGATTTGACATCAGTAGCTGCAGGACATCCGTGGGCTTTATCAAGTCAACAGCTGCACAGTGGGTGGTGCGAAGTCGATGTGCAAATGTTCCACGTCTGAGGTTCACGAGCAAATCGTCGTCCATAAGCAACGCTTCCGGGTAGCTCGAGCTGAACTAGCAGAAATTCGAGGTCCCCCAAAGCCCATGCACGCGACAAAGGCCCGATCGATGAAACCCCGTTTCTTCGGCAAAGAAAAGAACCAAGTAGGCAGAGCTCGTTACCCCCCAGAAGGCTTGGCTGCATCGAAGCACCCCCAACCATTGGGCATTGCGCAACGACATGCGGCGATCCAACTGAGGCTTCTCATCCAGTGCACCCAGTAGGCTGACGTTTGCTCTTCGCCTTTCAGTCTTGCTTCACTATAAAACACATGCTTTCACTTCTCGCCTAGAATACCTCTTTATTCAGCGGTTCAATTTTTATTATCGCCTTTGCTTGGATGTTCTGTATGCCACTGTTCGCTGCATTCACTATCGCCTACTTGAGTACCTACCCGCTTTGGGTACTTCGCGCCCAATACTTATTTATCGAAATTGTGATCAATGGTGGAATGCGCTGTCATTGAACAGCTGTAGCTTCCTGCAGAGCTGCTTCCCTCAACTACGACTCTGAAACTATCCAAAGCAATCGCCTTCGCTTCCAGCGCAACTAACACCGTGCTCTCCCTAGTTGCCGTTGGCGGTGCAACGGGAGCAGACGCCCATCATGGCTTCCAATCGTAGTCTTGATCATACCAAGTGCGTCAACCCCTAACAAGGCTTTTGTTGCGCCCAACACCCAAATTTCATTGCTTCACTCCTGTCCCTGCCGAACTGGCATGCCTTCTGATATGGCAGCTGGAGCAAGTTCTTACCGTGGTAATCTTGTCAGATCCGAAGCCGAGTTGTCCATCAATATCCGAAAGGCCACCAACACCGACGAAACGGCGCCGAAGCGAAAACATGTGCGAAGCTGCATCGTCTACACATGGGACCACAAGTCGTCCCAGTCCTTCTGGGCTGGCATGAAAGTGTACGTGTAGCCCAGCACGGGAATGGCTGGACAACAAGCTAACGATAGCTCCCTGGTTAGGCAACCCATTCTTGCCGACGAGGTCCAGACGTTCAAGGCCCTAATCACCATCCACAAGGTGCTGCAGGAGGGCCATCCCGCTACGCTTCGAGAGGCCATGGCAAACCGTGGTTGGATCGACAGTTTGAACCGAGGTCTCGCAGGCGAGGGCGTCCGAGGATACGGCCCCCTGATCAGAGAATATGTCTACTTTCTGCTGGCGAAGCTGTCTTTCCACCAACAGCACCCAGAGTTCAACGGCACTTTCGAGTATGAGGAGTACGTGAGCTTGAAAGTCATCAATGATCCTAATGAGGGTTACGAGGCAATCACAGACCTCATGGCGTTGCAAGACAAGATCGAGCAATTCCAAAAGCTCATCTTCTCGCATTTCCGAAACGTGGGCAATAACGAGTGCAGAATCTCGGCGTTGGTGCCGTTGGTCCAGGAGAGCTATGGTATTTACAAGTTCATCACGAGCATGCTGCGCGCCATGCATTCTACAACCGGCGATACCGAGGCATTGGAGCCATTGCGACAGCGTTTTGATGCCCAGCACTACCGACTCGTCAAGTTCTACTACGAATGCTCTAATCTGCGATACCTCACGAGTCTCATCACCATCCCGAAGCTGCCTCAAGATCCGCCCAATTTGCTTGCCGAAGACGAAGATGCTCCATCCCTGCCCGCGCGACCGAAGCAGGAAATCGAACGACAGCCCACGCCACCACGCCAGCCCAAGACCGAAGAGCCCGATGAAATTGCCGAGTTCTGGCAGAGCGAGTTGGATCGACAAAACCGGGAATACGAAGATCAGCAGAGGGTACTGCAAGAGCGTCAACAACAGGCCCTGATGCAACAGCAACAAGCGCAAATGCAAGCGCAGCGCGAATACGAGGATGCCCAGCGTCGTCTAGCAGAGCAGCAGCAACGGGAGCAAGAGGCCTTGATGGCGCAGCAATTCCAAATGCAGACTCAGGGACGCCTGGCAGAACTCGAGCAGGAGAACTTCAATGCTCGAGCTCAATATGAAAGGGATCAGTTGATGCTACAACAGTACGACCAGCGAGTGAAGGCTTTAGAAAGCGAGCTCGGCCATATACAGAGCAGCTTCGGACAGCAAATCACGAGCAAGGATGATCAGATTCGTGCGCTTCAAGAGCAGGTCAACACGTGGCGGACCAAATACGAGGCTTTGGCGAAGCTGTACTCGCAACTTCGCCACGAGCATCTCGATCTGCTGCAGAAGTTTAAGTCAGTTCAGCTGAAAGCAGCATCCGCCCAGGAGGCCATTGACAGACGCGAAAAGCTGGAGCGGGAAATCAAGACCAAGAACTTGGAGTTGGCGGATATGATTCGGGAACGAGACCGCGCCCTCCACGACAAGGATCGCCTCCAGGGCGGCCAGAAAGACGAGGTTGAAAAGCTCAAGCGTGAATTGCGAATGGCGCACGACCGGGCCGATAACCTCGAGCGAAGCAAGGGCAATGAGCTTTCTACCATGTTATCCAAGTACAACCGGGAGATGGCCGACTTGGAGGAAGCGCTGCGGACTAAGTCGCGTGCTTTGGAAGACGCCCACGCCAAGCTCAACGATGGCAGCAGCGACCTCGAGGCATTGCTCCGTGAGAAGGAAGAGGAGCTCGAGGTCTACAAGGCTGGCATGGACCAGACCCTGATTGAGCTCAACGAGCTCAAGCTCAACCAGGGCGATACCGACCATGCGTTGGATGGCCAAATTGATGCCCTCATCATGGCCAATCTTGACAAGATCAATGAAATCATCGACTCGGTGCTGCAAGCGGGTGTCGCGCGGGTTGACGATGCTCTCTATGAGCTGGATTCTACCATGCAAGCGGGTAACCAGAATGCATCGCCGCCATATGTGTTGTCGCAAATCGAGAAGGCTTCAGCAAGCGCCATGGAGTTTGCTACGGCTTTCAACAACTTTATTGCGGATGGGCCAAACGCAAGCCATGCCGAGTTGATCAAGGCAATCAACGTCTTCTCCGGTGCGGCAGCTGACGTATGCAGCAACACCAAAGGTCTGACCCGATTAGCACCCGACGAGAAGAAGGGCGATGCGCTCATGAACGGCGCGCGCCAAGCTGCGCAGTCGTCGGTCAAGTTCTTCCGCGGCCTTCAAAGTTTCCGACTGGAGGGCATGGATCCAATCCAGAAGACGGATGTGGTCATCAATAGCAACAACGATGTGCAGATGAACTTCCAGAAACTGAACAAGCTCGTCGAAACATTTGCGCCCGCTGGCCGCCTGGCCAACAACAAGGGCGATCTGGGCGACCTGGTGGATTCCGAGCTAAGCAAAGCAGCCGACGCCATTGCTGCTGCTGTCGCTCGTTTGGCCAAGCTGCGAAACAAGCCTCGGGATGGATACAGCACGTACGACCTCAAGGTTCATGATTCGATTCTTGACGCTGCGACGGCCATTACAAACGCCATTACGCAACTGATCAAGGCCGCCACTGTTACTCAGCAAGAGATTGTGCAGGCAGGCCGTGGATCGTCGTCGAGGACGGCTTTTTACAAAAAGAACAACAGGTGGACGGAAGGTCTCATCTCGGCTGCCAAAGCCGTGGCTTCGTCCACGAACACGCTCATCGAGACTGCCGATGGCGTACTGTCTAATCGCAACAGCCCAGAGCAACTCATCGTTGCATCGAACGACGTGGCGGCCTCGACGGCGCAGCTTGTGGCGGCCAGCCGTGTCAAGGCAGGCTTCATGAGCAAGAGCCAGGAGAACCTCGAGCAAGCCAGCAAGGCTGTGGGTGCGGCATGCCGATCTCTCGTGCGCCAGGTGCAGGCCATGATCAAGGAGCGCGGCGAGGACGAGGATCAGGTAGATTACTCCAAGCTGGGCTCCCACGAGTTTAAGGTCAGGCAAATGGAGCAACAAGTAAGTTCTCATCTCGCTGTCAAGGCACTCTGTAAACCTACGCGACTTGTGCTAACAGCGTTCCGTACAGGTTGAAATTCTGCAGCTTGAGAACCAACTCTCGGCTGCGAGACATAGACTCGGCGAGATGAGGAAGATTTCGTACCAGGAGGAATAGGCTGGGGTAGTATGTGGGTGCTGATGGTCCGCAGTGATTCAATTGTCTGAAGCAATATCCCCGAGCCCCCGCGTAGCGGGTCTACGTAGTCCACTCGGCTTACTTTGCGTAAATACACCACACCCATTTCTGTATAGAGCCAATCGCCCAAGCTCAATCAATATAGTCTCTTCAGCAATGCTCCCAGATACGGGACTGTGTTAACTAGCACTAAGGACCGTAGCACAACTTTTCGCATATCCTGGTACCAGCGATCTTGTCTGCTGTTGTGATTGGCCTTGAATTGCCGTGGTGTGTACGCTTAATAAGCGACTGACTGATTCCTCTCCCAGCACATACTGATCTACACGCGACTCCAAGACTACGGTTCACCCTGCACAACAGGCAGCCATGGAAATACCTACCGTTCCCGCAAACCAACCCGTACTTCGCGATACAGATTCTTAACACAAGCTTCGCCACCGTCACATATCTTACTCGGGGCTAGGAATTAGCAACGGATTCGTATCACGAATATAATCCCCAGGCGAATCAACTGAAGCTAGCGTTCTCTTGTTACTAACTCACCTTGTGTCTTCACAGCTTGTTTGTGTTGCTCACTTGCTCGCGCCTCCCTTACCCTTTTTCTACTCAAAACTGACACAAACCACCAACCATTTATTACCATCACCGCCTCCACCACCACCATGGCCTGCGAACCCATCCAAGACCTCTACGGCGTCCCCCTAAATCCCCGCTACGAAATTCGCCGCCTCGGCCTGGAAATTGAGCCCTGGGTCCGCGCCCTCGGCTCCTACAGCCTGCAATTCATGTCGCGCCGCGCCGTTCCCCCTCCGGACGCGCCGGGCTACTCGCTTAAGGGTAAGGCCCGCGGCTGCCTGCTTGATTTCCGGGCTCGCACCGCGCCGTACGTGCATTCTATCCGGAGCGGCATGTCGTATGGTGTTTTTGATCGGGAGTGGGTGCCCCGGGGGAAGCCCGAGAACGAAGCTCGTGATGCCCATGGTAATGGTGGCGGGGCTGTATATTGGGGTGAGCTCGATCCCGAGGATCCGAGGCTCGATGAGGAAGGTGGGGAGAGGGGCAGGAGGATGTTGATTGAGGCAATGGATTTCCCGCTTGTCAGTGTGGCGTATGCGCATGATGCGCTGGATCCGTATCCGGAGGGGACGTTTGAGGGGTTTTTTCGTTTTAGTCCTGAATCGAGGGATTTCTTTGCTATTTTTGCGGCGAGAGCGGCTAGGGCTGCTCGTGTTGGCGCTGCTGCTGCTGCTAGCGGATCGTCGCCCTCATCGTCGGCGGATCCTTCCGCGGCAAAAGAAGAAGAATCAATGGCCTATGACGCCTTGTCGGTCGACCGGTCGATCGAAAAGAAAAGGGGCGAGAACTTGTCCCGCGGCGGAACCATGACGAGGCCGCCGTACGAGGGAAGGGGGCTCATGAAGGCGCTGGCGCACTTTTTGATGAAGGATGCGGCGGCCAAGGGATGGAAGAGAATCGAGATGGGGAGCGCAAATGAGAAGGTTACGACGGTGTGGACGAACCCGCCGGCGCCGTTTCGGTGTGAGGTCGTGGTGGATTTTGATCCGAGGAAGGAGGAAGTGGCGGACGAGGAGACGGGGGAGAAGAAGAGGCCGTTTGAGAGGGCGGCATTGACGAGGTCGGTGTCTTTGATTGTGCATTTGCGGGAGCAGTAGGGAGGGGTGAGGAATGAGGCGTAGGGGATATGAAGGAGCAGGAGAGAATGGGGGAGTGAGATTCGGGGATTGGGACAAAGGAGTTGAACTTGAGAAATCGATGTTGCACGTCTCACGGATTGATATGAACGGAAGGAGGTTGGGTATCAAATGGGAAGATCAAAATATGTTGGGTTTTCGGTAACGCAATGCCCTCCCTGTTAGGTCTGGAATCAAGAGGGGCATGTCGTGCGCGTCATATCCCGCTACAGAGCATAGATATCAATGTTGCAGCTGCCAGGGGCAAGTGGATGACAAAATCAGTAAACGACGCACCTGGGCCAAATAACTACGTTATGTCAGTTTAAGAAACTGAGACATCAGGCTGATCCGGTATTGTTCCATCTTTGCCTACGCCGTTTATTTTGTGGCTTACTTGAGGGGCGGGCAACCTGTGCTTCTTCATTAGGGATAAGAGATGACTATCCAGATTAGGCACCTTTTCAAGTTATGGCTTTGATGACATTAGATGTGGATAGCGATTGGTGAATATATTTGTCTTCAATTCAGCAGAGCTCCATTAGTGACAGGTCGGGTTGCGGACCACATTTCATTTGGATGCATGGAGAGTTGGCTCGAAAACGGCCATCTTGATACATGCGCCGCATGGAGCAGACCACCAACTAGACCCCAAATCAAGCCGGAAGCAATTTTCTTACATGCCACGAGATCTGCAATGCTCTTCCAACCAAAATAAAACGGACACACTCAGCAGGAGGGTTCGATGAAACGGACGTTACTCATGTTAGTCGCATGTAGCCCAGTCAGGGTCCCGACGGGCGTCAAGATCAAAGTCAGCACCACCCAGCAACGGTTCTCAAGTGCTCACTTCGTTATCAAAAAGCTACCTAGGTATCTAGCACGGACAAACTAGCATTTAATGAGAAAGCTTTCAACATAATTTAATGCGGCAGGGTCTGCTCCGATCGTAGCCAAAGACATTGACTGTTGTGTTCTTGGCTGTCCAGGAGGTATTATCTGCAGTGTTCCGCATGAACCAAACGAATGAGAATAGTCCCCTGCCTCTCCCCCACTTCACCCTTGCAAGTAAAGGCTTTCGATGACTACACGTACGTACTTCAAGTAAATGTACACCCCTTGGATATTTAAAAGTATCCGTAAGCCCGTGTGCAGACTCTTAGGGCCGAAGAGTGTAATATAGATACTCAGTAGACGAAGGCGATCGATCGAAATGAGCGAAAAGCTTACCTATACAGGATACTATTGCTAGGCATGGGAGGCAAGCATCGTTTTCTTTTGGTAGACATCGCTATGAGTGTGTTGGCACATTTGAGGGACTTTGGGGAGGTTTAGAACGGAAACACCCTGCTTGCCTGTTTGTTCAATCGATACTTTCAGAAACGGAAGATTCGACACTTCCCGCGAGGTATTCTCGCTCTCAGCTTCTCCCCCTTTCATGCCTAAATCGCATGAGGCCATTGATTACATGTACCACGTATATGGGAGGAAAGGTGCAGCATACGAACGGTACCAACTTACCGGGATTTGCGTAAAATACCAACGATTCGAAAAACAAAACAATCTAGACCACACAGAAACCAACTATTCTGTCGACCTAATATACCCTGGGGCTATTTGACGCTCGCGGCCTTTGCTGGAAGTTCCGTTTGGTTTTACAACAGGGTGTACAACAAAACCCGGACACCTGACTGCTCGCCTTGAAGATAGGGAACAAGGCCCTGCTGCTGATTACCAACCATACTCAGACTACAATACGTATCATATCATGTGTCTCGATCACTGCGCGGACGTCAAGACTGTTGGCGTATGGTCAACGTACATAAATATCCAAGTGCAAAGGACCAACGCGTCAGTAGCCAGGACCAACACTGGCTGAAGTACTTCCTTTGTTTGTCGGGGGTTCACACCATGGTTGGTGGGTGCTGGAAGCAGATGCTTAACACTGGGGTGTTTCCATGTGTGTATATATTATGGTCAGGATGCCTCTTGAAAACGAGCCAGGAGACACCCATTTATCCTATCTCATACATCTTAACATTCTGGGAAATATTCCGAAGAGGACAAGACGACAAAAAACACTGAAAGTGGAAAGCTTAGCCATAACTGAAATAACAACTATTCCTGAAGTCTCACGTGAGATAATGATGTCTCCTTTCGAAGAGGAATGTTTGAAACACATCGAACAAGAATGCAAGAAATTTTTCTTGACGCAGACACTGTGGAAATACTACGGTGACGTATTAAAAAAAGGCATGGAGCCTGCTAATTTGGGAAATCCCACCACAATCGAAATCGACTGGACTACTCCTACGTCTAAGAAGGTAACAGAAGACATCTCTGCCGAAAACAAAGAAAGCCGAGAAAAGTGCGTAACTTCAAGGTTGCCCTTACACATATTTCCTCATCCCCCTTCACCAGCCATGACTAATACTATATGCTGGTGTCAGATCTTATTATTTAGAATACATGGGCTATGCTCATATGTGTTCGGCCCCTATCCACGGAGCCTTTCATGGTCCTTTTGTAGTAACAAGTACAACTCCCTCTACTTGCACTGCTACTCATGCAAAAAAGGAGGCTCAAGATGTTCTAAATGAAATGACAAACTGGCCTGGAACACGAGAGGGCAAAATTCTGAAAGACGTAATGAACAAAATCGACTTGAAGGATATAAAGAATATCATTTGCTTCGGGCTTGGGGACATTGACGGTGACAATGGAACATCAAAGCGCCGAAGAATAGCGCAACATGCTGCTGCAGCGACCATGGCGGACATCGTCAAGCAGAAAAGCGGCGCCGATAGTCGTGTGCCGGTACTGGTCCAAGACCCCGAATACTGCGTTTGGACAACCGAAATCTTGAAGAAGAAAGAAATGACGATTCTTGAGGTACAGAAAATGGAGGCATATCTCTACATTGACGACAGGACGATTGTGTACAGTGAGGGTCCAGGAATTCCTCCTATCAAAGAAGTTTGCGCGGAGCTGTCTCGAGCCCTCAATACCTGGCCTGCAATACTCATTTGTGACCCTATAATTCCAGATTGGGACCGGGAAAACCGGTAAGTATAGCTGGATCTATATGCATAACTGAGCTATACTAACGCTTTCTAATCGCCTTAGAAAACTTTATGGTGATGTCAACACACCTTCGGTCTTGGCCATGAGAGAACAACACTACGACGAATTACCCTTGTATGACGACAAAAACACTCAAAACTTTGAGGAACTCAAGGTTTATGTGCGAAAAGGACTTCAACTTCCCGACAAATAAATTTTACGTTGCATCGGTGTCATGCACTTCCGCCAACTCTAACACGCCTTCAGCTTATGGGTTGTTTCTTGGCCTCTATCCATTAATGGAAACAAGATAGCGAAAAGCCAGACTATGGAGTGAGGGCAAGCATTTGGCTCATTAGCAACGGATGCGGTCCAATCAATGAAGTTGCGGATTTTGGCGTTTCCATATCAGGGCTTTTTTTGGATGGAATCCAACCCTGCGTTTCATTATGTTTCTGTTTACTCCGGAGTATGGACAAGCTGGAAGACATTGTTTTGGGGTTTCAATTTATTGTGTCGTTTGTTATCAGGCAGGTTGGCTCGGGGCTTGGCGTCTATTCGTTCTTTTCTTTGGGTTTCTCTCATACTTAGGAGACTTCGTTCGGTCTTAGGTTTTCATTCCTCCACTCGCTAATCTTTCATTTAATAAAATGGTTGCTTAAATCGTCAGGATATCTTGTTTTTTTTCCATCTCGGTGTGCTCGGGGTCTATCTAGTCTTGTTTGAGGAGTGCTTCGAAGTTAACGTCTCTACTTTCCGCGGTCCAGTTGAGTCCGCTGCTTGGCTAGAAATGTATAATTTATAGAGGGTGCGCATTGGCCTTTTTATCTTCCTATTTTGAAGACATTCTCACGCAGGTACATGATACATGGGTTCCTAGGCCGAAGTCATCTCTGTTAGGCTGTAAACTCTAGACTAGGATTGAGTGACGTGCTTCTGCGTTTTACATCTCGCTATTCTCGCAGCCCAGGAACTCGCGATGTTGAATCTTGCAAAGTTATTAATCGGAGTCGGTACCTCCCAAAAATGGTCTACCACTGACTCTCATTTCGTAATGGCAGTTTTGTGAAATTGTTCAAGCGAGCGTCTACTTGGGATACAAAATATTTCTGACACTATTGGAAGAGGAAGACGTCGGAAACGCGGCAGGAAACAGGCACTGGACACCAGAGGCTCGAAAAAGCACGAAGGGAAATCAGCAGAAACATAGAGAGTAAGTTTTAATATGCGGCACAATTGATTTGAGCGGAGTTACAAGCTCAGAATCCAGTCATGTTGGATTTTCAACTCCCTAACGAGCGAGGTTACCTGGGAGCTGCCCCTGACACTCGTCTCTCTCCTGCCTTTTTCCGTGCAGCACATTCCTGCCCCCGTCACTTGCTTAAGAGATTGACGTTCCAACATGGGAGTGAGATCAGCTGACACTATATATGAGCGTGTATTAAAACCATTGGGGGCGACCGGCAAGTAAAACTTCCACAGATTTGAAGAGTAAGGAACAGTGCGGAATGTTGTACCGCATCCGCACAGTTCATGTCATGACAACCCTCGATGTAAAAGGACTGAAGCAGGCTTCTGCAAGCTTGTATCTCCCATTTTTGCCCCCCAAGCGAGGAAGTAATCTGAGTGCAGGATCTGTATGTTCAACTTTCAGTTCAAATCTTCGAAGCTCTTCACAGGTCTCTCCAACGCTATCGATTGATTGACACGGCGGTGATACTATTGGGAGACTTGACCGAGCTGCCCTTGAGGTCGACAACATCTGCCGATGTCTGTGGATGAATCTATATCCGGCTTTTTCTTCGGCGTGCAGGCTGAAGGCGACTCCTCCCCAAAATGTAAGAGCCCCGGACAACCGTCCAGGAAAATAGATCACGCATGCAGTTCGACGAGAGCAATAAGAGAAATGCGGGAGTTGACTTGTCGGGAAAGACCGTTGGTAACAATATGTAGAATATGATATATAACAAGTGACCATTTACGCGCATTTTAGAAATTGTGTTTATTGTTATAGCCACGAAGCATGACCTCTCGGGCCCAAAACAACGACCGAGACGTTATCCAGATATCGTGGCATGATGCTGTGAAACGCGTGCAGATCGAGACATTGACGAAGGGCTCCGTGGCTTCTCTGCCCAATGGATCATATATGCTCAGTAGGATGGATGACCGCCGGTTTGCACTAGCAGTCACTTGCAGCACCAGATGACGGACTTAGACGAGTTTCAGACTATGCCTCGGCACCAGGCCATTGGATGCCCGTGCGCGAGAAGCGTTGGTGCAAAAGATCGCCCTAGTCGCAGATAGACTCAGACACGACGACGAGGAGGTGGTCTTGGAAGCGCTGGCATTTCGTCGCTGACCGTGAGTGTCAAGCTTGTACGTCTTACAATCTAGAAAATCTAGATAGACCGTTGGCGCGCGCGCAGATCGATACCAAGCTTGCGAATCTTCGACTGTGGAATCTGGGGTAAAGCGATAAGACAGCCGGGCCCGACGCAACGGCTGGCCACTGACATTGCAAATGACACGATCTGGGCCGAGAAGCAGCGCACGCAACATTGTTCTAATGTGCCTGAAAGCCCACACCCAACCAGTATGGATCGACGAGATTGCGGCGTTCGCGAGCTAGCAGGTCGCCAAGCGCAGATGATCTTACCAAAGTTGCCGATTTCCTTAGGGTAACGTTAACCAGGGCAAATACGCAGGAGCTTCACCTGAGAAGCGACAAGCCGCATCTTGATAGCAGAGGAGTTGGCCTCATTTAGTGGTGACCCACTTTAGAGTGTTTTTGTCAGGATAAATCAGTTGAACGCCCTGCCTCGGCCACGCCCGCCGCGGCGCTTTAGACAAGAAAAACATGACTAGCTGAAATGATACGGATATAGATATCTCGAACGTGATCGATCAACGAGGCTGATGTACCGGTATTCGCTTCGATTCGCAACTGCAGCTATCGTGCGCGCCGAATTGAGATCTATCCCATGGTCATTTTCGCACGCTAGAAGGTCGAGGGAATGATTTCTTCGATCGGAGATTTGGCAATCACCAAACCCACAGGATGCTATCTATAGATGGTGCAAAACACGAAATGACGATGGAAAAGCATGACGGTACCGAGCGAACAGACATTAAACCAGATGGCATGAAGGACAGTACGTGCCGCAACCCTGCTGGACCGTTCATCCCAGCTTTTGCCTACGTGAGTAGGTGGCTTGGTGGCCGTTGTTTGTACTAAAGTGAAGGTCCGTAGAAAAGCCAAGCCGCAGAACCCACCAAAATCCATGGTCTGGGCCGACGCACCAATTAGCAGTGCCCAGCCGCAAAAGTCGGCCCTTCGTGGGCCCCTGCTTCTCCTGTACACTAGTCAAGGCGGTGGCGGTTTCCGCGAAACACTGAGCCAGTGAAAATAGGATGATATTTTCAGTGGGCCCAGGGGCTCCCCTGAGATCGTCGCTAACAGGCGAGGTTAAACATCGAGAGCCTATCAGATTGGGCTGGGGGCATCTCCTGAATCTGGCCCGCTGAGCGGGACAACAAACCAACGAAAACAACTCCCCTCTTTCGCCGCATTTGGGTATGCAAACAAGGAAGCCCTAGCGCGAGTCTACGTGTGAACGATGGTGTCCACGAAATGATTGTCTGGCAATGATAGGGTCTGGCAATGATAGGGTCTGGCAATGATAGGCTGCCGGGGTCTTCCCCGCGAGGGCTGGATTCCAGTCCAGTCCTGTCCACTCGAAAGTGCTTGAACCAGGCTTGATGACGGGAAAGCTGATGACAGGCCTCCACTCTCGCACCCTCGTATAGATATCTAATGGGTTGACGAACACCTAGAAAGCCACGAGGCAATGCCAACGACCAAACGGCTAGACTAGAGTGGGTAGCGGGCAAACCACGTCCAGGGGTGGCTTTGGGTGGACGGGTCTTTCATAAACCCTATCATCCCCCGCCGGCATGGTGAGTGATCATCGTGTCTTTGCGTCTTTGCTTCTCCTGTTCAAGTGCGCCTATTTTCGGTCTTTTTTATTCTTCGTGATTTCATCCTAACTAACTTGTGTTGTTGATGACAAGGCGGCGGCTGGCCACTACTTTCGACGTCATTTATTGGATGCTTCCAGATACATCTTCACTTTGTGCACAAAACCCCGTACCAGAATACTTCGTACCCGGATCCAGTTCACCTTCCAACGTGATTCGCAGCTGAACCCACAATACCCTCTTTTTACTTCTGAAAACTGCATGTGCTGAGCGCGCTCACTAGACACCTGGCGGGTACGTTCATTTTCGGCATCTTCCCGGATTCTGTCATCAAATACTTGCCGGCAGACCACATCACACACGGTAAACAACAAAACCACCACCACCATCTCCTCCTCCCTCCTCCGTCGTCCCGCAGACACGCTGTGTCATCTTCCGAAGGCCCAATTTGCAGCCCCAACGCGATTCATCGAGACACAAACGGATTCCAGGCCATTGAGAGCGCTGCCCCGCTTACCCTTTCTGGCAACCACTTGGCGCACCCGTGGATCTCTGCGCTCTTAGTTAACCTGCAATTTCGCTGCCAAGATCTGGGGCCGACAGAGGGATATCAAGTCACCGCAACCGGGGTCACCCAACGCTGCCTTTTGTCCCTTGCCGTCAGCTGCTTCAAGGCTCGACCAAGGCTTTGGTTGACCAACCGCTCACTGTTTGTGAACAAAAGGCGCTTTCGAGTCACAAAGAAGTCGCGCCGTCGTCATCTCTTCTCAGACCATTGTTATCACACCATGCCTTCATAACCAGGTCTGAGTCGACACTCTTCTTTGCCTCCGAGGGTTCCGGGCTCATTGGCAATTCCGCGACGTCTACCTATAGATTGCTCGTTGTCCCCGGATCCCCCCACGCAAATCCTCCTGGACATAGCGAGAGATTAGCCAAGATCGACATCACTTCTTTCATCCATTCGTTTTACCCCTTCATAAAGCCATCACACATGTCTTTGCTGCGGCGCCGGGTCGCTGCCGTCGATTCCTTCGCCTCACCACCCTCGTTTTTGGCTCTGCGTGAAGCAACAACAGCCATGGCGACCGCAACAGAAGTTGCCGCGTCGTCCAACCCGACCATCGCGCCCTACGACCATGGGCTGAACGGCGTGAACCAGACCGTCAATATGCTCTTTAGGGACATGCTTTGGTGGAGTCTGGGCATATTGGCACTAATCATTCTCTGCATTCGCCTCATGGAGATCGTATGGAGCAAGCTGCGTCAGGTTATGGCCATGTCCGTCCCGGCCGAGCGGCAGAGCTACTGGAAACACTCGCAATGGAGTTGGATGCCCAGTCTGAAGAAGCACCTCGTCTACGCGCCCCTTTGGAACAAGAGACACAACCGCGAGCTCAAGCTCTCCCAGGCTATCAGCATTGGGACGCTGCCATCCCGCCTTCAGTCTGTCATCCTGGGTATCTATTTATTCAGTAATTTCGTCTACATGTTTGTGGTCGATTGGTCCAAGGAAAACATGTACTCCTTTTTGGCCGAAGTTCGCGGTCGATCGGGTACCCTGGCCGCAGTCAACATGGTGCCCCTCATCATCATGGCCGGGCGCAACAACCCCCTCATCGGCATGCTGAGGGTCAGCTTCGACACATATAATCTCCTCCACCGATGGATGGGCCGAATGGTGGTCTTGGAGGCACTCATCCACACCATCGTCTGGGCCATAGTGCAAGTTGCCGATGCGGGCTGGGAGGGTCTCAACATTAGGCTCATCCAACAGAGCTTCATCTCTTCTGGGTTCTGTGGCACGCTTGCGTTGCTCATTCTTGTCGTCCTGTCCCTCGGTCCCATTAGACACGCCTTCTACGAGACCTTCCTGAACACTCACATCATCCTGGCATTCATCGTCTTGGCCTGTACTTGGGTCCACTGCGCCACCGCTAGTATCGCCGGCGGTCTGCCCCAGCTTCCGTGGATGGTGGCTATCTTCCTGCTGTGGACCGCCGAGCGCATGGCACGGATGTTCCGCTTGGTATACCACAACTGGTCCACCAGGGGCTTCACCGAAGCCATTGTGACGCCGATGCCTGGCGAAGCTTGCCGGGTGACGATGCACTTGCCTCGTCATGTTGACGTCAACCCAGGAACTCACGCCTATATCCGGTTCAAGGACATCCACCCTTGGGAAAACCACCCCTTCTCCATCGCCTGGATCGAACACTTCCCGCTCGTTGATAAGAACAACATCGAGAAGGAGGTGCCCACCGAGGCCGAGATCAAGCGCGGTACCACGTCCGTGTCCTTCGTCATCGGCGCCCACACTGGCTTCACCCGCGCTCTCTTCAATAAGGCTAGCATGGCCCCCTCTGCGTCCATCAACTTGCGGGCTGCCATGGAAGGGCCCTACGCCGGTCATCACTCCCTGGACTCTTACGGTCATGCCGTCCTCTTTGCCGGGTCTACCGGCATTACGCATCAGCTTTCCTACTTGAAACCCATTATTGAGGGGTTCAACGCCGGAACGATTGCGACGCGACGAATTACATTGGTGTGGATCATGCGCGACTACGAGGCTTTGGAATGGGTACGGCCGTGGATGGACGCTATCCTGCGCCTGCCGAGACGGAAAGAGATCCTCAATATCCGGATATTCATCACGCGGCCCAAGAACCCTAAGGAAGTTCACTCGCCTTCGTCAACCGTGCAGATGTTTCCTGGACGCCCCAACTGTGTGACCCTCCTCAAGAAGGAAGTGGAGGAGCAAGTCGGAGCAATGGTGGTCACCGTGTGCGGACCAGGCGCGCTCGCCGACGATGTGCGACAAGCGGTGCGCGAAGTGCAGGATGAGCAGTCGGTGGTAGACTTTTGCGAGGAGTCTTTCACGTGGTAGAAAAATGTCAAGAATTTGGAAGCGAGAGAAGCAAGATCTCAAGGTCGGGATTTCCATGCCACACAAACTCTGTCCATACAGAAAGGGAGCACATGGCGTCTAAGGCGATTGACGGCCGCAGGAGTTTTTATGATGAGAGATCGTCCAGTACCCAAAGCATGCTGACAACCGCACATATCAAGGCGTTCAAGGGCGATTCGGTTTGTTTTTATCACTTCTTTTCAGACAGACGGGAGGGGTGGTCGAGCTTAGAGCTAAATGTAAATAATCCTCCGTCATGGCCAGTGAACATACCTTTGGGCGGCCGCGTTTCATGCGTATTAATAAGCAGGTGGTGGAGCAATATTACCACGAACTAAAATTCTCGATTCGATGTTTCCAGTATATGTGAATCTCGTGGGGTGAAGTTTTGGGTGAGTAAGTTCCATGGTTCTATCTCTGGTAGCTCTCCTGTCTCGGAATTCTCGGAACATCTAGAGATCTACTTAGATGGGTGAGTACGATGCTCCCAAATACCTTCTTGGCGTCATCTCTTGCCCTCGATTGGATCTCACAGCGAGGACAGCAGCAACAAAGTGTAACGCACCCCGCAATGGGTGCAGGCAACCCCACTTCCACCAACCTAGGCCCACTGGAGAGATGAAAATTTTGGGCCAGGGCAGCAGCGAGAGCTAGAAAAGTTCGTGTTTGCGTGTGTCATTGTGCGTGTGGATTGGCTGACCCAATTCACTTTTGCTGTGTGACTCAAGAACTCTGCAACCGAATTGCACCCAGTTCCTCACCCGAAGATACCTTTTAACGGAGGCAATTGACCCTTATAACCGCGCAGCTGCTTCAGCTGTCCATTTTTCTCTTCTCCATCCTTATTTGCTTTTCTGGTGAGGCTGCACACGCCTCAGGTCCCCGGTTTCTACCCCTCCACGAACCCCTCCTCGGAATTCTGTCCCGCAGTCGCCATGCCGATGTAAGTGACACTTGGAATGCGTCTTATGCTCCTTTTCTTGATTCACCACTCGACACCCGCGTAAGAAAACAAACCTGTTTTCGACGACAGAAGATATTGCGACGCTGACAGTTCCACTCATGTTCCAGGCTTAAGGACCCCTCGAAGAAGTACAAGAAGTTTCCGCCGCTCAATCTGCCCAACCGCCAATGGCCGTCCAAGACCATCGATAAGCCCCCGAGATGGCTTGCTACAGACTTGCGGGATGGCAACCAGAGCTTGGTTGACCCCATGGTATGACCTCAATGCCCTGAGGAGAATTAGAGAGCATGGATTGACTCGAGTTACCCAGAACGGCGACGAGAAATGGAGATACTTCAAGATGCTGGTTGAGCTGGGCTACAAGGAGATCGAGGTGTCCTTCCCATCCGCATCGCAGACCGACTTCGACTTCACGAGACGCATCATAGAAACTCCCGGCGTAGTCCCCGATGATGTCTGGATTCAGGTGCTCTCCCCATGTCGTGAGGATCTGATCCGCCGAACCGTCGATTCCCTCAAGGGTGCCAAGAAGGCCCTTCTACACATCTATCTTGCCACAAGCGATTGCTTCCGGCGCATTGTATTTGGCTTCACTCAGGAGGAAAGCATTGACCTGGCCGTGAAGTGCACAAAGTTCGCGCGGTCAATTACCAAAGACGACCCCTCCCAAGCAGGCACGGAGTGGGCCTTCGAGTTCAGCCCGGAGACCTTCTCGGATACCAGCCCTGAATTTGCCATCCGGATCTGCGAGGCCGTCAAGGCGGCCTGGGAGCCCACGACGGAGAACCCCATCATCTTCAACCTGCCTGCCACTGTCGAGATGGCTACGCCCAACGTCTACGCCGACCAGATTGAATATTTCTGCACCAACATTACTGAGCGAGAGAAGATCTGCGTTTCCCTCCACCCACACAACGACCGAGGTTGCGCGGTTGCTGCTGCAGAACTTGCTCAAATGGCCGGCGCAGACAGAGTAGAAGGCTGTCTTTTCGGTAACGGCGAGCGGACTGGCAATGTCGATCTCGTCACTTTGGCCTTGAACCTATACACCCAGGGCATCTACCCTAACATTGACTTCTCAAACCTCAACCGGGTAATTGACACAGTCGAGATTTGCAACAAGATACCCATCCACCCTCGAGCTCCTTACGGCGGCTCCCTTGTTGTGTGCGCCTTCAGTGGCTCTCACCAGGATGCCATCAAGAAGGGCTTCGAGGCCCGGAAGGAAGGCGCCAATGCTTATGATGACCAATGGGTTATACCTTATCTGCCTCTCGACCCACAGGATATTGGCCGCACTTACGAAGCCATCATCCGCGTGAATTCGCAGAGTGGCAAGGGCGGTGCGGCTTGGATTATTCTGCGGAAGCTTGAACTGGATCTCCCCCGAGGTCTACAGGTTGCCTTCAGCAGGGTGGTGCAAAAGAACGCCGACGAGCTTGGAAGGGAGCTTTTGTCGGATGAAATTAGCCAACTATTCGAGAAAACATACTTCCTCAAGGAGAACCCTCGCTTCAACATCCTCGACTACTCTATTTCAATAGATCGGTCGGCCTCCCCGGTGCCCCCGGCATCGGGTAAGACCCAGGAAACCAGAAACCTCCCCAGAAGATTCGAGGGTATCGTTGCTATTGATGGCAAAGAATACCAGCTTTCCGGCCGTGGAAACGGACCCATCTCGTCCTTGGCAAATGCTCTTAAGGGCGTTGGTATCGACCTCGACGTGGCCGACTACAGAGAACACTCCATAGGAGGCGGTCGTGGAGTTAAGGCGGCCACGTATATTGAGTGCACAGCATCGGGCACGTCACAGAAGGTGTGGGGTGTTGGTATCCATGAAGATGTCGTTCAGAGTTCCCTCATCGCGCTCTTGAGTGCAGCCAGCAGTGTAAGTGCTTGTCTATTCATGAGCGGCATGATTCCACAAAGTTGACATGTTTTTTTTTTATTTTGGCAGTTCATCCTCAGCCGCCCTGGAAGTCCCATCACGGTCAAGGCAATCCCGCGCCGTACGCTAAGCCAGGAGCTCGAGCTCAATGATGGTTTGAAGGCTCCGGACAATGTCAATGGACAAAAGAGCTCAGAAGGTGTGCCGTCTAACCTCGTCAATATCCTGGAAGCAAAGGCAAATGGCATGTAAGCCTAGCAGCTTTAGCGAGAACTAGAGCCTGTTCAGCTGTGAAGTCGCGGGCAGCTATTGATGCTACAGTGTTGGTTTTCTAAACAAAAAAATGACACGGGTAAATCAAAAATCTCTCCTTTATTGCCCAAACATAACTGGTCTTACAGGGGGGTTTCCTAGGTTGGTGCATGGTCGGCCAATTAATCTGCTTTGAAATTTTTGGAACAAAATCGGCAGCGAAGTCGAGGGTGAGTAGAAAAGTTCGAAAACCAGTGAGGAGAATGCATAGTCTAGACATCTAACATTACGAGCCTTTTTTTTCTTTTCCTTGAAATGAGCATTTGGGCTGGGCGTAGACTGAGCTGCCAGAAAGATAACGATGGACTCATCCATTGATGCTTTCGCTTTTCCACGACAGCTGCGTCGAAGTTTCAGTGGCGAAGTCCATATTTCCGGGGTATATATGCTGGTTTATATGTCCGTACGGAAGAGTGAAACGGTAGGGGAGCATACTTCGTGCAGCCAAATTCATCAACCTCCGTGTCGCCCTTTGCAAGAGCCCCAAATGTCCTTTGCCGCCTCCTGAACCCCGCCTCGAATTGTCATTTTCTCCGAGGGAGCAGATGGCGGGGGTTTCTTTGATTGGCTAATAAGCGACTAATAAGATTTCGCGGTGAACTTCTCAGCACGTCTTATAGGCGACATGCGATTTCTGAGGTTAAGATTCGCAGTGTGTTAGGTAGGCGCTTCGTGAAGTAGACCAAGACGTCATTCATGCAAGAGGCAACTGATATGTATGGGATATTGGAGTAGGACACCGCATGCTTCCAGGCTGGCAAGCTGGCGCAGGCTGGTAGTGCAATTTGATCCTAATACTTATGCATAGATCCTGTACAAATGGATATGAGGGATAGGGGAGCTCGCTAGCGAAACTCCCGCATAAGACCTGCAGCCTTAAGAGGCGGTGATATGAGTGTTTGATCTAAGCTCCTTGGGTGCATGTGCCATTGATAGGTAGGCACCTTTGACTCTTTCACCGTTGTTTCCAGCCTTATTGCCCGCATTCTTGAAAATCACATCGTTGCAGAGGAAGAGGGAAAAGAAGTAAGAAATATCACACTCGACCGCGACCTGGCGTTGATAGACTTTTCTTCGAAACATTCCTTCTCATCGCCTTCAAACGCAAACCAAGATCGTTTTTACTGCCCGATTGCAAATTACCGTGTGTTGTTGCTCTTGAAGACCAGACTGGCTGCATTTGCCAAATCGACCCGCGCCCACGAGCGAGCGAGACCCGGTTGAGGCTTGTGATAAAATCAACAAAAGGACCCGCATCCACCACTCGACCCTACCCACTTTCTGGGCAACGACCGCCGCTTTCTGCAATATTCTCTCCCCTTCCTCCCAAACAACAACGTACCTTCCGGCGCCCATTCATCAGCCGTCGATATTAGTTCTGGGAGACCACCTCGATTCTCTCGAGCGCCTGCATCGTCAATTTCGGTTTTTTACCATTTCCCCCCAGTCTCCCAGACGGATCCACAAAAAAATCACCACGCTGGATACCCCGTAAATCTCCTACGAGAAGAGAGGCTATTGAGAGCAGACATCATGGCTGAAAACGGCGATATCAACGCTGTCCTCAGCAATTCGCTGTCGCCTGGTAAGTTCTTACGGAACCCCCCTTCTGCCACCCATCCTGTCCCCTCGTGGCCGCCCCGTGTCGACGTCACGATGGCTCGGACGACCTCTTGCTGACCCCCCCTCCCTTCCAACAGACGCGACGGCGCGAAATGCTGCCGAGCAACAGCTCAGCCAGGCGGCTGAGAACAACTTCGTGAGTCCATTCCCGCCCAGCAGATCGAGTAGAACATCTGGACTTTGATCTCTGACTCGAATATTCTCTCGTAGCCCCTCTATCTGGCCACCCTGGCCCAGGCGTTAGCGACCGAAACCAGCGAGGCTAAGATCCGAGTTGCGGCAGGTCTAGCCCTCAAGAACGCCTTCTCGGCTCGCGAATTCGCGCGACAGCAAGAACTGCAGCAAAAATGGCTGCAACATACAGACCAGGAGACCAAGACTCGCGTCAAGACGGTGGCTCTGCAGACGCTGGCCTCGGACAACTCACAAGCTGGACAGGCTTCGGCCCAGGTCATCGCCGCCATTGCCGGCATCGAACTCCCGCGCAACCAATGGCCCGACCTCATGGGTACGTTGGTTGCGAACGTTAGCAGCGGCGCACCCCATCAGAAGCAGGCCTCGTTGACCTGCATCGGTTACATCTGCGAGAGTCAAGAGCCCGATCTGCGCACTGCCCTCATCAGCCACTCCAACGCCATCCTTACGGCCGTCGTGCAGGGCGCGCGCAAGGAGGAGGAGAACCTCGAAGTCCGCCTGTCGGCTATCTCCGCCCTCGGTGACTCCCTCGAGTTCGTCGGCAACAATTTCAAGCATGAAGGCGAGCGAAACTACATTATGCAGGTGGTCTGCGAGGCCACACAAGCCGACGACACGCGCATCCAACAAGGCGCTTTCGGCTGCCTCAACCGCATCATGGGTCTTTACTACGAAAACATGCGCTTCTACATGGAGAAGGCCCTGTTTGGTCTGACGATTCTAGGCATGAAGAACGAGGACGAGGATGTGGCCAAGCTGGCGGTGGAATTCTGGAGCACCGTGTGCGAGGAGGAGGTCAACATCGAGGAGGATAACGCTCAGGTGGAGAGCTCCGACCAGATGCGTCCGTTCTACAACTTCGCACGTGTCGCGACCAATGAGGTGGTGCCCACACTGCTTACGCTCCTGACAAAGCAAGACGAGGATGCTACAGATGACGAGTACAACTTGTCTCGAGCCGCCTACCAGTCTCTTCAGCTTTACTCCCAGGCCGTCGGCGCCAACATCATCCCGCCCGTCATCCAGTTCGTAGAGTCGCATCTTCGCTCCGATGACTGGCACTTCCGCGAGGCTGCCGTCGCTGCCTTTGGCGCCATCATGGAGGGACCCGAAGAGAAGGTGCTGGAGCCCATCGTCAAGCAGGCGCTGCCCATTCTCATCACCATGATGGAAGACAGCTCTACTTACGTCAAGGACTCCACGGCGTACGCCCTTGGCCGCATCACTGAGGCTTGTTCGGAATCCATCGACCCCGAAACCCATCTGGACCCCTTGATCCGGTCGCTCTTTGCCGGTATCCACGACATCAAGATGGCAAGCTCATGCTGCTGGGCCTTGATGAATCTTACGGAGCGTTTCTCTGGAGATTTCGACGCAAACTCCAACCCCCTTACGCCTCACTTCAATCAAAGCGTCACGAATCTACTGGCCGTCACGGGCGCCAACGCCGAAACCTCGGTGCGCACCACTGCTTACGAGGTCCTCAGTGCTTTCGTGCAGCATGCGGCCACCGAGAGTTTCCAGGCCGTCGCCGCGCTGTCAGATGTCATAATCAAGCGATTGGAGGAGACGATTCCTATGCAAAGCCAGGTCGTCAGCATAGAAGACAAGATTGCCTTGGAGGAGATGCAAACCAGCCTCAACACCGTGCTGCAGTCCATCATTCAGAGATTGGAGAAGGAGATTGCGCCTCAGGGTGATCGTATCATGCAAGTCTCGCTTCAGATCTTGAGCACCGTGAACGGTAAGTCGATCGTTCCGGAAGCCATTTTCGCCACCATCAGTGGTTTGGCGAACGCCATGGAGGAGGATTTCGCCAAATATATGGATGCGTTCACTCCATTCCTATACAATGCTCTTGGCAACCAAGAGGAGCCCAGTCTCTGCTCTATGGCTATTGGCCTTGTCAGCGACATTACCCGATCCATGGGCGAGCGCAGCCAGCCGTACTGCGACAACTTCATGAACTACTTGCTGAACAACTTGAGGGTATGTGAACTCCTTTTCTCTGTCTCGTAATTTACTCTGGAGTGTCATGTCGATAACTTTGTGGACCATATAGCTGACTGACTCGCAGAGCACGGCCCTGTCGAACCAATTCAAGCCTGCCATTCTTCAATGCTTTGGTGATATTGCCAACGCCATTGGCGGCCACTTCGAGACATATCTATCGGTAGTCGCACAGGTCCTGCAACAGGCCTCGACTGTCACCGCTAGTCCCGAGGGCAGCTACGAGATGTATGATTACGTCATTTCGCTGAGAGAAGGCATCATGGACGCTTGGGGCGGCATTATTGGTGCTATGAAGATCAGCAGTAAGAGTATGTGTAATCCTGGACCTCACTAACACCCCTCTTCACCACACAGTGTCTAACATTATTCACAGCCCAAGTTCTTCAGCCTTACGTCCAATCCATCTTCCAGCTATTGAACATCATCTCCCAAGACATGAACCGTAGTGAGGCTTTGATGCGATCCTCTATGGGTGTTATTGGGTAAGTACTACTGCCGCACACAAAGTTAACAATGATTCGCTGACTGTGTTGTAGTGATCTAGCTGACGCCTACCCGAACGGCGAGCTCGTCGATGCCCTCCGTCAAGATTGGCTGACGGCCATGATCAAGGAGACGAAGAGCAACCGAGAGTTCCAGTCACGCACCATCGATACCGCTCGATGGGCCCGAGAGCAGGTCAAGCAGCAGCTCGGAGGCCAGCAGTCGACAATGCAGACTTGAAACGAGCACTGCGCCACTCAGCCACCAATACACGCCAATTTCTCAGTCCGATTGAGGTGTGGCACACGTGGAGGCTTCCTCAACTCCGACGCAGAACCCAGTACCCTCTCCAATAGTCAAGCAAGGTGTCACATCATCCTGGCCTTGCGCAATATTGGAAGCCGAGCCTCAGAAATCCCCATCAGAGCACTTTCCCGTCGGCCCCCATCACCAAAGGAGAGACACCTGTATATAAACCCCTTCTTCCCCCCCCCCCCCCCTACATTATTAATCCAATACCCCTGAGCATCCCATACCCACGGCACTACACATACCCTACACTCAAATCCAACCCCCACAATGTTCGTCTTTGCAATGGAGTTTTCCTTTGGCATCGCGGAGATTTAAGCGCGCCCCGGTTTAGACAAGACCGACATCATGTACGCCCCATGCCTCGGCAGCAGGGCCACGAAGTCATGTAAGAAGATGAGGTATAGAGGCAAATATGGATCGAGGAGAGGGTTGGCTCGGCATTTTGTTCAAGTGAACACCAGGAGAAACTGGTTTTTTTTGCTGGAGCCGCCCCTGGCTCGCTGATGGTACCGGGGTCGGTGGATTGGGACAATTAGCACTGAGCGTATGTCTGTCTCGGAAGACAAGATAAAACTCGACCGGACAGGTTGGGTCTGCCCGATTTCTATCTTCAAGAGCGCTCTTGTCGTTTTTTCTCTTGAAGATCAGGCACATTTCGTTTGCATGATTGACGGAACGGCCGAGAGAAAACTGACTGGCAGTGCTTGACTGATATGAAGAGTACAAAAAAGCAAATTCAAGACCCTTCTACCCCATGATGGTGATACGAGGAGCCGCGATATGTGTGTGTGAGATGTGACGAGTGGTTGCTGGAAGTTGAGATTTGGCCGGATAATTTGGATTTATTTCGTCGTCGCCGGTAGTTTTCTAGCTGTATGTATATCGTATGTAATGGTAAGGAAAGGAAAGAAGATATATACATACACTCACTGTTATTTATCCTGTCTGCACACTGTCAGGTCGGCCCAGGTAAGACCAGTGAATTATATGGGCATCCAATTGGGTATTTTGCCTATTAAAACGCCCGTCTGATGCCGATGTAGGGTTGTCCAAAACTGACTCTCCAAAACACATTTGAATTACATTTACACCATGCCAGGTTTGTAAGCATTGGGGCGGGGGGACGGCGCCGAACCTGAACGATGAACTAAGAAGTAGCAAATACACTGCCCAAGCCCATCCCCTCTCCAAAACCCTGTACCCCTCGGCCCAACACGACCAAACCGTAACCGAGCTCATAACAGAAGGTGGCTTCAACAAAGTACTCAGTATCTCGCTTATCTATCTCGTTTATCAACGATATCAACGAGAGCGAGAAGCGAGGCGAATTACGTTGTCCGGCAGCCAGAGGACGAATGGACTATCCTGCGCTCGGTGGATATCCTACGATATCTCTGACAGTACACCAACCTCAGAGGGCCCGAGGTGATTGGTTTCGACAACACCCAAAATAACGAGCTCGGATGCGGGTATATGGCCCCGGAGAGACTCCCTGGGACTAACTGCCGGACGAGCTGACCTAACAGCAGAAACTCACCCTTGCGGTGGACAAGTGTCGGATAAAACAAACCAGGTCAACCGGGTCCTAGTGCCCCGGAGCCCTCATAGTACGTTCTTCAGTACTTCCGGGGCTACACCTTCTCGAAGCGCTATAGGTTTGGCTTATCTTAGGCTTAGGCCTAAAGATATAACATCCAGAATAAAGACAAACGGCGGTAGGTATATAAACGCTGTATTAATCGATACGACCATAGCCTATTAACTATAAGATAAGTACGGATATACGCGACCCTATTAGATACGAATAGAGTATCCGTCTTGGAAACGCTACAGTAACGCCGAAGGTCTCGGTAAGGTTCCTAGGGGTCTGGTTTGACCGCAAATTAACGTGGCACGCCCATACCGAACGGGTTAAATCAAAAATGGCGACTCAGAAGCTAGCCCTAACAAAGCTAGTGAACATGGCGTGGGGCTGCGATCTCACACGGGCGAGACTACTGTACAGGTCGGTTATTCGCAGCGCGATCGCCTTCGGGGCGGCTGCGTGGCACACTATAAGCGAGGAACCAGCGGGACCAGCTAAGAGCCTAGTCGGGATACAGAATGAGTGCCTCCGAATAGTCTGTGGCGCCTATAAAGCGACACCGGTCCGACACCTAGAAATAGAGGCAGCTATCCCGCCACTAGACCTATATCTCAGTGCCCGGGCGGCGAAATTTGAAGAACGGTGTGACGGGCTCACTGCGAAACTATACAGCTCAACATGGCCAAATACTGTTAATTATCTAACTGAGGAGGAAAGTAAAATATGCGAGTTGTCCCGGGAACACGGACTATGTTTTGTGTGCCCTCGATGGTTCCTTTGGTGGATCCGGACGCACGGTCCTTGCAGCTCCGGATCCCATATCAGGCACAGCCTGTCACAAACGGCTACGGAATAACGGCAAAAGGAGCCTGCTTCGGAGCGCGAGCGCGAGAGCGTCACACATACTCCGACAGGACACGCCGGCGAGACGGAAGCGGGCGTCACAATCGCTCAGACCAGCGGGGTACACGATAGAGAAGGAGGCTAGGGGCTCCGAGTGGATAGGCAAGGCGAAGGAAGTCCCGGCCGCCCTCCTAGACCACTGGGAGAAGAGATGGCTCTCCGGGGCAGCACAACACGACCGCCAGCGACGCGCTATCGCCGAGGAGCAGGAGGGCCCCTCGATGCGAATGCCGAAACAGGGCAAGTACTCAGACCTAAACCGACCGGAGGCGTCTACCCTATGCCAGATCAGGACCGGAAAAATAGGACTATCAGCTTTCTTATTTAAGATAGGAGCCTTCTGTCACGACCTGGGTTGCATCGCATTGGTACAGACCTCGATTAGGTGCTATCGACGAAGATTCTACTCTAAGGAGCGAAGGAAAGAAGATGACAACTTAGGTTTGAGGGAGCGCGACTAAGTCATCCACGCTTGGCGGGGCTCCTACAAGGGTTATGATTGGCTTCCCATCTGACACTGCCACGGCAGGTGTTCCAGCTGTAAGTCACCTGGTTGTAGTGAGTCTGCGAGGGTTGACCTTCACACTCCCGTATGTCAAACCGTGCCCTAATGGCTGGACTAAATACATACGCTGCTACGTAGGTTCGCTCTATTAGCGACTGCGTTACGTCCACCACAATACTATGTTAGTTCTCACCCTACTAACAAAGTCCCCCTGAGAAGATCGATATTATCCGGGCCTAAGCGCTATCCGGCCAGTCCTGAGTAGCCACCTTGTGATAGTCCCGCTGACTACTGGTTTCCCCGTCGCCGTTGCCAGGTCTCTACGTGTATGCAGCGGCCATGGTGCGATAGTGGCCCGTAGGCGCTCTCTCGATTCTTCCAGCAGGCCGCAAAAGAGGATTACGTGCTTTGCCGTCTCGGGGGCCTCTCCACAGCGGCATAACGGCGAGTACACACCGAAGGTGTGAAGGTCAACCCTCGCAGACTCACTACAACCAGGTGACTTACAGCTGGAACACCTGCCGTGGCAGTGTCAGATGGGAAGCCAATCATAACCCTTGTAGGAGCCCCGCCAAGCGTGGATGACTTAGTCGCGCTCCCTCAAACCTAAGTTGTCATCTTCTTTCCTTCGCTCCTTAGAGTAGAATCTTCGTCGATAGCACCTAATCGAGGTCTATACCAATGCGATGCAACCCAGGTCGTGACACTTAACAGGGTAGCTAGATACTCTGCCTAGGACTCTAACGGCTGATCCGGATATAAATATTAACTGGCTGCATGAACCAGACGAGACTACAGAGGAAGCTATAGCCAGCTCCGTGTGACAGTTGTCACGTGATTGACCGAGACTGGTCCGAACAGATTGATAAGTGGTTGCAGATACCAAATTCAGGGACTTTGGTATTGTTCTCTTTTGGTGAAGATATCTAGTATGGTGGCACAGTGGCTAGGACTTTAGCCCCTAGCGCGCCGTGACACTCCGCCAAGAGGTTTCTACGGATAGCGTCGGCAAGGTTAGCGATAACTTCAGTTCTCAGTAGCAATAATTAACCCAAAAAGGACTAACCACAAATTACTTAACTATTTGTCCAATCACGCGGCCAATCTTTTACTAATTGGACAATCAACCAACTTAGGGGGGATGGTTAGTTAGTTGGGTTTATCCGACCCTTGGCGGTGGAAATTAGAGAGCTGTATTTGAGTATAACGGGATAATCCAAACCAATTATTTGCAGCACGAACCTCCCGACATACCGCTGGACGAGATAATGTCAGCGGTTTCAAACGGCGAAGCTATGAGATGACCCATGCAAGGGGGGCCATCGAAAGATGACTATCAGATGTGCTCTGATACCATTACCGACGTGTAAAAGATGAACCTTCATTCGAGCAGTGCTACTGTGTCTGGCACGCAGACTTATGCCCACGGAAAATCATGGTCGACTTACAATCTAGACCAATGATTACCAGAGTCATATCCAACGAAGGACGGTAGTTGGTGTCTCATAATACTGATGATACATTGTTACACTTATCTGAAAGGAAATGGCTAGCTTGCGTTGAAGATATAGAAATTGGCCAAGAGGTTGATAAAATAAACAGCGCATCCCACTGACATATGCAGGTTAGGCCTCGTCTACTAAATTATTATCCCCCACCTACGCCAGACTAGCCCACACTATCAGACACCATTCCATCCATTTTGCGCGTTTATTCTAAATAACTACTCGGTAACTAACTTGAAACAAGAACCAAAAACATACTGAACTACAATACGACCAGCCCCAAACGCAAACAAAAGCGTGTCCTCATCTCAAGAGTGGAAATTTAACAGTCCCTCTTAATCGAGCTATATCCTATATAATGGTGGTTCAGTTGCTGCTTGGGGCCATTGTACAGCCATTCAATCGGTTCTAATTTACACCCAAGCGAGAC